AGTCGGTTTATATCCAAAATCGAGTCAGAAACCACCAAGGAAGCTCACCTATATCAATAATTGATGCATTGAGCTCGTTTTCAAAGGCTACATACGGTCTTATATATAAGGTCGCTTTGGTTGATTCACGGGTCCGCGAGCTACAGGAGGCCAATCACTTACTAAGTAAACGCCGAAGGACAAAAAACAAACGTTTAGTGAAAGGAGGAATACTTTCTATTGAAGATGCAGTAGGTCTCCAGGCTATAAAGAATGCTAGTAAGCTGGCAAGACAGGAAATGTGTGAAGGTAGTCGTCGTCCGAGGAGGGCAGCAGCGCGTGAGCGACGTTGTAGCGTTTGCGGCAACACTGGCTATAATGCACGAACTTGTACAATAGAGATAGAAACGTCTGGAGAAGAAGAAACCGATTAATTGGATTGAATTAAATGCGTTGTAGTCGAGTTATTTGCCATGTTGGTTAGAAGGTTAGTGAAAATTTGCCGTTTGCTTGTAATTGCCGCTCGCATGTCATCCACGTTAACACTATTTTAACTCTTATTAATATTATTAAAAATAACCCACCTTCTTTTACCGCGAGTATATAATTATAAAAACCCCGATTTTTCCTTGTGAAGCGAGCAAGTATGAAGGTCGAATACGTTGTTGTGCGTGGGTTGGTTATCTAGCTAGCTAGGCAAGGGGTCCCTCCTTATCTTATCTGTCTAGCCGCCACCTGATTGGCCAGGGCACCCACTTACAGTGGGTCCCCTTGTGACGTGTGTCACCTTGTTTAAAAGCCCTTATCTTACATTTGATATCTTTTTGAGTTTAGTTTTTGTTGATATTATAAAAATACTGTTAAGTCAAAATCATTACTTATCTCGGTTTTTAAGGTTTTAAAAACCTAGCAAGTAAGTTATTACCGGCTTTTTTAAACTTAAACCGATAACCCTTCGATTTTTCAAATTAATTAATAGCTAGCATTTTTAAGAACCCTATTAACCTTAGTTAAACTATAGTATTAGGGCCGTTTTCATCGATAAAAAGGCCCTTACAAAGCTTAACGGTTATTTAAACGTTATAATACAAAGTAAAAAACGGTTATCCCGCGTTTAATCCGAACTAACGTTGTAAAAAAGCTTACTTTTTTACTCGTTCGATTTTATCGTAAATTTGTTCGTTTTAAGCCTTTAAAGCCTTTAAAGCCTTTTCAACACTTTTAATGAAAACGTCGATAAATTTATAAACTTATATTAAAAATAAAGCCTTTCAATTAGTTTAAACGTTTAAAGCTTTATTATTATAATTAAAAATAATTAAATCTTTTTTTACGCCTGGCAAGTTGATATAAGTTATTAAAAACGTATTATATATATATGTCTAAACTAATTAAAGTGCAGTTAAATAAATAAAATAAAAAAGCTTTAACTACATAGTAAGTATAGCCTTTACCTAGCTAGTTAAGTAACTAACTTATGTATAATAATATATTTAACCTTTTAACTATTTACTTTAAACGTATAACGTAGGACGATATTGAACGCATTGTAATAATATTTCGTCAAATTAAAAAAAAAAGATGAAATAGGAAATAAGGTGTTTTAAATAAGGTTCAGCTTTATAAGCAAGGCTTTACGCGTATATCGTTTAACGTATAACGTATCAGCCTAAGCTTATAAACGCTATCCGTAGTTAAGGTTTTAATAAATAAATAAAAAATTATAATGTTTTATTTTAATAAACTTAACGTATAATATGAAGGCTTTATTTTTTATTATCTTTTAAGATATTCAAGTTAAGCGTTTCTTTTTGGTCAAAAAGCTTAAAATAAAATAGAAGATAAAAATATAGTGTAATAATAGCGCCTTATAAGAACTAGACCATACCCCGGCCACACTAATTGCCGGGATAATTTATTTACGTACATGCATATCGCAAGTGAGCAAGTCTTTAAACTTGAGACCGATACCTCAAGTGCCCTCCAAGCGCCGATAAGGCGAAGCCACTGCTCCCTCATCCTTCCACGCGGCGATGTCTGGGTGGAATGCACCATCCACAGCGGGAAAAAAACCGCATCTCCTGCGTAAACAAGTACGAGATCATGCACGAGACAAACGCTGATAGTCCTCTCCATCAACCAAGCTCTGTGGGTAACTAACCACTGACCTTTCAACAGACCTCCCTTCCTTCGCGCTCTTGATGCGCCAATTCCCTGAAAACCCTAAACATAACTATAATTGGGAAGACTGAAAGATGACACCGAAGCAGCTTCCAAGATTCAGACCAAAACAAGGGTTCATCGTCCGGGATGTATCCAATGATCCAAGTGCAGACTCGAGTGCGCGTGACCTCTTGCTGACAATTTCATATATCTATGTCACTGACTTTAGACACACCGACCTTGACTTGTACAGGAGAAGCCGACATGTTGCCAAGCAGCCTCTTCAGGAACCTGGACGAGCACTGCCGTACCCGATTGCTCGGCGCAACAGTGGCATGCAAGCTGAATATGCATTGGGCTGAGATGAAATGAAAGCGACGCGGATAGGAAGAGCAGGATGGACCTGAGCAGAAGTATACCATATACTACACGGATGATGTACGGGCGACATGGCCCTTTTCAAATGCTTATACACCCTGGTGATAGCTTCTATTGGTTTCCTATATGTGTTTTGGAGTTTGTCACGGCACTAGATGGCAGCCCCACATGCCAGCGGTCAACCCCTATATATGCGAGAACATGTCTCCTAGCTGACTTCATAGTTTCCTTTCCTCTTCACGTACAACAACAGAGTCATCTCTGGGTTCACCAGTGGTCGAACTGTGACAAGTTTTCAATCCGAAGACTTGACAGCACAAGTCCACAGCAAAATAATAGGAGAACGATGTGTCAACCAGCGGGATAGGGGTGTTCAGAAGTGCAAGTTGGGGTCGTCAACATTAACAGTCTCATACACCATTGCCCTGGTATTGATGCACAGTGCCCAAGCCGCCTGGACAGTCTCGAAGAATCTGAGGGACATCGAGATTGTCAACTCAACGAATCTAGGGATGACAACACTACCTATTTTGGTCAGATGAGGCCCTGCATAACCTTCATCCAAGAGCCAGTTTTCCCTTCTTTCTTTTCTCCGGCTCATGGCTGAAATTTATGCACACACACTCTCTCAGCTTCATCGACGTTATAGCCACGGCGAATCCGTCGTTATGTCAAACAGGAATAGCAGGTAAGCCTCAAAGGCGTGCGTGTACTCCTTTGCTTAAATTGGACCTCCCCACCTACCCTCAGCTCTTTTTAAAGAAACTCTCCTTGATGTACTGGATACCGAGATCCTGACATATCCCCCCTGTGTCTACATAGTTACTAGGCAGACAACTCACACCCATGAGACTCGCAGCACGGGAAGGTCAAGGACGATCTTACGAATGTCGCTCTGTGCCACCTTTCATGGGGTCGTGGTGACTGGTGAGGTCCACCGAGGCAGGCACTATATCAACTCTCGTCGTACCCGGGAAGGTAGATATCAAGCTGCCTCTAGACCGTGCCAGCGAGCCACAGGGCATAACATTACAACTTGTATTACTCAGAACCCCAGCGTCGTTTTTGCAAGTTTCTCTTCTCATACCTCGACAATGAGCAGTGAACCTAAGACCATCCCTGTGGTTCTGTGCCTGACTATATGCCTGGTACTGGTGCGGATCCTGGTGTTGGTATGGGTTCTGATGTTGGTGTTGGTTCTGGTGTTGGTACGGGTTCTGTGTCTGATTCCGTGCCCGAGTCTGGTCCTGGCTCTGTGTCTGGTTCTGCTGGTTCTGCGACTCTAGGTGCGGTTCGGCTTGCGACCCAGGTTGCAACCAACGCTGCTAGTGCAGATTTGGAGGGTGACAACACAGCCGCAAAGTATCCTCCACATGAGTGTTGTCTAGGTATGCTACCCGCATCGGCTCTATAAGTCCGGACCCAATGCATAGTAAGTACCTAATTACTACGGGATGACCAAAAGATTCAATGGGTCCAAAACCAGCCCCTTCATCTATGTCACCCCCTGCTATCCCATACAAGAGAGCCCACCACACCGAAAAGCAGTAAGTATCCCCAATGCATTCCCTTTGATACCAGATATTTAGGACGGATGGCCATGGTTCGTGATGTCAAACAGAGCGTGGGGGCTTTTAGATGGATGAAAGCGTATATTCTGGTGTAATCCGTGTTCTTGTTGTATCTCTGCGAAAATCCTTCTGTGGGCTAAGTGGCCCAAAAATGCCCTATTGGCCTTGTTGGTGCACAGCCACCTCCCTGAACGCCACGGTGGCTTGTGCGCCATTCAACACATGAAGCCTCAAAGAACGCCAAGGATATCACATATCTCAATTTCTCAAAGGACTTTAACGTTCCAGGACATGGTAGGAACGGAAGAGAATGACAGTCCGTCGCACGCATTGACTGACCTGGACATTGCTGTGTCTCTGGAAACGGGATGTACTGGTCCAAGTGTGATCTGTCCAAGGGGTCTGCTCTGACCCTTCACATATGAAGCAGTCCATGGAGCCAAGGAGCCCGGTCCCGTCAAACACTAAGTTGGGACCCATGGTTACAGGGTGGCTGATATATAAGAATGAATCACAAGCCCTGAAATTTCTACCACTGCCAGCGCAAGGCGCAATCATAAGACAGCTACTCATTGATTGCCTACTAACATGGAAACTCTTCCAGCAGTGGCGTACTGGCACATGACCTGGAGCTAATTGACATGGATAAAAGACCTGTGGCAAATAAGAAGCCACGTGGAAGGAGTAAGTCGGTACACAACAACGTATCATCAACTTTCTTTGGACTCGGCCACCTTCCGTCGTCCCTTCTGTCCACAAGACACATGCAGCGGCAAAGCTGAACTTGGCTATCCATCAGAGTAAGCAAACCGAAAAACGCCATATCCCCTGATCCTCTTTGACAGCGTGCAAGGTCACCGACGACCCCGATGCGACTCGATATGGAGATAGTACCAGCCGACACAGCCCCTAGAAAACAGGGGCGCTATTGACCAAGTAAGAGAATGCAGCAGCACCACCCAAAGCAACACAGGCTGCGGCTTGGGCAAGGCGTAGTCTTTTCGATGGACGGACGTCGTTCTGCTCACCATGGGCAGCGGCGAGCTCTGGCAGTGCCTCCACAGATCTGACAGCATCCGACGCAACAAACTCAGCGGACATTCGTGCAGGTGTTCGTGTGGGTTGGAAGTGTCCTGGAGTAGCATCAGGCATTGGTTGCGAACAAGCACCTGTTCCCGCCCATGTGCCATCCGCACGCTTATATGAAGGAACTCTGAGCTCTGGAGCATCAAAAGCCTCCTCGAACGAACGCTTTGTGCCAACCACCTCTCGGAGTGAAGGGAGGGGAGGTGAAACAAGAGGTGCGGTGGGCTCCAGTTCGGGCATAGGTGATCTATCCCTCGGCTTCTCGGCCAGCTTGGGTTCGGCCATATGTAATTCATCCCTCGGCTCCTCGGCCAGGAGATCCTCGATAGGAAGACGACGAACTTTGTGATCCGCCTTCACTCCTGTCGCCAGTTTACTCTGCTGGAAGGTATACGCGCTGGTCATATCGAGCTCGGGACTTTCCTGTCTGTTCACCTGGACGGAGACAAGATCTTCGGTGTGCGGGTTGTTTATGAACTTCTCTCCGGCTGCCGACCAGGCAGATTCTTCGGTGCTGTTCGACTTCGTCAATTGCACTGTGTTGGGGGCGGGAGCCTCGAAAACGGCTTTGGCAGCAATGTCTCCGGCTTCGGTGGAGATCGTCATGGCCAGCGGTGGTCCAGTCTCAGTTGGTGTCTGCCGTGAGTCGCGGGGGACAGCAGTGGTGCCATCAGGGACGAAGGCCAAAGTGTCTCGAATGGCCGACATCGGAACCGAAGCGTCATTATGACTGGCAACTGCGCGGTTGTTCTCTCTAGCCTCAAAGTATTGGAATTTCCCTGTCTTCTCGCCGAGAGCTTGGGCTCTGAAAGTGCTGGGCTCCTGGCTGAGCACTGGCTGGCTCTTGAACATGGCAGCGTCAGAGGGGCTTGGGGCTCTGGCTGCATTAAACAGGCCGAAAGGGTAGGCCGTAGATGCCGAATCCCCGGAAGTCTGAGCACCGGCCGACTTTGAATCGATCTCTTTGTTGGCCGAGGGCGGAGGCGATGAAGACGGAGGCGACTCGGGAGACGACTCCTTCTCGACATACGGGTCGTTCATTTCTTCACTAGAGGATGAGTCGCCGTCCTCATCGTATGGAGTGCGCTGGAGGCCTATGATGAAGTGAGTACTTGTAGTAACGGACTCGACAGAAAACCTAGACTCACTGTCTTCATCCTCTTCCTCGAAACCATCCATGCCGTATTCATCGCCCAGCTCAGATGCCAGCTCAGATGCCAGCTCAGATTCTTCACTATTCTCTTGGCCATCACCACTGATTTCACTCATATCATCAGCAGAATCATCTGAAACCTGGCTTGAGTCATCAATATCTGGGAACTCGTCTCCGCAACCGGTCTCGTCGGGATAATCAGAGGCCATCTCCTCCTCGTCCGAAGATTGATCCGAAGGGGCAAAGAAGAGGCCTTGCCGACCATCTACAATGGGTCCTGAGACGAAATCGTGACGTCTGAGCTGAGAAATAGACAGGTCATTAAGGAGCACAGGATCAGATGTTCCATCAGCGGGGAAGTGCGGGACTATTGCTTCCGTATCGGCGTCGGAGTCATGGTCAGGCTCCGAAGTCAAGTCGATGAAGTCGGAGAGGATGGCGTTGCCAGTCGTCATGCTCGATGGTAGCTCTGGATCAGGAGATGCGTCCACATCTTCCACAGTAAGGTCGATGGAAAAGCGGCGAAGGCCCTGTGCGTCGGGGGTCGACTGTTGACCGAGACGAGACGTCGAGTGCAGGTGGGTAATGTCTTTGACGTCGTCACTGTCGCCAATGTCTTCCTCGCTTATGTATTCGTCTTCGTCTTCATCGATATCGTCTGGCACCATGAAGACCATGCTCGTAGGCTTCGATTCCCTAATCGACGGTTAGTATTGAACTACCGTACACGCATTGTGAAGCTTACTTGTATCTCTTCTCCTCCATCAGGAAGTCGACAGCGCAGGGGTCGAACTTCTGGTTGGATCTGAAGATGCGAATTCCGAATCGAAGGATATCGCCGTTGGACAGCTGAATAGTCTCGCCCTTGGGGAGTTCAACTTCCTTGTTGAGACCGTCGTTCGCAGTGATGTATGTACCGTGAAGCGCCTTGGTTTCCTTGTAAAAGACAGTCTAGGTAGCCAGGGGTCAGTGCATTCCGACCAAGATGACACGGGGAAGCGGTGGAAGATTGGGGTGGGTACATTTGGATTGGTATCGAAGTTGGCGAATATCTCGGCGTGGTTGCGGGACATGACAGGGCTGTCAAACCAGGCGTTGTCTTGGGCGGGCACGAAACCCTTGGTAGCGATCTTGGAGGCTCGGCCGATTCGGACAGACGGGGAGTCACGAGTGAGTACGAGTCGTCGCGAGTGTACGGAACTGGGAATGCGTGATGACAGAGTAACGATTACTTTGGGCACGGCGAGGATGGTTAGCAATGGGCAGTTTGAGTGATGGGAACGCAAACAGGAGAAACACCTACCTGCACCCTCGGTCTCCTCCTGGTTGATGGCGCAGCCGGGCGTCGACATGTTGCGTAGCGCAGGCGATTGACTCTTAGTACCTGTGATTGTTATGATTGTGGAGGAGGACCGGAGGGGTTATAAGGGAATGTAGGTTTATGGTTCCCTCGACCGTAGCCAGTGAGAGTGTTGTTGCAGACAAGGTTTGGATGGGTGGTGGTTGAGGCTTGGAGAGGGGAAAGTGTGAGTAAGTGACGGCAAGGCGGCCGGATGGGCTGGATGGATGCGAACCTTCCTTGGGGAGGCTTAAGGTTAGTTCAGGTGCTGCTGTCGACTCTGGCTGTGCTGTAAGTGCAGGTTGCAGGTGCACATGTGGTGGTGAGTGGGATGGTGGGAGGTGGGAGGTAGGTGCCAACGCCAGTTGGGGCAGGGGTAGATAGGTAGGTAGAGTGTAACTACGTGTACCCGGCTGGCTGTACCTTAGGTACTTAAGAAGAGGTAGGCTCCGATCTCTTGTTGGAATAGCGGTCTATAAGGCAATTGAAAGACAGCTGGAGAGGGAATGGTCACTTTTGAAATGAAGACCACAAGCTCTTCTTTCTGCCCTTTGCACTTCAAGTTCGTTATCACGTCGGGTTTATCATTCAAGGCATCCTCAAGACGAAACACGACCCGGGAGACAGCCTGTGACAGCACCAGGCAGAAGGGTTCTGATAAGCGCCTTATCACCGCACCCCACCTTGAAATGACGGTATGTGGATGATGACAACGAAGTCGACCAGGCAGATAAGGCTCTCTCCCCAACGTCAGCCTAGATGGATCAAAGTGTACCTTTGCTTCAAGGGCTGCAAGGACCGGGAGGATCGGGGTGAAAAGAACGATTGCTGCTTTCATGAATGAGGCTGCTTTGACGATTGCTTCAAGACCTCAGTCACCCTGTTGGCAGGCCCGACGTTGGTTGGAGCTCTTATCTAAAGTGCACGCCAGCGATAAGCTTGCAGGTTCCAGGGATCGGGGAGGCCTAGCAGGTCGAAATAGGCGGGACAGGCGGGGTGGTGGGGCTGTGACTTGTGACTTGTCTGCGCCAACACTCATCAAGAGGCCATCCAACATTCAATGTTACAGCAGGTGATGAAGGCAATCCAACCCACATAAAACCTACCTTAAGGTTGGTATGCTTCATCAATGCTTCATGTTATACATACTCAATATATCCCGATGCCTACATCACGGTAGGGAGCTACACGATATGCCCTCGGTGCATGTTATGAGCAACAGAACTCAGTAACCACTACTTACGCCAGCCTTGACAAGGTGACAAACCTCCTGGCGAGTCCTGGGCTGCCTGTCCGGTTCATGTTGCGTCTTGATCACAACAAACAGACGGGACCACCCCGCTCCGACCTTTAATATTATTAGAACAAACTGAAGTCAGCTGAACTGAACACTCGTACATCACAGGTGGAGGAATGAGCGGTGTCTATACCGATCAGGTAGTATGATTATGGGCAGTCAGTCAGTTGGCAGTTGGTCACTTGAAATGATATCTTTCTGCGGTGTCCGCTCGCACCCGGTCTGTACCTAGGTAGGTATTACCTGGTATTGCGCTGTGAGTCACCCATGTCGACCTCCCATCCATTTCCCTTTCCCTGGGCGCATCATCGCACGATTGACGATTGACCCGGGGAAGCCCCACCCCGCTGCTGATGGACGTGGACAGTGGACTCTTTAAGGCCTGAAGCGGGGCTTGTGACAGCGGCGGCCCCTCCAGTCTGCCCCTCTGCCCCTCAGGTTGCATCATCATCCGCTTCCGTCGAGGGTTGGTCCATTCTCTATTTGCCATACCTTATTCCATTCTCCATCAGTCCATCTCTATTGCCGAGAGACCTGTACTTGGAGAAATTCTCGTGCGCCTATCGAATTTTACTTCTACCTTTTTAAAATCCATCACCCATTCACCACAACGCCGCCACCACAAAGCCTATCGTTCTTACACAATCAGAACAATAGTCATCTGCCCACTGTACAAAAGAGTATTTCTTTCGGAGACTACTCTATTGCACTTAAGGCTTGTGTCCGCGGCCTACTTCGAGCCATCCCCATGGACTTTTTGTCGCAGAACATCCCATCGACATTACACTACTTGCATAGCAGAACCAAGACCTGAGACAAGCTTTGCCTACCTACTCGCCGACAACCAGTCGCAACACTTACTTCGCCAGACCTGGCTTACAGAAGAATTTACACACGAACAACAACGAAAGATGCGCGATCTCCGGAAGAAGATTCTCCTCGAGAGCGGCAAGACCGTCTCCAAAAAGGCGCGCACGAGACCCGAGTCCGCGCTCGCTACGCCGGGCGGATCGCCAGCTGCCTCTCGCGTTGGCTCTCGAGTCAACAGTCGATATGCCTCCGACGAAGAAGACCCCAGTGACGACGACTACGACGACAGTCTGGCCAGCTCCATGATCAACTCCGAAGAGGGCGACGAAGCTGCAACGCCTTTGGCGAGCTGGACAGACCGGCTACGCGACCGCATTACCGAGCTGTTGGACCGTAAGCGCAGTAGTGCGAAGGGGCGAGAGAACAGCTTGGACGCATATACGCATTTGATCCGACACCATTGCGCGACCGAGGAGATCGAGAACCATTTCAATGAACTTGTTCCAGCGCTGCTGAGGAGTATACGTGGTGGAAGCAACAGCGACGAGACCCTAGCAGCGATAAAGGCCTTGACGGTGACCATTCTTTCCACCGAGTCCGAGACAGTCTACGATCATGTCTATTCGAGTTTGAAGGGCGTCTGTCAGGACTCGGACGAAGCGTCCGTCAAGGTGGAGGCCATCGAAGCCATGGGCGTAGCGACAATGTGCGGCGGTGGATCTGTCACGGCCGCAGAGGAGCTGATGGAATTCTTGGTCGAGATCATCGAGAGTGACGGGCACAGCATCGAAGCTGGGGACAACGGACCTACCGTGGCTGCAGCATTGAGCACTTGGGGATTTGTCGCGAGCAATCTTGACGATTTGCAAGATCAAAGCGAAGAGGCACTGCAGGCATTTACCGATCAACTCGATAGCAGCGATGTTGAAGTCCAGATTGCTGCCGGTGCCAACATTGCTTTGATCTTCGAAGCAGCGCGCGAGTACGAAGAGGAGACTGAAGAAACGTGGAACCTCCAATACGACCAGCACAAACTCTTGCAACGAATGACTGCGCTTACCAGGGAATCCTCCAAGTCGATATCGAAGCAGGACCGGAAGCTTCTCCACGCGAGTTTCAACAGTGTCCTGACCTCTCTAGAGCAAGGCAAGGGGCCCGGGTACTCGACGGCACGACGGATGGCCAGCAATCCCCACGCGGGTGGCAGCAAGGCGGACTTCAATGACGAGTACAAAGAGTACGGTTACCGACAGAAGATCCGGATTCACAACATCAGCATGATCATCGATACGTGGTCACTGTCTGCGCGGGTGGAAATGCTCAAGTCTATCCTGGGAGGTGGTCTGGGAATCCATTACATGGGCAACCCTGTGGTCAAGGACTTGCTGAGCAGTGCACAGGTCGAGTAGTGAGTACACCCCGATTTCTCGTTCTACCCGAGCGTACCAAGCTGTTCCCTGTCTTGATCCCCTCGTGTTGGGAACCTCCTTCAATTGGAACTTGGCCCCGGCAACATTCGATACTAAGCCAGTTTGTTCGAAGGGATAAATACTGACCGCATAACTGTAGTGTATCCGCCCCTAAAAAGGACGTGCGAGACGACGACCTTCCGAAGAAGAATCGTGGAGGAAAGGCGGCTAGAGGAGCTGGTTTCTGACAGCCGAATCCGACACATCACTTCATTCTTGTACATACCTACCTTCTATACGGGTCATGAGGAGTCATATTTGGGCCTTGCGTGGTCAGCGGCTAGGATTGCCTTCCTCGTTTCAGCATGACTTTGCTATGGGATACCCGTTTTCTTTGATTCCGAAGGGCGTCGGCATTGCTGCATTACTCTCCTCACACAGGAGGAACACGTAGTTATATCATATGACCTGCAGTACACGCCTATTGCTCTCTTCCTTATAATCAATGATGCCTTTCTCTCTACCATATGTGTTCACAAGAGCCCACGATTGACAATTGCTGCCTGATCTAAGACGAGTCAGGGAGTGATCGAAGCCACCTTTGGTCGCTCTGGGTCTCGTTTTTCTCTTAGGTAGGAGCCAATGCTAATGTCTTGGCTCCTACTTGTAACTACCTCCTTGGGGGACTTGACGCGTTCTACTAGCTTCGGTTCCGCGAAGTCACGTGTGAACCAGCATTAGACATTTTATAGCTGCACCTACGGGAGCGGAACATACAGTTTACACACAGTGCCAATACAGTGGGCGTAATATAGCAGTCTGCATCGGTTTAAGGTCAAGTGGTGGATTAAATAACTCTTACGACATCTTAATACAAACTTGGCAGGTCTCTATCAGTCCGACACTCCTGATGCAGTGTCGCTGGCAGACTGTCTACAGTTTGGAGATCATAAATCTACCATGCGTTTCCGGCACATCTACACGTACACTTCACACGCTACAACCCCCTTTAGGCTACACGACAGCTGAGCCAGATCTGAGAGGCTAACGCCTTCTTCCCCCAATATAAGCACGTCTCACAATTAGGTAGGTAGCTCTTCTATCCACACAGCCCCTCTGTCCATTCAGCCGTAGCCTTTACACATATGAGATATTACGCCCCCAACCGACAAGGCAGGGGCGAGTGAAAGTCCGCAGCTTCAGCTCGAGATTTCGTGAAACCAAACCTCATGGCATATACCCATTCGATTGGTGGCTGCAGATCATTGGTTCATTGCAGTGGCTTACCGTATAGGCTTACAAATGAAAGTGCAGAACGGAAGATGACATGGTGGGCGGCGGCAGGCACGGCACCCTTTCTTCAGGAGGCCTGCCCCCCAATTCTCCGAAGGCTGAGCAAGTCGTCCTCGCCCATCATGTTCTTTCTCTTTTTGGAGCAAAATCAACAGCTCAAATGGAAACGCGACGAATAACCTGTCCAAATTCATGTAAAATGACAAGCGACTATTAGGCCCAGACCAGAGCAGAGCAGCAGGATTGTCATACGAAGTAGTCCTGAGACTACCCCTTGTCGCTACTACTCGCCGGGATCCAGACCATCTCGAGCCATCAAGATCAGGTCCTGGAGTGCGAGTACGATCCTTGCAACCCAGAGCATCCACGCGGTCTCGCTAACGTCTCCCAGGATAATCTTGACTCGTTTCTTCGCCTCACGCGAGCTGGTCTTATATCCCTACGTCGATATTATCTGGTCTAGCAGTATCTGATAAACTGGGACCCCGAAGCCCGTCAGCTCCTCCAATAGCATGACGACGACAGCACGTGCGAATCTCGGTCCCCTGACCGCGCCGTTCACGTATCCCGCGAGTTGCACGGTAGCGGTCCAGGCCTGTTCGACCTGCGGCACGTTCTGGCAGGCGCAGACCTGCAGCGACAATGCGGCCAACACGCAGGGTGTCCAGGACAACGCCGCGTGCTGGCCTCCGCGCGACAACGCGGCTATAGCGACTGAGGTGGCGTTCGGTGGATGGGGGTTCTACTCCCCTGGGCTGTCTTGTCCCGTGGGGTTTGCTACGGCTGTATGTAACCTACCACTGGAGTCATCTTCCTTCCTTCCCCTTTTAGGTACTGAAGAGCTCCTAAGATGTTGCGCGAGCATGCTATTGGGGGTTTGTAACCCATCGAATAAGAGGAGTTGCTGACTCCAGTCGTCACAGTGTAGTGCAACCGCCAACGTGGCCGGCGGGACTTCGTTCCAGTTCCCACTCGAGGCGGGCGAGACAGGAGTGGGATGTTGTCCAACGTAAGTCGACTTCATGTCCCTAACTTAACTGCGGAAGGATATTCCTGGTGAGGCTTTTAACTGACAGGGCCATCCGTCCAGCGGGTATTCTTGCAGTTATAAAGAGGCAGAAGGCCGCGGTCAAACATGCTATAGCGTCGCCGCGGGGAGCTCCTTTGCGGCTGCCAGCTGCTCTTCGGGGAAGACCATCGACTCCCGTTACTACGACTTGCCGGCTACGGTCACGTTCACTGATACCGCGGGCGACTCGTCAGTGACGGCGATCAGCACCGTGATTGTCTTCGCACCGCTCTTCCAGCTGGTACACCAGGGCGCGGCGGACATGACACAAACATCATCGCAGAGCAGCTCAGCAACGCAAAGTGCGGTTTTAACCTTTTCCAGTTCGACAGGTGGTAGCTCTGCGAGCAGCTCTACCAGCTCGACTGCATCATCACAGCCATCCTCGAGTTCCGCTTCGATCGCGACGACGGGTCTCTCGACCGGAGCGAAGGCCGGGATCGGGATCGGTGTCGGTATCGGAGCCCTGATCCTCCTAGCAGCGGCCGCAGCCCTGATCGTTCGACGGCGAAAGCGAAAAGGGGCGGCGCACGAGAGTGAAATCATGACGTCCGAACCGAAGCATCCGCACCCGTTGTATCCGCAGCTGGTCCCGCAGCACGTGCACCAGACACCGGCGGTGGAGCTGGAGACGCCGGCTACGGCGACGGAGATCGGGTCTTCTTATCATCAGGTTCCCGAGCTCCCGTCATGAACCTGGCTGGAAGGGATATTTATTGCTGTGGGGGTCTGTACTATAACAATCATGGAGTTGATACTGCATTTACACTTACTTGCCAATACCTGGATCCAAGCGACGAAGACGGAAAGGGACCATTTGCAGATCTCAAGAACATCATGTATCAAGTACGGGAGGTAGTTGGCGGGGGTGGTAGATCTAGTTGTGTATGTAATCTTGTTAATTTACTAATCATGGAAATATGAATGAGCCTTGAGGTTCCGAGCTGAGATCTTCTTGAGAGGTGGGATAAAGTTGACACACTGTGCTATCTGACGTGACATGTACACAAGGCTACTGCCGTTCTCATTCGAAGTGTCGGTGCCCCGCTTCAGATCGCTACTACCTCCCACCAGAATCAGAGCTGCCGCCAGACAACCTGAATGTACATTTCCGACGACCACGTTCCCAACCACCGTCGTGTATGTCCATGCGTACATTCTTAAATAGCGTATGAATCGGGGCTATTTTAGAATGTACGCATGGACATACACGACGGTGGAAGGATTTATATAATAATAGATAACTTAGCGAATATAAGCCGTAAAAATGAAAATAAAATTAATTCAAAAGCGCAATTTTTAGATGATTAGATATTAAAATTTATCATTAATAAAATACTTATCATTACCTTTATAAGCATATGAATCTTAATAACGCGACGATATATACTTGTATATTTTAATAAACCTTTTTAATATGTTCTTTATTAGAATCTACGTATCTTATATATATAACGTTTATTCATATCTATTAAACTGGCTGTTTTATGGCTTGTTTTACCAAAAAGGCCGTTTTAAAAAAAGTTTAGGAGGTGCCAGCGATTTGAAGTGGACCTGCTCCACTTGCGACACTTCGATTGAGAACGGCAGTACATGCAGAGAGCGCCCGAGACACGCAGGTATCAGTGCAACAAGGTAATCAGTCGATCTTTTCCCGTCCCCAGGGCAGAGCCCCGGCCTGACTCAGAAGCATCGGGGTAGATCAGAAAGTTGATATGACAGGACTCTGCTGTTTCATGACTTTTTATGAATCGAGGGGTGTGAAGACTCGGGTAGAATTATGCAGCTGGGGCATTTCGAGAGCGACAGCAAGCGGTGTTCCTCTTTGGAAGTGAGCAGTGTATATAATAGCACTTTTCTTGGTCTTCATCTCATGAACCGGAGTGGGTCGGAAGTGATACGAAGATACGAAGTAGATTTTGACTCCTGTCAAGAGCAAGTTCGAATACATTGACGTACATACTATGCATGCAGGCGGTGGTAGTGGTATGCGGCGGCGAGCTGCGACGGCTGCAGGTTCGAGCAGAGCTCGTCGAGAGCTTTTGTATGCTGCCGCTACAGACGGGTAGGTACGTAGGACACATGCGGGGGGGTTAACGGAGTGAGGATTCGCCCAGTCGATCATGAGAAGGCTGATGAGTAATTGAGTACTGAGTTGTTAATATATGGGCTGATTTCTCTTGACCATAGGTGGGCAGCCTTGACTGCCAGGCACCCGGAGTTGGCATCCGGGCGTGTAGCCAGACTAGCAAGACATGGAGTCGAGCCACGAGATACTGGCATAAGCGCGATGCCGGTCCCGGGATATCATTACCTGTCGGCCAGAAGACACTGGCATCGCATGAGAAGTACGATGCCGGTCGTGGGATGTCATTACCTATCGGCCAGAACTAACCGGCCGCCCCTCGGCCGCTTGTAGAGTGCGGTTGGAAATGCGCTATTGGCTGTCCGAGGTCGAGCTTGGATTTGTGCAGCTGGACCGGCTCGTGGCCCAACGGTGCGATCCGAGAGGTCGCCTGGCAGCCTGGCTGTGTTCATGCTACGCCGCCCGGGTGTTGGGGGCTGTGTGTGGAAGAACCGCAGCGCAATGCATCTGCGGCGAGTTCGACTTCGTTACTGGATCGGTAGGACGCAGTCATTTTGCCACCGGCTTGTGGACAGTGAGGGTGCAGTGCAGTGCAAGTAACGCAGTGCAGTGCAAGTAACGCAGTGCAGTGGCAGAGGCAATGGCAATGGCACCCTCATTGTCGAGTCGAGACGCTCCCGAGTTGGGGGCTATTTGTTTGATGTCTGTCTATGGCATCAAGGGATACTGATCAAGCTATCCGCTCGCACAGACGCGACTTTCTTGACAGATCTGGCGCTCGGGCACGGTTGCAGCAGGCAAGTAGGTGCTTGACGCAGATCCGGGTGAAGCCAGGGCTCTGATTAGTGCTGTTTCCCGCGACTGAAACGGTGCCAATGCGACGTTGATGGTATCTCTCGGCTTTTGGAGCCTATCTGTTGGCTGAGCTCAAAGCCCACCGTGGGACTGGGAAGAGGGCTTCCTTGAATATGGCGGTGAGAGCGGCCTTCGTCTCGATGACATAATAATCCTTCAGTCAGGTTCAAGCTGAACTGTGTAAGTGGTGAATGCGACGATGGACTTATTAGCACTGGCTTGAGAGATCATAGGGCTTCCCGTAGCGTTGGTTCACTCTTCATGGTGGCAGATGGTGGTGATGCACGCCCGGCCTTGGGACGGCGCATCGATCAGTGGTGGAGATGAGGGGCCAAGAGAACCAGCCTACGAGGAGCCAGGAGCTCCCGCCCCCGTCCTTTTCTCGTCACCCTGCCAAAGACGGTGGAGCCACTCCGGGGACCAGTGGACGTCGTCTCTTTTTCTGGGTCATGTCAACAAGAGAAGAAGAAAGTTTAGAGCTGCAAGCCCGACAGCTGGGCGCAAACGGCTTCCCGCAACTTTAATCTTACGTGGTATTACCGGCAGGTGAGGAGGTTGGCTAGACACCCGAAGTCATAGATATTACATATGTTTGCAGGTGCAGGATAGAACCTCGGGTGATAGGTACTGAATAGTAGGAGAATAATCCCTGGAATATCCCACGGGCTTCTTCGGTCCAAGCTGTCAACCACCTCCTTGTCGCTGCAGCTGTGCAGTCGGACTCCTCCTGTCAAGAAACCCTTCCAGCCCCTCCATTGGTCAGGTTCTTCACGCAGAGCCAACGCATCGCCGAACACCCCCACCCCAGCCACTTTCTTATGTCTTTGCGACAGAAGCAGAGTCAGTAACTCCAGCTGCTCACATTAATTTGGAACAAAGATCGCATTCGGGCTGCAAGACCAGCAGCATCCGAGTTCTGCACGTGCATACAATTCAGCTGTCAGGCTACAGTTCGGGTTGTTATCGCAGACGACGCAGACCAAGAAGGGCAGAAGGGGCAGCCCCTGCAGACATTGAAGACACCCGCGGTAGCAAACGCCGGCCGTTCGCCGCCTGTTTTTAGCTGCCTTGCCAGACTCGACCTATCCTCGCCACCATCCCCAGAGGACCAGAACCCTGGGCTAACCAAAACATCCCGTCCTCATTGACTCTTGCAGTGCAGTGCAGTGCAGCGCACCTCTGCGCCTGGTTGGTCGCTTATTATTAATACCAGTACGTATATGCACCTACTCTTTATCTCTCGCAATACACTGTTTCCTCTTCCTGTCGTCGACAGTGCGTGAGCGTGAATGAATGGGTTGTCGTGGTCCTTCATTGTGCTGCTGCCAGACTCGGCGCATTTGAGGGGGCTGGCTTAGGGCTCACCCGAGCAGACAGCAGACGAAGCTGAAAGTCCAAGTTCCCTCTCAGGCCGCCAGGCCCAACTGTTGCCAGCAAACAATTAGCAAACACCATTCTGGCTCCTCAACATTACTTTCCCATTCTCTGCGCACCATTGATATCGCGTTCGCTGTCATCCGGCAACCCAATTGTTCCCGTCGCATTCAGACGCGCCCATATCAATATCCATCTGGAGCTGCTTTACTGACTTCCCGCAAGCTCCAGCTTTTCACCTGTTCACCACCAAGCAGATACACCAACAGATAGATGCCTTGATGAAGATCTACGAAACGCGCCCGACCTCCCAGAACACGTCATCTCCTTCGCATTCCGCCATCATCTTTCCCGGCATCTCTGCCCACCCACGCCATCTGTAGCTTGGTCGCTACACCCAAGCGAGTGGAGGGACGGGCTTTGGCGGAACCGGCAAAGACAAACAGAGGTCAGGCTACACAGTAGGAGAAGTTGGCAACCCATTGCGCAACAATGGGTGTCGACTCGAGGAAGCCTCCACCACTACCTGCACCGACCGAGACCGAATCCCTTTCTACACCCACCGAGTTGGCCCCGTCCGGTGTGTCCAAACCCGGCGACGAGAATTCACACTACTCGCTGCCCGACGATGGCACCCCGGTCACCATTAGAACTCGTGGCCACAGACAGAACAAATCGCAGACGTCACTACTGATCGAGTACTTCGAGGGTGGGAAACCTCGCAGCGGGTCGCCCGGCGCATCAGGTGCTACCGAGCGCAAGCCGAGTGTTCGCGTACGCCTGACGCCGTCCAAGGGTCGCGGGAAGAACGACCACATCCAGATCACTGAGACCAAGAGCAGAAAGGCATCTTTGACCCGTAGAGCGACTGCGAGTCCGAACATCAGCCGAAGCGAACTAGACATGATCGACCCCGAAGACGCCAGAAGCATGAACTCTTACGCTTCCGCCACCGAGGAGTCCAATGTCTCTCGCAACCCTATCGAGGTTGAGATCGACTCGAGTCATCCTCGCCGCCGGCGGAAGGCGACGAGTCCTCTTATCCCCGCTGTCGATAGCAAAACATCCACCTACCAGCCACCGAACATGTCGGACATCTCAGCGATACCGACTGATAGTTTTCTGGATGGATCTGGTGGGACCACGACTGCACGAGAAGAGAAGCGCGCCAGGAGCCCGCTTCGAGGTGACGGTCTGGCCGCCGGTGCTCTAGGAGCTGTTGCTGCCGCCGCCGCTGCAGATAAGTTGAATCGCAAGAACCGCAGCGAAAGCCACGAGCGAAGCGTTATACAGAAGGCTGTTGAGAAGGCCAGCAAACCCGAGCGGAAACACAGGTCGAAAAGCAGGACGAGCAGTGTCAGTGAAAAGGATGGGGATAGCCGAAGAAGGTCCAAGGGAAGTCACAAGGAATCTCTGGTCTCAGCCGTCGATTCAAGCCTACTCTCGTCACAACTGACCGGAAGCCACCGGTCTTATGATTCGCATTCCTCCTCAAAGATCTCCATCAACAACCCGAAATTGCTTGAGACTGTCGAAGACGCCATTCGTAGACTGATTCTCCCAGAACTTGATGCTCTCAAGCGAGAAAACAGCCAGCGAGAGACCAAAAGAACCAAGCATCGAGACTCATTATCAAGCCTGACATCAGGATCCAGAGAGGAGACATCGGTCACAAGCAAGCGGAAGTCTGCCGATACAACTCACTCTACCAAGTCAAAAGACCGACGGGATAGAGAGGCTAGGAACGATCTATCACCCCATAGTAGTATCGATCACATATCCATTGCGGAAGACGTTCACGATGACGAGACCACGCCGCGTCGAACTCGTGACCGGCTCACGGACGCTGCCCTGGGTGCCGCAGTGGTGGGCGCTGCACTACGATCAAGATCTAGGGGCGATGAAAAGCGGCAGCGAAGACGGCGGCGGACAGAGACACCGAAGCGTGACCACACCGACCGATATAACGACGAGTATGAAGAGTCCGAGCATGAGGTCGCACCACCGATGCCCCTATCGAGCGAGATCAACCCGTCAGAAATGACAAGAACGTCGATTCTTTCCGCTGAGACGGATAGACCCCACTCGGCAAGCGAGGAGATGACACCGATCCCGATCAGGGAGGTGACGAGAGGCGTTGCCTCAATGGAGTCGATGAGCAGTTCTCCGACACCAACAAAGTCGCCTGGCCGCACCCTGCAAAGCCTGGGGACACAGCACGCCAACATATCTCATGGCGACCTCAGGGCTCTTCCGCGGCAATCAACCTCGGACTTCCGTGAGGATCGCGAGACTGAGGAGTTTGGTCACGTGTACCCAGCTCAAAACCGAGAGGAATACGATGACGACTACGAGGAGGCAGGCCACTTGTCGGAGCCTGGTATGTACGACGAGGATACGGGGATGGGTCATGCATTTTATGGCACCCAGGACGTTCCAGCTCCGCTGCGTTACGTCCCCTACCAGCAAGAGAGACGCGGCCTCAGCCCAATCCAGAGTGTGTCCGGTTACACCGAGGGCGAGAGCGAAGTCCAGGGTCATAGAGACTCGAGAACCACGCACACCGCCAGTGAACGCTCTTCGCCGGAGAAATTATCAAGACATGAGCGAGATCTGGAGTCGCCTGGCTCTGTTCCAAGCAACATGCGAAGCCGCGAATTCGGTGACGAAGGCAGTAGCGTGAGGAGCTCGGGTCTGGGCTACAGGAATACCACGTATATCGACGATAGCGAACTGGATGGAGTAACATCCGGGCAAGCAGTGCAGGTTGTCGGGGGCAACCCTCGAATGGTCCACCAGAATTTCGGGCCGGAGTCTGCCGTCGCATCTCTGGTCGACGGCTCTGTTCTCGATCCGTCCGTACTAAGTGGATCTGCGGGACCCTCTAGACAGGATTATCGCAGTTCGCAACTCTCCTATGAGGAGGCCGCCAGCGAATCCAGCTCGAGAGATTCGAGCCCCGCTAAGCGGTCGGTGGATAGCCGCCAGCAAGTTCTTGCGGAACAGGGCCATTCCCCAGCGCCGTCCCGGGAAAGAGACGGTTCGCCAGCCTCTCGCGAATTCGCAGAGTACGAACTCAACGAACACGGACAGAAGGTTCCCCGATCGGCTTATCGCCAATCTCCGACCACATCTGAGACCGCCATCACGGCTGCCGCACTCAGCCGGGCAGCGGCTGCTGCGCTTAAACGGCAACACAGAGGTCACGAGTCACCCAGCGATGAGATGTACGGAAGTCAGTTCTCTGGAGCTGGTGTATCCCGAAATCGGTCCTTCAAGGAACGAGCCGCAAAGGATGGCTACCAGCCAAATGCCACACCACGACACAGTGTTGATCGTCTGTCCGACTACAGTCAGCCCAGGCTGGGAGCTAGTGGCTTACCAGATGTTGACAATCCAATGCCGGAAATAGGCTACGGCTACGGTGACGACCATCGATCCCAACAAAACACACCATCTATCGTGCGCGAGCCCCTCGGCGGCTCGCATCACGAAAGCCGAGAACACTGGCCTTCAGAGCCTACACCTACGCAAGAGGCGCATGACTATGATCGCGCTGTCACTCCCAAGGCAAGCAGTGCCCGTGGCAATGGGGATGGCCTTGGTATCGCCGATGCGGCAGCGGTTGCGACTATTGCGACTATTGCGACTGCTGGGGCCTTGGCAGCTTCGCACAGTCGACAACCAAGTCAAGAGCAAGATGATGAATGGCAGCGAACATCAGGTGAACGCAAGAGAGATACCTGGGTCACAAATCCCTACGAAGGAACCAGCCCGATCGCCAATCTCCCCGGGCTGGAGGGCAATATATTGGGCGGTACAGGCTTCGGATCTGACCAGTACCGCAATGGTTTCCACAATGGCAGCCCAGGCTTACCAGGTGGGGACGAAGGTTACATCTCCGCGGCCCCGAACGAGGCTCGAGACGGAATCAACGGGAAGGGTAAAAACATCGAAGTCTTGAACCAACCCCGCCTTGGGGACGTGGAAGATCCCTTCTACGCACCCAAAGATTCCAGAGGCCTCAGTGGCATGTCCCAAGGGATGCAGACGCCGCTGTACGACCCTGCGTCCGGAACTGGTATTGACAGGATTCAGTCGAAAGATATTATTGCACTAATGGAGCATGTGAGTGAAGTCTAATCCATAGAGATTTGGGCTTGTCGCTAACTATACCACAGCTTATGGTCCGTGACGCTCAACGGAGTGCTAGAGACACCGAGATTCTGGTGACGCTTGTTCGATCAGCTGCCGAGATGCGCAACTCCTTCGAGGATATCAAGAAGATGCTAGCAGACTCTGAAGATCAGATCATTGGCGAAGTCAAGGACAACACGGAGAAGACTGTCAAACGCCACCTCGGGGGTCCCAGGCCATTCCCTGGCAGCAGTGGGCGATCTGTCCAGGGCGGTTCGCTTGCTGGTACCGACGATCTACCTACAAAGAAGCGAAACCTACTTCGCCGAGCTCTCCAAGGATTGGGCGCAAAGGGTGCCAACGACCTGGGCAGGATAGAGGATATGTTGTTCCAGCTCCTCACTGACGTCGACGTTCTGAAGCACCAGACTGCTGGTCCGGGTGGCGTGAGCACGCAAGCTCAGTCTCTTGAGAATCTGCAGCCGTCAATCCAGTACGAACAAGACCGAGGCTATGAGCCGGAAGGAAATGCTGGAACCTCTACTGCTAGCCATGCCAGTCAATCTGGTCATCTCTCTTTACCCCAGTCCCGTGGGAACTCCACGCGACTAGGAAATGATCGAAAGTTTTCTGATCACCGCATCAGTACCGTTCCCGAGGACTCGGATGAGTACGACGACCATGCTGTACCGGCAATCAAGCGATACCCTGCTGAAGAAACGCTACTGTCTCCTGCCAGCGACAGGCAACGAGGTGGCTCCGTCCCTCTAGGCACACCCCCTCACCAAACTCCACAAGCTCAGCATTACTCTGTCAGCAACGATAATACTCCTCGGACCGAAGAGGGCAAGAAGCACAAATCAAGGGGATCAACAAGCTTCTTCCCCAAGATATCGCGTTGGTCGGAGACTACAGCGTCGAGCATTGGCAAAGCCTTCCGCGGCAGTGGGGGTTCTCGAAAACAGGACCCTCCTGAGGAATACCTGCAGCATCCTCCTTCTCGCTCTGGGTCCGACCTCGGTGATTATGATCATCTCCATAACCAGGATACATACGGAGATGACGAACTACACGCGGGGTTCTCCCAGGACCTCCTGCCACCAGGTATGGATGGCGGTGCGCATGGCCCTTCGATGGCAAATGAGCAGCTGTCTGTGCCAGGAACATATGCCACTCCGGAAGACCCCAAGTACAGGGCTCACCGGAACTCGTTGAACTTGCAGCACCCTCAGCCTCGTCCAGGGCAGACTGAGCGGTTTCGAACCGCACTAGAGACCTCCGCGGCTGACTATGACTCACCAATGTCTCCTAGATCAGCTGATTGGGCCGGCTCCGCTACATCGCTTCATCGTTTCCCGGCGCAAAACACTCAGCGGTACAGCGACAACAGTGCTCTGAACTCGGGCGCAGCAGGCGACGAGTACAACTGGTCCAATGGACAGTCACCTGGCCAGCAGGGACCACCACGCCCTCCCAAAGAGCCGCTGGATGGCCGATCACCGGCGCAGGCATCGACCCCGCCGCAGAACGCCCGGGTGAACAAGCTGCAGAAGAAGCAACAAAGCCCACTGCCTTATCACAGTGTCGAGAGTGGCTACGGAACCGCTTCGGCTACCCACGCTGGGAGCTACAACTCAGGTAGCCCGCGACTGGAGAACAGAAACCTCAGCGGAGCTCTTGGTGTGCCAACGCGGAGACCCAGTGGGCCCAGAGCCATGACACCCACGCGAAGTGACGATGGCGAGAAGGATGAGAGACGACGCAAGCGTGGTTAGTGCTCCCGTTGACAATGCCCAAAGACGACCCAAATCTGACTCCTGACAGACACGTTCGGAACAGCAGCCAGCCCCTCCAGCGCTGCTAGCCAAGAGTCCGAAACGTTTTAGGAGAAGCGTGCTCGGTACCTCGACGTTATATCGCCCACATCGCCCTTTCATGTCGATTTCGGCAAAAAATGAACAACATTGGCCGCTGCTCGTTATACCGATACCATTTGCATCTGAATTTTCAATTGCCATTCCCGAATCCCCCTCTTCCCCATTTATTTATAGAAATGGATACGCAAGAACGGAAATATTGCGAACTGCATAGCATACATGTAACGCCCCTGGCGTGGGGGGGGGGGGGGGGGGGGGGCGGCGGTACACTCAGGTACTAGACACGAAGGAGAAGACCCATCTCGTCATGGTTACTACCTTTTCTACCCGCCACCCTACCTGCCTAGGTACATCTTAACACCTTCACGAAGATACGACTTGTTGATTGAGTTGAACCGGAAGGCTGGACGATGCAGGCTTTTTAAGTGCCGTCCAAAAAATGTCGTGGAATTGCATCAAGAGGATGTGTCTGTATGTTCTGCCCCATATGGTGGCCATGTCGCTTGATCCGTGCGTTGTATAGTTTTAATACCACTGCGCTTTCCCACGCACCTGCCCTTGGCCATGGATCCTTCTTCCGCTCAATATGTTGTAACATATGTGCTGTCCTTGCGTCTTCTTAAAGGAACCTTCGTTGTCCAAGACCTAGCTGCTTAGAAGTTTTACTCCGGTAGAGATTGCAATGCATAGTCCCAAGTGCCGGTCGTCCACGCAACTCGCGTAGTTATCGGGATACGTCAAATGGATACAGGTGGCGAGCCTACTGTACACTACTCTAGGTACCTGATGAGACCCCAGTGAGCATAAGCACAGTACATATCTACATAGTTAGTGCTGCGCAGCCTCGCCCAGTCGGTAGCGTGGCCATCATGCCCATGTTCGTGGTTGCTGATTGCTTGGCCGGGGGCGAATATACTGTAGTACTGCACCATCGCATGGCATCTACACTAGCCCCGAATACTATGTCTTACAAGCCTCGCTGCCTGGCCCCCGCAACGTCCCAAGGTGTCGACCGTTGTCATCCATCGCGTGGTCCGCTTTCAAGTGTAATTCTTGACAAAATCCAGCACAGCCGGGCTCTCAGACCACAGATACCAAGTATGCCGAAACGCCCCAATGACCTCCTCAGGCGACCCAGGGCTATACATAGTCGGCGACCTCCCAGCATAGCGTTCCGGCTGCTTTAGCGCGGGCCAATAATGCTTATTCACCTTCCTCATCCGCTCATACAGCCCGCGGACCTGGTTTTGGAGGTCAGCCACCAGATCGGCATAGTCTGACCTATCGAGTATGTCTTTTCGTGAATACAAGACATCGCTCATGGCGTCCTCGCGCACCCACTCCATCTTTTTCTCGTAGCCTGGGTTATTGGGACCAGAGTACTTCCGCACGTTGCGATCCAGCATCTGCACGTCGCGCAGCAGCCGGACCTTCAGATGCGTCATGGCCGCTAGTAGGCTCAGGTCGACGCAGCGCGCCGCGCAGCCGCCAAAGTCCTCGAGCGCGTTTTCGTCGTGCAGGTCCAGGAACGGCTCCTCCAAATCGCCCCTGGCGTAGTCGCCCGCCGCGCCCGTCGTGCAGTACTGGTAGTAAGCAGATTAGAGCCAGTAAGTACTCCTTTTCGACGAGAAACAAAAGAGTCGAAATGCGGCGTGTCTCGGGAGTAGGGGCTTCTTGACACCGACTATAAAAGGAAATTTTCGCCCCTGAGACACGCACCAGAAGGGGCAATAAGAGACTCGAAAATCTACCGGTACATACCCACTTCATGAAGTCAAACGCCTCCTGGTCGCGCCCGAGCCGCAGGTACAGCGCCGGCACGTGCCCGCGCACGCCGACTCACCTGCGCTGGGAAGCAACTTGGTTTCATGGAGTTGTATAAGGTCTTTTTCGAGGTAGATGAATTGGTGGTCATCTCTGTGTGAGGATCCTTGCTAATCTATTCGCCAGTTTCTACGAGCGTTCGACTTTGAGCTGGTACGTATCGATGAGATGTTTACCCCTTAAACGTCCCAGGTCAGGGCAAAGCATGATCTCCGTAATATACATACAGCAGCTGCTCAACCTTCATGGGCCTGGATTCATTAGATGTCCACCATAACCATATTCGCGTTCTTACTGACAATGAATTCGCCAGGTCAACCCTATGAAGCCGTGGGACTCCGCCAGCTTCAATGTCTTCGTCGATAGGAATATATGGGTGAGAGTCACAATCGCTAGCTTCGATGACAAAGTTAGTTCTGGATATGAGGGAGATGATGCGCCAGGTCACACAGATCTGAGAAGTCGAACAAAGACAGGGCGGTAGTACAACGCATAACCAGCTCATTTACCCCGAAAGCAGGAATGTCTCTTTGTCCATCCATGAATTGAGAGCTGCCTAATGAAACGGACTAGAATTGCTTGAAGAATTGATGAGACGCTTAACTTCAGCAAATCCAGCTGCGTATCTCTGGACCATGTCAATTTGCTATCCTGTCCAGAGCCCAACTCCCGTCTACCCGCGAGCTGATCTCATGGTGCCCTCCAACATAGCTCTGTAGTACATTGCAGGGTGTATGGCATGATCAGAACATAATGGAAAGTAATGAGCACAGATCCGCGGTCTTACAGAAGCCTTCGGTGGCAAAATCGAAAAGAGCCAACATGCAAACAGAGCACTCAAACACTCCATAGGTATTCCGAAGAACACCTCAACACCTATATGGCCGATTCCGAGCTCACCAACGCAGCAATCGCCGCCTCACGGACCACCGGAATCGACGTAGAAACCCTGGGCCTGACCCTCAACACACTACACGATGCCCTACCCCAAGCCATCCAAGACAAGATCGCCCTGCACACAGGCAGCGCTTGCCTCCCGACCGACGCCACCACCAGCAGCCAGCCGCACTGGTTCTCCTAAAGCGACGACGACTTCGACCAGCTCATCGCGGGCATTGCCGACAGCCCCCTCCCTCAGCCGGTCTCGAGCAACAACAACGAATTCCCGATCTGGGTCGTCGACGCCGGCATACCGAGCCGGCAGCACTACGTAACCATCATCCTGCACTCTGCCACCTCCTCCGACCCAACAGCCAAGCCCAATATCCTCGGTGTCGTCGACGAAGCAGCCGTGATCGATCCCCTCCAGCACACCGGCGCTACCTATTACAAGAAAGACCGCGCTCAGTGGAGTCTGCGGCGGCTCCTGGGCGACACTGCCGCCTTTGCCGATGAAAATCAGAACCCCTGGCGCACAGTCTGGGTCCCGCCGCAGGAGCCAGAGGACCGTTTCAGCTCGGGCTTCCGGGCTTTCTCTATCGTGGCGCAGTTTTTTGACCGCGTTGGCGCTTACCATGCTTCTGGGAAGGAGTTTGGCAGGGTTGGCTTCTGGGCGCCTACAAGGCCGTGGTTTAATGTTTATCTTGTCCGCGGCGAGATGTTGGGTTTGGTGGCGGCGAAGGCTTTGGCGGAGACGGGGTGGAAGACACGGCTGGTGTTGTCTCTGGTTGCTCCTTCTGCTGGTGCCTCGGGGAGAGGGGCGCTCCCGACGTAGGCGAGGGTGAAGGAGGAGCAGAATAGGGTTTATGTGTGGCCGCGCTCTGGAGAGGAGGGTAGGTATCCTGGAGATGCCGCTGATGAGGATCAAGATCCGCTCTTTGGAGGCGAGCCGGACCTTATAGAAGTGGACATCAGTGACGATGCAGGGGATGAGAGAAAGTAGACGACACGACACCCATTACTCCTGTAGCTTTCCAGAGTCAAAGTGTAGCTACCCAGACGATACAGGATGCTGCAGCTCATGCTGGGACTCAGACGATCGCGGTTGTTGCAGCGGATGCTGGAGCTCAAACGATGAGGGTCCCCAAAGAGGACGTTGGGGCAGAAAACATCACCCGATGGCTTGAGGGCACTCACCACGCTCAGTTAGCTCCGAGAGCGAACAAGGCAACGAGAGCAGACCCAGCAAGTGGGACGAAGATCGGTATGACAGGACCAAGGATTACAGAGAGAAGATGCAAGAACATATCGGCTGGGCAATGGGATCTGTCGAGGAAGCCGAGCGCCGGGCCACAGAAGCTTTAGAAGTAGCCGACAGAATCCACGGAAAGATGCTGGACAGATCTTTTGAGTGGCCGGCGGACAGTCCTGAAGGGATAGAAACGGTGGAGGACCAGCTCGCAGATGCCCAAAAGTAAAATGTAAAGGACGCGGAATGGTTGTTGAAGGCCATCGTCACATCCTGGACAGACCCGACGGGAAGTATATACCGAAAACATGGATTGGACATAGCGCTGTTCAATGAGGTTTCCAAGGGGTTGGACTTGGACGCGGTGGTTGCGTAGGGACACGAACGCCTCGAAGGCGCAAAGGCCACTGTCCAGCGTGGCAGAAATATCCTGCAGGAAATACAGAAGATTGCGGCTGCAAGAGCAGAAGAATTATTGCAAACCGACCAGCAAGAGGCAGAAAAGGGCAAAGGGGAATCAAAGAAGCGCGCAGGCTCGGAGAATTCGAGGGCCAGCGAAAAGAAACGCAAGGCTCTGGAACATGAAAAGGGGCTGGTCTTGCCTAGCCAGGAGGAGGAACCGCCCCAAGACGAAGAGTTACACGAAGATGCCACACAGAAGCCGATTGCTACAGCAGATGCTGGGACTCAAACGATGAGAGTCCCTAGAGAGGATGTAGGTGAACAGACCATCGCCCGATGGCTCGAAAGCACCCAGCAGGGTTCGGTCAATGATTGGGAGGAAGACGGCACCCAGCCGGAGAAGGCACCCGAATTCCCCGACGACCTTGCCGACATGGACGAAGAGGGCATTGAAGGCTTTGCAGAGTTATTGGATAAAGGCGCCAAGGTACCGGCAGACTATTCGAGCAAGCTGTACGGGGTGAGTGGCTCGAGGTTGTTAAGCTGCTGCTAAAGCGACTCACCTACGACAAGAGCGTTCTTCTGGATTGCCTGGGCGAATCAATCCGCCATGAGTCCCCAAGGCTGTTCCAGGTACTGGTAGACCATGGCGCCGTACACAGCAAGAGGCTTGCTAGGTCGCTGAGACGAATGGCAAAGGAGGAGGAAGACGAATATATGGCACATATGCTTGAAAAATACCTGTAAGGATGTGGGGAGTGGCATAGGTGTACCTTCCAAGAAGTAAGTGTCTTCAGGATTAAGGACGAGGACTGTTCTTTCCAAATCACCGATTGCAATGCACCCTTTCTAGCCCTGAGTCTCAGGTATCCCTGACAACTTGGAAGCAGTGATATTTCATTTCAAGGAGCCTAGATTATAAGTTATATAGGCGACAGGTAATGCGTTGGGATGACCGAGGCCTTCTCCTAGTCCCCAGACTGCAACTTATCAACATACTGCTCGACAAAAGTGCCCATGACTGAGAACATCAACACGAAGTCGAAGATGTACAACAGGTACTCGCGGCTGACGATAGAGCCCGCGTTACCTTGGTCGTATTGAATACGTCGAGACAGCGTACGGGAGCCCCATCAAAAGGAAGCGCAGTAGACAGTAGGAATCAAACCTACTACCGTATTATGTCTTAGGTTGTAAGTCACCGCGGCAGCTAGGTCCAAAATCTGTCAGTGCTTGCTTTTGCCTATGAGCCCCGTTTGCTATCCCCATTTGTACCTCATATCTGGTACCTATATGTACGTACCCAAGGAAGTAGGTACCGAGACCAGTACCCGCCCTTGCCTTCGTGCAGCACACACCAGGGGGTCCGTCTAGGGTCGCTACTCCCTCCCTTGCAACCCGCAGCATTCCACACTATCCACTCGGTGGTCGCTCCTGTTTTCCCTACGCAAATATTTCCGACCTCCTCCCAAACCTAAGCCATTCACTCCCGTCACCTTCTTCAACTCACACCTGTCCGACTTGATAGAGATCCCTTCTGTACCAGTTCGTCCCAATGGAAGCAACTCGTCATGGAAAGCGACACCTTGCAGCTTGCCGACCTCGGCGCACTGTCGAAACTGCCCCATGAACTACTGGGCATTATCATCGCGTGTCTCGACGTCTAGAGCGCCACAAGATTCACGCAGGTTAATCGACAAGCCCAGCTTCTGGTCTGGTCCGACGACCACTATCGACTGATCAAGCACGCCACCCTGGATCATCTTCATTGGGGCGGCGCAGCACTAAGAGACGCAACTATTCGCGATGTCATTCCCTGCATGCATAACCGCACCTGCCACTTGTGTGGAGCTTCGGATGCGCTGTACTAGCTAGTGTTAGGCAAGCTGCAGCGTCGATGCTATGGCTGTTGGTACCACGAGCCCTCTTCACGAGTGATTCTTTCGACGCTGAGCCTGTGGCGGGCGAAGGAATTCGTTAAGAGCACGGTGCTCTCTCGCCACCCCTCGGGACAACTCTACCGTACGTGTACCACACATGATGCTGCTTCCAGCACGTTCTCGCTACACACTTCCGAGTTCCTTTCGAAAGGACAGATTCTCTGACGTCTTTACAGCTAAGCAGTTGGTCAGAAGCTGCTCGGGATAGCGGCTACTGACCTCCAACACGGATTGGACAGTCGCCATAGTAGACTCTGACTCGAAAGGGGAAGATCTATCATAGGGACATCATGGAAAACTATGGACAATATCTTGTTAGCGACGAGGATGGCCTATTTGTGATGGTACCCATGCCAGGAACGAGCACCCACACGCCTGCTTTGCTCGATAACATGAACGGGCTACGTGTCTTGGTAACACTTACAGCGCTTCTATGGCATGGCCCCAGGGCCTTGGACGAGAGTCGTGCTATAGTGTAAGCGACCGTCTAAGCACATGATTCAAGGTATCCAGTGAGCAAGTACTTGAGCGACATGTTCAACCAGTGATCTGCCACTCGTTTCGAAATGATTCTTTCCGATACAAAAAGTGAATCTTCTTGGCTACCAACTATCTCCCCCGGTCAGAAGCCAGGACAGAGATTTCAATGGGCTAGTGCACCTCACTCCCTACTTTAAGCCGGGATATGTCAAACAGCGTGAATAGTGTCAGATACGAGCGCACCATTTGGGCCATGCACTGACCGTGTCACGTGGATGACAGCGCACTAGACTGCGACCAGCCACCAGGGCAAAACTAGTACTGAAAACTCGTACACAAATAGACAGTGCTCATCACAACATCATAATACACTCATCAATTGACCCTCGTATTCAACAAATAGGGTTCATATGGTTGAAACGTATTCTGGTAATATCTTGTAAATTGTGATTCCATAAAGAATCTTTAGTAGAATGCTATAGCACACTAAAAGGTCCTAGATGTCTTATTAATACACTGCCACCTTTTTAATAGCTGTTCTAACTTACATGCTTTTTAATATACGTCTTTAAATAACCTCGGTATTTAATTTATCAAATAAAGACTTTATAAAGTAAAAATCTCGATCTTTGTAGCTTATAAAAGATATCAATTATAATCCCTTCTTTTAACTAGCTTTCAAGTTAGTTTTTAAGCCTTTTGTTAACCTTTATAACTTTAAATTAAACATAATACTTATTATTTATGAATAATAATAATATTGTAATATTTCCTTTTGAATTGTATTTTAATAAGCCCGTTTATAGCTATTCTGCTTATTTTTATTTAAGTTATTATAATAATTCTTTGCACATCTTTTATTTTAATTAATAAACGTAAATCTTAAAATAATAAACTTTCGTTTAAAACGTAGTTACCTTCTAATGAAATCATCAAATTATTTACTTATTATTGTATTCAAAAGTTAAAACCTTTAAAAACATTAAAATGCGCTTTAGAAGCGCTTTAAAAACAAGTTTTTTTTATAAGCTATATAACAACTAGTAACTTAACTTTTAAATTTAAAATAATAGCTATATATTGTTTATTTACTTTTTAAACTCTTAGATTATCTTCCAAAAAATTATTAACATATAACAAGTATTAAGAGCTTATTATTTTAGCGGATCGTATCGTAAAGCTTGTATAAATAATATAAAACTTAGTCAACAACGGGTATATATTTGTTTAAAAGGTTCTAATTAAATTAAAAACCTGAATCACGATATTTTATTGTCACGGCAAGCATACTGGGAGCTGGGAAATGGCCTGCAGCAAGCAGCTATTACTCTATTGACGAAAATATCAAGACTAGAGAGGAAAGGAAGAGAGAGAGATAGGTACAGCGCGAGGTTGCCCCTTTAAGGGGATCCTTTGTTCAGATCCTTCTCTTATTGGGAAGTATCGGCTTGTCATATAGGAAGGTCTGTGCAGGCCGTCACATTTATTAAAAGAATTTATGACAAGAAATTCCATTTAATCTGAAATTAATACTTTTAAGCCTTGTTTCTTAATTAACAAAAAAATAAAAATTTCAATATTATTAATATACTTAAAGGATTTATTTAAATTATTATTTTAAAATTATTAGATAACCGGTTAACTACGATATTAATAATATATATATATATTTGTCACGATTCCGTAAATATATTGCAAGGATACAGGGACCCTGGTTAACTATCGACGTATAACAAACTCTGGTTAAAGAAAAAGAAAGATCTGGAGATGCACCCGAATTGGTGGGCAGCTAGATGTGGGCAGTTGTCATGGTCTGGTATAGGTAGCCCATGTGGTTAGTCCTAGAGCCCGGACATGAGTACATGTACCACCATTGAATGTCAAGCTGCCACGCTTGATATTCGACATCCTTTTGAGAGGAACAGCCGTGGCATGGTGGTTATGGTGAGCGTTGCGTCACAGCAGTCGTCCCCCATCAGACCCACCAAGACATAGATCAACCTGTCGTCAGATCAGTCACGTGCTCAGTCACGTGACTCGGGGACCATGGGACCATTGCTAGACTTGATGGATGGTAGAACCATCACAATATTAAGAAATAACTTAAAAGTCTTTTATTAGCTTAATTTTAAATAGCCTTCTGAACGTAAACGTAATAAAGTAAACCTTGTCTTTATTGTTAAAAATACAAGAACGATATTATTTATATAAAAAAGACTTTAATATTACTTTTACATATTATATAAATCTTTTAAGCAACCTTTTTAAAGCTCAACTTTATAATATTCTAGTTAACCTAGTTTATTAAAATATAAATAACCTTTAAATATATTTAAAGCTTTATAAAACTTGAAAAATGCATATATATATATAAACTTATTAAATTTATAATATGTTAATATATTAGCATCATTTACTTATTAAATTTTTAAGTCAAGTTGTTGAAGAATCGTAAATAAAATACTATATAAGCTGAGGGCTAAGGTTAAAGCTTTTATAAAAAGATCTTTAAACATTTATTATATATTATATATTATAAGTACATTTATATTTTTAAAGAAAATATGGACTTACTTAATTTATAAATAAATATTAAGATTATATTTTCAATTTCAATACCTTCTAACTTTCAATTCCGCTATTTTAATTTATAAACTTACATTTTAATATTCATTGAAATATCGTGGTTAAATGTTTATAGATATTTTCTTATAGAATAATGCTTTAATTCTTAATAAGTTTTATGTTTTACAATAAACTGTTTTTAATATATCTTAAACTTTTTTTGACTTAATATTAAATATAATAAGTTCAAGTTGAAAGGTAGTAAAGCTATAAAAATAAACATATAGCAAAAGAGTTTTAAAACGGCTAGTTATAATAAAAACCACACTTAAATACCCTGATATAAACCTTTAAAGTACTTTTTAAAAACTACTCCACTTTTATAAGTATTTAACTTATATTTATTATTTAATACGTCTTTTGGGTAGTTAGTTATATACAGATCTTATAAGGTCTTTAAGAAATTTACAAGGTTTAAAACGGTTGAATCTATAATAATATGCGAGTGAGTAATAAGAGTGATATTGTTTAAATAAATAAGCGGTATATAAAGTATTTATAATAAGAAGCTTTAAATTATTTATGTCCTGATTTCCGCAGCTTTTAAGATATTTATCTAAATATAGTCTCTTTTTTATTACATCTATTTTTACGAGCTTTAATAAAGCTATTACGGTTTATGCGTTTAATCAGCGCTTTTATCCGCGCTTTTTTAACGAATCGTCTTTATATTACGCTAGCACGCCTTTTAATAATAATAAACGGTTTTATGGCTAATTAACTCAGGTGTTTTTTATCTTAGTAACGAACCTTTTAAAGCTTATTAAAGACTTTACATTTACTTTTAGCCTTTTTGTCATTAACAAGAGCTCTTTTTATTCGTAAAATGCGATTATCATAAACCATTTTTCAATTACGGTAATTTTTAATGAGGTAACTTGATTTGCTATATATATAGTACTTTTTGTTTTTATAATACTGTGACAAGCCGTCTAACCTATAAGGCTAAAGGGTCCTATAGGGTTCATGTTCTAAGGTAAGTCAACACAAAAGACGATAGAGGCTTCTATTAACTAGAAAACACTCAGATGCTGAGGCTTGGTCTGAACTGGGTTTACTGTGTAGTCGAGTCGTCAGGAGATTTCTCCTACCTTAGGGTTGGCTAATATGCTTAGATTGATCACTAAGGCGGAGACTATCTATCTATCTAACTGGGAAATGTCCGTCCTTATATATCCAATCTCTCCCTCACTGATAGAGTAGGATCACCTTGTCCAAGAGTGATGCTCACTGGCTCACTCCCTGATCCAGTGATCCTTGCAGGCTCACTTTGTGATCCAGTGATCCGTCACGTGACCTTTGTTATGTAATCCGTAATACCCATTGTTCTGTTCCTGGCTTCTGATTCTATTGGTCCTTAGTGTACTCCCCTTAGACCTCTAACAGGCCATGGTATTTGTTGGTTCGTAACATAAATCTGGTATATTTTATTTTATAATCTCTTCATGTAATCATTAATGATAACTTTGAATATCATAAAATAACAGAATTTATTATAAAGAATACATAGCTAATAATTAACTTCGAACTATTTTAATTTAACGTTTATTTATTATTTACCGCTTTAAATAGCCTTAAACTATTGTATTTATTATATTTATAATACTCGTTAATTAATTAATACTAAACATAAAGGATATAACTTTAAAAAAAATATCTTACAATTTATTTTATAATACTGTATTAATTTTTACTTATATTAACTATAAATCAGACGTAACCTAAAATAATATATAGAATAATAAACCTTATAATATAAATTAGAAGAAACTACAGTTAAACTATTAAAGCATATTCAAACAAAATTTTGCGTAATACTTGTTTTAATCTTTTAACCATAATTTTGAGATAAAAAGATATATCAACGTTAAAAAGGTTTAAATTTATCCACTTCGTTTAAGTTTAGTTTTTCGAAATATAATAATACTTATTTAATTATAAGTTCTTCACAAATATAACTCATAATATTTTTAAAAAATTAAAAACTAGGCAGTAGTTTTAAAATTGATTAAAAATACGGTTCTTAAAAAGTTCTTTATAAAAGACTTGAATACTTATTTATCCTTTTGAATGATAATTAATCGATAACGTAATTAGTGTTCATAATGCCAGTTTCTTAAATTCATATATACGGTATTGTTTATTTTAATACGTAGAAACTTATAGCTTTTTTTTACTACGTGTTTTTAACTTATTTTAAGTTATAAGAAAAAGTTATAAAGTTTATTAATCTTTTTAGAATAGTATTCATATTTTATTAATTTATTCAAATAATTTTTAACATAATCTTTTAATATAACAAACTATTTTCTTAGTTTTATTATTATTGTTTCCGTTTAAATATAATACGATGAAATTGAGTTCAATTATACGCTACTTATCACTTATTATAAAAACCATTGATACTTTTTACCAAATAACTTTTATAATAATTATAGTTATTTTATTATAATTAAAACTTTTCTTTGCTTAAATCTTTACGTGTGAATTTGGGTGTGATAGTTGCTACGTCGCTACCATCGATGATGGTCCTGGGATCACGTGACAGCACGTGACCTCCTGAACGACTGGTTATCCCAGACACACTAGGGCTCTGAATTATGGAGCTGATACACTTATCTAGTTGCCTATCAGATTTGGCTGTGCCGTTTAATCTTCTTTTTCCTCTTCAGGCAGAGATAGTTATACCTACATAGTAAACAAGGGCTTCTATGTAATATTCACATATACAGAACGTCACAACTATTTAACTATTAACAACCTTAAAGCATAATTCAAAACGATATTAAGTACGATAAAAAAAGTCGTTTAACCTTGAAATCCTTCATATTTTTACCGGTTTATTTCTTTTATTTTTAAGCTATCAAGTTACGCTTATAATCTATCTTACGGCAGGTTGTATAAGCTCTTAATTAAATTTATTCTCGAATTTATGGAGACGTATTCTAAAATAGAAGATATATCAATGTTTATTTCTAGCAATTTAAAGCTCTTTTATATTAATATTATTAAAGCTTTTAATAAAACCTTTACGGTTTCTAAAACTATACTTAATCTTTTTTCTAACGTTTATATCTTTCTTTTTAACATTCTATTTTAGTATTAAGCTTTTTAAGCTTTTAACCTTGTCTTTCCTCGCTATGTGAAGGTTTTTAATATCTACTTTAATAATAAAAAAGTTGCTTTTACTATGTAAAAACGACCATAAAAACTTATATATATATTATGAAGTTATTATAACCTTTACTATGTTGCAAATACTATGAGCATAACTTATTACTTATGATATTTTATCGGAGTAAATATAAGGATGAAAAGAGTTTTAAGCCTATAATACTTAACTATCGGATATTTATAACATTCTAATATAAATGATAACTTTGATTAAAAACTTGCGTTTTATTTATATATATTAAAAAACCTATCATTTTAACGTTAATAAAGCACTTTATAACTACCTTAAACAAAAAGACAGCGACTGCGCTGCCTATTTCGGCATGTTCTGCCTCCAAGTCCGGCAGTGCATTTGCCAGCGATCCAACGCCGCTTTAAGCTGCATACCCCACCATGCCTCACTATGCCCATGGGCCTTGTACTTCGATGTATCGTTCAAAGTACATCATGACCCAAATCCTGGACTCTTATTTAGTTCGGTATCTGGCACCAATACTGTGTTCTTTCCCTTCCCTTGCTTGCTTGGCCTGTTAGCAGCATAACCAGAGATGGCTCATATATTCCTTTTAAATACCAGTTCTCTTGCTCCAGTTGGTTAATAATGTTTTTGCGTTTGCTCTTCCTCTTTACCTCCAGTTGAGTGAGCGCAACCTCTTCTAACGAACTGCACTTATTATGATCGAGTATCCCTTATAGCATTACTAGCATGGCCCGCCAACGCGTCCACAATGACCCATGCAACTCATGAACTCACCCACGACTTGTACGACACAGACGCATCTTTCTCTGCAATAGGGGATGCGGATGCTGACGACTTCCTTAACGTGGACGAGGATATATCCAGCCTAGAAAGCGATGTGACGGACTTAGAGGACTTTAGTGACGACGATTTCAACGTTACAGATCAAGTCTATCTTTGTAGGGAATGTTCATCCGCCAGAATACTACCAGAGGGCGCTACAAGAGTTCAACAAGAGTGCTTTTGACAGCGGAAATTACAGTCCTAGAAGCACAGTGCTACTTGACGCAATTGAGAAGCAGTGGCGGACGTAAGTCATTCTAGTACTTTATTTCTTCTTATGCTAATGATATTTTTTTTGCAGGTTCTGCACCGACGTACTGGGACGGGATCCCCAGACTTGCTTCGAGTCTATTGATATCCGTCTCCTCTATAACTTTTTCCATTGGTCCTTGAACCAAATGGTTGGCAAGAATAGACAGAAAAAGGGGAACAAAAAAGAGCAGTTCACTAGGCACAAATTGGAAGGTCTTTCGTCTTGTGTATGAGACGGCCATGGGTGCGAAGCTTGATCCGAAATTGAATCGCAACATGCATATGGTAAGTAGGAATTTGATGACCCACCAAAGACCTGTTTCTAATATTTTCTTTTAGGTCTTAAGATCACTAGTAAAGAAACACAAACTGAGCGACCAAAAGAGGGAAAACTGCTATATAACCATTGACGACCTTAAAGCGCGGATTGAGACAACACTGAACACGATAAGGAAGTTGTTTGACCTTAGGGAGCTCCAAATTCTTACTGTTTTATTTCTTCTCTTCCTGGTTCCTGCCGGCTCGCGCCCAAAATCCATCTTGCGGCTCCGATTTGGAGATATTTGGGTTGTATTAACGAGAGATCTAGACGGCGGGCCACACAAGCTTTTAATCAAGTTTACTCTCAAGTTTACTAAGACGTACCTTGGGACAAAAGGTACGTAAGTGTTTTATCCTGGCAACTTGGTGCTCTTTGATATTAATACCACGGGTGCTTTAGTAAGACGTTCACGATCTCTGAAACCATGTTTGATCCATCCTTACTTCTCAGCTCTCATGTCTTCCTCCTTGGTATCTTGTTCCACATCAAGCTTTCCGGGCTCTTAGCCTTGTCTGTCCTTGCCATCTAGACGATCTTGATATCCACCCCAACAAGAAGGAGTTGCCTTTGCCACTCAGAGACAACCTTAAAGACGTATACATATTTTGCCGAGTCATTACACTGCTACCGGGCTGCAGATATCACAGGCAAAACCCATTACTTATGGTATGATGTCGGTGTAGATTAAGAGCATTGGAGAGATTCTAGGCCTTCAATACCCGATTATCGCATATTCATTGTGCTATAATGCAGGCAATGAACTGGACCAGAGCCGTACGTTCTATCTGTACTTCCAAAGAATCTATTGTGCTGATATTTTAATGCAGCCGACGTTAGTGAAGCACTCTGTAACCTGACGCTAGATCACGCCAATTCAACCCCTTTCCAAAAGCATTACCTCGGTTGCACTGTTTGCGCAGACCTGTGGGGAATCCTTTGCGGCCAGAAGCCGCAATAAACACTATTAAAACAATCCTGTAGTATTGGTCATTTGATGAGCAAGCAGCGACCAGTAGATCTTACTGCTGAGCAAGCGGCGTCCGTTAACACAGATCCCAATGTGAGGCGGCTTACAAAACAACTAAGAACCTACGACTAGGGACAAAACAGCAGATCGATACGCAATAAGAACTTCAAAATCTAAAACAGAGGCTGAAGAGGTTGCTCCTCTCAAAGATCTGAGAAGACTGGACAGACGAGCAGTCCATAGATGACATAGAACACCAATTACAAGACGTTGCATTCACCAAACCCGTACTGATGGACATAGCCTATTGTCCGCAACTTCCAGCGCAGAAACAACTAGTTAAGGTCTTGACTGCGCCTGTCGACCCTACTCTTCAAGACCAATATTGACGAAGGGACGATGCTATCAATGCAATAATTACCTACTGTAGCGTTGAGAAAGAACAAACTTCACGTCACAAATTCACCTCGCCGACCAAAAAAGCACAATTCAAACCCATGCCTAGGCCACTAGAGGATAACCCCGTTTCTATTACTAGGCTGTCTGTGTTTGTTCATAATGATAGAGAAAGACCTAAAAGATGCTTCTTATGCATTGGAGCCACGCTTCCTCTGGAGCCTGATGACCCTCGTATAGAAGATCTCACGTATGAATTCTACACCCCCGGAGATCTGACGAAGCACTTTAAGCAGAAATATTCATCCCTTTTAGCGCAAGATTCGACACCAGAATGTGAAGTCTGCGATTTCACACTGTCTTTTAAGATGCATCTACAAAACCATGCCTTGCGGGTTCACGGCACTGTCATAAGGGCTTTCATATATCTAATGTAGTAAAGCTGGGAATTAGATAATAGGGACATACAGGTGATACAGGGTCTTGGAAACAGCGGATAATAACTTGAATTTACTAAAGTACGTTTTATTAGATATAATCCTACTGAACAATTTTAAAGATAGATTATATTATGTATATGTGAGGTTCTTTGTCAATCTTGTGTTTTCTATCAGTATGCTGATGGCTCAGTCCAACTGGCCTGCCTCGCCCAACACCGCCTACCTGATTAAGACGCCTGCTCAATCCAGAAATCGGGCACCGCATGCTTGTCCAGACACCGCCTGCTTAACTCGGACACCGCTTGCTTAACTCGGACACCGCCTGCTTAACTCGGACACCGCCTGCTTAGATAGGACACCGCCTGCTTAGATAAGACACCGCCTGCTTAGATCGGACACTGCCTGCTTAGATCGGACACCGCCTTTAAATCAGGTGAGTGAGGAGTAGGCAAATCTAGTAGGCGGTAAATGAGCGGAGTAGGCGCTAAGTAAGAGGGCAGGCAGGCGGTGAGAAGAACAAGCAGGCGGTGAGTGAATGGGCAGGCAGTAAGAAAAAAGGGCAGGCGGTGAGCTGTATGTAGGGATGGCACAGGGTTTAGATAGCTGGTGACACTGAGATGGTATGGGGTCCACACTTCCTTCATCTGGTATGTGCGTAAATTTGCATTGCGTGCCATTATTTTCTTACGTATCGCCACTCTCGCGCGTGGCGTTACCTGTCTCGTAACCTCAAGAGTCTTTGGCTAGATATTGCCTAGTAGATATATCTTTCCTTATTTAAACTATTTGATACTGTTAGGTACGACTCCTTGCATGCCTTTATCACGCTTGTTTGATTTTGTATTGATCTAGGAAACCACTTTGCTGAATGGATATATGTCATTATAGTTCCAAATGCTTTGACACGAAGCCTAAGGTATACACTCCCATTTGACGTTACCCTCGTTCCTCCTGCGCATGGTGCCATGCGATACAAGCTGACTCAGCTTGCTGTCTATCCTAAGTTTGACATACTTAAGTCAGTAACTGTGTATGTCTTTTTGAAGGCAGGGTTTAAACATGAAGCCCGAAGTAAGCACTCTCATTCAATGTGACCCTTCTTTATCCCATACATGGTGTCATATGTCACGTACTCTTTTTAGAGGGCCAGCCGTCATCCTAGTACCGTGAACAATGGTTTGACCTACCATTGAAGTATATCTCTTCAGCCTTACTGCCAGATGGACTAACAAAGTACTGGAGATGGTACATTAATGCTTTGCCCATACCTTGGCGGATTTTGAACAGGACTTTAGCAGCTCCTCTAGGACCTCAAACAAAATTCTCGGCTTGAGCTTATAGACTTTCTTGTACCTTGGGCATAAAAGCTCCAGGACTTTTTCTCGTTGGTCTGGGTTTTTGGAGCGGATTCTTAAAGTAATAGCCTTAAAAAAAGGATAACAATTATTCCCACAAAGCCTGAGCCCTTATGAGTTCAGATCCAAAATCGCTGCTGCTGGTTTCAAACACTTGACTGTGCTAAATTTGATGCCCAGAGTGAAGCCGTTCTAGAGAGTGTAAGTATTATAAATACAGCCTGGAGGCAGGTAGGTTACTTGATCTTCTGTCTGAACACAGAATTCACCGCCTTCAAGCCGGCCTTGGAGCTCGATAAAGGCGGCATCAGATCGGTGTGCTGCAGAGAATTCTTAAATATTAAAAGGAGTCAAGGGATAGAGTGCCCAAAACTTGACGCATTCTCTATAGAGCAGTGTGACACCATGTTTTCCGTGGTCTAGATATATTGTCTCGTTAATATATCGCTTGCAGCATGATCAGATCTCACGTACCAACATGAAGCCCTGCAGCTGAATACTTAGGAGTAATATTTGTTGTCATGATAGGGCAGATATCTTGATATATAGGGACCTGTCCAAGTAGTCGCTCCAGGATCTTGATTTTGACTGACTTAGCGGCCATATTGATAGCGTATAGAGTAGACGATAGATCCAGACTGTCTAGCTGTCGCATAACGGTTTGAAAACGCGGTTTATCAAGAGGATTAGGAGGATTACGTCAGGAATAGATTTTTGTTGTCTATTTCCGAAACCTATGAAGCAGGTCTGTAAGATAGTCCTCTAAAGACGGCTTTTCCTTCTAATATTTGACTACAGAAAAAAGCATGAGAGATTGTAACCCAAGGCCGGCCCAGTTCTGAGTCACCGCCGTCTCTCTAGACAGATTAAGATTTAACAGTCTGCCAGTCCTCTTGATCTCCCTTGCGTACGCAGAAGATAGATACGATAAAGGGCCACCCGTGGTGCTAAGGAATTCGTGCATAAGGAAATCTATCTCGTCTTTCGGGGGTTGCTATGATCTGTGCTTCTGCTAACGGCTGAAGATCAGAAAGGTGGCCGGTCTTTATAGAACGTAATTAGCAAGGCAAAAAAAGATGATAAAACCCATATTTTGTAGTTTAAAGAATAAGATCATTTACCGGATGTGCTTTCTGCTGTGCATTGTCTTTGTGTATTTGGGTTCCAATGTACCTTTTCTTTCCCTTTCTTGATATAATAACATCGCAAATTTTGTAAGTTATCTGATGTGTCTCATTATGTCTTTATTGGTGGCGTGCAAAAGTTACTTCTCGAGATCTTTCTGTTACATGTATTGCAGGGTCGATAGTCTGATATCTCTGGACCTCCGATTGAAAAGGGGGTCGATAAACTCTACAGAGGGCGAGAAGGAGGGGGACATGGGTTGAGGGGGGACGAGGGGGGACGAGGGGGGACAATGAGTGGTGGTGCTTATGGGTCTAGCTTATCCTCAGATACGGCTAGGCTAGCTTTATATGGGCCAAAAACCTATGTCAAGTCATCTTGCTTCTCCCATCCCGGGCAGTGGTAGGCACACCCTACACTCTTTCTGGGTGATCGCCACGAATTTAGTGACTTCCATGGCCTCTGATTCGTTCACATACAGTGCCTTCGGTGTAGCTGCCTTTCCTACTACATGAACATCTTAGCGACAGGGATTAAAACCATGTTTTCTCATAGCTGTTTCAACAGCTATAAACCAACTATATAAATATATCCGCATATTGATAGAGGCTGTGGCCAGTGATTCAGGCCAATCCCCAAGTCCACGTTGCATGGGTGATGAAAATTCAGTTTCTTCGGTGGCATCCGAGGGGAGCAGTTGCCATCTAGAAGTACCCATATTTGACACGCGGGTGGTGCTCTGCTGTTCGGGATCGGATTCGTATTTGATGACGTGGAAAACGACGAGTTCGTGATTCGTCAGCACGAAACCAAAGGAAATGTTCATATCGATACAATGTTAAACCATCTGAGCCAAATACGCCTCAGGGCACGCTGTTGTGCCCGGAAGGGAATCCGTATTCTTAGTGATGCTCGGCTTCTTAAGCTTTGTATTGCCCCAGGCAAAGATTTTTTCATCTAGATGAGCGAGAAGGGGCGTGGTTTCGCGTCCCCGTCCACAACGATCCAGTCGGGAGCGATCTTGGTCTCCTTTTCTCCTTCGAGTCTGCTTGTGTCCGTGCCCCAACTAGAGAATAGCTTGCGGGTTCCAATGATGGACAACCGACCTGGGACGGCGGCGTCGAGCACGACGTTGACGCGGTGTATCAAGGTCAGACCGTAAAGGTCCTGCACCACCCTCTCGGTAGCAGCGTAGCGTTGCCATGTTATGATATGAGGTCGCCAGCCTTCTGGGTAAGGACTGTCGCGGCGTAAATAAGGCTGTATGGAGGCGGGATTCTCTTTTAGACACTCCCATTTCCTGAGCCCGCGCCGCTCGACTCAGAGGGTTTCGTACTTCGTGTCAGTCTGAGACAGCCTGGCATCTTTAGGATACGCAAATGCTATCTCGCCGGTCGGCACGCGCAAAATTTGGCCGATGGTGGTTCGTGTTGTTATATTCAGATCGTGGAAACACACACGCAGCTCTTTAACCGAAACCATGGTGTGAGGGCCGCAAACGGTATAGATATAACGCTGTATCTGCCACTGCTGCCTGTCCCACCTGGCCTCATAGGGCTGGCTCGCTTCCCGCACGTATGGATCATGGTCTCCGTTTATGGTTGCGAGGAGTCATGGAGGGCGGTAAGTGAAACTGCGGCAGAGAGCCGCCACACAATCAACTGAACAGCCTGTCGATGTTATGGCGCGATTCATAGGTTGATCGGTGGTTAATGCATGTACGTTGGTACTTGGTTCTCAGGTGCTATTCCTGGTTACAACCCGCTGCCAATACTGGACTGTAAGAATTGATTTCGTGGGGTAAGGATGTGGTGTAGCCACCTGCTCCCGTGGCTGGGGAGGTGGTAATAGCCAAGATTGACATAATAATGCCACAATAAACATGGACATGAACAATCAAGACGTCAGCCAGTCGCTACCTATATCGGAGTTTCCACAACAAGTATCGCAATAAGTAACATCGTTGTTCTAGTCGAGTACAAGTATTTCTTTCTGCTTTCAATCATAACCTTGCAGCAAAGATCATTCATGACTCCCGCGCCGAAATATCCGAGGCAAGGCCGGCCGCCGCGACGATATGCGCTGCGCAATGTCACAGATAGTAGCGTAAATACCAAACGCGTAACGCCGCTTTTCAAGATAATCGCTTCCAAGGTCATCACCGAGGCGTCGCCGCCTCCGATCAAAGCGCAGCGTCACGTACCCGACCAGCGGGTCAGGCCGGGCGATGTAATAATACACCCGTTTGACAGTCCCAAACATTTCGACGGAGCAGTGCGCATATTCACCCGCCTTCCATTTATTCCCGGCCTGTTCGGCCAGACGCCGCGTCTCTATGGCAAGGACCGCAACCGGCTCGAGATCCAAATCCAATACCCAAAATACGGGTTTTGGAGAGTTGTCAACAGGCTGCACTTGGGTGGCGACCCGACCGCAGCGCGGCTGCGAGTGCACCATATCCGCCAACTCCAGGGCACCCTCTTAAACAATATAACCATCCTTTGTGCTTGGCGCATTGCCTTTAGCAGCGACGTGTCAAACCTGCGTATTGTACACCAATGCACACCATCGTCGATGTTTCTGCCGCTGTTCGACACATTTGATCCGACCACATGCGCCGAGCAGGATGACGAGACGCCTGACTGGATGCAACGCGAGCAGGACATGGTGCGGAAGGTTGTGACTTAGTTCCAAGTATTTGAGGTACGTGGTTAGGCCGCATCCCGGCCACCCGGCTGCCCGATGTTGCTGACGCGTGCGTGCAACCCATCAGCTCCTGGCCCGACTCGAATCAACACCCCAGACTCGGCGACATTTTGACATCGAACTTGACCCTGAAGACGCCCTCCATATTCTCCAAGCAAACCGCCCGCCTTGCCGACAGTGCAATCTCGTCATCCTGCACGTCAACAGATACATACCGGCATTAGGCCAATATGTTGTCGAGCATGCTCAGGAACAGCTTTACACTACAGATACGCGATAGCCCGCCGGCCCAGGCCTGTCAAGATGAATTGATCAACTATTGCGATACAGTCAGACATGTGCTTCGACTCGGCACTCCAGACAAAGACGTCCAACAAGGCATCCTTCTACTTGCTGAGCGAGCTGCTTCGTGGGTTATTTACACTACCATGTTGATTCAACTACACGCCAAAGTTATCAAACATCACAACTCCCAAAGTCTTCTCCAGTTGGACTGCCCTGGCTTGGCTAATGCATACACCAGCTGCGAAGTCTTCGACTTGGTCACAGATGCCTGTGAGAAGGCACAGGAGGCAGTCCGGATCCTTCATGACGCGGGAGGAAAGCTAGACAGAGGCGTAAGGTGGTTTCTTCTCAGCACGCATTCAGCACAAAGAGCAAGTTACAGCACTAGTAGATGCAGAATGAACCATAAATAATGTAGTTTAATAGAACTATAGCTTTATTCAAAAATAAATACCTAATAAAAAATTATAACAAATAGTATATATATTAAGTAGGTGCAATAATTATAACAATAAAAAAAAATGTAAAGAGTGTCAACTGAGCTCTTTCTTCCTAACCAACTTAATGATCCCCTAAGCCGATGCTCCTCTTTTGATTATCGCGTACCATCCTTTGCAGGTAGGCCAGCTCCTGCCGAAGCTGGCCCTTTCCCCAGGTTCTGCCTGATTACTGTTGTGGCCCCCTTTCAAGAAGTCGCATGCGCACGGGCCACACAACCTCGGCAGGAGTTTACCATGTCAATGATATTACTGTCACAAACCACTTGCAATCAGCTCTGTCCGTGACTTCCACGAGACCGCTTAGGGGAACATGAATTATGTGATTAACTTAGCTCCGGACATCATGAAATGTAACGTCAAACGTATCCAGACGCAAATGCTCGTAAAGAGATACACATATCCGGCGTCCTACCCCATGTTAATCCATCTCGAAATGTTACTTAAAACAAGATGAAACTCTTATATGAATGGGGGCCTTTTCTCTCTGACCTATCCTCCCTCGTGTCCCTTTTCGTGTCTTCCTATTGGGACTAATCAGACCTCGCCGTCCTCTATATCGTTCAGGTCGCTGGCGAAACAGACGTCAGCGTAGGTTCCCTCTTCCTTGACGACGCGCGCTACCTCCGCAAAGAAGACATGCTTGGCTTCGGATCGCTTTGAATGGCCGTGGGGTCTCGCGGTCGGCGAACGAGGTGTCGGGGCGATCGGGCTTGGGGAATGGTTCGTAGTGAGCTCTGGCGTCAGGCTTCGCCCTGTTGACCTGATGACGAATCAGCTCTTATCGTATGGTGTCAGGCATGGGATGAAGGAGCGTAAGGTCGAATCGGAGTGCGTACCGTGGGCTTCGTGTCGAAGCATTTTTAGAGCCTGATAAGGTGTGGTCGTCAGAGAGGGAGTTGACTGTGATGATGTGGAATGGTGGGTAGGAGAAAATAGGGTTGCCAAGGCTGAGGGTTCTGCTTGAAGTGGGGTTATGCGATCATCACAGGGCAGGGCCCCTGCCCCACAGCCACCAAATGGGGCGTCCCCTTCACCCGCACCTCACCTACCCCATATCAGTAAACCAAAACAGGTTTAATGAATTGATAGCTGCTGCTCTCAACTTGGCCAGGCCATAGAGGCTAGGTCGTACTTGCCGACAATCTGGCCAAACAACTTGATCCATGCGATGGGCGCCAAGACTACATGAGGGAAGGTCTAGCCGAAGCCTATTTTATCCCACTGACCATTCCGCATTATCACAGTCATACTCCTCCTCCAACGCCTACACCCACACCCACACCCACGCGCCCCTACACGCAAAATTGACACTGCGCCTACCTGCAAGGGACTTCCGTTGTGTGTCCTTCGTTTGCTCTGGTTCCAGTGGCTTCATGCCTGGTACTGGATCCACATCAATATCTAAAAGGGACAGATAAGGTAACCTGACCCGTCTCACGTTTTTCAATGCTCTATCCTCGTCCTTCGCCCGTTATTCGCCGCCAGATAATTCTTGGTCCTACGACACCTGACGGCAGATGCGGCATCCGTCGCCAACAACGAATCTGCTCAAGGTCACCATGAGCAACTCGGACAATTCCCCATCTGGTACTATAGGCTTCATCACCTCCCCAGAAAGAGGTAAGCCTCACTTAATCCACTCGTCTTGACACCAATTCGTTATGTTAACTGGAAGATGTTATAGCGAACACAGTTTGCCGTTGTTACCAGTCTAATGACGTATTGTATGAATATACTGCTACAACCTTCAAGAAGACCTCACGCCTTCCTTTCAATGATCCGTATCCGGATGGCACTCCTTTTATATGGTCTAGATCCTGGTAAGACCTGTTATCGATGTTACGCTGTGATATGCTGGCTATTGTACTAATCGAAGCTATCTTTAATAGGAATCATGAGCGCATCACCAATGAAGCCAAAGCCTTAAAGCTGGTTTCTAACGAAACAACCATCCCAGTGCCCACATTACTTCAGCATGGAGAACTGCCAGATGGCCGCCGATATCTGGTCACAGAATTCGTCGATGGCCTGACCCTGAAAGAAATGGATTCCCAATGCTGCTTAAAGCAGGCAGGCCGAAAACATACAAACGATACCCCATGTAAGACATGCTTAAGAGAAGCTTACTCAAATGCTCTCGACTTTATTACGGACACTGTGCTGCCACAGCTTGCAAAGCTGAAGTCTCGACAACGAGGTATTGATGGATTTGTAATGCCTCCTTCTTGGCTCACCCCCGATGCTGAACCGCCGTGGAAAGGCAAAAAGAGTTTCAAGACTATTCCCCTGGAGGAACCGGGGTATATCTTTCAACATGGGGATATCGCACCTCAAAATATTATTCTGGACCGACAAACTCTTCAAGTCAAGGCCTTGGTTGATTGGGAACATGCTGGATACTTCCCACCAGGGATGGAAAGATGGCCTGGAACACTGGATATGCTAGCTTACAGAAAGCGGGCTGACAATCTTGCCGAGGCGATAACAAGATTTCTCCCAGAAGAATATTTGGAATGCTATGAGAAATGGAACGACAAGGAAGAGTTATTGGCGTTGGTCAACGCTGGGGAACTTCCAGATCCTGATCGACTGATCCAAGAGAAGAGTAGAGAGAAGAACAGGTAAACAAAGGTATAACTTCGTGCCAGCCATGCTTATTGTGCTATGGAACCTATGAGCTCTGTGACTAGCCTATTATGTTGAATAATATCGAGTCTCGGCAAAAGGTAGAAAACAACCATTCCTGCCCCGTCTTACATCCTCAATTCTGTCACCCTTTGGTTAGCTCTAGCTACAATCGCCATGCCTGGAACACCTTACATATACTTTGCCGCATTTCAAGCATTTTGTGATCGAGTCGGTGATGGTTGCGTTGCATGTTGCCCCACCTGGCAGAGTGCCATCGCATTTCTTGGTAGTGTCCGACATTGTAGACGATCTATAGAAGGACTCAGCAGGAGTCAACAATTCAAAGACAACGCCCTACAGTACCTTTGTCGCGTAGATCGAGATGACGAAAGCCAAATAGAGAGCGATTTATGCAAGTAGCCCCGGCAGCTAAACTGGGTGATTTTCGGTCAGGGTTTGCCAAATCCTATATTCCAAGCGCACGTCGAATTCGCTGATGGTCTATTCTCTGCAGATAAGCGTAGTGTCCGCGTGGGGTCAGTCGAGGATGTATGTGCAGACTCTCGCGATTAGGTCGCAGAGCACTTGCGCTGCCGAGCTATGTATACGCTATGGCTCAGGTTCAAAGAGCAATGGCCAGGCTACCTAGCTTACTGGGCAGGCGGTTATGGAAATCACCCCAGCCAGGAGAGGGGTACAGGGGCCAGAGACGGTACCTATTTTTGCTCGCCTATATATACTCATGTGGCATTCAGGCCGGTCACAGCTAGGGAGGGTAATCCTGCAGCTCCTGTTGGGGGCTTTGCGTTCCCCGACCAGTAGAGTCACCGGGCTTGCGCAGTCAGCCACAGAGTGAGAAGGCCCGGCCAGGCCGTACCCAGTCCCACGAAATGGTGATGGCGCTCCGTGGTCGCAAAGTCCCGCATAACTTCATGAGCCACCACGATCCCTCTGCGCATCTACAGCTCGACGATCAAAACTGCGATGACTGCATCAAGGTAGCCACGCCGAAGCCGAGAGTTCTCGGCAAGCCCCCGGCCTTTTCCCAGGCGCACCTGGCTTGTCCAATGCGCCCAGATAAATGATCCGCCTGCGCCAGGCCGACAGTGCTGGATGTGAGATCCAACCAGCTTAATTGGTCGCCGCATATTAGGTCACGGTATATCGTAGGACCATCGTGGACGGCATCCCTGGCCTGGCCAGACAAGGCATTCGCGACTGCCAGCCGTATGCGTGCTGCGGTTCGTAAGCTGAAATGTTGGTGACGTGGCTGGCTCCGAGAAGGCTGCAGCCTGTGGAATTGATTGATTGATTGATTGTATTTAACGTGGGGGGTAGCTCCTCAGTAGTGCAAACCACGCCTCCCAGAGCCTCTGTATTGCAGGGTTGTGGAGGTCTCAAGAAAATAAGTACAGTCAGTCCCGCTCACGGGCCCATCCCCGTTGTTGCGGCGGTATGACCTTGGGGTCATCCATCTGGTCCTTCAAGAATAGCTATCTATCGGGGGCAGATTATTGAAAAGAACTTGCTCTTCTCCATAAATTTTGCCCATTCTGTGCTCCTCTCCCTTAAGTATTGTAAACAAGCTGTCCTAGGCGAGTACCTAGGCAGCAGCCGGTTTTTCCCCAGCCTCTTACAAAAGAAAATGTGTTGTGGTGTTTTCTTTTCACCACAGTTGTAGTGATCATTCGAGTCTGTATGCCTAAAGCGTTCATGGTATCTGGCAAAGTCGCCATGTCTAGATCTGGCCATTAAAAGCCTGTGTAAAGTACTCCTCTTAAAAGATATAAGGTCTCTTTTAGTTACTATATGTGAGTATACTTCTTGATACCTAGGTTCTGATTGGTCTTTCTACCATTGGTTGAACTCTTTCTCAAGGCAGAAAAGATCGAGACCCACACGGTCTGGCATCACTACAAGGTCAATGGATGCCCAAGAAAGGTCATCAGTGTGGAAGGGTTGACAATCAATATTACCGACATTGCTGTTACTAATGAAGTTGAAGCCCAAACAGGTGACAGACCTTTAAGGTGCATACTCTTAAGGAACACAGTTAATTCTGATCCGGAGACCACATGGGTGATCTCTCTGCCCCGTGCAACAAAGAAACCATTCACGCTTTTTGCTCACTCAATGACCTCGAGGCACATTCAATACTCCCCCAAGGTTCATTAGTGTGTGAGCTGCTTCAGATACCATAGTAAGAACTAAAATCACGTTTCCTACTGGGCCAAGAAAGCTAATAAGGTAGCAAATCACCTTCGAGGACTATGCAACACAGTCAAAGGACTTCCAGTAAAGTCAACCAAGAGGGCTGTGAAAGCTTGTGTTATTCCTATTCTTACACACGGCCTAGAGGCCTGGTACCCAGGAATCGAGAAAGTTGGGAGCTTAGGTGGGACATCAGCATGTCGCATTAAGGGGCTTCTTGGAACAATAGATGCTGTACTACGAACAGCGATCAGGGCTATCTTGCCAGTCTAGAAAACACACCCTGGACATATCCTACACTTTGAATCGCAGATTCCCCCAGCAGGAGTTCTTGCAGAGTCAATAAGACGAGGTCACGGCCTCCGACTAGGACAAATAGACCAGAGACACCCTCTTGTTGGCAGGCTCCAAATACAAGCTCGCAAGAATCCAACAAGGCTATAAAAGAGCTTCCAGCTAGTCCCTGACTTCCAGAGACCAACACTTACCAGGCCATCATGGAAGAAGCCCCCAATCTGCAAAGACAAAGACAAAGAAATAGAGCTCTTCAAGCAATGGCTACAGGAGAGAAACGTGAACACTGACCTCACTGAACCTGGCGGTGCGCCTTGAAACTAACATTTGTGACCTCAGCCGATACTTCCCCTCACCCGGAGGAGGGAGGACACGGTGTGATCCGCCGCTTAAGTGTGGTGGCTGTCTACGGACTTGACCTGCTAGATGGGCAGTGTATGTACATAGAAGACCTAGCCTAGCACGCCTGAGCGGCCTCTTGGAGCCCCTGGTTGACGCCGCTACGCGGCAGTCCCCCGGCGTTAAATGCTACAACAACAACAACATACACAAGATATACACAAGGCATCGCAGCTTCGCACTCACTACCGCTAAGTCTCGACACAGAGCCGACAGAACGAGACGTGCTCAACAATAACCAGTATCCATATACGTCATGGGAAAAACATGCAGATCAATGTTAGAGTAGAAAGGGGTTTTCGTTCAGATCCGTCCACACGAACAGCCTCCCGTCGTGAGCTACCTAAGCAAAGCTAACCTACAAATCCCGTCTTGCTCCATCTGACCACCATCCTCTCACTCCTCGTTACATGTCCCCACGAAATTACGCGCTGGCCCGTCCATAGCGCCCGGCTGCCAGGATTATGCCGCGCCCACCCATTCCCAGCCGTCGCTCTCGGCCTGATCCCAGCCGTCGCTCTCGGCCTGACTCATCTTGTACTCGGCTACGGCATGATCCCAGCCGTCGCTCTCGGCCTGACTCATCTTGTACTCGGCTACGGCCTGTCTGATCTTCTCCTTTATCTCTATATAAACCCGTGGGACCCGACTGTGAATGTCCATACCACCGGCCACTAGGTCCGGGATGTCATCGTCCTCATCATCGGCCTCTAGGGCCTGGCTGACCTTGACCGCCGTATCGGCCTTTGGGGCCTCGATGACCATGTCCTTCTTATCGGCCTCTGGGGTCTGGTTGACCTTGACCTTCTTTGCGGCCTTAAAGAGGTGCGTTAAGTTCTGGGTGGACATGTACTCGGCACCAGTCGCTGGGCGCTGCCAGACATTGTCCTCCGCAGTGGTCTTTGGGCCCTGGGTGGGCATGTACTCCCTTCTGGCCAAATGGCGCTGCAGCAAGAACTCCTTTTGCTTCTCAGCCTTTGAATACCGGATGAACTCCTCCTCGGTCTTTGGGCGCTGGCTGACCTTGACCTCCTTATCGGTCTTTGGGGCCTGGCTGGTATTGCTCGTCTGAACCCCGGCCGAGTACTTCGGAGGCTGCAGGGCATACAGCTTGACCCGTCCAATCTCCTTGAACCCGAACTTGCGGAACATTGCGAGTCCGGAAGATGTCGCGGTCACCATGGCCATCTTGTAGCCCTTGTCCTTGGCCAGCTGCATCCCGAATCCCAAGAGACTCTTGCCTACCCCCTTTCCTCTGTGCTCCGGCTTGACTATAATGCAGTGGATTGCCGCAACACCCTCGTAGAGGTGCACGAAGCCGGTGCCCACGATGGCGCGCTGACCGTCTGCAAGGGTGTCCCAGGCAGCGAACATCTGGAACTGCGTGGAAGGGAGGGCAGACAGGAGCGTGGTGTAGATATGGCTCCAGTGCTCGAGGCCGGAACTTCTCTCTGGGGCTTCGTATGCCCAAGCACGTACCCAAGCAGGTACCGCAGCGTCGGTTATCAGCTGCACCTCCATGGGCTTTTTCGGGGCATTGGACCGGCTCTCAACCGCAGGAAGAGAGATCTCGACTCTGGGTGGCTGTTGCTGGACAGGCGGAAGCTTCGAGGCCGACGGCATCATCTGCGGCTGCTCCTGGTGGGAAAGAGCCGCCATCCGGGATAGGGCCGCGTACGGGGATTGAACCTGCCGAGCTCGCGTATCGACCAGAGCCCGTTCGGCCAGAATAGCCTGGTGAGAAATCTGATGGACCTGAGCCTGATGGGCCCGAGCCTGTTCGTCTAGAATAGCCTGTTGGAACTGAGCCCGATGGGCCCGAGCCTGTTGGTCCAGTGTCAGGAAGCATCCCTTTGTTCCCGGGATGCTTCCTGACATGACATCCAGAATAGCCTGTTGGGCCTGAGCTTGTTGGACCTGAGCTTGTGGTACCGACGCCGGAACGGAGCTTCCAAACGCCGGAAGTTTCGACAACGTGGGAGCGTCAGGAATCGCCTCGTCTGGCTTACGTTGGGCTGCAGTGCGTTGCTTTTGCCGTGTCAACAGATGGTGACGTTTGGCATCTTCTTCTTGACCCTGCTTCATCAGGCGTTTTCGGTTCTGCTGCTCGAGGAGCATCAACTGCATTTGGTAGTCCTGCAGGGCTGGCTCGACGACCTGTGCAGGTTGGTCCCATGCCCCCTCCAGGTCGACGACCATGGCTGGCTCGTTGTCCTCGAGGACCAGTCGGCGATTGCGCAAGGCCGTCTCCAGCTGCGGCTGGTCCATGGGTCCCACAACCCAGCTCAGGCGACGGCGCTGCGACTCGAAGCGCTCGAGGACCTTACTGACGGCGCTGCCGATATGCTCGACCGGGATGGTCTGGTGCTCAACGAGATTGTGCGTCTCGTTCTGGAAGTCGAAGAGGTCGTTGCTCCCGGGCGTGGGAGCCTCGTACCAGCGAGTAAACCAGTCATCGTCGCCCCAGAGCCACTCCCCGGCGTTGGCAGCAGCGCTGATGTGCTTGGTCAGTTCGGCCTTGTTGGCGACCTGGTCAAGGTCAGCGTCACGCGATCCATCATCGGGCTAGATACCATGCGCATAGAGCTGAGTACATGGGGAGGATATGGCGGAACCGTTCAACGTACTGCGCAAGAAGTCAGTCATTCTGCAGAGCATTCAGGCGGGTGGAGGTGGTCTACCGTAAAGCTTGTGGAGAGAGGTGCTGTTGGAGGTGGCGAGGCGAGGGAATTGGAAGGCCGTGTCGAACGGCGCCTTGTTCTTGGGGCGGAAGGGCATATCGTTGAACTTGTACTCCCGGCCCTGGTGCCGCGAGAACATAATGGCGGATTCGGCTGCAGACGACAAGCGACTGTGTGCACGCGAGAGGCCGGAGGACGACGATGGTAGTAACTGCTGTTGCGCAGATGATAGATCAAATCTGTCTGCAGTGGGAAACCCGGAGTGCTGGTAATTGCCGGTGATCAGGCAGCCGCGTGTGTCGAGGAGGGTTGGTGGTGAGTGCAGGAGGTCCGAGGGATGAAGAGGGGGGGACGAGATGGAGGGTTGGAGATGGTGGATGTGTGGATGGTGCACGGTGGGATGGGATGGGCAATCAATCAATCAATCTATCAGTCAGTCAGACTGGCCTCGACCCCGCACACTACCACTACTAAGATACGGTAAAACATCAAACACATGCAGTGCACACGGACAGGACTCTACCTAGGTTGCAGGTGAGGCTGTGCTACCCGAGGCAGGCTGCGGGCTCGGGAGTCAACGAGTGGGCATGTGTGCGAGGTGAATCTCACATAATCCATTGAGCCTCGCGTTTGTTTCGGCTACTTGAGGGGCAGCCCGTGCTTCGAGACAATCATGACCGACCCGAGAGTGACACAGCCAAACACAGGGCGGGCTGGCAGGCAGCAGGCTGGCGGAGAGGGGGCTGTCTTGCATTCATCCGCCGTGATTCGCTGATGGGCTCGCCGACACATGCTTCGGATGATAACCTGACAGCATTTACCTGCCCTCACCACCACTAGTGCTCACGTTAGTAAACCTTGTAGTGGCCAGATTGAACACATTCATGAGTATGACGTGCTGCAACCACAGATCGATCGTGGCTTCGTGATGTTTACCTAGGTAGGTACTTAAGTAGGTATCTTGGAGACATTGTCATCCTTCCTGCCACATGCCTCTACTCCTCATAGGTACAGATGACCCGGAGCTGAGGCTCGGTTGATGGTATGAATCCTGTCCCGGCTGAATGTCCACACGTGATTCAATTTTGTTCGTATTGCTGAGTAAAGACACCCGGGAAGGCAATACCTCAGACTGATGTTCTTCGTTCGAATACGAGAAAGAACAGAACCTGCCGAACCTCAAGACCAGAGACCATGGGTCGCATCATAGCGGTGGTGATAAAGCATTGTGGTGAAAGTTGGATGTGCCAGCTGCAGTGTTGCAATGGAAGAGAATAGGAGGGAGACGGCGGCATGGGGGCGGCAGTGAATAGCGGGATGACATTGTCAAAAACTGTTGCAGTCGTGAGCTGGACGTGGTGAAGCAGAGGTTAGTGGAGATTTCGGTTGATCTAGTTACGAGGATATTTTAAGGTTAAAGAGGATGACTGGGTTCTATGGATGTACCAGCATCCGCGGGCCCTGACTTTGGAGGGGCCACGTCTGCTTTTCTTGGCACGATGAACACGCCTCGGGATGAACAGCCTGCCTATAGGCAGAATTACATGAAGTAACTAACATCAACCCAAAGCTATTGTGGGCTATACCTGGGGTTGGTTGCGATCTCAGGACTGAGACTTTGATCTCATTCAAGATCCACGACATTCGACTCTTAAGAGCTTAAAGTCCATATGTAATACAGTTGAGTATCTCTCTCACAACCACCCTTATTCAACGAAGACTCAAGCCGGTTAAGTCACCTTACATCAAGCCTTTCTACGACCTTTGGCGGATCAATATAGACACAGCACGAGGTAGCTCTGTGGATCTTCCCACAGGGGCCGGCAATACCAATTAAGTTAGTTCCCACGACGCAAACAGTCACGCCTTTTCTGATCGATCTTGAGGACTGTGGCACTTAGCCCAGAGGCATTTATACGCCCTTTTCGCTTTTCATATGCAAGAAACGCCCGTGCTTGACGGCTGATTATTCCTCCTTTAAAGGATAACAACGTATTTCGAGAGCCAAGGATGCTGAACAATCGCGCCTATATCGGCTCTCTCACTGGGCTGGAATCTCAACATGCTCCCGAGCAGATGCGCAAGGGATTGCATTTCATCCTTCGCGTAGTGCCAGACAGAAAGCTCCCTCTTGTATCCGCCGTATTTCTGTGGCATTCGCCGAGAATACTGTCGTTGCTCGCCCAGGAGAGCTTCAAGAGGGTTCGAGTATCCTGTTTCGTTTTGCATCTCTGCTTGTGCTTGTGACAACACGCCCAAGTCCAGGTCAATGGAATATCCCCGTCAGATAGGGGCTCGAATGTAGACCCAGATTCGTCGTTCCCTCCCTCCCCGGTTTCTTCCAGATCGCACGCATAGCCTTCATCAAGCCAGACCTTCCGGTAGGGGTCGGGTAGAGCACCTAGGTAGAGCTCCATCGTATGCGCTATGCCCTCGATTCCGTCCTCGAAGGTTTCGAACATCTTGTTATTCGTGCGTATCTCATAGAGGGTACATGCCAAGGACCAAATGTCGCTCTCGAGGCTTGGAGTCCCGTTGAATCTAAGGAATATTACCGGACTCGCATACGTGTCCGGGATTCCCGATTCGTTGGGAGGTGCTTCGAGTCGGAATGATTCCCCAAAGTCGATGATGACAATCTCTTCGGTCACTAGCCCTTTCCACCATCCGCCAGACGATGGGACCACGCAGTACTCAGGACCCCCGGGCCGCGGTTCCTCGTCGGAGGTTGTTCTAAGATCGATGCATTCAGGCTCGCCAAGAAGTTCAAGGACATGATCTTTACCGAGCTTCTCGATGCCATCAAACCTCATCAGGATATTCTGAGGTCGAGATCTCCGTGCCATACTCCCTTGCTGTGCAGAAACTGCAAGCCCTTCGTGACCTGACCACAGATGTTCGCAGTCGCCACCCTCAATTTCTCATCCTCGTCAGCTCGCTGCGTTCGTCGCCAATCCGACACCGGGCAGCCGAAGAACGGCATGACGAAACATTGATGTGACCCATTCGGTCCATGTATCCAGAAATAGTCCAGCAGCGTGGCAATGTGATGTTCCCCGATCTCAATGAGATGATTTGTGGCGTTTTATTTTGACAGACTTAGCGTACATCACGGGGACTCTGCTTTTTGTTACTTTCTGGGGTATTTGGGTTTGGCTCCTCCCTTCCGGTCGAAGAGCTTGAATAACATAAATCGTTCCTCGATCTCTTTGGCTGTCGATGTCTGCGAAAGGTAGCGCACTATTTCAATTCCCTGCTCGCTTCGGAACTGTCCGCCGTGAGGACCTTGACAGCGCGCCATTCTCCGCTATACTATCCCGAAGCCGCCGTTGCCTAGTTTGTGCACTACTTCAAAGCGTTCGTCGAGGATGTCTCTGAGGTGGATCGGGTGAAAGCCTCCTTTGTTGTATTTGAGGACATCTTCAATTCCCGATTCCCGTATCGTATATGGGTCTAGCCAGTAACTTAGTACTCCGTATCGGGGTTTTCGGCATCGGGATGTCAATTCACCGAGGTCCTCATCAACTGTAGATTTGGGAGGAAGATCGGACATGGTTGAGATTTAGCTGGGATGGTGATGACTTGGACCCAGGCTCTTGAGTCTTCAGATGCTAGTATATGGCGTCGTCATGCAAGTTGATCGTATCATGAATGCATGTGGATGTTGATAGATAGCAAGCAAGTAACGTATTGTTATGAGGTATGTCAGCATTCTAAAGTGTAAATCATAGGCATATATGATCTCAGTCGAATGCTACGAACGTATGTCTAAGTTGGATAGAGCATCGAAAATGTACAGGGATCCAACGACGTGGTAACGTTACCCTCCGCAGTTATCATCGTCACCTTAGCGACAACAGTGCTTGGAGTCGACGTAGCTAGGCTGCCTCATACATGAATGCCTTTGGACCCCGGGGTTATTGAGGTGCGCAGGGTCAATATTTGTCACTCAGCTCCACTCCCCTATGCAGTGAGTGATGCTGATCAGTTCTCCTGGGGCTGTTCATACAGACAATGGAGGAAATGACAAACGCACTGCAGCATGAAAGATACAGGATGCAGGAAACAGCTCCCGTGCTGTGTGTTAGAGCAGCTCATAGTGCCGATCCGGGAGTCAGGTATGGGTTCATGTGTTACTCAAAGCAGTGGCGAGTTCATATTTGAGACACGCCGTCTTTCAAAGAGGAACAGCCCTCTAAAGACTTCTAGACTAGGACAACCGACCAGGACAACGTTCTTTACAGGCATAACAGGACGCCTTTCAAAGAGTCCAAGCTGAAAGTGCGTCCAGATATTGTTCGAAGAGATTGGTAGCTGATACATAGAAAGAAGTAGGAATAGCCGAAGGATGAGCTTTAGGATTATATATGGATGGCTGGCTTCCGGCAATTGGCTACTGTCGATGCTCGATTTCATCCTGTCCATCCAGACAACACGCAATGGCCGTCACATGTCCCTTCGCAACCACAGACTGGAAGCTCGTGGCTCGCGAGGCTGCAGCAGCCCATACCCCAATCTGCCTGCTCTCCATCCTCATCACCAGTCTCATCTACCTGGTCCACAAGAACTTTCTCTCCAGCCACAGAAACCCGACTGCACGTATCGCGAAGCTCGTACAGATCATTTGCCACAACAGTGCGCATATAGGACCACTACGCACGCGCAACGTCTCGAGAGAACCGGGAGCCGAAGCAGAGACGATAGCCGCAGACGTGCAAGCTCTTCGCGAGCGCGTCGGAGCGGAACTCCCGAGTGACTACGAAGCCTTCCTGACCATATCCAATGGCATCAACCACGTGTGGTGTGGTTGCTCACACAACTTGGTACTCTTTGGGGCGAAAGGCGTTGATGTCCAAGGCAGGGTCGACGGCTGACAATGCACCAATTCACGCCGGTTTGGGGTAGCTTCGGCGTCCTTAGCCAAATGGGATGCGGTCGCTGCTATTTGGGACAGGCACAGGTAAACGCGACACGGGTAAGGAGTGACGTGCCTGGCGGTGGGTCGATTTTCAATGTTAAGGGGCCGTTGAAACAACCACCAATCATAACAGGGGACTTAAGTCGCTTAAGTGAATGGTGGTTCCCACCCGGCGAATTACTCGAAATCGGTACCCATTTCCAAAACTTCGACGACCATAGGATCTTCCTCGTGCTACCCAAGGCCTGCAGGAGGTATGTGCAGATATACCAGAATGCTGTGATGTCCGACAGTGCCTGCGAGCGATGCAAGAGAGGTGTGGAGCGTCACTACAAAGCTGTGTGGGGATCGTGCTTCCTGGGGGATCGTTGGGCGGAGGGTTGCGATAGCACCTGGATGGTTCTCGTCACGGATGAGGGGTACAGGTGCTCCAAGATATACCCGACCTTCACTGCATTTCGCGAGGACGTGGCAAGAGGGTCAAATGAAACCCATGCAGACTGATTTTTCCCTCCGCGTTTCTGTAACACCCGTCGACACCAAAAAAAGTTACAATAGTAGTTGTGTCAATCAGGAGGTGCGCTGGGCCTCGAGTCTTCACTTGTAACGGCAGGTCGTGATTGTGTGCGCGTGCTGTGTTCGGAAACTGGGTTCTGCAACTTACTGAACATGTGAGCTAATACCATCGGGTCCCGAGTGACTGGATTCAAGAAGGAGAATCATCGATACTATCTTCATTGGGCATTGCAGAGAATGCCGTTCGAAGAGTGGTTTGCGGCGACCGATCCTCTACATGTACGTACCACGTGTCACATCATCATCTCTTCTTAGCAACTGCAGCCAATATGACGTCTTCGTAGTGCTGTACGACGTTGAAATGAGTCGCCGCTAGTTGTCTTCAATGCGAGCTTCTTGTTGTTGACAGAAAGGATTCGCATGGTGCCCTTGCGTAGGCGTATGTAGCAAGCACAATTGTAACAATGCGGAGCCCGCTACACTTCGAAACCGAGATTATTTGATTTGCAACGCAACGAGATCGGGTAAGGGTCAAAGGCGGCAGTCGTGGGCGTATGAAATGATAAAACAAGTAGAGGTACCGTGGCAAGCGTGACATGTAATGGCAGCAGAAAGGTGCTGACGTACTGTAATGCTGCGGTGAGTCATCGGATAGGTAGAAAAAAGGTGATTTCCTGTCCCCGCGGCTGGCAGCGGCACAAGAGCAAAAAAGTTTTCCTCCCATCGGCAGCATCAACACTACCTAGGTGGCTAGCCTTCTCTACTAGTATCGTTCATCAATTTGCAAACAACGGTTGCAGCCAATGTTTACCTCATTTCGTACAGTCCGCCCACAGGCTTCTGCAAGATGATCTGTTATCCGTCTGCAAGGCCTGGGAGACGGGGCTCCAGGATCGATGCTGGGGGTACTGAGCCGGCCTCATCCAACAGGGTCCTCCCTACAGAGTTCCACTACAGTGTGAGAATTTCACAGAATGAAGGTAAACTTCTAGATGCGACGCGGCAGATCGACAGGTGAGATGCAGGTTGAAACGATAAAACATGGCGTGGAACGCAAGACCAGCAACTGTCACATCGCCGTCAGACATGGAGTCAACCAGGCAGCCAGGAGGCAAGATACATCCTCACGCGTGTGACCACCAAACAACGGCTCTGAAACAAGCCCAGGTCACACAGCAATCCATCGCCATTCGCACATCATATTCTGAAATGTGCACTTCACCGCGAACGGCAAATGGCGATCGATAATGGCAGGATGGGATCATTCAATGGGAGAAATGGTCGCAGCGGATACCGCGTGTTGCATGTGGCCATCTCGCCCGCTCATTGGATACCAAACCACCAACCGTCGGTACCTGCAGCGCATGTTAGCAGCGTGACGGCCCCGACATGACGTTGGCGATCCTGAATCTCTCCCTGGAGACCGGGAGGTCGTCAAAGTCAAACCCGGGCTACCAGACCCAGGTCAAATCCATCTGGCAGTCTGGTCCTGGAGGATGAGGAGGCTTCCCGTTTCCGTCGCACAGGTGCCTGTCTAGCTGTCAGGGCTGGCCAGGGGTGGCAAACTATGGGGTAATGATTATGTACAGAAAACCTTGGCGCCCGGGCTCGGTCGAGTCCCATGACACCTCCGTCGACGCCCCGATTTCGTAACAACATGAAAGTATTAGCTAACATGTACCAAATAGCACCTCGGGAGCGCATCACGCGCCTACCCCGGATTCCACTTGCTTGCCGTTAACTGCTAAGCGCCCTACGGACCGCCGGTGCCGAACTGCTGGATCTTCAGATTTTGCAATGCAAATCCACAGAAGAGAATTTCTCTTCTCACGCTTGACGCCGGAGACCAACACGCTGTCATCGATCCGTCGTGCGCTATGAGCTGCTTCGCTTCGGCCCTCCTTGATTTTCGCACCATGTGCTCACCCACATGTCCTCTTCCGGTGTCTTGGAGTCACCGAAAAATTCTGTTCGCAATTTCATCCTGCTAGCCTGGCCGGTACGTAGCTACGTATCGTGATGCTTACGCAGTCCTACCTTGGAAGGTTTGGCGAGGATGCTGCGTAACCTTGCAAGCCTTGACAAAGAGATTGCCCCCTACGTTCCACGGTGGCATATATGAAGCTCCCGTCCTTCCCTCGGCCGGAGCTGCTCTTCTTTCGTTGAACCTCAGCACACACACCACTTAAACCGAATATTGTGAGACACACGCACATTCCAGAGAAGCCTTTTCAGAGCAACACACACAGCAAACCATCCACACACGCACATCATCACCATCACCTCGTCGGGACAGCCGCATAGCACAACCATGTCCCTATTCACCGTCGCCGAGCCTCACCCCACAGTCCGCAAGAACACCTACACTCACTCCGGCCGTGGAGGTTCCGGCAACTACTTCCGCGCCCCGGCCACCACCCCGTCTTCAGGTGTCGTCAGCCCGGCCGCCGAGTTGCCTCCCACCACGTCCCGCTTCCACTCCGGCCGGGGAGGAGCTGGCAATGCCCACGTTTCGGTGGAGCGACCCGTGATGTCCTTCGATGACGAGTTCACGCGCCAGAGCAAGATTGAGACCAAGCCAATCGGTCACGTCGGCCGCGGCGGCGCCGGCAACGTCTTTGCCGCCACCAACGGCACCACGCCCGGCGCCCCCCGCAAGGGAAGCGACGCCTCAATCCACAGCAACAGCAGCGCGGGCAGCATGCCTGACTTCGTCCGACGCATCAGCTCTACCTTTGCCCGACGCTGAGGGCGGGCACTGCCCCTTGAGTGTCAACGGCGTCAACCGCCGATAATACTCTTGAAACTGAGCACATACATCTCACTTCACCATCTTCTACTCTTTCAACACGGGTCAAACAAGCACGGCGCAAACGCGGGAACACACGAACACGGATATACGACACAAAAACGAAGGTGCCGACATACCATCGCGCACAGGAGAACGATGACAGGATTCTGGGGCCTCAGAACAAACGGAGCTCAATGATTGATTTGGTTTGACGTTACAATATACCCGAGCGACAATGATATTTCAAAAATGCGTGTGTCATGGCATTGAACTCTCCCCCCGGCTGGCAGATTCCGGGGCGGCGGTACGGGAAACCCAAATATCAAAGCGGCGGGTGTTTGTTTCTGGTGAACTTTTCTTATGACGGATATACCCCCAAACGAGCGACTGAGAGCGGATTCTAATATCTGCGAGGACGGATGATTTTCATGGAATGGTTTCCGGGAAGCACTGGTCGGATGGCCTTGTGCCGCCATCATGTCTATAGTACAATTGAACACTGGTAGCAACCATTCTAGAAGCACTTAACACGTGCGCTCGATGATTCGGTGAATATGTGATGTGATCGAGGTGATTCACCTCGTCACGGATGTCTGTCGTGGCTTAGTTCCGTGGCGAGTAGGCATGACACCAGATTCCCAGCACGAGACGTGACGATATCCCTCGAAATAAATACTGTAAGCCATCTACCCCACTGGCAAAACGGTCCTTACTCCCGCTTCCCCTGGCCTTCTGGACCTCACACCACGTCGTCTAAAATTGCGCCGTGTAGTCGTCCAACTTGATCTACCTTAGAAGCTACCAAATCCGAACGCAAGACCCTGACTTTATTGCTCACTTTGAAGCGCAAAGGTTTCTACGATCAAGACGCCCGGCAGGTACAGACCACGATCGTGAGCAGGAGCGTTCATCTCAACGTTTGGGTATCATTCATCTACATCGGATGACAACTACTATCCTCCATAATTCTAGCATGGCCAACCGCCAACTTGTCCCGACTTCTTGAAAACAATACCCCTGAATGTATCTCAGGATGAAGTGTCTGTCAGTCTTCCCACTAATAGCACCTCCTCGTTGGTTAGACGTGACAAGCTCGATCAATGTTAATGCACGCTATGCTCTCATCATATGTGATTCCAACCAGAACGGCACCTGCCGCGCCGTAGAAGTGACCGCAGCTGCTTGGCCAGTCCCTTTCTGCAGACTTTCTCGCTTCCGGACCGTCGTATCTAGGTCAGCTTCTTGTGGATGATGTCCGGGTCCTCGTGCCAGTCGTCGATGCTAACCCACATCTGATATGTTGTTAGTATGTAAAACTCAGTGATGAAGACAGGACAGATGCTTGTCGGCGAAAAACGAACCTTTCTAAATGTGCTCAGACCCGCCAAGATACTGCCACCAATCCAGGTCGAGTACTTCCGCTCGGGCGGCGCAAAGATCTTGATGCGCATGTCTTTGACCGCGAGCTTCTTCACCTCGCTCAGCAGGCGATCACCGAAGCCCTTGGTCAGGGTGCTGCCGCCTGACAAGACGATGTTGGCGTATAGCGCCTTGCGCAGGTCGAGGTCGGTCCGGTTGATCGAGTCCGTCACTATCTGGTGGATGCCGGGGTACTCCAGCCCGATGATCTCGGGGTCGAACAGGATCTCGGGGGCGCGGAAGCGCTCCTGCCCAACGCGCAGGCGGTTCCCGTCCGGTAGTATGTATTCCGCCGTCTTGCCCTGGTCCAGCTTTGTGCTGGCCCAGTCCTTCTCCTCTTGCTTCGGGTTCAGCGCCACGTATGACACGGATTCCTTGATCAGCCGCACCACCTCCTTCTCCGCGCTCGTGTGGAACACGTAGCCGCTCTTGCGCAGCAGCGTCTGCATGTACTCCGTCACGTCCCGGCCCGCCACGTCAATCCGTTGTATCGAGCTCGGGATCGCGAAGCCTTCGTATACGGGTACGGCGTGCGAGACTCCGTCGCCGGAGTCCATTACGCAGCCGGTGGTGCGGCCGCTGGCGTAGAGGGAGAGAACTGCTTGGATCGAGGTGTAGAGGGCGGGGACGTTGAACGTCTCGAATAGGATCTGGGCGGCTGTGTCGCGGTTGGCACGGGGGTTTAGCGGAGGTTCTGTCAGGAGAACCGGGTGCTAGATTGCGGGTTAGCTAGAAGATCCCAGGTGTAGGTATCCATTGCAAACGCAAAATAGAGGGCTGTACCTCTTCACTCATGGTCTTGAGTCCTTCGCTGTACACGTACTCCCATATCTTCTCCATGTCGTCCCAGTCGGTGACAATACCATGTTCTAACGGGTACCTGATCTTTAAGAGGCCTCTGAGTTCGGTTGCGGCCTTCTGGCCGATGAAGACCTCACCTTCCAACGCGCCAGCCAGCACTCGCAAGTGTTTCGGCCGACCGACGAAGGAGGGGAAGTAGCACTTTGGCAAATCGTCGCCCGCAAACCCTGCGCGAATGGTGCCCGAGCCATTGTCTAGCACGATGGGTGCGTTGTGCAGGGAGTCCGTCATCGTGGGCTGCCCCGAGGTTTCTCGCGCCCACTACAGCTCTCCCTGTCTACCCTTGTAATCCAGCCTTCCACTCCCAAGCCTCAGTATTGACCCTTTGCGCAGCCTGGCGAGGAAAAGTCGCTCAACGGATTGGGTTTGTCGGGTCCCGCGTGAGTGTCTCCAAAGTTGAAGGTCAAGTGGTTAAGGGCTGTCGCGTACTCTGGCCCAGGCTTGGTGATCTAGGTAGGTAAACCCGATTATGGTTGTTTCCGAAATCTGCCCATAGAGCCTCAGTCTGTCGCGATCCGTCGTCGCTCCCGCCTAAAAGAGTGCAGGTACGAGATTGAGTGGTGTATCTGTGTGTTTGCTGTTTGCTCGACGAATGCAGCTTCGACCCACGACGCGCCCCCTGTTACGCTGGAGATGATCAGGAGCTCTGGACAGGGGCATGTCATTTTCGTGCTAAGCTCGAAGTGGTCGACGTGTCTTACATAATATACTTCTTAAAAGCATAACACTCTTATGATAATTTGATTCTGTTAACACTTACAACTGGCTCCAGGGGCCCCACCCCTATCCTTGAACCCACTCCGACTCCCTGTGCCTCCCCCCCTCTCCTCTCCAGTCCCTCTCACACTCTGCCAGCCAGTCCATTCTCTCTCTGCCTATCCTTTCTCCATCCGCCTGAACTTCTACCAAAAATCTCAAACTCTGGAATACTTCTTTAATGGCAAATGCTCGACTCGAATTCAAACGTCAGGTCTTTCAACGCCAGGTGACCTACAGTTTCTCATGCCCTATCTTCTCTCTTCTCGACGAACTCGCAGATATGCACAAACACAGACATGGGCCACGAACTCGACTACGACTTGTGGCGGCAAACGTACTCCCAAAGTACGAACAGTTGACGCTGCCACCGCTCCCGGTCGCACCACACTTTTCCACATCATGTCGGTAATCCGTCAGCTGGACCTCGCCGTTCCAACCGCTGATCGAGTTGGGTTCGACGACGTTGCTATTGTCGGTCACGCTGGCCGTGCCCCTGCTGTCGCAGTCCCAGCTGGACTTGGTCTTGTCTGAAACGCCATACTTGTTCTCGTACACGCCGCAGACCGCCTCGCCTTTCTTCCACACTCCGACGTTCATGTCGTCGTCCCGTGTACGCGCTGCTGTACAGATATGTACGGGCCGTGGTGCAGGGCTTCTGGATTAGAGGGTTGCTGAGCTCAGGGGCGGGTGTGGTCCAGCTGGTGCAGCTGCCTAGCGTCAACGGGGCCTCGAGGTCACGACCGCTCATTGATGTCCACGTCGTCGAGGGCACGCTTGTGGCTGCAGCGTGTGCAGGCCGGTCAGAGACCGGACGGCGCAGAACGTGCTGGTCAGGCAGGTCCCCCCTCGGGGCTCGCCATTGCAGCCGAAGCAGAGCGTTCCGCATATTCTCTGTGCGCAGTGGGCTAGGCGGCCCGGACTTGTACTCGGACCACCCGGCCCGGGCATGTACTCAACGGGCGGACCTTTTACCTCCGGGGTGCCTGGTAATGGACATGACTTGTCATCGTCTCCGGACTGGCGCCCGGCTACGTCCCGTCGCTTCGCACCAAAGCCACAGCGGCTATTGCCTTGCGCGTCGTTGCAGACCATCTGCTCCCCTGTTTGAGTTGAGTTGGTCCCATCCGGAGGGAAAACAAGACGATACAGGAGCACAGCGACGATGAGGCCGCGGATATCCTGAGGCGTGTTTCCATATCCTGGACGAGAGGGATGGCCCCGTGGACAAACGAAAAGTCCGGCAATAAAGGTGCGGCTTATCGGGAACCACCCGTTAGCGCAGCAACGAGTCGGAGTTTGTTTCTAAGGAAGAAAACGCATTGGAAACATACTTGAGGAAAACCTCCGAATCGTTATGACATCTGTGTAGACGTGACAGCAATGTTGTCTACTGCAAAAGTCTGTCTACTGTCCGTTGGCAGCGGAAACGCTCTAGATCAACTGGTTCTCTATGTTGATGAGGTCTATTGGAAGCGAAGGGCTAGCCTCGACGCCGCGCGTCCGCCGGACGTGCGGCTACACCACTGGCCATATAAAACCACGTCTCTCGACACGTCTCCAACGCGACTGCGCTTGGTTGTGTTCTTACGTACGAAAGAAGATTCTGCTCACAACACTCCACGACGTGCCAACCCCTTTTGTGGGGCTACCCACAGCGCCCAGTTCTTCACGATCGAAACTAAATTACTCCTAACTCATAGATATCGTTCCAGGCCAGTCGCGCCTACTACCAGGCGTTTGGTAGTCAGTGGCATGCTTTCAGCAGTATGACATGGATGGCGGCCACGTTGCCTTCAAGAGTGAGGGGCTTACCCGAATTTCGGCCGAGGTTGGGATTCCAGGCGGCCTGCCTCCGGCCTGAGCTCAGGTCGAATCCAACAGACATGTGGCCGGCACGGCATATCCCTTGCAATTGGAAATCCACTCTCAACTGAACACGCGTTCGTCCAAATAAGATGGCACTCGCACCAAAGCTACATTTTTTTCGCTATGCCGCGACCTATTCGGGAACTGCGAGGTTCGTCACGTGCGGTGAGGTGTGCAGTAGGTTGGTTGTGTGTCACCAAAGTCCGGAGTAAAATCTCCTGGGGTTTAGGCTTAGGTGTGGCTTGTCATTGCCTTCAGTTGGCATCCCCTGGGCACCTGTCAGATCATCAGGAGACCTGCTCGAGTGCATGGGCAGCCATGTTTTACGATGTACTGAGGTTTGTGCCCTTCGAGGGACGGCATCCTTCTAGAAGCTCTCTAGTGAAAAGACTCAAGGCTCGACAAGCAAAATGTCCTGAAGGTTTTACCATATACACAGCATGCCGCCGATCAAGGCTATCTTTTGGAAGTAAGGGCATCGGGTACCTTGCCGTAGCGCAGATTCCACGTGCGATCTTTGTGCTTCAAAGTCCCGAAGCCCTTGAGGTGATCGGATCAGCACTAAGAAACCGACCGATCCTCTCCTACTTCAAGATGGACATCGCCTGTGGTGTGCTGGGATTTCTCGACGGGACACAAAACACAGAACCTTGGGAGCACGCGGTGTCAGTCAACATGTATGGACGCTTAGCTAAACTATCCCGAGCACCTGTTGTTCCGTTCATTTGCTCTTCTCGGTCAACAACTCGGTCAACAACTCGTTCACCACGATCTTCTCGTATTCGCGCACCACGATCTCCTCGTATTCGCTTCTCCGATGTGTTCACCACATGGATGTATTCACCACATGATCTCAGCGGCACGAGCCTTCGTGATGACCGGCTCGTTTGGATCCGCCCATCTTATATCTTCCTACCCACCTATACGGAGGTTCACATCTGCGAAGTTACCGGAATGGCGGAGGCTGTATTGCAGTCAAACGAGTAGGCGTATTTGCCATAAGGTGGGAAATGATCCTTCGCCGGGTCATCGACGTTGAAATCGAACCCCTCTAGTAGATATGTGAGCAAAGTGCCAATTCTCGCCTGACTCTAATCCAACAGCTCATCTGAATAAGTGCGCAGAATTTCGCGTACCATTGACTGGAGGGTGGTTATCGACCGAGGGGGCTCTGAAGGTCTCATCGACCCAGCCCCCTTCATTTCGATCCAATATTTACTCAATGGGGACGAGTAAGACATACTTATGTGTCATGTCCTGTGATCAGCACCGTCCTACCCCTATGTATAACTTTTGCGTTGGACGTACTAAACATCCGTAACCTGAGATCTGGCATGAGATATTCCGTCTGATCATAACAACCAAGCGAACCCCATCGACGCCATAGCTGCCGCGTGGTGTTAGCCCGTAAAGCCCAAAATGTAAGTACTGCCAAAATAAATCGCTACCATGGCGGCATTGCGGTTCTGGATATACGTCCTGATTTCGGCATGGCATGCTGTGTTCTCAGGGTCAAAGTGGGACGATGATGATATGATTAATCATTTCCTTCAATTTGCTGTGTTGGGAGCATGAAGTCTCCTCTTTCAATCTCAATGCCCATATGACTCCATCGAAACCCTCCTCTGCTCCATCACCAAGTTTTCTGGCGTTAGAGGATCACACACAATGTGAAGACGTATCCTTGAATGTGAGTTGATAAGTTTCAAATGGACCATCGTGTATTGATGTGCTCTGGTTCTGTTTTGTCCCGGTACATGTACCGGACCACTCGGCCATCTTGCCATTCTCGAGGCAGCGCGAGAGACCTCCAATCCATACGGAATCCATCTGGCCACCCCGACACAGCCGCCGCCACACTGGTTTGACTTATGTCGTATGCGTGTATTTGTGCTTGAAAATCGTCCTCCGCCGGGAATCGAACCCTCCTGCTGGTGCAATCCGAAACGTGGTCTTAGTCGAAACGCCACTCTTGTTACCATGATAAACTTTTGAATGGCCCATTGGGTATTGATGTTATCTGGTTCTGTTTACTCCCGGTACATGTATCCTGCCAATAGAGTCCATGGTTCCCAATCTAGCAGTTGATATTGTTTTGAATCTCGCATCTAGACTCTGTCGCAACCTTAAAAAACTCGATAAGTTTACTTTTTGTGGCTTATACTTGAGCTTTGCTCCTCTTCGCCCCGCACTCTAACGTCTATGACTCAAGCGAAACCGTCGCTACAGGCAAAAGTTCACGCACTTATATAGACGTATCCTCGCAATGGAATCTCGCAACGAACTTCTTCTCTTCCCTACATACCATCGTTTATTTGATCAAGGTTGCGGCAGAGCCTGAATTGATTCCACATCATCGATACCGTCTCAATCTGCTGGGTTGGGAACACGAAGTCTCTTCCCTACATCACCGAGAACACACCGCAATTTCCTCAAAATGAATAACGGTTACACCACACCACAACACCCAGTGATACCTGGACCCGGCAACGCAATGCCAGACGGCGCTCGCGGTGACACCAATGAGTTCAACTGGCCTGATGCGTCATACGATGTGCGCGGCTCGTGCGGCGGCCACTGCGTCAGCACAGTGGCACACGAACCGGGCTGCCAGAACCAAGTCAACTACAACAATACCGACGACGAGGACAGTTCCTTCCTAAACGTGGATGTCACAAACCACTGGGGCGCCGTCTCGCCGTCGGGTTGGGGGAGTCCCGTCGGCGCTGCCAACACTGCAATGGACGTGTCGTTGGGCAACAATGCAAATATGTACCCGGGACCAAACTCTGGGAACCATGGTCCATCCTTTGGCCAGTACGGGGCGGGCTACTGCTCGAACGGAAATATCCGCAACCCCACGGTATCTGGCGGCTGGCGTTCTCCGAGCGGCTACCACGAATGGCTCAATACGACGGGCAACTACGGAGCAGGTCACCAGCCACCCTTCGTGCCGCACAATGGCCGCTCCATCACTGGGCTTCCCCTATTCCACTACTGCCAGGGCCAGTGAGTGAACCCGTATTCTCCATTCCACGACCCACCCCTACTCATTGTTACATGACCCAACCCTATATGTTTTTGGCCTATGTGCCCTAACGAGGATGACGATGCTGACAGCTGCCAAAGCCAGACAGGCCCTCCCAAAATGAGTCAGCCCACCCGTGCTGGCGGCCCAACCGACGTCAATTGGCCCCGCTCAAACGGCCCCTGGGGTAATACCACCGGACACCGCGGTTTTGGGTAGGCCTGCCTCTTTCCCCTCCAGTACGAGCTAGACGAGCCAGAGGCTAATCATCGAGTAGTCCACCTGGGTATGGACGTGGCATTCGGGAATACCCCCCCTATTAGATATAGGTGATGGTCTGTATTCTGGATGTTCTGCTTGATGTCTAGAAGGATGGGAGCTCGGCCCATCCGGAAGGGCACTCAAGTACTAGAAACAGTCCAAAGGTAAGCTGTACCACGGGCAACAATACCAGCCCAACCGACAGGATACCCCGACAGCTGGAATCAGCTGAATTCGCAAGGTTAGCTATGGCGAGATCAGACTAATGGTGTATGGTTGTGATAACGCAGTGGGTATTCTAGCCACAAAATCACAAAAAGAATACAGAAAGTTCAAAAGACAAGTGAGAGACGCTTTGACTGTATCAGCCCCCAGAGACAGACCGACCGCAGGAAAAGGAGACACGGCTGCCGTAGATCACTGCTGGCATGGCGCTCCTCTTCCCATTTCAGAGACTGAGGCAATCCATTGTTGACTGCCACTCCGCAGCCACCTTCGAGTAGGCCTCTAAGCCCGTCGCTCTAACCAGAGTCCAAAGCAACCATTGGTCAGACACGCTGAGCCGCCTCTTAAGCCAACCCAGGAGCGACTCAAGTTGCTCAACCTCCATGCATGAAACGATGCAGCCACTGCGTTATCGCGATGCCGCCACCCATTCGCTTTCCGAAAAATTCATAGTGGGGTGGTCAACAGGTTGACTGCCACGAAGATACCGCCAAGCACATTGAACACTACCAGCACACCGTCCTTGGCCAGCCAGTCGTTGACGAAGTACGTCAGACCGAATGTCAGCAAGTTGCGAGCGTCGATGGCCACGAATGCTGGAAGAGCATTAGGAGGCACCCATATTCGTTGAGATTATGGCTCGCCCCCTTCACTCAATTCCGGGTGGCCATCAACAACGTAGCCAAACACGCAAGCATTCGAGAAAGCCAGGGTCATATTTGCCAGACCGACGCACGTCAGCACGGGACGGGCCCGCTCCAATATATGTCTGATAGTGTATCGTGGCTCCGAATTCAAAATCCGAAAAACCCAGCAATGCCGGCCAAGAACGACACAATGATCGAACGGGTTTGTAAATGCACGGTTTCTCTTGGCGAGCCGCAAGCAGACCCAGTCGTTCAGCGGTCCAGTCGTTCAGCGGTCTAGACGGGTTTTCCCCTGCGAATGTGAGGATGGACGGGACAATGAGATCAACCCAGTTCCCGATACCGAAAAGTTGTAGGGAGGCGCCATGAAGATTGCACCATTCACCACGCTGAAGACCATAATCCACGTCAGGGTGACCCCGTATAGCCGAAACGCCCATAGTACGGCAGGGTAACAGAAGATAACCATGTGCCCGGAGAAAATCTTCCAAAGGACCAGGAGGGTGTCTCGGTATAGATCCCGCTTTATAATCTCAGGATGCGCAGACATGGGCCCTTGGGCTCTGCCGGTGTTCCGGCCTGAGCCGCTACCATTGGCCTCTCTCTCTTCTGTTTATACCCTGATCCCATATATGCCGTCGCCGGAACGAGAAACACCACCAGAGGAAGGAACGTGATGCCGAATAGTATAGCGCACCAAATCAACGTCCATCGCCACCCTTGTTCCTGTAGTATGCGTTAGGATATGTGTACCCCAGGAAAAGTTGTCGATAAGACTCGCCTCAATGATAGAGCCAGCGATCAAAGCACCGCGGCTAATACCACACGCCAAGAACACATTCCAGACTGCACGCGTGGTCGCGCGCTCATGCACGAGGTACATGCCCGCAAACGCGCACTGGACAAGGACTTCATATGGCCCCATCCCCAGCACACTCCAGATGGGAGATCCCAGAAAGCTGCTATGGTTCTTCGAAAGAGCGCCCCAGATGATACCGGATAACATGATGATGCTTGATATCACGTATAGGGGCCGTCTGTCGACCTTCTTCGCCATCGTGTGTGGAGACGAATAACGGGAGCCCGATGAATAAGATGGCCAAAGCCTTTGCTTTTTGACAGTGCGTTTACTGTTATATAGAGCTCCGCGACGAGTTCCGCAGGGTGGTGTATCGGCATGCGCTGGAGCTGGGCATGGAAGTAAGGGTAGGGACGCGCGTGTAGGTCTATTTCGAGGATGACGATGAGAATGGCAAGGTGCTGGCGGCTGAGGGCGTGCGAAGTAGGGCCCAGAAGGTTGAAGGTGTCGGGTGATGCGGTTTATCTCAGCTGGTTCGATGCGGATGAAATCATGAAGGACCTGGATGTGCAGTTCTCGACGAACTATGGGGATAAGGATATATCGGAAAATGTGCTCTGTGGCGTATTTAGCTTGAGCACATAACGTTATTGGTCATTCTATGGGATCACCTGACTACCTAGACAACTTTTAGAGTTCTTCTTTTCTAACTTCTTCTTCTTCCCCCCCACCCCATCCCCCTTGTTCTTATCTTCTTTCAGTACAGATTATTCTGAAATCTTACAGCATGTTTGCCAGCCGGGGCCTGATGTGCGTTCATCGCGTCGCCAATAAAAAATGGGCAGAATTTTCGCGTTGGCGCAATCAACCTCCTCAGAAGAAAGGTACCTAGGTAGCCCCTATCTTGGCCCCACCCCAGTCCCTCAACGCCCCTTGCAGCAGAGACCCGATCGCGCAAAGGATTTGCGACAAGACGACGCCTCGCCGCTCATCGACTGGAAGCTGGCGTACCCCAACCCACTGCCAACGTGGATCAGTGGCCGGCGATGCCGCGCACCCATCCCTACAGACGTCAATTCCGGGCGCGTCGTAGGCCATGGAGGACGGCGCCACTGTCGCCAGGTGTCTAAGGCGGGCGCGTCGGGACCATGTGCGGGGGGCTGTTGCGGCCTTCGAGGCTTTGCGCTATGAGCGGGAGTGCTCTTCCTAGAATACGGGGGGTCAGACGCGCGGTATTTGGCATAAGGCTGACTTCTCGGTCGCTAAGAGCGCGGTTACGCTTGCGGCGCGAGGCGTGGCTGTTGAACCTTGAAGCGGAGAGTTGCGCTAAGGAGTACCACGAGGAAACGGTCCCGGTGCTGCGGGAGTCCGGCTTGCGCATACGAAGGTCAACGGAGGCGCGAAATTTACACGTTCCCGAAGGCAGGAAGGGTCCTCGGAGTATATCAATGATGATGATGGATTAACTAATGGTAGTGATGGTGGTGGTACTTCGTGATGATTGGGTAGTCCTCAACTATTTTTTGTCTGGACTCTTGGTCCTCATGACTTTTCTGCCCTTCCTCCAATTATTCTTCCATCCATCCATCCATCTACCCAAAGACGACCGGAACGCCCCCAATATGCCCACCTCCAGATGCCAAACGCCGGATCCCAATATCGAATTGATGTTGATGTTGTGTTTGTGTTGTATGTACAGGGTGGAATGAGAGGGTGTAGAGGATAGATGTATCACATGTGTCCGTTAATCATCTCCCTAGCGATGACGGGCCAGCCGAGGACGAGGCCCATGCCGGGGATGTAGCTGTTTGAGAAACCAGGTCAGCAAGCTGCTGTCAAGTGCTTGGTACGGTGCTGGTTATAACTTACAGGGCGGCTACTCCAGCTCGCGCCTTCAGAAGGCGGCCCCAGTTTCCGGGCTGCGAGCCGCCGAAGCTCGGGCGCGGCGACGTCGTCGCTGGCTCGATGGAGTGGATGAACTGTCGGAAGGCCGACACCTTGGGCGTCCGGAGACGGGCGGCGGCTCGGGCTGCGGACGTGGCGGCGGACATGATGTTTTGTCGTTGGTGATTGGATTTTATGGATGGGTGGGTGGAGAGTGTCGAAGTGAATTGTTGGATGAGTCGAGAGGTTTCTGATGAGCAGAAGAGAGGAGAGATGTCTGTTTATAATTGTGTATGTGGATGACTGACTGAGTGAAGATGATGTCTATGGAATCATTCCTCAAGAAGCAACGGCACACGGGTCTCCTTTATAACAATGACCCACGACGGAATCCGACGACGATCCAAACGACAGTCCCTGCTGATGCCACGATGCCTCCACGCTCTCTGTCCCTGTCGGTGCCGATTATCTTCCAGTACGTACCGACCTACTCTCGCCTAACGAGCTGAACATACGAGCTGAGCACCGCAAAATCCAATCTGGAAGGGTCCCGACGACATGGCTGACGGGCCTCGACCTGCAACGCTGCGGCGAACGGCGGGTCGAAGACATACCCAGCCCGCCGGATCGCCGCACTCGGGTGCTTTATGCTGTGTATCAGACCACGCGGCCCCAAAGTCCCAGCGAATATCCACATGTGGGAATGGGGAAGTACTAAAATCGGATGACAGCTGTGACCTGTCAGGTGCCTGTGCAGGGGCTCGGTGAGCGGCGGGCTTACAATGAGCCGTCTTGCATGTGTCAACAGTCAAAGGAACCGGGGATGAGAAATCAGAGTGCGCTGATTGGCGGGCCTCGCCATGTTGGACGAGGACCAGGCTGACGTTGGAAAAGGCCTGTCATTCGCAGGATGGGTGACGACGGTCTCGCCTGTCGGGTGGTACGATGGATGTGGTGTGACAGTGTGATCGGTATGGGCCGATGGCCATCCCTGAAAGCGGGTCCAGGTCCGGGGGATGCGCTGCGGGACATTCTTTCCCCGGTGAACATGCCACAAGTTACAACTCTAGCTTGGTCCCTGAACAAGATATCCTACCTTCTTTCTGTTCAGCTGGTGTCGTCGCATTGATCTCATCGTCTTGGCCGGGCAGAAATATGTCCTAGAGATGAGGTGCTCACCACGGACCGCGGCGCTCCTCCAGGCTGCGAAGGGCAGAAAGCTGCTTCCACTTGGAACACGAGTGCATTGCTGACTTTCTTGGAGTCTCACGTTCCTGACCAACTCGAATAGTTTCCTCGTAAAGTTCAGCTCCATGAGGGACACCGTCGCCTCTGAATTTGGACTCAGAAAGCGGCAATCGAGTTGATATGCCGCCCACAGAGCTGTCTAGCTGGACCGTCCGACAGGTCTGGTGTCGCATGGCCTTCAGGTCGTCACGGCGTGCTTTCCCTGGATCTCCAAGCATGAAAGCCCACACGCGGGTTTCCCACGCTTCCGCCTCCTGGCGATTGAGCGGCGGGGGTGACCAAGAATCAACTAAGCCGCTTCATACTAAGCAGTGCCGCTTTCGATACATTCCACAGACTATACGATATCTTCTGGTCCTCGAGGTTGGACATGGAATGCCAGAAGGAAGACCCAGCACGACGTACTACAGCAGATCTCCATATCCCCCAATCACGGGTTCTCAGTTCTGGACCACGTGATCAGACCACGCCAAGCCATAGTGCCAGGCTGGGCGGGCGCACATCATCCATGAGTACTATCGGCGAGAGGAGTCGAATGAGGATCTGCGGAAGATCTCTGGCTATGGGCTGATGGGCTCTCGCCCACGACAAGGCACAGCCTCGACGCTGTGCCCCAGTTCACAGACTGACAAGTTCACCATCCTTTATTCGAAATCGGATCCCTGGTCCTCAGGTCTGACAATTGGGGAGTTTCATACCCTACTGGTCTCCTTTGAGGCTCGAAGTGACCCGATATGACCACATTTGCTGTGTACTGTGTCTTTTTTAATAGCTCTTTTCGTGGCTGTAGTGCCTCGGGGTCTGTCCGGCTAGCCGGCCGGTTCTCTCCGTGCTATTTTCGGCATCTCCTTCTGTCCTCAGGTACTTCGCGCTGTTGCATTTGTAATGATCTTGAACAGTCCGCTGACGGGTGATAGATATCGTTCTGTTGATCATCAAGCGTAGTCGTGAATTGCCCGAGAACTCTGCAACAAGCCTTTTCGACTAACGACGAAACCTTGTGACTTTAAATACCATTTGCCCGAAGTTTAGGGCTGAAATCCGCTTTCTCAATGGCGTCGACATAAGCATGTTTCCAGTACCGTAGTACATGACTGCCGCAAGTGTGGCTATGTCCACTCTAGGATGCATGTGTGCCGCCGGCTCCTATTAGTGTTTGTGTCAAAAGAATAGTCCATGTTCAAGTGGGAAACATCCTGCTTTTTCTACTATCAACTCAGCGACCTGGGGACGATGAGACTGACTGTTTGATGCTAGTCCTGTCCCTAAAATGGGAAAATATTCACCTTCGGCCGGTGATTTCTAGATGTTTCAGTATGTCGCCGCTTGATGGAAGGGACTCGGGGCATGACGCCCCACTAGGCATCGTCGCTTTCCAGATGTGTCTTATACCTATGCGTCTAAGCATCGTCGCATATAGTAAATCTTTGTGTTCGGGTACTCTGGATGCTGCTGTCCTCTTCTCGTCGCCGCAAGCTAGCTGCAACTCTTGCTTGGTGAGAAACCGTAGCAGACGACTTGAAGCGATCGAGCATGGAGCACCATTCACTGAACGTCTCCATTCGGTCGCGATATCCAAGACTCTATCGATCGGGGCTTCCTCTTTTGGGACCTGAGAACGTCAGTAGAAGTCAAGAGCATCGGCAGAGGACCCTCAGCTCCGCGTGTGCATGGCGGACGAATTGCTGCAAACCGTAAGGTAGCCCTTTCTGCGTTCATCCTTCAATGTGACCACCGAAGCTGAGACAGAGAGAAGGTCTATCTTGGGTACCACATTTGATACTGCCTCTGGTAGGCGAATTGGCAGCGGTCTGCCTCGCAACTGCCTCGACAACTGCCTCGACAACTTGTCTCGCCAAGCCAAAGAATGGGACCTCCCCGGAGGTCCCCAGGCCAATCGGCACAGCTGATAATCCGGGAACAGGGAATATAACAGCTGGCGACCGGGCCGGGACGGTGCCGCACGAACCACCTGGGCAGCTGCAGTAGGTGGAGGCTGGTTCTTAAATTGGTGCAGGTGGGGCGCTACGAAGCTCACGTTACAGATATTCTTTACGCGCCAACATTGAACTCTTCAAGTTTACACACACCACCTGCACACCACGTGCCTGCCCTGATAAACATTCAAACTCGGGACGCAGACACCGCCATTGTTGCGTGGTATGGGCACGTCATCGACCGCCCCTCTTTCTCAACTTTGAAATCGCCTCTCGGTCTCTGCCCGTGGACTGCAAGTCGGTTTCCGCGACCGCGACCGCCCATCATCCGCAGCACCTACCATTGCCCACGACATCGCGTTATTGACCAGTGCACGGCTGCCTAGCTGGGCCCAAGGCTGACAAGGCACTCACGACCGACATTGAAGGATTGAACGGCCACCGCGTCTCGAAGCAGCGACTTGCAGGAATGCCCATGGTCCCGGTAAGTCGCCCATCTCTATTACATTCACCATATCTTTTCAATCTACAACAGGCCGGTCGATGATGAACGAAATGGTAAAAGGTCGGACTGCTCTTTTGGAGCTTCTGGTTTTGATGCCTATATCTGCTTGGAGAAGCAAGCCCTCTCATAGGCTGCGTCTCGAGCTTCATCCGTACATATGTACAAGCGGGCGCACAAACACTTGTGCGACCGCTCTATGGAGACAAGGCAAATTAGAAAAGCAGATTGCATATCTGCTCCTGCCGCTCTACGGAGCCCGGCCTCGAATCGCCACGATGAGGCAGGGCCAAAGGCTGCGGCAAACAGGACCCCTCGTGGTTTCCAGGCATGGTTCAAGGCTTCGAAGCCGCTGTTTCCGCTGCAGGTTGACGAACAAAGCAAACTGAAAAGATCTGAGACCGGCCAATGATTTCTCATCTCTCAATATTCTCCTCAAGCCCTCCTTTGGATACCAAGCTGACTGATCTCGGGCGTTGCTATAGGATGCCGCTCCGGACTTTCGGACGTACAGCACAGTCGTTATTCGAATCCTTTTACTACAACCACTGGAATTGTTATCAAGTCTCTTGTAATATATAAGGACTACCGTTGACACTTTGGTTGCGGTTTGTCAATGCCGACTCGAGTCCATGAGGCACTCGAGCTGAACAGTCTCAAGTAAGTGCGTATCCGAGCTTGCAATCAGAGCTCAGTCCCGATTTTCGTTCATTGGTTCTGCCACCTATTTAAATGAACGGGATGCCCAGATTCACTCACTGGCCACTTATCTTCTCCTCGCATTCTTCCCTGACCACAATCTAGGTAGTGCACTTGACATGCCGAATGGAACATCGCCTTTACAAACTATCGAAGCTACGATGACCTGGCTTCGGCAATATAAAGTAAAAAAGGAACACCCCGAGCTATCGTGGCCTCAGGCACAAAGGCTTGTACGGCCTGGCGTATGAGTCCCCATTGAGGCAATTCGTGGTAGTCCGGGAGCTGTGGAGCAAAGACTCATGAAATCTGGGGTGTCCTACACTGAATATGGATCCTGCGTCACTTTTCCTCAAGCAGTGTCAGTCGGAAGGATGTAGGTCGACCACCTTGACCGCAGGGCCATATTGCATGGGCTGCATGGCACATCAGAGACATGAAACATCGAAAAATGCAGACACAAGGCATTCACCTAGTCAGGGTCGACCTCCCGTACGCACTTCCAAGAATGGCTCTGCTGCACGAATCTTAGGAGAGGCGATAACGGTCAGAACCTCTGTCCCCGTAAACACGCCAGTCAATGAGAAGAAGCAGCTTTCGGAAAAACATGTCGCAAGAAAGACTACTTCGAGGGCCACACAAAATCAAGGACCATCTCATAACCCCGACTCCCCGGCTTCTATTCGCAGCACTGCTACAGACTCTTCCTCCATGGCCTCACGACCAACGAAAAGGCAACGCTTAACCTCGAGCTCAAACCAACCGGAACTACCAACTCGTCCTGACTCGGTTTCAGCCTTGAATGACAGCCAACGATTGCCTGATGAAGACAAAGTCAAATCCTCCGAGGACAGTCCCTACAAGATGGATGCAGCAGATCAGTTTGCTCTTCGCCCAATGCCAAAGACATTTCCCGAAATACAATCGAAGGCCACGCAAAACGATGATCAGCAGAGGATACCGATACCCAGCAAAGAGCGTCCACCCAAGGTTCCAAGCCGAAGAATATTCATTGCGGACAGCAATGTCCGTAGACCTTCGCCGGCCAGGTTAAATAAAAAAACTCTTGTGATAGATCTCACAGCGGACGATGAGGATGACCCACCATCACAAAACCATGGGTATCCTTCACCTGCACAACCTGGGCTTACGCACAGCCCTGCAAATCATGCTTTAAAGCTTGATCAACAATCTCGCAAAGCATCTCCACTCAGCTTGCAAGAAAAGTACGATCGTGACAGAGCACTGGTAGATGCTAATCCAAAGGGTCCGCCTTTAGGGCACTTTAAGTCCTTTACGAAGCGACACGAGGAGATCTTGCAACAAACCAACTCAGTCGATTTTGTGCTAGACGCCCACGGCACATCAAACCCAATTGTTTCAAAAGGGAATGCACAGCCCAAGGGAAAGGAAGCGCCCAAAGCACGCGAAAACGATCCACAGCAGCCTCGTGTAATAAGCGTCAATAATGGCTTGGACGCCGTCCGGAGAGACACGCCAGACCAACCCGTCTCGTCTGGAGCCAAAGTCGCTATTGAGCCACCCCTAGATGGTATGGACATAACCCAGGATGCTATCCCCGCCACCCAGAACCTCGGGTCGTTGAATGCAGTCTCCAAGCCAGCTGGTCCTGATAAAACGAACGGGTTCTTTATGGACCCTAAGGCGCCTCGTCTAGGTTTCAGTTCAGATCCAGTGCCTGAGGTAAACGGTGGCAGTCACAGTACAGCACGTTTTGCAACGCCTACTTCACCGCCCAGGGCGCAACGCCAAAACCATGCGAACCAGGCTCCCCCGGTCACAGATGCAGAGCCATTGCCCACGGTCAACGGTGTACATGAGGAAAACGGGTGGCAAACATCGTCTAAACCGCCCAACGCAGAGCCTGCCGCTCCACCGCCGGCCTCCGCACCCGTCCCCGAGCAGCCACGCAAGAGGTATCAAGACCCAGAAGCAAAGCGGCAGGCCCTCATAGCCGAGCACGATCCCGCCGAGTTCGACGCGTACATCTACGGCGAGCTCAACCGCGCCAATCGGCCGGGCGACGCGCTCTTCGCGCTGCGCCCCTACGCGCGACCGACCCCCTCGAATGACCACATACGTCCGACCACGCACTTCGCCGCGATGGACCCGCGGATCCACTACGCGCAGCCGCACTCGGAAGCCTGGCACCGCGCGAAGCACGACGAGATCGCCGCGCGCGGGAACCGGAAGAGTAAGACGAATTTTGGAAAGGCGGCTGCGCGGCGGGCACGGCGGAAGCGCGAGGTGGCTGCCCACGGTGATGATGACGGTGCTAGTGGCGGCGCGTGCGATGTTCCCGATCATGTCAGGAGGGATCGGAAGTGGGTTAGCGCGCTCGACGAGTTGGATGAGATGGCTGACGTGACGCATGCTAAGCAGAGGGCTAAGATTCGGCGGCGGAAGAAGGGGAAGGGCGTGGAGAAGGGGAAAGAGAAGGGGCATGAGAGAGGGAAGGGACCCGAGAAAGAGAAACGCAAACGGACAGAGAGTGATGAGGACTACGACGAGATGGATACAGACGCGGACGCGGATTCTGAATCCGACTGGAGTCGGACGCGTCGGGAGTGAGTACCCGGGTTGCACATCTGCAGTGGGTGCTGTACACACGTCAACGAGTATATACTCCTTTTGGGGCAGGATAACACTAGTCTGCCGTGGACGAGATGGACAAAACCCATTCTGACACCTGGGCTGGGCTGGGCTGGGCTGGCTTGAAAGCCAGAGAAGATGGAACATATTGGTTGGGTATTATGAGCAGTATCCATCTGTATATGTAAGCGCTATGGGGGGATCAGCCACGCTGTCGGGTCGTACACGGACCCACAGGGCATCTAAGTGTATTCTACCACCAACAAACATTCGATAGACCTTTTCCTGAAAACAACAACGCTGTCACGCTCATACTGCACTTATCGTTTCACGGATAATGCTCTCAGGTATGCATGGCTGATTGCATGGCGTCAGGCGTCTGTTAGGAGGAATTGCTACCAACGACCTGGAACTGGTAATTTAAAGTGTGTTCTACAAACCCCCACGGATTTTGGGAACGAGATTCTTACCTCTAACCTCGTCTTCTTGTGAACCGCCTTGAAAAGACGAATGAGTTTAACCTCGTCTTCTTACAAATCCCCTAACCTTAAGAAAAGACGGGTGGGAAGGAGCAGTAGATCGACTGAACGAAGTAAACTCGAGTGGTTGACATACCTACTTACGTAACGTGGGCAGAACGAGCCACGTGTGTCTGGATGCACGCAGAGGCAATGGAATAAGTAACCCGTTTGCAAGACATGTCTCGTTCCTTTTTGTATATTCGATCCCAGCTATTCTTCCAGGAAACGTTGCCTCCGTTAGGTTCTATGCTTTTAATATCCTTGCATTCTATACGCATGTATTAGTAATGCCTCCGTTTGCTTCTCAACAAGCCATGCATGTAATCATTACCGCCCCGACTGCGACAGCAAATTCAACGCGCTGCCAGCCAGGATAAACCCAGCCTGGTCCTCACTGATCGCGTGCCGCGTCTTGATGAGAATCTCCTCGCCATCCTCGGCACCGAGTTTCCGCACCTTGAGCGCGACATCGCCCTTGCCCCCGTTCTGCAGCATCTCGTACAGACCCACGGTATCGACAACATCACACGCGCCGATCTTATCATAGTCGGCTTCGTCGGCGAAGGTCAAGGGCACGACGCCCTGTTTCTTGAGGTTGGTCTCGTGGATGCGGGCGAAACTCTTTGTCAGGACTACGCGTGCACCTAGGTAGCGCGGCTGTAGGGCGGCGTGCTCTCGCGCGGAGCCCTCGCCGTAGTTGTGTTCAGCGACGACGAGCCACGGGCGGTTGGCTTCGCGCCAGCGCTTACCCAGCTCTGGGATCGTGTGGCGCGACCCGTCCATGTCGTACGCGGCGTTGACTTCGCCCGTCTCGGCGTTAGTCGCCGTGTTCAACGTGTTAGCGCTGATGTTCGGCAGGTGGCCCTTGTACTTTAGCCAGGGGCCGGCTGCCGAAATCGTGTCTGTTGTGCACTTGCCCGTCACCTTGACCAGAACACGCAAGCCCGTAAGGTCCGATGCGGGAAACGCATCAAACGGCTCAAGGAGCGCAAGTCGCTCTGACGTTGGCGCGATCGCAACGCTGACAGAGGGGTCGGGTGCCTGTGTCAAGGCACGGAATTCCTTCCGCGCAGCTTCGAAGGGCTGCGCGGGGATTTCCATGCCCGACGGCGGCGTGAAGCGGAATTCTGTGCCGGATGCGGTGGGCAGCGAGTCCGTCATTGGGTTGAAGGTCGTGCTTCCGGCAAAGGCCATGGCAGTAACGATCTCGGGCGAGGCGAGGAAGTTCATGGTGTCCGGATTACCGTCGTTACGGCCCCGGAAGTTGCGGTTGTAAGAGGTAAAGATGGCGTTGGCCGTGCCCTTCTCGACATCGTCTTGTCGCTTCCATTGGCCAATGCAGGGGCCGCAGGCGTTTGAAAGGACAGTGCCTCCGGCTTCTTTGAACGTGTCGAGAGGTCCATCTCGTCGCAGGGTTTCTCTAATCTGGTCACTTCCAGGCGTGACGTAAAAGTCCGAGGCAGGCTTCAGGCCAGCCTCCATTGCTTCGCGGACCATGCCCTCGCAACGGGTCATATCCTCGTACGAGCTGTTTGTACAGCTGCCGATGAGACCAGCTGACAGCTTCTCGGGCCAGTTTTGTTCTTTAACGGTCTGTTTGAACTGAGATAGGGGCGTAGATAGATCAGGGGTAAAGGGTCCATTGACATGGGGCTCGAGCTCGGAAAGGTTGATGGTGATGACCTCGTCGTAGTTGGCCCCAGAGTCGGCCTGCAGGGGGACAATCTGAGAGAACTTCTTGGCCTCTGCGGCTACATCGTGACGGTGTGTTGCCTCTAGATACCGGACATGGGCCGAGTTGAAAGGAAATAACGAGGTGGTTGCGCCGACCTCGGCACCCATATTACAAATGGTGGCCATGCCCGTGCAGCTGAGTGTCTGTACTCCGGATCCGAAGTACTCGATTATGAAGCCTGTACCGCCGCGAACGGTCAGTCGCCCAGCCAGGTTTAGAATGACATCCTTCGGCGAGGCCCAGCCGCTAAGCTTGCCGGTCAGCTCAACACCCAGGATACGAGGAGCCTTGAGCTCCCACGGCGCGCCCACTAGAGCCTCGACAGCATCGGCGCCACCAACACCAATAGCTATTGTAGACAGGCCTCCGGCGTTGGGTGTGTGGCTATCGGTGCCGAGCATCATGAGGCCTGGCGCGGCATAGTTCTCGAGGACGCTCTGGTGGATGATACCAGCGCCAGGGGGCCAGAACTCGATTCCGTATTTCTTGGAGGCGGACTCAAGGAAATCAAAGACCTCCTGGTTCAGCTTGATACCGGACTCGAGATCGGCTTGGGCGCCTCGTTCTCCAACGATCAGGTGGTCGCAATGTATGCTGGCGGGGATGGCGGTCGACGGCAGGTTGCAGGTCATGAACTGCAGGAGGGCCATCTGCGCCGAGGCATCCTGCATGGCGACACGGTCGGGCTTGAGCTTGAGGTTTGCGGTGCCACGGATGTCGCGTCCCCCGTTCGTGTTAGTCAACAGGGACTCTTCGGCGCTGTCGAGATGGCTGTAGAGGATCTTCTCGGCCAGGGTGAATGCCCTGCCCTTGCCCAGGACCTCCCGGACTTTGTCATAGTTCTTCGCAAGCTTTAGATATGGCGGTATTCGGGGGTTCGAGGTATCGAATGTGGGTGTCGCAAAGGACCGTGTGCGCGCGATGTCTCCTCGGCAGCTTCGAGTGGCGAGTCTCTAAGAAGCAAATGTGAATGTTAATAAGAGTTCATCTTTCTATACCCGTGGCTCCGACTATGAGCTGTATACATGGTCACGTTGAGAGAGGGAGACAAGGACACCTACCCGAAGACTTGCCCCTCGGCGGCTGGCAAGTTCAGTTGCCCTCATTCTTCCTAATCGGCATACCAGAGGACAAGCGGTCAACGACAAACGACACACCACACTGAAGACAGAAGACAATCTACCTTACGACGGGCTGGAATTATTCGCGGCGAGATGACAATGCAGCCACTGTGATTGGCAGCTCAAAAAACTTCGTTGCGATGCCGGAGGCCCGAGGGCCTGGAGATATGGGGCGAAGCTGATCCGGTCTGGTCCCTGGCCCTTGGGGTAAAACCAGCTGGAGTCTTCGAATGCACAGTAAATAAACTGAGCTTTTTGCCAGGTGCTCACTGTGCTCACGGTGCTTACGTCATCTATCGATATCGATATCCCTCATCTTTCTACTTCACCACCTCACCATCCTCGTCTGCCTCCCTGACTCCATGAGTTCGTAAACTCGCGACATCAGCCCATTTACTCGCAACTCTCTGGATAGTAAGCGTAAGCTGAATCTCATACGACACCTACTCATATCATCTGCGGTTTGTATTCAGTCAATCGTACAGCTGGCACACTGGTGGTCTCTCCCTGGGCCAGAACGGGTAGATGCTCCTTGAGGTATATTCCGTGGAACCCTTTGACGTGAATACCACAACCCGAAAAAGCACACGGGGCTGGAAACCCATGCTGTCTTATAAGGTCAAGGAGACTCTTCAGCCCTCGGACATCGTGGCCATCATCTAGACGAGCGGCATATCCCGTCGGCATTTTCAGCTTGCCGGGAAATTTGTCATCGATACGCCATGTACAACGCCTCTCTACGCCCGCTCTATACTATTTTCTGCCCCACGAAGCCATCTCAACAAAATGGCCGATGGTACCTAGCTGAAAGCCCAGCCACCACATGTTCGGTCCGGTTTCACCGAGGTGTTGTCAGGACCGCCCTCGACGGCCCGAGCTTATTTCGAGAATGGAACATCAGCCTTCCTGCAGGGTCTCACTATCACCAATTACTGTAAAACGCGGCGTAAGCCGTTGAATACTCAGCTGGACCGTTGCAGAAGGAGCCGAGTCAGCTTCTGTAGGGCTGAGACTCCAGAACGTCGCTGATGGTATTGGGAGCTGACTGGACCTCTCGAACCCACTGGACGTCAGACAATTCATTTGAAATTTCAGTTGCTCAAAGTCATTCATCCGGGAACCGACCACGATATCTGTTGACAGTGTTGACAGTCTGCTAAAAATCGACGCCCAGACGCCGGGCAGAGCTCTAGATCTTCTATCCAAAACACTCCGGGAGACTCGCAACTCTCCCACCTATCGCATTACTAAGCAAAAGTATCATCCTGACAGCATCAGTGATAGGCAACTCGCAACGCCACTTTGAGCTTAGAAAAAGCAATGCTACCCTTAACAGAAAAGGATGAACTCCACGGTCGGCTTCATATGCAGGCTACGCTCAACGTCGCATCGCCGATAGGCACAGCCATGCTGGATTCGTATCTCTCTTGTGTGGGATGGCTTTAGGTAAACCACCATCATCTACAATGAATACAACGGACGTACCGACGCATCATCCCTCAGCCGCAATGTGACAGCAGAGCTCTCCTACTATCCAGGTCGCATATCCAAAGACTCGACTGTCATTGGGTGCGAGACAACCCTGCATAGCTGACCTCTATCTATGGGTCGTCTATCTCAATCCTTATACTCGTCTGTGTCTACTGTCGACTTCAGACTAAGCAACCAAGGTTACTCCCGTTAGTCTGATGGTGGCCATCACACCCAGGCGAGTAGTACATGGGGGTTTTCCAAATACCGCTAGTCTTGCGAGGGCCGCTCCGATCGATTCACGAGGGTCGCCGTTGCATCGACGACCATCCCCCACCCCCACCAATCAGCTTCTCGGCTCTTGATTGTAAGATTGATAGAGGGCGTCTCCTCGCTCTCGCTAATGCTGTGTATTATGAGGGCGCTCTTCACGGACTCTAATAAGAAACCATTAGCGTCGGTCACGCGCGGCCGTCGCTAGCTGTATGGTTGCTGTGCCGTGTCAGACTTGAACTTCATCGATTTGGTTGGTGAACTGGTCCCTTACATGGTAATCAACCAACCAACCAACTAACGCGATCGAGGAGCCTGCGATGAAGGTGAGACGTTACTGCAAGACCCCGTGGCGGGTCACCCACTGACCATGGGAGGGGCATGGTTGGTACATATATCATAACTTGGCCCGTCTCGTCACTATAAGCATGGTCGAGTGATCTTGCGGCCATTTTGTCAACCTCAAGTACGGATCTGTCACTGGCATGGCTGCTCTGTGGTTTCTACCCCTCGTGGCCCTCTTCGGCCTGGCGATATGGCGTCTTCTGAAAGTTGGCAGTAGGCCAGCTGGCTATCCTCCAGGACCACCGACTGTCCCAATCCTCGGCAACTTGCACTTGATGCCCAAAGAAAACGGGCACATACAATTCCAAAAATGGGCTCAAGAATATGGGTACATCCCCCCCGTCAGTATCACTCGGATGCAGCTGATGTGTCCAGGCCTATATACTCCCTTATTCTCGGGACGAAGGTGATGATCGTAGTGTCATCAGACCAAGCGGTCAAGGATCTCTTCGACAAGAGGAGTGCTATATACTCTTCACGCCCAGAGACATACATCGCGCAGATCGTTAGCGGTAGACATAAAGTTCCACCCGCAGGTCTTCGTGTTCTTCTCATGGTCAGTCGAGGCATGGCCGGCCACTCATGAAAGGATACGGAACTGACACCCTTCGTAGCCATATGGCGAGCGGTGGCGGATGGCGCACCGAATTTACCACAACATTCTCAACATCCGCTCGGCTAAAAGCTTCGTGCCGTACCAGGACCTGGAAAACAAGCAAATGCTCGATGGACTCCTGAACCAGCCCGAGTTCTTCGTCGACCACATCCGCCGCTACTCCCACTCGTTGACCACACAGATGACGTACGGCTTCCGGTCCAACAGCATGGACAACCCGAAGCTAAAGGCACTGTTCACCAACCTTCACGAATTCTCCAAGACCATGGGAACGACCGCTGCGGCCTTGCTGGACTTATACCCGCCCCTGAGACACTTGCCTGACGTGATGCTGCCAACGAGGCGCTACGCGAAGAAGCTGCATACCATCGAGTGTGATCTTCACAAGAGCAACTGGATGGAGGTTAAGGCTAAGTTGAGGAATGGAACTGCCAAGGTAGGCTGTCATGACCAGCCACATTCGGTGTCACCATGGGCATGTATTGATTGTCGTTCTAGCCATCCCTCTGCGTCAGCCTTGCAAAGGCGCAGGACATCGAAGGGTTCTCCGACGAGCAAGCTGGTTACATCGCCGGTAATCTCCTAGAAGCGGGCGCAGACACCACGTCGGCGCAGCTCGTGGGATTCGTGCAAGCCATGCTCCTGTTTCCTGAGGTACAAAAGAAGGCTCAAGCGGAAATCGTCCGCGTCTGTGGTGACAGGATGCCTACCATGGACGACGAGATGGACCTACAGTATATCCGGGCGTGCATGAAGGAGACGCACCGCTGGATGCCGACGGCGATCCTGGGCATCGCGCACTCGGTCATCAAGGACGACGAGTATATGGGCTACAAGATCCCAAAGGACTCGACCGTCGTGCTGAACGTCTGGTAAGCAACCTCCCGTCGCCGTCCAGCCCGACACAAACACAGACGCTAATCCCATATCCTACAGGGCCATCCACATGGATCCCAAGCGCCACAGTAACCCCTCCGTCTTCGACCCGTCCCGGTACGCCGACGACTACACGTCGTCGATGGAGTCGGCGCAGTCCAAGGACCCGTCCAAGCGCGACCAGTTCCTCTTCGGGGCCGGGCGGCGCATCTGCCAGGGCATGCACATCGCGGACCGGTCCATGTTCCTGGCCATGTCGCGCATGCTGTGGGCGTTCGACCTGCGCAAGGCGCGCGACTGCGCCGGCAACGAGATCACGCCCGACCCGACAGCGCTGATCCCGGGCATGCTGGTGCAGCCCGTGCCGTTCCGCGCGAGCATCACGCCGCGCACGCCGCACCACGCGCGCGTCGTGCGCGAGCAGTGGGCGGGGTGCCGCGAGCTGCTCGATGAGGAACACCAGTGGCGCGAGGTGCCCCGGGGCATGGCGCTGGATACTTATGAGCCGGTGGGGGACCCGGAGAAGGTCTGATTGGTTTGGGGCGGTTATGGATGGTTGTAGTTTGGTACTAAATAGAGGGGGTGATTACTTCGCAGTCTGTTTGGGGTTTGTGGTGTACGCGGCGTTTGATATTTGACATTGGCATCTCCTTGTGGTTCCTCGACTAGGCCGTGTTACATCTGGTTCTCTTGCCACGGGCTGGTCAGAGTGGGGTGATTATGTCTTCAGTGCGATTTAGATTGGACCGTGTGTCTTGTTTCTTTTGACTCTTTGTAGAATATAAAAATGTCAATGGCGACGTTGTCATAAGAATCCTCTTACGAATGTCGAAGACATAGCTTACATAGGAGGTCATGACCTAAGTCCGCAACATTATGACTGCATGTCCCCAGTCTAGATATTGGCATTGCGCAATAAGGTAAGAACCGAGCCATCGATGTATGCGCTTTCATTCAGGGATACTTGTAAAGCTTAAGGCGATCTCTTCGAACGGCTAAAGCCTCTATGTGGGTGTGCTTGTGGCTGCGAAGACCCCTTCGTACGCGGAATTCCCCCGAGGACGCGGAAATTGGGCAACGCGGAACAACTCAAGCAACGCGGAACTTGGGAGGCGTCCTGGCGGGTTCGAGGCCTCGTTCCATGCCAGACCCCTCGGGTTCTCGTCGGAGGAGGGCGAGCATTAGGCTGCGATTTACACGGTTGTGCACACTGTTTATGATGTGATGCTCGATCCCCCGGCGGCGGTGTCTGAGGTCGCGGGGCAGGCAGCAGCGATGTTGGCCAGCTTTGGCAGTAGTACTGAGGCGTTCCTGGACGAGGTGCCTACTACTTATTACTGCGCCTTGCCGAGCCTGAGGGAAGCTGCCTTATGACTTGCGGCGATTAATGGGGCGGCAGAGGCAGCTATGGACCATGTGCCGTTCGATACGGGAGAGCCGGTGTTTAGAGTTGGCCATGGGATGTGGGAGCAAGTCCTAGTGGACAATTCAATGCAAGGATAACAACGCATTCATCACCTCCGGTATATGACATGAAGTTTCGTAATAAATGAAATATACAAAGATTTTGTCTAGGCAGTGTAAGGCAATGAAGGTAAGTAATTGAGAGAAGCCTCGCGAAGCAGGGTTGACAATTTGGAGGTTGGTGAGGTGGTGCCTCAGGTGTCATCGGAGTTTTTCTTCTAGAACTGGCCGACAGTCTCCATATAAATTTTCCTCGCCCAACGTCTTACCATTTTCTCGACGCGCTCCAAGTCGCGCATACAAAAGAACAACAACGAATCGATCGAGCTCGCACACAAAAAAGCATTGTGCGAACACCAAGGCATTGACAACTTCTTCAATACTTTAGTTGACAATCTCTGCATCTTCGCGCATTTCTGCATCTTTGCAACCTGGCACAGCTCGGCGCAACGTCACAACACAACCACCCAAACTCGCATCTCCCACTCTCCCCGACCTACCCACCTCCTTCGTTCACCCATCCATTCATTGACCATGGCAAGACCAGCTGCTGCCGCCGGTGTGAAGAAGAGCGCTGCCACTGCCCCAGCCAAGCGAGCGGTTGCGAAGCCAAATGGCACCAAGAAGGCCGCGGCCACTACCAAGCGCACTGAAAGTGCTGCCTCCGAGAAGCCCGTCAAGTCGAAGGCGAAGCGACAACTCGAAGAAGACGACGATAATGACGAAGACGAAGAAGAAAAGGTCGCGCCTCCTCGTGCTAAGAAGCAGAAGCAGACACACAAGCGCGCCGCCCCGGCCCCTACCACCGCTTCGAAATCCGCAGCACCTCCCACCATCAACAAGCGACCCACGCAGACACTCGACATCTTCGTATTCGGTGACGGCAGCTTCGGAGAGCTGGGCCTGGGCAACAAGAAGATCGGGAAAGACAGCCCTTCCAACGTCAAGCTCCCGCGCTTGAACCACAAGCTTCCCGCCAAGGAAGTCGGCGTCGTGCAGGTCGCGTGTGGTGGCATGCACGCCATCGCGCTGACCAAGGATAACAAGGTCCTGACTTGGGGCGTGAACGATGAGAAGGCTCTGGGTCGCGAGACGAACTGGGACGGCGAGGAAGAAGATGATGACGACGACGCGGGCTTAGATCCGACCGAGTCAAATCCTGGCGAGGTGGATCTGAGTGCGTGGAGCAAGACACATCAATTTGTTCAGGTCGCTGCTACCAACTCGGCGTCGTTTGTCTTGACTGACGTCGGAACGGTCCTTGGCTGGGGCACGTTTAGAGTAAGTTCCCAGAATGGTGATGCCATTTGATGTTACAAGTGCTAACCGCCGCAAAGGACTCCAACGGTGTCTTCGGCTTCTCAGAGGACGTCATGCTGCAAGTGACACCTATCAAGGTATCAGGCCTCAGCAACATCACAGCTCTAGCCGCCGGCTCCAACCACATGCTCGCCCTCGACAAGAGCGGCGCAATCTTCACCTGGGGTTCCGGCGACCAATACCAGCTCGGCCGCAAGCCCGTGAGCCGCCACAACGGCCCTCGCGCGACGCTGCTCCCCGCCGTCTGCGGCCGCTTCACCAAGGCCCACCACGCCGTCCAGATCGCAGCCGGATCCTACCACAGCTTCTACATCGACAACCACAAGCGCGTGTGGTCGTGGGGCCTGAACAACTTCGCGCAGACCGGCCACATCGACGCCGGTGGGAAGGACAACGCCATCGTGCCAAGTCCCAAGATCGTCCAGAGCCTGAAGGATCGCGACATCGTGCACATTGACGGCGGAGAGCATCACTCTGTCGCTTGCAGTGCCAACGGTGAGGCCCTCACGTGGGGCCGTCTTGACAGCCATCAGCTTGGCCTGGCGGTTACGTCTTTCACTGAGGATAACACCATCTTTGACGAAGGCGATCGGCCTCGTATCCTCTTTGAGCCTACCGTTATACCCGGTAAGCTCATTTGCCCTATTCCTTTCTGATACTTCGAATGATGACTAACAACCTACACAGACCTGACCGCATCGTTCGTCGTATCTTGCTCGGACACGAACATCGCCGTCTCGCCCAAGGGCGAGGCATACGGCTGGGGCTTCTCGTCCAACCGCCAGACCGGTCTAGGAACGCGCGAGGATGTCGAAGTCCCCAAGTTGATCCAGTCTCCCGATGTGGACGGAAAGAAGCTTGTGTGGGCCGGCCTGGGCGGGCAGTACGGCATGGTTGCTGCTGTCCATCAGTCATAGTCTGCTTTAGCAGCGTCATGTGCGGCTTTTGAGCTAGGGGCAGCGGTGAGGGAGATGGCATTTTCAGCATGCGAACAAGGAGTATACACGAAGCGCGCGGAGGCTTGATGATGCGGATATGAAGCTGGTTTAGCGATCTTGATTTGATGCATGACCTGGCTAGGTTTATCGTTTATTGTATAAATATTCTTTTAGGTCGTTTGGTCGTGTAACGACGCACAGCATGGCACGGTAGCAGATTATGGGAATATAGCATTACCCTTGACTGGACGTGACCTTCTAGATTATGGTTGTATTGCTTGCCTTCTCGACCGTGTCAGAGTCCATAAGTTGCGTGTATCTTTCCAGCGCAGTTCTTCCTAGAGCGAGGGGCAAGACAGCATCACTGAGTTAGTGTGAGATTTAGGAATGGTCTGTATTGGAAGAGAAATAAGGGATAGCTGATAGGGGTACCATCCCACTTAAATAGATAGGAAAGGGACCTCGGACAGCTAATATGTGATCCCACAGGACGACATCATAACAAGGCAGGTGACGCAATGGCGCTTGTCATCAACGCATCCGCCCCGTCAAGCAGGGTTGCTGGACTGTATCTCGTTGGCCAAGCAGTCGATCATCCCATTCAGGGAGCAGGCTGGCTAGAATCCGTCTCGTTCGCGTAGGGTTCTCGCATCCGATTTGGTAGACGGTGGCATTTGTGTGCCGCCAGATTCCAGTCAGGTCGCACGGCATGCTGACAACTACCACCATGACCCCTCTTGCCCAGATCAACGGTGATCGCAGGAGTCGGCAAGCACATCAAGATGCAATTTGCCTTACGCCGCCTTGTTTTGTCTGGTGTGTGTGCTGACGGGCGGACCGCGGACTACGAGACGCCTGGCCTAGCTAGGTATTTGAATCGCCCATCGAGGCTCGCAATTGCTGTTCGCAGTAGTTAAGTTTTTCGTACACAGTCGCGCGTCGACGACGTAATCCGAGGTTTCCCCACGATCGCAGCCGTCCATAATCCCACGCCATGTCCGTTGTACAGACGCTCGACGCTCGCTACATTGACGGAGAGAAGCTGCTCAGGCTCTTGCTTAGCCTCTTCGGCAGCAGGAACTTTACCGTGGAGGTAAGTCAAAAAACAGGCAATGATGCTCTTGAGATATGATGGGCTGATTTGTTTCCTAGCACGCGAATGACAACTATACGTTGACAACTCCAAGATCGTTGACTACAGTAAGAATACTACACATCCCCCCTATTGCTTCCTCTGGTGATGTGCTTGACACCTAACATGCTGTAAAGGACGAACAGACATCCGTGGAGCTTGCGAAGTCCTGACGGGTTATTCCAAAATTAGCCACGAGTGGACCCGTAAGCGCTGAGCTCGGCCAGCCCAGGCGCATTCGAACGGCATTCTCATGGATGATGGAGGTCCGCTGCCTTATAGCTCCAGCTCAAGTACAATATCAAAACACGGCCCAGCATCCGTTGGGAATGCAGAGCCTCTTCTGAATCTTGATGAGTGCTATTTTCCAGGTCCGTTTCAAGACATGAATGGTGATAATTTTCCAGCGGACTGGAGGCCCTACATAGATTCTGTGTCATCCAAGTCCTACGATCATGTCGATCTGCTCGACAAGTGTCTGCAGCTCGACTCGGAAGCCCCCCGCATCTTCTCCGGCAATGACGAAATGAAGGTGTGGACGAGGGATGCAGAAGGCAAAAGTGAAACTTATCCTGCCTTAACTGATTACAACTCAACACAAAACCACTGACATTCGAAAAGGAACCACGTCCTCCATCAACGTATGGACCGGCCCCCAAAAAGACGCTCGTGCGCCTTCGAAACTGACTGTTCCTTTAGGACACCTTGTCAAGCTCAGCGGATGTTGTGTAGTGCGTGTTCCGGGCTCCCAGATTTCGGCGCACGTTAGAGGGTCTGACAGTCACAGTATAATCCATCAAAGGCACTCGTGGAGCCCCCTAGACACATCGCTATCTGAGTACCAGAGGCTTCTTGTGTCCCATGGGGTTTCCCCTGTCTTCATTGATGCGATCCAGGCGTTTGGCTCCAAGGTCACCGGAGAGGACGACCCGTACTTCAACCTTCATAGTCTTCGAGCCAGCGAGAAAGGGGCGGGCTACGGTATGAAGACTCCTTGGTCGTACGGGGCCTACATGTCACTGATGCTGCGATGCAGAAGTCTGTTATATCCTCCGGACATATGAGAGGCATGGAAGACAAAACCTCCAAGATCCGTGGTCGCTACGCCAGATGTCGGTGTACCACCAGTTCGACAGCACCAATAATCGTTCCGTTTGGATCTTGGTGCAACCGTTCGCCAGGAGCAAGTCTGTGTTTCTGAGTCGCTGCTTCGACGCCACCTTGCGCCAGACGCCCGAGATGCTACATTCCGTGTTCATCCACGGAGCATTGGCGAGCTGGCGTTGGTATCTGGATGACCGACGGAGGCTTATAAATGGTTACGTGAGACCTCGTCTGCTGAAGTCCAACCCCTGTGTCTCCATCTAACGGATGCACAGAGAGAGAAGGCCGAGTTCTCACACGTTGGGCCGAAACAGAAAGACTACCCTTCTGAATTCACCGACTGTAAAAAGCTGAATCAGGTGGCCTCCTCGCTCCTACTCGGGAAGGAGATCCTCACTTCATATGAGCAGGTTGTGCTCATGTTACGTTCGCAGCACTTGGTCCAAAAGGGGATCATGCTAGAACACATCCGATGCATCAGGGCGCGGGCTAGAGCTGCATCGGTGCTCCGGGAAATGGCAGAGAAGACATCAGGCTTGGTATGACGTGGATGCTACGGAGTCATGGAGTTGCTAACTTACAGCGTGTAGCTGTTGAGCTTGCTGGAATACAGGAAATCGGTTGCCTTGACCGCCCAGGCCCTGGCTTTGGCGGCTTTGACACGGGACTCCAATTCTCAGACCCAGCAAATGAAGAATATGGCCCTTCAGTCACGAACCGAGATGCGGTCAACCAAGATTATGACATATATTGCCACGCTGTATTTACCAGTAACTCTTATTGCTGTAAGTCGGTGGCGACTGGCTTCGTTTGGATCTCTTGGCTGAGCTAGCTGACCATGACTTTACAGTCGCTGTTCTCCTCGGACCTGGTTCAGATTCCAAGAAGAATATCTGACCTTGACGCCAGAGTATTGATCGTATCGCCGGCATTGTGGGTTTTTATTGTAGCGAGTGTTTCGTTGACTGGTATGACTGTGTGCTGCTTGGTATGGTGGAACCGACGATGGAATAATGGATTGTAGGGGGGCGATTGGATGGCAATAGAAGTTGCGTAAGCCTTAAGAGGTTGACCCTGGACGGTGACCAAGTACCACCGCTAAAAACGTGTCAGAGAAACGAGTTCAACCATGCTGTGTTCTTTGCGCAATCTCCGCGACGTTTAGCTTGGAGGAGTTCGAGGTTTCTCCGAGTATCCTTCAACCACTGATCCTTATTGTCCGTGGTGATGTTCTCTGCCGCCTTAAGCACTCTATCAAAGAACATCTGGGCTTCGTCGAGGTTGCCCAGCTCCATCTGGATCTCCCCGGCCAGATTGGCCGCCAGCATTGTCAGATGATGATCGTACCCATATGAGGAATCAGCAGTAACCCAAGTGTCCTTTGAGAGTTGTAAAGACTCTTGAAAACATGCTGGATCGTCCCTCAGGTAGGAAGCTAGGTAGTACCGCTCTTCCACCGAGTCAAAGGTTGAGATAGTACTTTGGCTCATGTGCTTCTGGACTAGATCTCGCTGTATTTTTATGGCGTCTTTGAACTTTCCCTGGGTATGGTAAAGGTACGCCAAGTTATGCATCGCAAGGCAGCTTCCCTCATGATTATTTTGCTCAGTGTGTACCTCCCGGAGTCCTGTTAGCAACGCTTCTGCCTCCGTAAATGATTCTACTGTCAAGAGGCTAGTCGCAAGGTTATTCATGATGAGTAGTGTATCCTCGTGTGCCGGCCCGACTGTCTCCTTGAGGTTAGCTAGTACATCCCTGCCCAGACTGATAGCCGGCTCATGCATCTCGAGGCCTGACCAGGATCTGGTGAGGTGTGTCACGGAAGCTACTGTGATTTCATGCTGGGGACCATGCTTCTGTAAGGCTCTTTCGTAGAGATCCGGAAGAGTTTCCAGTGCGACTTTGTAATTGCCGTTCTTCGCGTAAGCACCCGCAAGGTTGATTTGCGACGCCAGGCTTCGAGGATCATCGTCTTGGGTCTCCCATTGAACTAGAAGCTTATTCAAGTCGACGGCACCCTGCGCGTCTCCATCAGACTGGTAGAGGTCTTGCAAGTAAGACATGATGAGTCGAGACTCGCTATGAGCGAAAGGGGACCCCCAATTCATAGCTGAAAGCTTGGTGATTCTCTCAAACAGTCCTTTTGCCTTTGGGTAGTCTCTCTGATCGTAGTACGACAGGGCAATCGTGCAGAGGCTCCGAAAGGACATCTCGGAACACCCTTCGTCAGTTTCGTTATCCTCGCTTATGATTTGGTCCTCATGGATGATTTCGTGACAGATCCTTCGGGCTTCTTCATGCAAGCCTTGGGAACGACATGCTCGTGCGTAGTGGTTCATGACATCAAGTGTCTGGCGGCTTGATTGACCGAGAAGTCGATCTATGTTCGGCCAGGCCTTTCGATAAAGCAACGAGGCATCGTCTGTCAGACCCAAGTCCATCATGGACGAGGCTGCGTTTGTTGCATAGATCCAGGGGTCAATGGAATCAGGGCCTAGAAATGCCTCTGCTCGTTGGAGAACGCTTCTTTGCGCATCGAGTGTCTCCATGCTGGGTCCATGCAATTGGACCATTGCACCCAGCAAGGAGGAGTGTGCCCTCAAAGTGTCTCTATGCAGCGGTCCTTGATGCTTTTCGTGGGCTTTGAGGATGCGTCGGTTGATCTCCAAGGCGACTTCGCCTTTGGCGCTCGGAAGCCACATCATGAACGTCGCTTGATTATTCAGACAATTCAGCGTACTCGGATGCTCCGGCCCTAAGATAGTTTCGTACTTCGTCACTACCTGGGCTTGAAGGCGCTCGGCATCCTCGAACCGGTCTGCATGGAAGTAGGCCATGGCTAGATTTGCCTCGGCCGCTATTGAGTGGCGATTGTCGCTTAGGTGACTTTGCCGGTATAGTTGAAGGGCTTGTTTGCCTGTCTCGATAGCCTGTGCTGTCTGTCCAGCATGGTCAAGGAGCAAAGCCAGCTGTGCCAATGATGCGACCGTTTCGGGATGGCTTTCGCCGAGCATTCTCCTGTTGGTCTCGAAGACGCTGGTCTGAAGCTCTTGCGCCCTTCGGCTTTTTCCTGCCTCGTCAAGAACGGCGGCCAAAGATGCCCTCTGGAAAGCCAAGACCGGGTGATGTTCGCCGAAAGTTGATGATAGACCCTCGACTTCCGATTCTAAGTGGCGACATGCGGCTTTCATGTCTCCCCGTCGCTGATACTCATGTAACAGATCTGCCTGCAACAGATAAGGCAACGAACTGGGCTGATCAGGGCGGAAGACATCTTTCAAGGATGTGAGTTCTGATGCAAGCCGCTTTTCGTCGAGCTGCCCGATTTCCAGTGACCGCCTTACCTCCTCAGACGACCGCTCGGTGCCAAAAGCGACTGAGGAGCATATAGCTGCCTGAAGCGCATTGTTCCTTCTGCACTCGCTGCGCAATGATGCGGCAGACCGTTTTAGGGCCTGATAGATGAACTCTCGAACTCGAAAGTCCGCAGCGCTAAGTTGTACAATAGAACGCCCAACGTGAAAGCAGCATCTGTTGGGAATATCGATGGGCGATGCAAGTTGGCCTTTATCCGCTGGGTCACCCAAGTCAACCGGTCCAAGGAGGGACAGAACCTGAGTACCACTCTGAGCTCGATCTTGGGGGTCTGGAGCGAGAGTGCTTCGAAATAACTGCTCCACCATCGAACGAGTGTCTTCACCGAGGTTAATCTTGTTAAGGTGCCCGATAGCCATCTGAAGGGGGGCTGCCGGGTTGGAACGCGCCAGAGTCTGTAGGTGTTGCATTGCTTCGTCCTCCTCCTCTGTTGTTGACAAATGAGAGAAAGCTTGGTCCCACGCCAGAATATAATGGCAGACCAGTCCAAGTGAGTATACGTCCATTAGGCGTGCATTGCAGATTTTGAAATCTCGACCGTGGTATTCCGGCGCAGACCAGCCTGGTGTTCGGGGAAGGCGCCGAAGTTCCCAGTCTTGTCCGATGACCGATAGACTGAAGTCTGAAATTCTCGGTATGCTATGTCCCTGCGGACCACTGATCATAATTATGTTTTGGGGCTTGATGTCCCCATGGACGACACCTATTGTCACGTCAGGAAGGCATGATCAATCACCCGGAATGACGTCTAGCCAGCTGGCAGCAAGGGCACACTAACCGGAACTGTGGAGAGCAGACAGCCCAGAACAAATGCCCCTACAGAGATCAAGCTTTCTCTCTACACTCAAAGACGTCTCGTGAGCATTTCCGACGAGATGCTCCCGCAGCGGCACACCCCGCTTGTAAGCGAAAACAGGCCAAACAGACTTAGTTGCCACATTCCAGCTGATTCCGGCTAGGTTGGCTACGTTGGCGGACTCCCGAACTTGTGGCTGGGAAAGGATGGTGATCTCTGTCATCATAGTCTCGAAGGCCCGCGAGACCGTCTGCGCACTTGACTCATCTGGAACTTCACCGTAGAAGACTTTGAGTGTCTTGAACGCAAGGTCGACTTCTTTGACCACAAACGATTGGCGGATAACCGCCTCGCCTCCTTCACCTAAGTCTCCCCGAGCCGGCTGGTATGTCACTGACAGTAGATCAACACCGTGATGCTGCGCAACAGCAAGAAGAGATATCACGTCGCAGTGATCAGCAGCCCCGAGAGCCTCGTTCGTCCTAGGGAGGTTACTCTGAACCCCGACCGACCAGGACGGCAAAAACGAGTACGAGGTAGACATTTCGGCAAATCTCGATTTTGACGAATGGTTCAGTGACGAAAGGGAGACTTAGGTAGAAACTGGGTTTACCGTACTTATACCACGCGCGATATTTGCACTTTCGACGTAAGCGTACGGAATGAGTGGAAGGCTTCAGGCTTCAGCCAAGAACTGAAGCATCCGAGGTGCACTTTGATGTCACATAGCAGGGGTCTGTAGCGGTCGCCTCTCAGAGCCTGCTTACGTCCCGGTCGTCACGATCCAGGCTGCCAACACAGCCAATATCATTTGTAGCAAAAGAAAAAGAGAAGAGAAGAATTGAAAATGACTCACATAGCTTTCGTCTTCGCATTTCACCGTTCCACCGGAGAATTTATTGAGTTGATTAATCTATATGTGCAGGGGAGTTAGTAGAGTAAATGTGCCTGCGACCGAAAAGGGGGGCTGGCCCAGTGGGCGGGGCGGATTTCTAGTGCGCCGAACCACCTACAGTAGATTCATACTTGGGCTATCTCTATCTTATAATGACTAGGTTAGATGCGCCCCTAGAGTCCGGACTCTGACAGGGGATCGCCAGATTGCCAACCGGTAACCGAGGACGTTTGGACGAATTGGGAACAGTGACTCCAAACAAGCCGAAGCCCACGGGCTGTCAGCTTGTCTTAGCTGCAGCAAACTTGATTAGGAATCGCGCCACTTGCCCATGGGGTCTTGGCAGGTCCCTTTTGGCGTCATTAAAATTGTCGGCGGGATCATGCTGACAATCTGACTGCTGTTGGTTGGTGCCTGGCTCTCTCTCTTGTTGTCTGTCGCCTTCAACGCCGAAGGTGCAGCGCAATCGAGTCAAGATGGAGACGAACCTGGAGAAGAATGCGCCGATGCGGGGTTCCCGTTTCTCCTGGCTGCGGACGAAGCGGGCGATAATAGGACTATCGCTTGTGACTTGTGCGGTTATCGTGGTGATTGGTCAGTGTTTTTCTTACGTTCTCCTGGTCATGCGAATAATGTCATGGAGATTGGGGTTCCTGACATCAAAGTGGCCGTCTAGTCCTCGCCGCTACGCACGTTATCCATGGAGGCGGATCTTCTCAGGACTCTGGTTCGAAGCAGCAGATAGGTGCAAAAATAACATCTAGTGCTGGCCAGGCCGTCTCGACAAGCTCATCTGCTTCTGCAGTGTCGACACAGTCCTCTTCGTTGACGTCTTCTTCGACACCGACATCTTCGGCGAAGACAAAGCCAACGACTACAAGTTCCACGAGTTCGACGGCTTCCACGTCTTCCGCGGCGTCCACGGACGTACCGCTGAGAATCATGGCTCTCGGTGCATCCATCGTCAAGGGCGAGACTTCGCCTGGCTACTTGGGCTTCCGCAAGCCAATGCGCGACGAGTTGGTAAACCTGGGGTTCGTGGTCAACATGGTAGGCTCGATACGACTGGGTGACTTCACCGACAACGACGTGGAGGCATATGGAGGGAAGAAGATCACACAGATGCAGGACTACGCCACGCAAGTGGTGCCGGAGGCCCAGCCCAACCTATTCCTGATCAACCTGGGCACCAACAACATCCTGCAGAACAAGGACGTCGACAAAGCGGGCGCGCAGATGGAGGACCTGACCAACTACCTGCTGGCGGCGTCCAACCAGTCGACCGTCATACTGAGTACCCTGCTTATCAACAACGTCCCGAAGAAGGAGCCTATGATCTTGGACATCAACGCGCAGTATCGCACCATCATGGAGGGATTCGAAGCCGACGGCAAGCCGGTGGTCCTGGCGGAAATGCATCCGGATGAGGGTGTGTCGGACGTGCCCACGCTCGCCGATATTGGCCCTGATGGCTCGCATCCGACGGTCGCAGGATATGAAATCATGGGTCACCTGTTTGTGCAAGCGATCCAGGAAGCCAGCGAGAAGGGTCTCATACGGAAGGCCGTGGATAACGGCACACCGGATGATGGAGATGCTGAGAGAGCTTGAGAGTGAGGTCTGAGGGTCCGAATGCGACACCCGCGCTATCTGTAACGACGACCTGAGAACGATCTCGAGGACAGCGGTCGCGATTGGATAGACATAGCGGGTGCGTGATTGACCCGGAGATCAGAGTGCAATCGATGGCGTCCAGGACGTGGCTTTTGGCACGGTGACGGGTCGGGACTGCTCAAGCAGCTCCCTCTGGGTCGTCACCCCGACCTCAATACCCTACATATTAATGACATGCCAGCATCTGACTGGTAGAGGCACCGATAAAGCCAAGTAATATAATAATACAATCCGAAAATGAAAAGCTGATGGGAGACGGAGACGGAGAGTGCGTGAAACGTTGGAGGTGAAATTTAGGAGCGGGCACCCGATTGAAACTTGGAAGCTTGGACCACACCGCTTCTTTACGAGCGACGTCATAGTTAAAGCGCTGCAGATTGTTTGGCCGGCCGCCCTGAGCAGTCGCGTTCTACAAAGAAGTGGGGATGCTGGAACCCTCCTTCCATCACGTCTCCCCCTTTCACCCTTTCCCCCAAGGAGAGTCAGAGGCTCGTCGCCGCCTCCTCCAACACCCTGGCTGGTCACAGGACGGGTATGCATTACTGCATCTGGCGCTTGGCGTATCAAATCTCCTGCAGCTGCCCTCAGAGTGTCAAGAGCGTCGTAAAGCGCCATCTCATTCTATTACGCATGAACCATTCACTGTCAAATTAGCAATCGTGGTACCTGTGCCCCTCGCTAAAGTCGCGCGATCACCCCTATCATCAGAGCCTCTTCTTGACCAATACCAACCGTTCAGACACCTCGGCGAGCTTGTCGTATAGGTGAATCGGCAAATCCTCCGACGCCAACACGTCCTCGAGAATCGTGTCCACGTGGTCGAGGTCGGCTCGAGTCTCGCGGTTGGTTTCGCGAAACTCTGAATTCTCGCAAACTGTCCTCGTATGACGCGCTCTGAGACGCTCATAGTGTGCCTTTTGGTAGCTTTCCCAGATGCTGATAAATCACAAGTCTTGTTGTAATCTATCAGTTGTCTGGGTGGTGCTTGATTAACAGGTCGGATGGAAAGGATTCCATCCGAGATGTATCTAAATACCTAAATTACAGTGGTGAGGTACCTGGGGCAACAAAGGGTTGCCAGGCAGCCTTCATCAGGCAACCTCCAACATATCTGGTGGGGTTACCAGAATACTCCATATGGGTCCATGCACTGGATCCACAATAGTTGCGTTGAGATTGGTCGGATGAGAGGCTGCTCAGCGACTGTGGTGTGGGGACCGCTGAGAAATGGGTCGGAGCGAGATCGCTTCTTGCTCGCGCCTCTAGGCTCGAGTTGGACGGCGTGCACACGAATGAAGGCTATAGTTCTTGGTTCTCGTGGCTAAGGACTTCTAGCAAACGGACCGATATAGTCTGGGATGTGGGAGTGGGAGTGGGCATAGTATCGGTGGCGGGAGGAATTGTCATTGTGAGGTCTGGTGAAGACGAGGTGGAAAAGTTAAAACTGGTCAAGGTTAGTAGTACCTTAGCAACGCGTAGGCAAACAGATTCGCGATACATGGTAACATACCCGTGCAATGCCGGCTCATCCTGGGGCAATTGCCCAATTTGCATGTGCTGGAAGGACATGTGTGGCATAGTGATAGCCGGTATCATGGATGTCGATTCGTAGTAAAGGTAATCTGAACATGGTAAGCATCCCTACAGTCGGGTATCTTTCAGACGGACGGTAGCTTACATGGATAATACTCGGACTTCAGGGAGGGCACGTCACGAGTCTGCATGCTCGGGATAAGCAGGCGGAATAGGCTCCACCATGTATCTTCCTCAGTGCCAGTCCGACAGGTAGCATCCAGTTTCATCTCCTGTGCTTTGTCCATGAATCTCTCCGAGGCCGGTATCGTCCTGGGATCACATGGTTTCTGTTGAGACGCGTGATCTGCCACCTTGCGCCTTGTATCAAATGCACGCCAGCAACGATGGCAGCGATATCGAAGCATGTGTCTGCGATTCAAATGCTGCCTGACCGCTTTAGTATATATAGCCCGGAGCTAACGGTTGATGTCGTACTCACTTCAGTCTGTGGATGCCAGGGCACCCCCCTTTCGGATTTCTCGGACCTCGCCTAAGGCAGTCCTGGAATGCTTCATGAGCTTGGTAGGGGCAATCAAATCGTGCTAATGGCTTCTTTGAAGCGGCAACCAGAGGTTGTCGCCCAGGTACCTTCCTGCTATCGTCCTCATCGTCCAGGTCATCGTCGGTATTGTTCCCCTCGGGATGCAGCCCGCTGGTGTTACTCGGATGTGATTGTGGCTCCCCGAAGCCAGTGTATTGGAAATCGTTGCGCCCGTTTTGTTTTTCCATGCCTGATGGTCCGGTGGTGTTAGTGTCGACATCCGCGGGGCTATTCTCGTCGTCTGATGTTGCCGAGGGGCTGTCGCTATCAGCTTCGTAATCGTGGCCCCGGTCTCCATGGTAATGGCTCGACACCGAAATGAGTTCTACCTAAACTCTCACAAGGCCGACTTGTCTTTGCCGATGACTTGTTGCGGTAGTCTCTGTCGGTAAGGAAAACGAGACCTTATCAAACGGCTCGCTTGTCACCGGAAGTTCCGTTACTTTGGACGCAATTGAAGCTTCGTTACCCTCCTGGTCGATTTCACTAGCAATGGCTTCCGGTGTCATTCCATCGTCCGTGGACGTGCTGTCTGAAATCTCCTGTAACTCAGCATTCTTGTCCTTCACAGGGCTCGTAGACCCAGTGGTCGCAATGATACCACTTGGACGTGGGGGCACTGGGTGCTGGGCTTCAGGATAAGATGAAATTTGCGCTGAAGAGCTGGGCAGATCTAACTTGACCTGGCCATTGAGATACTCGAAGCCTGGAGCCGTACTTTATGGATATAGCAGTCCCAAGAAGTGAAGACTAATTCTCTCCATGTATTTAGCAAGATGTACTGTAAGTTCACTCCAGGTGGAAAACGATGTGCCGCAAAATCGGCATGGTTCATCCTGGGTGGATGTCTCCACACGGCAGCTTTCGATCTTCTACCATGTAATGTCGAAGGCAGCCACCTCCTTGCTATGCTTCTCCTGTGGAGGCAGAGGGACCTTGTGCAAGGCTCCGAACAACTTAACGGATATCAATATGTTGGTTGAGTTAACGTCAATATCTACGTCAACTTAATCTACCAAGACCCCTATAACCTTAGCAACCAACTCAACGATAAGGCTATCGTGGCTTAACATAACTAGTAAAATATATTACCTTGAAATAGAAAATAACTTATCAATAACTTAACTAATTTTAAAGCTATAACTTCATGAATAATATTACGAAAATTTCCGTAAATTTTTCATAATTTTAATTTAAGTTATAATCTCGTTAGCTCGTAAAAATACTGTTAAACTTATTTACACGTAGAATTACGGAAATATCTAATAATTTCTAAATCAAACTATTATGTATTTAAACATAAATAACCTTTTATAATATATCTTACTTATATTAATTAAATGTTTCTAATAGAACAAAGATTTTCTTATATAAGTAAGCATATTAATGATAAACATAATATGTTTTTATAATTAACAATAACGTAGCTGACAAGCGAGTTGGCATTATAAGTGAGTTGGCACTCGTTATGAACTCTCTAACTGTCATGTCAAATAACTTCACCACAACGTGTTCAATCTAATTCAATCAATCGGATTCCTCTTCCTCAGAGGTTTCTATCACTATTGTACAAGTTCGCGCATTATGGCCAGTGTTGCTGCAAACGCCACACCGTCGCTCACGCGCTGCTGCCCTCTTTAGACGACGACTATCTTCACTTATTTCTTGTCTTGCAAGCTCAGTACTATCCTTTGTAGCTTGAAGACTTATTATATTTTTAATAAAAAGTATTTCTTCTTTTATTAGATATTTGTTTTTTGTTTTCCAGTATTTATTTAGTAGGTGATTGGCCTCTTCTAGCTCGTAAATCTAGGAATCAACTAAAGCGACCTTGTGTATAAGACCGTACGTAGCCTTTTAAAACGAGTTCAATGCATTAATAATTGATATAAGTGAGCTTTCCTGGTGATTCCTGATTCGGTTTTTGATATAAACCGACAGGTTATCACTTCATTAATAATAGTAGGCGCCTTTAAAGTCCAGATAGTGGGTGGCAGATTGGAGTCTAGCCATGGTGTTCGTACGACGATGATAGCATCCAGCTTCAAAATGACACTTTCTGGGTCTAAGGGAACAAGGCCAGTAGTACTAAAACCTGCTTAAATGTTTTCTGGCGTTATAGCAGCGTTGTGTACTTCACAAAATGCTGTAAGAAAATCTTTCTTTGAAACATTGGTTATATGACGCCGAATAAAATCTTTAATTGAGCGCCCATAAGCTCGTTTGAGCGGGCTAAAATAACTGACATTTAAAGGCTGTAGCCTGTGTGATAAATGGGCAGACATATAAAAGATAGTGACATCATTATTCTGATAATAATTCTTAAAGACCTGGGAATGTTGGCTTTTATGGCTATCTAGGATAAGGAGGCGTTTACCGGCGGTCATACGCAGTCTGGTATACTTGTCGAAATGCTGAATCCATTTCAAACCAATCTTTTTTGTATTCCACCCGTTGTCAGACACAGCCACCTTCTAATTGCGTGGTAATATTGTGTCGCAATACCATGACGTAAGGTGGGTTTTGCCCTGTAAAATGATGAACGGCAAGACCACCTAACTATTAGTATTGATAGCAGAGATTGCTGTAGACTATTCCATGTTGCTTTGCTGAGCTTGTCTAGGCCTGTCACGTCTTTTGGTGCTTATAATGACCATGTTGGACCTAATAATGCCTATCATAAACCCAGTCTCATTGAAATTATAAATATCCGCGTCTTAGATATTATGTTTCGCAATTGCTGCTGCAACTTGACAAAACCACGCGCGATATATATCTGGATCTTTATTTAAGACCTTTGAGTAATCCATCCTGCGATAAAAATACGTCCGGAGGCCTGGTATACGTTTGATGAAGTTCGCCATCCAGTTCTTTTTGACGCGTCCAGCCCTATATGCCGCCAACAATTGATTCACTATATGTTCAACATAAGTATACCGGGGCAGAAACGCTTGCGCATCCAGGTCAAGTATAAAGAAACAAATAGTATTATCTTCGAAAACCATAAAATTCAAAGAATTAGGCATGCTATCACATTGTGTTGGTTGGCCGGCGATTCTTTGAGCCAGTATAGAGATTGATAGGTGGAAAGTTTTTGCAAGCTTTTAAACAGAAATATCAGGGTCTCGTTTTCTAGCTTGGACAGCTAGTTGCATATTTGATTTGTTATAACGCGGTGCCTTTGTAATGGGTGAAGAAATACTGTTTAGAAGTTAAAGATTTAAGAGGTTCGTACAAATGTCCCACTCGCTTGTGTGTCCCGCTCGCTTGAGACCTATGTTATGTTTTATGAGTTATAATAAAATAAGTTTAAGAAGGTTTTAAACTTAAAAATTAAACCTTTAAAGCCGAAAAATATAGTTTTAAATAATATAATTCATTAACCTTTATAATATTATATTTTTAAACCCTTTTTTAAGTAATATTTATGTATCAAAACCTTTTAATAAAAATATAAGGCAAAGTGGAAATAAAGAAAACGGTATAAAGAAAAGATGTATGGAGAAATTATTTATAATATTACGCCTTTGTATTATTTTAAAAAGTAACCCCTTTATATTATTAAAACAAACAAGTAATTAACCGCAGACGATTAAGAAACCTTAGCGGTTAATTTCGGTATCTCTTAATATATAAAAATATTTTGAAATTTTTCAAAATAATGATATAATTCATTAACATAAGTATAAATAAATTAGCTGTGAGAATTTGTCGTGCGGAATATTCGGTTCATACGTGCTTGTTGGTTTTGTTGTTCTTAGTCTACTTAGTACGAACAGATTCACACCTGAATACAGGTGTGACGCGTCTATCTGCAGTGGTAGTGGTGCCGAGGGGCAACTACCTACCATCTCTAGTGCACAGACCACGTTGGACCACACACCCTGAGCCACCAACTCCGATATTAGCTTATATAGCAACATTTAAGAGGTTTTTTTTAAGTTTATTATAAAATAGCAAAAAAAAATTAAAAACCGGGCTAATAAACAAAGAATTTACAATGACGAATATATTAAAATTATTGTCACGACTCGTATTACAAAGTAGGAGCGGAATGGATCCAATTACTGTATACGTATAAAAATCATCTGGGGAGAAAGTAAAAGAAGATCTTAGCCCGCAGCCAAATTGGCTGTTGGGATAGATCCAAGCGACCGCCCCGCAATCCGGCTACAGAACAACGTTGACCAGGTAATGCGACTTGCACGTGACGGGGACCAGGGCCAATAGTAGTGGCTAGGTGGCTAGGCACCATTACAATTATTATTAATAACAAATAAAGACTTTGAATAAAAATTTCGATAAAGTCGATAATCCTTTTATTTAATACGCCATTATAGCCTTTTATTTTACTTATTATTGAAATTAATTAGGAAAAACCCAAGTTACTCGCTTTAAATAAATCTTATGTTAGATCCATGCGATTTCACATTCATCCCATCCATACCGAACCCACATGTATGATTAGATAAGAGATTAAATACTGGATTGTGAGGTCACTTAGCCAGACCTGCGAGTCCAGCTAGACCTCCCAATCCAACAATCATCAGCAACATCATGACCTTGACCCAATACTCGAGTATTATGGTTGATCGTTCAAGCCTGTTCCAACATCTTAAGGACTACAAAGATAATTCCTTAAATATGAATAAATTATAACAGTATGGCAATAAATGCGGTAAAGTCCAAAAATAATGATAATGAGCTTTTATAAAACGTTAAAAAAGCTAAGTTCAAAACCTCTTATAAAAATATAAAAATAAGTTGATAAAAATATAAAAGAAATATAAAGAAATTAACTTCGTTATAAAAACGACGCGTACATTAAATATATTATTTACTATTAGTACGAAAAGCTGTTTAAATATCAATGTTTCTTACAAATGGCTTTCTTTATGAATTTACCTATATTTATTCAATATAAAAAGTTTTTTAATAATGAATTAAACAGTAATAAGCTTAAAACACAACTTAAATATAATTATCATTAGTATATATTAAACGTTAAGGTTTTAGTTACGATCCAGTATAATCTAAAAACTTAAGGAGTTATTACAGCTTTTGCCGCTTCAAAAAACTAAAAAATCCATATATCTATTAAAAAAGCTTTAAATAAATAAGAAAGATTATAATAACTATTGAAAAAAAGGCGTGGTAAATGTATTAAAAGTAATTATAATAAATAATTAAGAATAATATTACTATAGTAATTTTGCAAAGAGTTAATTTGTTTATATTTATAATAATAATCGAAATGAATAATTGTCACGGCGAGCGTACTGGTGAGCTGGGACATGGCCTGTAGCAAGCAGCTATTACTCAATTGACGAGAATATCAAGACTAGAGAGGAAATGAAGAGAGAGAAAGATAGGTACAGCAGGAGGTTGCTCCTTTAAGGGGATCCTCTGGTCAGATCCTTCTCTTATTGGGAAGTATTGGCTTGTCATGTGGGAAGGTCTGTGCAGGCCGTCACATAAAGCAAATATATAAATAATACTTCTTTACCACCTTTCCCATAAAATATTTTTAATACTATATGTAAAGTTGTTTAATAATTTGAAACGTAATTATTTATATAAAAAGCTAAAATAAAACTAAATAATAAACTTAAGTTTGGATTTTAACTACGTTATTATTCTTTTACTTTAATAAGAATATCTACTGATAGATAATACTATTTAAAGTAAGTTACGATTTTTAAAATGTTTAAAAATATAAATCTCGTTATTAATATTTTTTTTAAATATTTTTAAACAGCTGAAATCTTTTAAAACGAAGCGTTGTAAAAAGTATTTTGAAGAAAAAAACACGTATTTATAAATCATATTATTTAAGGTTCATTATAGCTTTTTAAACGCTTAAACGTCTAAATTTTACTTCTAATATTTTTATTCGATTTCTTCTCGCTAAGAAAATTAACCCGGAAAAAAGTCCCTTTACTTTATATTAACTTTTAAATATATTAATTCTTAAAAATAGTACTTTTCGTTAATATACTTAATTTAATGAAGCAATAACGGAGTTATAAACAATATTAACTTAACTTATTGAAAGGGTCCCGCTAACGTAGATTGAATTGTTTAGAACCTTGAACTTGTGTTCGCGGACTAAATGTTGATAAAATTGTCCCGTCTATAGCACGTGTGGTGTTAATCTTCCACATCACAAGTCCACCATTCAAGGTACCGATGCCCTTCGTTCTCGTGCCGCACCCAGTCAGCCCTTGTCTTGAATGTTCTGGGATCCCGACATTTATCCCACGTGCACGTGAAATGCTGGACGTCATCAAGGACGTGTCTCGTCCAATCTGAGGGCTTCTCAAGCTTGAGGCGTGAATAACACACCTGGCATTCGAATTCCGCCGGCAGGGTCGACGTTGGCGGTCTGGGAATTCCGACAGGGAAACTATCACTATTGAGGCGGAATCGTACGGATTTCCCGGAATCTTCAGTGGATTCATTGACACCGAAAGGCAATGATGACCCCCCTTTCTCGACACAAAAGACCCCAGAAGAACAGCTACCGGTTCTAATCGAGCTCTGATGCCTAGTTTTGAGGTCCAGTAGTCTTCCATGGCGTGAGACCATTTGGTGGGCAATGCGATCGACGAGATAGTTGTTTGGACCCAGCAAGCCTGGATTCAACTCCATAACATGTCTTTGGAAACCGGGATAGGCTGGGACCGGGAGTGGGACTTTGTTGACTGCCACGCCATGTCCATCTGAAATATCCACATCCTCGGAGACGTCGCTAACTCCCTCATCACACTCGGAATCAGTCGGCTCTTGCGACGAGTGGGCTGGAGGCGAGACCCATGGGCCGCCATGTAACTCCAGCCGGTTGGCCAAGATAGATGAGTCCGGAAGGGGACTTTGCGCGTAGCTGAAGAGCCCACCTGGCTGCCCAGCCGGAGCAACGGCTGACGGCTGAGCTACAGCATTGTCCATATCTTCATCGAAACAAGCACCGAACGGACGTTCCATTCTTCGGTGCTTGTTTCGATGATCGAGATAAGCACCGAAGCGGAGCTCGTGCCCGGAGTCACCGTCAGTGATGTTCGACCACTTCTTGTGCGATGGGTTTGATGCTTCATTTGATATCTCAGGAGGCGGGGGGGCTTGATGTCGATGATGCTCCAATCGAGAAGCCTGATAAGCTGATATGAAGTTGTCCATGGCGATAGGCTTAGTGTGACTCGGCTCACATGGGGCACCTCAAGCCCAAACGGAGGATCCAATGTCCAGGCGCGATGTTGAAGACTTTCGCTGCTGAAGTCCGGGAAGCGAGGAAACGATTGCGGTACACAATTGTGTTGCATATTGGCTCCACACATGCCTTTGTGCAGGAAAGTGTAGACTGTGATTGGTGCGTCTGGACAGCCCCCTGCAATGACTTGTGCTAAGTGCAAGAAGACGGCTCAAGTGCAGCATCACGTGAGAACGCGCCATTTCACGTCCGGGAGGGTTGGATGGCTTCGCGACAGATTCAGGAAGCAGGTAGTTCAGTCACTAGTATCACAGGGACTGCATGAAGTGAAACTAATTCCATGATGACGGATAGATTTCCAACGTGCTTTGAGTACTTTAGGTGAAGTACAAATATATGGATCCCGGGCGTTGACACTCAATCTGCTCTGGGCCTGGGACGGACACATCATGTGCAATGTCTATAGGCAGGCGAACCCAAACAGTGCGGCATTGAAACACATTAGGACAGGAATGTGCACTTGGCCTTCAATTATCATGGCAGCGGACAAAGTAGTAATCTACCATCCGACCCCCCGAACCGGCACACCCCCACTACCGGCACAGCCAAACCCCGCCACCACCACCAAAAGACCCCCCTACTCACTTACACGCATTTGAGGCTGTATAGGGTCAAAAAAATCAGCAAAATTATCATTCTGTGGTGTTTTGGCTGCTCAATCGACGTATCTAGCCGGCGCCCGGATTGACCGCCCGGATCTAGTCATCTGGGCTTCTGTAACAGGGGCTTCTACAGCCTCCTCAGCGTCCGCAAGCTCCTCGTCCTCCTCACCCTTGTCTTCAACAACCTCCGACTTTGAAGAAGAAGAAGAAGACTCTACAGCAACCGGAACTAGCGGATCACCACCCTGGGCTAGTATTTCTACCATTGTCATGAACTTTTTGTTGGGATTTGGTATCTTTTTCCTCTTCTTAGGCCGTAGCCGCTCCAGTTCAGCCTCCAGGGCCCTGATCTTCTGGTCTTTTATGGCCAGCTCCGTCTCCTGGTTCTCAAAGGCATGGGAGATCTTCCGGAACTTCAGCCGAGTGGCTGGGGAACGGTTCCTCCCGAAATCCCGGATTTGCCGGCTCGTGGTAGGGGTCTGTTGGTCCTCCAGCTCTGAGTCTTCCTGTTCTTCCGGCTCGGGGGTCTTCCGCTTGTCTTCTTGGATTTCTGGATGGTCTAGACACTTTTTGCGGCTAATTGGGTAGCATCCCGTCACTCGGAAGCCCAAGCGGATGTTTTTTGGCGTAAATGCCATGTCCCTTGCCTTGCTGTAATAGCGGATAAAGTTGATCTTGTCAACAGGGGAAGAATCAATCAGAGAATTTAACTGGGTGGGGAATCTCTGGTAGTAGGACTTAAGGGCGTTATAGGGGCCGTTATCCAGTGGTTGCATTCCGTGGCTGGTGTGTGCTGGGAAAAAGCACAGCAAGATGTGGGCAAAATAACACCGCATCATAAATTCGTCCTTTTCTAGAGTCAGTTGCTGTTTAAATCGGAATAAATCAAATAACCAGTAGATAAATAGAAAAAATTGGTGTACATACGGAGGTATGGCTACCATGACCATCTAGGATCAAAAGGACTGGTTCCCACTGCTCCTGGCCAAGAATTTCATCCACTTGTGGTATGAAAACGTGCTCAAGCCACTGGCAGGCAATATCGTTACTGGTCCAGCCGTTTTCCGACGTTATATAGTACCAGTCGGCTATCTTCTGGAATTCCTCGAGGAACCACTGCGCTTGGAGATCTTTTCCCTTGAAAATCAAGCCTGGTTTGAGTACTCTACCGGTAGCTGAAATGGTCTCAATGAAAGATGTCCACGAGCGGCCCTGGGGGCTCTTTAGGAAAGCTTTCCTCGTCTCAGAACTTTCGAGAACTAGGGAATCAATGCCTATAAGGGTAGTTAGTTAACTGTGAGGGTAGGGGGCTCGAAAGAGTTACCAAAACCCGACATGATGCCGCCCTTATCGACATTGTACGTATTTTCTGGCTTTACCCAGCCATAGTCCTCCAAGATGTTGAAGAACCAGTTCACAGACTTAGGGGTAAACCCCTTAAACCGAGCAGATTCCATTCGCTTGCTGATTTTAGTCTGAATGGTAGGGTTGCGTCGTTTAAAGCTGTCCATATAGTGGTTCCCAAGTGGTGCGAAACCCCCCTTTCTTTTTAGGGGTTCTATCACAATTTCCCTGACAGCTGAGTGAGAGGGGGCAAGCCCCAAAGTCTCCTGGCGCAATATCCAGGCTGCTACCTTGCTTTCTTGCTTAGGAGAAATTCTCTGCTCGGTGGTGTGAGCTTCTGTTTTAGTCCCTCTCCCCCTTATGCGTGCTGACAGCGTGCTGGCCGGGATGCCGTATTTTTGGCTGGATTTTCTCACGGACATGCCATTATTTGTGACGTCTAGGTAGGCATCCACCACATCATCCTCTGTATACGTGGGCGGAGGCATCATGGCTGGCTTCAGGATGCTGTGGTGCATGAGGGACAGGGGCTCACAGAGAGAATTCTACAGCAAATTTGTATTTAAGGGCGGGGCACGGAGGCTGTTAAATGCCGATGCCAATGGCCAGCAATTAAATAATCTACATTAAGCTAAACACCAAGAAGAGGGCTATCTAACTATCTAAAGAACGTTTAGATACCCTCAAAAGGGACTGTAATCCGTGTAAGTGAGTAAGGGGACTTTTGGTGGTGGTTGTGGGGTTTGGCTGTGCCGGTTGGGGGGGTGTGCCGGTTCGGGGGGTCGGATGGTAGTATAAGATGCAGGCGTGGTCTGCTAGAGGTTCCAAGTCCCGAGACCCCAACTCATCGGTCTGACTGCACGCAACTCCTGCTCAACCTCTCTCTCTAGCCAATCAGCTCTGCACTATAACATTCACCGAGGCACGGGTTGGCGACAACAGAAAACAGCCAAGATGCCACACTCCACCCAAATCCCATCATCCACGACCAAGCATCAACAATAAGTACCTCCCGTGATATGTGGCGTCGGGGAAGTTTGAATCTGATTCCTGTAGTCGCAAGGCTCACCAAGAACCATGTGCCGATGAGGTTTCCTCCCTATACTGCCAGCCTGATGTCTCCATAGGGGATCAAGCTGGCGACGACGCGTTCCCTGTATCCGTCGAAAGACCTGTATCAGCCGACGGGACCGAAACACACCAAGACACGAAATTCCTGGGCATTGGCAGTCAATTCGATGGGTCTTCAGGATGGATTCGCCCGGTACTCTGGATTCTAGCCGGCCGAGACTGAACCATACTTCTTGGCGGGACCAAAGGACAATGTAACAAAAATATCGTCGGGTGTGAACACTGGGCAGTGCACGAAGACCACGTAGCATGAATCCCAATGGCTCTTAGAAGGGTTCTGAGAAAGGCTTCCTGCTGGATTGTGGCAAAACTGAGACCAAGTAACTGGCCTCCTCTTAAATCGGGCCAACTTACCTGAAACATGGACAGGACTGAAGCACTTGTGAGAATAGAGGAGAAGGAGAGAGTTCGGATAGGGAGGGCCAAAAAGGGAAAAGGAAAAAAAGTGTTTCAGCCGCTAGAAGAATCGAACCGCTGTGCCTAAGGATATAGAATAAGAATACTCCGCTATTCGCTAGGCCGTACCAACTCGGCTACCAGACAAACCTGTCAAACTCGTATATATATCCTGTGCCGTTAGAGTGAGGAATAGGCGGGTGAACTTTAAGCTTTGTAGTGTGGCTGCTTGGAAACTTTGCCAAGAGTGAGTTTTCGTGGTAACTGTGGAAGTTAGGACGTTTATTTTCATGGTCTACTGTCGCTGGAGCCATATTGGCGTTGGGGTTGAGGGAGAAGACGAACAGAGTTCAGCCATTCAGCCACCAAAGAGAAAATTCGTCAATTTGCTCCGGCAGGGCATGGTCTTCCGTTGAGGACTAGCCGTCCATCGTAGTCGTCTCTTCGAGGGTGCAATTGAAACTCGACGGTTGAGTGATGTTGATCGTGATGTTGAAGTTATCTGTATCGTTCGACCGCAGATACGTGTTGCCGCTTCAGCCACGGCCACCTTGACCACCCCGACCTCCCTGACCACCCTCACCCCCTCGTCCATCCTGACCCCCTTGGCCACCCTAACTACCTTGGTCTCCCTGAAACCGCCAAACGATACAGTAACCCGGATCCGCTTGACAAATGATACTCATTATCTCCGCCACAGCGCCACAAAAGGCAATGATGATCAGTGCCGCCAGGTAGACGAACTCTATGAATTGACGCATCTTGTCCTGAGTTGCGACTGAGAGCCGACGACGGTGTTTTCGGGCGAATACTTTGAAGACGTTATGAGATTTCGGAATGCTCTGTGTTGGAAGAAGAAGTAGAAGAAAGATAGCCGAAGGGGGGACCTTCTGACTTAAATAACCATGAAACTGAACTCTGACAGCTATCTAGAATACGTGCTCAGGCTAGATACGCCACTGAGCACATAGTCTGACAATTCCTGGTAAGTTACTTGCAAAGTTAATAACTCAGCCCCTTTATTTGAGTATTAGCTCAGAATGCTTGTATCACGACCGCTACCTTACCGATATCCCCCAGTGCTCGGAGGCGAAGTTAATTCCGCTTGGGAATACTATCACTTGTCGTGCGCCAGTCGTCTGTTGAGCAGTCGTCGATAAGACCCAGACTCAACTCGTTGACCCAGCTGGTAAAGTTACCCTGAACCTTTATACAGCCAGGGAGCCTGCCAACCAGCCAGCGTCCGCAAGCCACGAGCAACGAAAAACAACTGAAGCTTCGAGACACTTCCTCAACGCATCTAAAAATTAACTTAGCATAGCCACTCACAAGTGGCATGATCTCACTCTAGGTCTTCTCAGGACAAGGGTCCGTCGAGGTCACAATGTGATTGGACTCTCCCCAGTTTCCGAAGGTATATCCAAGTCTGGGTGGGAGCTTTCGACATTGCTCCAGATGCATTCGTTAACTACTCTTGAAACAGTGCGCGACCGCGAAAGCCACGAAAGGACTGGATTCCCTCAGAAGCATGTTAAAATCAGAACTTCTTAAGTGCTACGAAGAGCGAAGTCGTATCTCGTTAACATCTACAAGAGGACACCGCCGCCTCACACGCACGCCACCCACCTATCTACTTCATCACATTAAGCTCAGTATGCCCTTCCAAGTCCACCACCACCACCCTAGTCGCCCCGCGCTTAACAAACCGCAGCGCCTCAATCCTCAAACAGCACGCAGCCACGAAGCAGACAGCGCCCGCCGCAATGAGCAGATAAAAACACCGGACAATAGTCTCGGTTACGGCATCGACGACCAACGCAAGAACAGCCGGGTTGCCACCCGCAAGTATCGGCGAATACACACCGGCCAGTAACTCGCGGATCTCGTGGTCCGAAAAGCCCATGAAGCCGACGGCATCCTTCAAGAGCTGGAGGCCGACATTCTGGTAGACAGCCCCGGCGATGGAGAGCGCGATGGCGGTGCCGCCTAGTTGCGCCATATTGTGCAGCGCGGCTTGGTCCAGGCGCTCTTCCGGTTCCTGGAGGACAACGGAGCAGAGAGGAATGGCGAGCTGCCAGATGATGCCTACGCCACCGCCGATGAGGGCCGAAAATCCCATGACAGCTGATTCGGATGTGCTCGGTTTGATAGTGTGGAAAAGGCCTCCGCCGACGAGGATGAAGACTGCGCCGGCGACGTAAAACGGCATGTACACACGAACAACTGGCAGAAGACCCCCAGCGACGAAGATCATGACGATAAAGACTGAGATAAACGGCAGCAAGCGCACAGCCGCCTCCAGCGGGCCCCGGTTATGCGTGAACGCGTAGAAAATTGGCGTATAGTAAAGGGTCACGCCATAAACCATGGCGGCGCAACCCGTACAAATGAAGGTGAGGAGCACCGTGCGATTCCCCATCAGGTAACACGGGAAGATGCGCCGCTCCGGTGCAGTCCCGATGCTGAACGTCTGCTGGACCACGTACGCGATGGCCACGACACTGAAGACAATCCATATCGCGATAGCGGACCCTGAGTTCCAAGGCCAGTTCCCTCCAGAAAACAGGCTCGCCGACCCAAAGAGCAGGAATGTCCCCATGTGGAGGAAGTTGCCAATCCAGTCGATTTCGCGGAACTGTGTTACCGACTTGGTGGTCGGAACTCGGTATTTCGGAAAGCTGATGATTAGCAATACGAGGCCAATGGCACAGAGCGGTAGTGCGAAGTAGAAGGCCCATCTCCAGGTCGCATGCTCGCTGTCGGCAAATGCGCCTCCTGCAATGATTGTCAATTGAGACCCTCGGTACTGTACGATGGCAAGGAGTCGCACCTATGGCAGGACCTAGGATAAGGCCCACAGCGAAAAAAGCTTCCAATGAAGCTTGCGCCATGGCAAGCTCGTGAGGGTATGAGAATATAACATTAAAACTCAGGATCCTAAAACTACAATCAGCTGTTGAGAATGCCAGTCCAGGAAACGTAGTCTTACCCTTGATAGATGACGCTTGCTCCCACGGCCATCAAGGCTCGACCAGCTATCAAGCAGTTCAGATTCGGGGCAGCTCCAGCAAGCGCCGTGCCAGCCATCGTGAAGAACATCGAGATGACAATGAGGACCTTGAAGTCATAAAAGTGGAAAAGCTTGCGGGCTAGTGGTATCATGGCAATATTGCAGACCGAATAGCTCAGACCGACCCACGGCAACAGCTCAATGCCACCAAAGGCATGATACACGGGTGCCTGAATGTTTGCAACGTTGCTGACATCGTATCCTAGAATACAAGGTCAGTACTGGGCAAGACTGTGTTAGGGCAAGGCGGCTGGTACCGTTAACCATCGTCAGCAGGTTGTTTGCAACGAGCAACATCCTCCATTTCCATGGAGAGATGTCTTCTCTCGGATGCCGTCCTATCGTGATGGGGTATATGGGTTCCTGCCTGTCGGGCTCAGCGGCAGGAGTCCCGCTAGGGGTCCCATGCAGATACTCTGAGTAGTCTGGCATGTAGGGCGTAGTCTGGAACGGTGGGCGAAAGGCGTTGATGTCGTATACTCTAGTATCGCGAGCATAGGGACCCTCGGACTCCTGCGCCGACCCATCTGCCGTAAGGTGAAGATACTGTAGGTTAAATTGTTGTGGTGGGGCGAGTGTCGCATGATCCACGGAACGTATCTCGTCGTTTGAAGTCTGAAGGTCTTGCTGGGTATGTTGTTGACCTGGAGCGGGGGTTTCGTTTACTGTGTAAATACTCTCATCGGCCGAAAGTTGACCGCTTTGCTGGCTCCAGTATTCTTGATGTGGTTGTTGTTGCTGCTGATATCCTTCATTGGCCTCATATATGCGCCCTTCACTTTTGGAGTAGTTCGCTGGCTGAGAGGCGGAGATGTAGCTGTCATTGCTCGGATACACCACTCCTGTGGGCTGGTCGGCAGCCAGGAATCCATCGTTTCGTTGGGTCCATCCCTCCGCGGTGGAATATGCGGCAGCTATATTCGACGTATAGGGCCCGTTGCCCTGTTGACTCCGGCCTCCCGCCGTGGCATAATGGTAGGGCTGCCGCAAGATCGGCACCTCATTGTCTTGGTAAGTCCACCCTTCAGGCGCAGAGTACCCAACTTGCCAGGCTGAAGAGGCAGGCACATCGTCGCCCCGGTAGCTCCAACCTTCGGTTGGGGAATAGGTAGGCGAGACTGGCGCTGCGATGCTCGACGTTCCCTGCTCGACGCTCACAGGTGGTACGGTATGCCCATCGAATGCCATGGTCGGTTGGCGTGAGCGCGTGTATTTGCCCTACTGAGTCTACCGAAACCAGACTCATGTGGGAGAGTCCGAAGACTGAGAGGAAGAATATCTTTCAACAAGCTCGACGGCACCGCCAACTCACCCACTCGAGGCACCGAAGGAATGGTAGCTCGGTCAGGCCCCGGGAAGTTCTTACACCACAGCTAGCAACCAGGCATGTCGCCTTGCGGCAGCACGGCTGACGGCTGACGGGCACAACGTCTTGCCCATGTCGAAGGATGCTGTGCCCCGGTCAGGCCCTGCAGCTGAGGGCTCAAGACCAACCTGGATACGACGTACGATATACGATACCACCCACCCCGAACCGAGGCCCGACCAGTCACCGCGCCGCTGGGAGACATCGAAGACGTTGCTTCCAATGTTCACCTTCTCGTTCCCGCGTTGGCAAGGATTAGACGCGTGTATGGGCGATCCTGCGGAAGGCTATTGGTGCTCTTGGCGAGCAACCAGGGGTTCATCTCATGTATGCGAGTGATGCCGAATAAATCCATTCAGACGCAGCCTTGCCCGCGAACTCAAGTAGGAACTGGACACTCTCGTGTCATTGGAAATCGTCATCGCACTCGGTCTGCTTTCCTGACATGGACGCTCTGCTTAGAGCCCCATCGTACAGAATGCGTGTATTGCAGCATGATGTGCGCCTGACCTGCGGGTGGAATTGAGGGGGAACGGGCGCAACCAGGAATGCAGGCGATGGAGATGAAGCGGGAGAGGTTAGTGGACACTGGCAACTGTGGATACGGCCCCCGGGCGCCAGGGGGGTGGTTTCCGCATTTGGTGCACTCGGGCTGCCCCTGTGCCCAGCCGTTCCGCCCCAGCTGAGGTCTATTTTCGTCCATGTTGATCAGCCATTGTATGGCTCGACGGCGAAGTCGGGTTGAATCTGACAAGGAGAGGCGAAATGCCACCTTACAGAAGTAGGTCTTCCTCACATCCCTGTGTGTTTCAGGTCAGGTCCGTGTGTGGACCAAACTTCGTAGGATTTCTGAAGGCGAATTCGCCGCCACATCTCTACATTTAGACGCCGTCAGGACCGCACGTGTTACCAAATATAATAATGCCCAGAACAGCCGTCTCAGCTATATCGAGTTGACCCAGCACAGGGTCGGTGAGAGACTGTGGATGTCGGCAAGCCGGTAACTGTAAGACCGCTTCATCCTCCTGTCTCCTACGATATATCTTATATGGTGAATCTCATGTGTCTCTTCATATCCCTTCAAGACTACAACCCGAGTTGTTCCCCACAGAGTGTTCTCTGTGGAGAACGGAGAACAACTCGTGCTATGTTCATGATCGCGGCTTTTATTGACGTCCCGCCTTACAACAATCACGTGCATCCTAAATCATCTAAGAACACAGAGAAAGGCACAGGAACAACAGTCTCGCTTCTTCGCATCAAGGTCGTATCACAATATCACTTCCATCCCCGGGGTATCAATCCACATCATCCAGCCACATTGATATGGACCCCCCCTTGGTAGTCAACACAACATTAGGAGCGTGTAAGATCAAGCGACTCCATATGGATAGCCATGCTCAATGGTCTGGTTTCAACACTATTAATCAGTCGGAGCTCCCATCTAGGAGGCCACCTGAGTCTTCATGGGTGAGCCGAACAAAAGAGCTCCATCATGGAGATTGCTCGTAAGCATGCTCTGGGTCTTCACAGACCATATTGGTGTCGACAAGAATGTGCATGCTCACCAAAACCCCTCGCCAGTGCTGGGTCGCACGTATATTCATCCAGAAGACAAGGCCCCTGTGATATTACATATACACAACCACATCAATGAAGGGAGTTGAGAAAGAGATATCCGCTCAGCGATAGAGGAGAAGAGGAGGTATATTCCACGATCCGAGTGACTCCTTCACCGGCAATAAACTGCCCTAACACCGCCTCATTACCGACGTACCAAATATTGAAGTTGCGGCTTTCGCAGCATCCACGACAGCAGCCAAGGCTAGTAAACAAGACATAAGTCAATTATCTACAATTTTCCCTCTATTTTTGGTCTCTATACGGTACAAACTCCAGCAACAAACCAAGCTTCCCTTACCGTTGATGACGTTTCACCATGTCGTCTAGTACAGCTCTCCAAGAGACTATGAAGGCTCTTGTAGTCAAGTCGACCTCCGAGCCCCCTACCATCCAGACCGTGCCTCGACCCAAGCCAACCATTGCCTCGGCCGTCGTGCGTGTCCTAGTGGCCAACACGTGCCATCGGGCGGATAGCCGAGGTCCGTCCAGACGCCACGAAGCTCAAAACCGGCGACCTAGTCTTCATCGACTGCACCGTGAGGTCCCGCGACGACCCGGCCAACGTCTTCCTAGCAGCCATCACAGACGGCCACCCCCCGGCTCCAAGAAACTCATGGCGGACGTGTATCGCGACTGGATGTACGCCGCGTACTGTCTCTGCCCGCTCGAGACTCTCGCTCATGGACGAGAAGCGTGTCACTTCCCCTACTACAACAGGAGGGCTGGGCTACCAGCTCGAAGACCTCGCTTATGTCTCCGCCATGCTGGTGCCATACGGCGGGCTGCGAGACATCGAGTTAAAAGCCGACCAGACCGTGATCGTCGCCCCCGCCACCGGGCCCTTTGGCGACGCGGCCGTGCTCATTGCCCTCGCAATGGGCGCGAGAGTCATCGCCATGGGTGTCAGGAAGCATGTCCCGGAGACAAAGGAACCATGGATGTACATATACATGGCTCCCACGCCTGACTCGTACTGTAGACCTCTGCAGAACAACATACATCTTACCCCCCCCTATGATTGGCCTTCTGACAATGGGCCGCAACACCGCCTCCCTCGCCAACCTTAAGAAACGAGTCCCGTGCCCCGAGTCCGTCGAGACCGTGGCCATGACAGGCGACCTGGCGGCTGAAGTCGCGGAGCTAAAAAAGTACGGTTAGATCGACGCCTACTTCGACATCGGCCCCGCTGCCGCTTACAACAGCACGCACATCAAGGCTTGCATGTTGTCCCTGAAGCACGGCGGACGGGTCAGCTTGATGGGCGGGTACAAAGAAGATGTGGTTATTCCTCATGTGACTATCATGAGGAAGAATCTGCGGCTGTATGGGAAGTGCATGTATGAGCGTGGTGATATTGCGGATATGTTCAAGTTGATTGGGAATGGGGTTCTGAAGGTTGGGAAGGGGGGCGGGTCCGAGGTTGTGGGCGTGTATGCTGTTGCGTGGTCAGGTGACCCACTTAGGCTGGCATATTGCCCACATCCACAGCAGCTGCGCACCACCTCCAAACCTTCAACAACAACAACACCAATACAGCAGATATGCAACCTTTTGGCCTTCTTGCTGTGCAACATATGCTTTGGACGAGTGGAAGGAGGCTTGGGATCGGGCGGCGGAGACGGGCCCGGGAGAAATCGTTGTTATCAAGCCGTAGCAAAACAAATGGCATGCAGCGGAGAATCTGTAGTCCATATCAATGCCGGCATTGGGTTTCTTACTTCCCATGCAGATGAGGTAGCCTACTGCGACAGGAACACAGCATCCAACAATGAACATGCCGCGTTTCTTGAGCTTGTCGGAGAGCCAGCACTGGGTAATGAAAAGATATGGCATCCAGGACTTATACTGGAATGGTCTGTCGATCCTAAATCAACATACATTTCGACGGCCTCCTGAAGGCTCATCTATGCATACCATGTAGTTGACCTTGAGCACAGCAAAACCCAACCCTTGGATGATGGTCAACTAGCATTATTGCAATCTAAGCTAGAGAGGATATTAAAATGACTGAGACTGGAGAGACATAGATGTCGAATTTACGTAACACAGCTCTCTCCTTTTCCGGGTTGATGTATATGTTACTGCTTACCTACGTTTACCGGTGGCATAGTCGACGACAGTGTTTGTCTTGGTGTCCTTATCCACGACAGCAGGCTTTGTCTCTATCGTTGACGATCGTTACTTATCAACACAGCCAAGTTGACAAATAAGAAGTGGTTTCCATGAAGGAACAATATTTCCTAGAAGTGCTGGTGAAGCTTAGTCCAAGACCAGCACCAGATCTAGTCAAGTCCTCCCAGGGCTCTATTCAAAAGGGCATGCTACATATCACACCACCAACAAAGCTCGGAAGACACCTCTCGACCGGTTAAACTATCAACCGCCTCAAAATCAATTCCAGTACTGCCTTAAAGTATAGACCCGTGCAGCTCCCGGTAAAACTATTAATCGTTGTCAACTTTACTTACAGCACAACTCACCACTCATTCATGCCCCGGTAAATCCAACCCCCAGCTCCACCAAGCACCTCACCGGCCACTCACGCTCATCTCACCACCAACGCACAGACGATCCTACCTAACCTCCTACTTACCTCCTAGCAGAACAATGGCCCAGGTCATAGATCCCTCCCTCCCCACCCATTCATTACCTCGCTAGCACCTATATTGCCGAATGTGAGCAAAATTCCTTGATAATTAGTACAAAGGGCAAATGATATAGTGGTAACACGGCCCTAGCAGTAAAAGAGGAAGATAAAAAGAAGGATAAAGGGCTACTACCAGGGCAGCGGCTATTTAGAAACGACCCGAGGTTCGATTCCCGGCTTGTCCATCTATAAATACTTTTGTTAGCCTTTTTTCTTTTTTTCTTTCGTGTCTGTGTTTGCTTTTAAGAGGAGTTTTGTGCCACACTGTGTGTCATTTAGGTCCTACCAGGTATCTATATTTCATGGACTACGTAGCGTAAGCATGGCAGACTTGATGTTGTCTATCACAACATGCTAATGTTGTCCTTCTCTCGTTATTTTAACCAGCCTAGTCTATACCGAGCTAATCAGAGGCCTTCTCGAGCGCTATGGTGCTATATCATCTATTACACCAAGAAGTCTCCAGCCACATCACTGGTTACCCTTGAGATTACCACACCCACGTAATAACTCTTGCGAAAGGGCCGACCGAGCTCCAACCTGTAAGCCCATCCCTCGCATACTTGGATCTCACAGGAAGAAGTGCCTCTCCATCGACAACAGACTCTATTGATATACCATGGTCAAACTGAGTCTTTTAAACGCAAGCCTAACGGCTGCAGACTGCAATTGTTCGCGTCCTAGGGGTTGTCCTTCTAAACATACACATTTAGAGCCTCTCCCGAAGTAGAATGAGTTTGTTTTTAACTTACTTATTAGGCGCGTCGAGCTAACTGTCAGATATCATAACAGTGGCGTACTTAGTCTTGGTGTGCCGTGTAGGTGCTGTTGTGATTAAGTGTTTGATGGGGTGGCCAATATTGCTGCGCGGCTGGCGTGACAGGTGAAATATGCCCAAAGCACTCCGAGCTTATCCGTCAGCGTGAATTCAAAATGAACGTGGCTGTTTCAGTGTACGGCTACAATATGTCCTGAACGACATCATCCTGTTGGCACGGCGCTGAGGCCGTATAGCGATTCCAGAGCTCATGCTGGTCACGAGCTCGCAGCTACGTGGCAGGAATGACTCCAGGCTTTCATAGTTAATCGGTCGAGGTCTCCGGATTCATGCTTTCTTGATATCAGAGGTTCTCTTCACCCCGAGTCAAGCGGCTAACTATACCCGCGCTACCTATATTAAGGGCAGCGCCACTTCTGCAGTGCCACTCGTTTAGTTTCTACTACTGTACCCCTTTTTCAGCTGGCAGTGGCTTCCGACTGGCTGGCCATTCGTATGTCAATTGCACATAGATTCCATTCGTGGTGGCCCAGTTCTGCAAATCGAAACTTTGCATGTAAATAACGGGTCGTCAGCGAGCAGCTGAAAGTTGGGGGTCATTGCCGGAATATGATGGCCGATTGGCTGTATTCTGGCTGGTGATGTAGTTACTCACGCGGGAAAGGGGAACTATAGACCAGCAGAATACGGAAGGCTACTCGTCATCAAATTGGAATGAGCTCTTGTATTCTAATAATAAGAATGGCTATTTTTATTAGGATACCGGGTGATGTAACTATCTAGACAAGCCCGCAAGCTTCCACATTGGTCCTTCAGTTTGCCAACACCCATCCCAAAGACCATCATCATGACCCCCAACACATAGGATCTGACAAACCTGCAGAAGCGGTGAGTTCCTTACGTGCACAGGCACCCACTTGTCGTCGTCTGTTTTCTCCCTCATGAACCCATGATGCATATGCTCCTTCCCTCGAACGACTCGCTTCTTGCCTCAGATGGACCAAGACATTGCGCAGCGTGGCCCAGGAAACGGAAATTTGGGAAAAACAGGCGTCGCAACACCGAAGCAGCCTCGAGGCGAGTCGAACAGAGCTGCCGCACACTCCATTTTCCGCCTCTTCAGCTGGAGCCATATTGGCGTTGAGGTTGAGGGAGGAGATGAACAGAGTTCAGCCATGAGCCACACAAAAAACCGTTGATCTGCTCAAGGATGCGGTAGAGCCTGAATGGATTGCAAGATGGATACCATCTCTCATTCCGCTTCGGGAACACGAAGACTGGTCGTTTGTAATTGCTGAGACGCAGCGATCGTCGTCCTCCGTACAGGACGCTGCGCTTCTCAACAACGACGCGCAGGTTCGTGCTCCGGCAGCTCCGTTATTCCTCGATCGCCGCACTGAGAGGTGTCGGATTCCTAAGTGTCGCTCTGTACGTCGGCGGTGGAGCTTCGTTGCGGGTTCGGTTCGAGTTTCGATTGAATTTGTTGGTTCTTCCGCTCTGTCCTGGGCCTCGCTGTCTGTGATGCCTGTGACGTCCTCGGTCTTCTTCATACAGAAGAGTAGGTGGATAGCGAGATTCGTACCACAGTTTTGCGGCGACTGCGACGGTGCCTCCGATTATGAGCAGCAATATGCAGCTAGTTATCATGAGGATTACTACTCGATGCTCTGTGAAAGCGTTTGGCATATCGCTGGTAATTGACGCGCTAGGCTGATCCATGTTGTGTGTTGTGTGTTGCGTGGCAGGAGATTCCGGCCGGTATGCTGCAAGGTAGGTAGGTGTTCGATAGTTGGGGAGTTTTTGGCAGAGTTCAAGCGCAAGAACAGGATCTGATGGATATAAGACTGATGAAAGTCTTGTTCTCCGAAAACTCTATAAGTTCCCGCGTTTAAGTTTATAAACTCGCGCAACCATTTTCGCGCGCTCGACGAACGCTATCTGTGGTACAGAAACTCTAATCCAAACACTCAAAGCCAAATACTCTTATCGCCCTCAAAATTTCAGTAGGGTCATGTGGCCCCACGAAGCTTATCTGAATATTGCATTTCACAATCTAATGGCGGAGGCGTAAGACTACGGGAAGCCAATGCTCACTCGGCAAACATATAGGTCCGCGGCGGAAAACTCAAGAAGTAATTGCCACCATTATGAGGCTGTTCTGTTCGAAATAATGATCCGATATTGAGCACGGTTAAAAGGGATGGATAAGGTAAAGCAATGTTGAACGTGTCGCTCGAATACCACACTAGCTGGCTTCGCCTTTTCCTTTGGTTTTTTTACAAGTCTGAACATATATGAGGTACAAGGAGCACCAACCTCCATTTCAGGAATCAGGGCGGGTACAGTTCCATAGATGATCGAGAATGCAGCCCCGGACTCTGCCCGGTGTAGTTTGCTCAACCCCTTACTCTCAATCCCCCTTCCTGCAGCTCTTGCACCACTTCTTCTGAGTCCGACTACACCATAGGAGGCAGGTGCTAGGTGTAAGTATTCTTCGCCCAGTTGAGCATATTGGCATGTGGGTGGTCCCCTAGCCGTTATTATACTCATACCCCTCCTCGACCTCTCGGCAGGACGACTCCGTGTTCCCAACCTAGCAGATTGAGAGATGGTATCCATGGTGTTGAATCAATTCAGGCTCTGCCGTAACTTTGAGAAAATGAACGATTTTTTTCAGTGGCTCATGGCTGAACTCGGTTCGTCTTTTCCCTCAACCGCAAACGCCAATATGGTCTTGGCAGGATGAAGCTATGGGCAGGAGAGAGGCCATTCCAACAAGGCAACCACATATTCCCTAGCATTTTGTTTCCTTCCACTAGTCACTATGCGGTTTGGGCACCTAGGGCAATGATTAAGTAAATAAATATGCATCGTGAACTTCTCCGAGGAAGCAGAAAATAGTATTAAGGGGGATGGTTCAAAATCACTTGTAGTTATACACCATCACACACGCTATACAAAGCAGAAAGGGCACCTACCAGGGCGCCCACACCTCAACTGGCGTGCCACCCTCAAATGACGTTCTTCCATCCATCAAACCGCTGCGCGCCACGCTTCTTCAAAGCGGGCGCACTCTTGGTCTCCGTCCTATTACCCTGAGCATCAACCATACGCACGTTCTCCGGTTGGAGTTCCTCGTGAAATCGACTCCGCTTCTGCTCCTCCTGCTCATGCTCCCTCTCCTCGACCTTCTCCGCAAAGCGTACCGTCCGCGTTCCCGAGGGCGACGACGGCGACGGAGACGTCCCAGCACTAGCATCAGAACTCCTTTGACTTTCAACCTCAGCCTCCTCCTCATCCTGCTTCTGCTGATCCAGAAACGCCTCCAACTGCAGCGCCGCCAGCACCGCCGCCACGTGCTCGCCCTTGTCAACAGCAAACAAGACGCCATGGCGCTTCGAGCGGCCGGTGGCGCGGTCGTAGACGGCGCGTTCGTGGCGGTCCGTCGTCTTGGACAGCGCCAGCTCCAGGGGCTCGGTGCAGAGGCGCTGGTACGAAAGGCAGTGCTGCTTCCTCAGGCCCACAACGCCGTGCTCCTCGGCGAGTTCCAATGCTGCGTCCGCCTTGGCGAGGGCGGCTTTGTAGATTTGCGCGGCCGGCGGGCGGCCTTGCAGCTCTGCGGAGGAATTGAGGAACTCGGATACCTCACGGTGCAGCTGGTCGATCTGGCGGTGGACGGCGGGGGCGGCGGTGTCGACGGCCATTGTGCTGGGTGGTGCTGCTGGGAAAAGAGACGAGGATGTAGATGGAGATGGAGACAGAGATGGAGATGCTGCTGCTGCTGCTGCTGGTACTACCTTTGATCGTGGGTTCGAGTTCAAATTCAAGTCTGGCTTGTTGATGATCTCTGAGGCAGTTGTCGAGCGTTTGACATGAACTTCCGTTACAGGGCGTTGGGGCGATGTCTTATATGGGGGACAATCCATATTGTCCACATTGTCTGCTTGGTTTTCTTTGATCATTGTGGAATTGGTCCTTGGAATTGCATTGTGTTGAAAGTGAAAGGGGCCCAGAATAGCATTGTCCCAGCTGCCAATCGGATAAAAAGGGTGCGTCAAAGAGGATATAAGGTTCTTTGGTAATGGTCTGGCGGCCATTGTGAGACATCAAATGGGGAGACTTTCTCGATGATATAAAGATATCATCTGAGCTATTATTGGTTTTCAGTCGAAGGCAAGTTGGCCTATTCCTTTGACATCTACCAATTGATGATTTGACCATGGGCAGGGAGTCTTGCAATCAAGCAGAGCTGATGAGAGCACTCTCGAGAACAGCTAATGAAAGATTGAGAACTAAAGAACGGATACCCAAGATACCTCGAGGACCAGTAGGGTAAGCCATTTGATGAGCAATACTCGGCATAACTGATAGATGACATTGGGAGGTCTGTCATGCTCTAAATCACATCCTCATCATATCCTTATCATATGTTAGCTTTCAGCGAGCCAATTTAAAATCTGCGAAACATCAAACTTTTGTTGTCTTGTATTAAGGAATGATCTTGAATGGGCCATACTCCAGCGACCTGCTATACGCAAAGTCTAACAGAAAAATAAGCCATTATCATCATCATCCGTAATAACCTTATCCCAGCACCGTGTCACTTTCTAGTAGGCGATCAACTGGAGTAGGAAACTTGAGTTCACTTCCACATTTTACTCAGGCGGGGAATTTGGTCGTGTTTCGAGAGTCCTTTGCGTTCTGGAAGTCACCTGTGGTTGATGTCTGGATTCGCCCTTGGTATAGACATTTCATGATACTTCCGGGGCTGTGAGCCTACAATCATATACCCAACTGATCTTCCAGAACAACTGCCGCTAAGTTAATGGACCTTTGGCTTCGGCTGTAACCTTGAGAGCCACGTGCTTCATCCATTATACTCATCCCAACTGTAACAAGATGCCAAGGCCAGTCAAGAATATTCCGGGCCCGGTACGCACGATATGTCCTAAGCCATACATACCCACCCAGCACATCGTACATCGAAAATGGCTTGTATTGAAACGAGATCTAACACGACTAGTGTAACTACATTAGCTCTATTCTCGTCGTACCGACGGACTGGAAGCGGCGTCAAGGGATCTAACACGATAGCTTAACATCGTCAATCTGCACTAATGTCGAGCGAGCTGCCCAACGGCGGGCCACTTCGCGAGTCAGGACTCGCATTACTTCTCCGACCAACTAGAGCAGTCCCTCACACCATCCAAAGCAGTCCAAGTAAATCAACACTTGACTCAAGACCCTTGCCCGCGATGCCCACCAAAAACATGAGACGGACTACGCAAAGCCCCTGCACCCTACACAGGCGCCATGGAAGCGCTCCCGACGATGGCGTACTAAGCCACCAGGACTCATGCGAGGGAAAGTACACGATGTACCCAGCTAGTGAGGCAGCTAGAAGACCGATCTCTGCGCCCGACAGCTTGTTCGACGATCGGTTGCTGTCGCGGTTGATACCCAACGCATCGTCGCAGCTAATAAACGGTACGGGTGCTTGTCTGATTTCTCGTTACACGATGATTACATCGGGGATGGTGGAGGGGCTGTAGCGCGAAGTCCACGCGCGTATGGAACCACGTAAAACAAGACTAGAGCCATCACAACGGCGGCGGGGTCTTATATATAGGCGCCGTTATAGTGAAGCATAACGGTGGTGCACCATCTTCCGATCGTACGATGTGCCATCTCGTAGTTGGTGCGCTAGAAGCATGCCAGTAAAGTGTACGGAGCACATGTGTCGAAGTCTCGGACCGTAGTCGTTAGATTCCGACGAGTCGGGTGGGATACATCAACTTGAAACAATAGCTTAGGACCCGCTCAGGCAACGTTAGATTTTACAATTGCAGCGGGATAAATCTTCGGCATATGTATATGATAACTCAGACATACGTAGGTGAACCATCGAGGACGGATCGGGGTTGGTGAGACCATTATACCATGGTAATAGAAGCATACTCCCAGTGGAGTGCCCTGGTATCTGTTGGCTGACCGCCATGCAACTGCGTAGCTTTATCATCCCGTTCGTAGGTAGTAGCCTATCTCAACCATAGATGGTTCATCGAACATGGCACGGAGATTGAGCGACTCGGGTTTGTTGCAAGTAGGCTCTCATGTATTATCCGGTTGATGGCTAGATCGATAATGAGACATCTAAATTCTTCACCACGACCCAAATCACGGCGGCCTGGCGACTCTGATGAGAGTCTAGAACTCGCACTCGGTAATCTCTCGCGAGACTGACCATTGTTCTGGTGAGGTTTCTCCTAGCCGGAGATGTTCCACACCGGTTCATCACAGCACGACCCAATCACAAGCCACGGCCCAGTGGCCCAGATCCTGCAGTTCGACCTCCCACGTCGGCCGCCCAATCCCCACAACCGCACCGGGGCCGACCTCATTCCGCCTCGCCAGCCCCGTAAGCCGTCCCGGTCCGGCCAGCATGAATCTCACACTCCTCGCACCGTCCGTATCGCCTCCCGCCTCTTTGCCTTGGCCCATATGCTCACTGCGATCATCATCATCATCGTCACGCATATCCCTCCCAACAACAAGCGTCATACCCCCGCCCCCAGCCAGCGCACTACGCACCTCCTCCACACGCACCCTCGCGACAAACTCGCCCTCTCGTCTATGACCACCGGCCCCAGCCCCCTTGGCAGCCTCAACATCGACAAGCCAGTCGCGCAGCTCGGATGCCAGGCCGCCGGGGATGTACTTGGCAGCGCCCCTGCGGTGCGGCGAGAAGACGTCGGGGAGGGGCTCGGCGCGCGTGGAAGCCTCGGGTGCCTCGGCGGGTTTGAAACGCGGCGCCTTGTGGAAGGTGGGTTGGTGGGGACCACCGGCTCCGGGTGCGGCTGTCGCTACATCTGTAGGATGATGGTGGGGGTCGGGGGTTGTGGTGTCGATGTCGTCGTCGTCGTCTGCTTCGGGCTCGGCGTCACCACCAGGGAGGTCAGGATGATCTGGCAGAGATGACTCGATGTCGAGAGCGTCGTTCTCGTCATCATCGTCGCGCATCAAGATATCCTGGTCGCTTTCTAGCTGCGACGACTCCTCGATGCCTAGACCAGACGAGGCAGAGGAGACGCGCCGGCGCTTGGGCGTCCGCGTGTCTAGACCGTCTACGTCGTCGCTTGCACCATAATTCCCATCACCCTCCGGCTCATGCAGCGGAGATGATTCCTCAATGACATCCACATCAGCACCGCCATAGCGTCCATCCTCACCAAGCCCGTCTTCGACTTCTCCTTCTCCCTCTCCCAATGAAGGCGGTGAGCTGTCAACGATATCATGAACAGAAACAGCCGTCTTGCTGCTGCTGTTGCGCTGCCGGAAGACGGGCCCAGGCGTCGATGACGAAGGCGGGCCGGCCCGCGGCGTCGAGTGCAGTGAGAAGCGCGGCGTGGCCTGGAACTGCTGGCCGTGGCTGCTTGTCTGGAACGCCTTGGGTGTGCTATTGCGCGACTGTTGCGACCGCTTGGGAACAAGAAATCGATGGGGCGTGGGGGTCTGTGCAATTGATCAGTATTCGTAATACATTCCAAAATACAATATGTATCACAAATAACTAAGTATCGTGAACTCACAGCGGGCGGAGGCGGCGCCATCCTGAACGTTCATCGCAGGCTCCCGTCGTGATCAGCGCTGGTCGTGATGCGCAGTGGATGGGAATGGGGGCCTGGATCAACAGCGCTTAATGGCGTCATCGGCGCGGTCTGTGGAAGTTGATCTGCTGTTTCCGGAAGTCCATCGCAAAACCGTGTCTCGCTCTCAATACAACATCAGTTTCGGATCAGATGGTTAAGGTACTGAGAAAAGTGAACCTGCCGGCCGACCCGAGAGTTTGAGGTGAGTTGTGATGGCGAAGATGGTAATGATGATGAAACTGCCTGGCGCCTGGTCGCGCTTGCTTAAGAAATGGAACACTAGCGCTAAAACTTCGGCAGATTACCCCTTTGTTCTGAAAAGGGGTGCTCCTTTAGGTTCTACTGTGATAACAATGAATACTTCGGCACAAATGTTGCTCCAATGTAAAGCTTTTAGTAAAGCGCGAATGTGATTAATATGCACCACACTATAGGCCTTGACAATCAATTCAAGATCATATCGTCTTGTGCTATCAAGTCAAACCACACTACGCCATACACCCCACCCCTCTCTGTAAATTCCCATCCAGACGCCCATGCCAATGCCAATGCAAGAACAGCAGACTACGCCAACAAAGACCAGACACCACATTGACTATACAACGCAATATGCATGTCCAACCTCTCTCCCCTCACTCAAATCTCCCAGCCCCAAACAATCCTCCAACAACCTTACCCCTTCCCTCGGCACCCTTCCACTTCTTCGCCTCACGCCTCTTCTCAATCTCCGCGACCTTGGCGCGGCGCTCATTCTCACGCGCGAAGTGGTTGACGCCAGAGCGCTTACCCGCGTTCTTCTTGAGCTTGCCGTCGCCCTCGCCTCCGAAGCTGGCCGCCTTGTTGAGCGAGCTCGTGCCCTTGCCCTGACCGGTACCATTGCCGTTGCCGCTCCCGCCAATCGTGGTGGTGCTAGGCGTAGGGCCGCCGTTAGAGGTGGACGACGAGTTTGACATCAGCGAGTTCGTGGTAGCCCGTCGCAGCAGCGCCGGCACCTTGAAGCCGCTGCCGCTCGCCGCCGGCGCAGCGAATGCGAGCCGCGAGCTCGGGCCAGTGCCGACCATCGTCGATAGCGACGAGGACGAGTTGCGCTTCAGCGAGATGCGGTCCACGACCGCAACGGCGCGGTTCTCCTTGTTGGATGAGGTCGATGTACCTTCCTCCTCCTCCTCGTTATCGGAGCCGGCTTCGGTGGCTGCGATGATGGACCCTACCGACGCGTTCGGTTCTTCCAGGAGGCTGGAGAGCTCTCGTCGCACGTCACTGAGCGAGGACGGGCGGGCGCCGTTTTTGGTGCGGCGCGCGTTGGGCGGTGGACGCGGTACGTGCTCCTCTGTGCGCGTGCGCTTGCGCCCGGCGTTGGTGGGCGGTTGGCTGTCTGGGATAGCCACTTCGCTTGTGTCTTGACCTTCCTGAGTCTGGCTCTGGCTCTCGCCCTCGGCGCTCTGCGGTCCGGACTCGGCAGCAAAGTTGTCGTCGAAATCCCACTCGCCGTCGCTGTTCCTGTCCTCGATACTCTTGAGGAAGGCGGCGGTGCGTGGGTTCTCGGCAACTTTGCTGATCCGCTCATCAGCGTAGAGTGCCTTCTTCATCTTGGCGAACTCGCGTTGTTTCATGCGTCGTCTAGCTTGACCATCGTCCTCCGAGTCGGAAAGGTCGAAGTCGTTACCACCTCCGCCACCGCGGCGCCGCTTACGCAGCATACCGGTTGTGATATCGCGGAATAGCTTATCGACTTGCGCGGCATCGGCTGCACGTTCGCGGTCCCTGTGACAGTGAGCGTTCGATCCATGGCACACACACAGTCAGTTTAATCGGTGGCTTACGCAAAGAGTCCAGCAAGCTTTCCCTCATCATTATCGTTGCCAGCCGCATCATCAATCATCTCCTTGACGAGCTCCTCATCCTCATCACTCGAGTCTTCGCCATCCGCTCCTCCCAGACCAGCGTACTCATCTTCGGATTCTTCGGCTTGAACGTGGACCATCTCGTTTGCTTTGCTGTTCTTCATGTCGAACTTCTTCTGCATGCGCTTCTGCCTTCTAGCCGCTTTCTCCATCAGTCTGAAAGCACTGGGCGTGGATGTGCTTTCCACGTGGTTCGGTTCATCTGCGGGAATGGATACAGCTGTGGGACTTGCTGGGACCTCAGTAGGGGGCAGGCTAGAAATCGAGAGGGAGGGCTCGCCTCTTCGTCTCAACTTACCCCTTTTCCTCACAAGCGGAGAGTCCTGCACATTCTCGTCATCAGGGGTACCACCGAGCAGCACAGTGTCGGTTGTAGACTGCGGAGGCTCGACAAATCGCTGTTTCAAAGGGGAGAAACCTTGGAAGCCACCATCTTGAGTCGGCTCGATGAAGTCTGACAACTGTGTCCCATCCAGCTGCATACTGTCGAAACCGTGAATTTGCGATTGTGTGAAATGCAGTTGGACGCCTTGTGTTTGAGTCTCGCGGGCCTGTGTATCGGCCTTCTGAGTCGGCTGGCTATCAAGAACCATGTCGCTCTGAGATTGGCCAGCCGCAGCAGAAAACTGAGAATCGGGAAACTGGTCAAAACTTGGCATGAACTCTACCGGAGAGCCGTCGGCAAGACCGGCTTGACTGTCATCCATGGTACCAGCGAAGATTTGGGTCAACCCCATACCCGCAGGACCGGCGGCGGGGACAGGAAGGCCTGGGATGAAGTTCTTCGTAGCGGATCGCAAGACCGATGCGGGAGCTTTCGGTGAGCCTGAGCCAGGAGCTGAAGGTGATTTGGAGTAGACCGTTTTCGGCTTCGGAGTAGCCTCAACTGCATCTTCGTCTTCATCCTCGTCGTCCGATATGATCTGAGAGTGTTTCTTCGGGCGTCGGGACTTAACCGTCTTTGGCTCATCCACCTCTTCGTCTTCAGAAGAGGCAGCGTCAGTTGCGGTGGGCTCTGGTGTTGGCTCCCCCTCAGACTCGCCACCGTCTTCGGCTTCATCCATCAACATGGGGTTCGTAGTAGACTCATCTCCTTCAGCCTCTGCATCTTCGTCGTCTCCTTCAACTTCGTCCTCTGAGCCCGAGAGCTCAATCTCCGCGGGCTCGCCTTCTTCGCTACCCTGAAAACTGTCATCATCGCCGTCGTCCCAGTCCAGAGCATCAGTTTCGCCGTTTTCTCTCTTCTCTTTGCGCGCTTTCTTCGCATCTTCACGTTCGCGCTCCATGATCTCCTCGACCTCCTGGCGTGCCCGGGCAACAATGTCTTCGACTTGGTCGCGTTCACGTTCGCGCTCCTGCACGCTCTGTACGACGACTCCCTTGGAACGAAGGTATTCTAGTCGACGTTCACGTTCGAGCTTAGCCTGGGCTCTTGCACGCTGCTGCAGAGACATCTGAAGCTCGCCGGTGGTCATGGATGGTTTGGCTTTTCGACCACGGACGGATTCTTCGGAAGGAGAGGAAAGGTGCGCTAGGGAACGCAGCACGTGCATCGATCTCGACTCCCGTGCTGTCTTCTCAGGTAGACGGTCAAAGATGGAGGCCAGCTTGCCTTTCTTGGCGTCGGTAACTTCGAGCTCATCGTCCGAATCTATAGTGACTAGGTTCGCCTGTACGGGAGGAAGCTTGACTCGGACGTGGCGCTTCGCCTTCGCCGCTACCGGCTTCTTTGCTTCAGCAGGTTCGACTTCGACTGCTTTCCCTTTCCCCTTGTCCTGCTTCCTCGATTGTGTCAAGGCGACTTCGAGGCCCGGTAGCTCGCCGTTCTCATCCTCTTCAATTATGTGGTAGAGTGTATATTCGGAGGTGGGCAGGGCGCCAGACATAGTGGGAGGATTCGCAATGGCCTTCTTTGCACTCGGGGGAGAGCTTGGTGGAGTCCCAGCATCGGCCATCTCGACATCCGTGTGATGAGCCGAACCTGGTGTGGTAGGCCGGCTTGAGCTTGCCAACTTGGCACTGCTATCGACTGGAGGGGTCTTGGTCCTAAAATTGAAGCGTTCGAATAGTGACGTCTTTGAAAGCTTCTTCTTCGTCTTCGCCTCGTGAGCGAGCTGCAAGCTACGACTCAAACGCTGGGTCTCGCGGTTCATCTCCTCCAAGGCCTTCTTGCTCGCCTTGCGCGCAGGGCGGGAAACTCCCTGTGTGAGCCTGCGACCTCCTGCGTCGTCTGATATATCCGAGACATCGTCGTCATCGACATCAGAGCCCGTGGGCATCTGCTCAGCCATGTGTTTGGCTCGCTCTTCGCGTTTGCGCTCTTCCACGGCTTCCTTGACGAGTCTTTCCTCCCTTTTCTTGGCCACCAATGCGGCGAAACGACTGCTCTGGCTCAGGTCTTCGGGGAGATCGTCATCGGAGTCAGAACCCGCAGCGGCTTGTCTCGACTCGACATGTTTGTTTGGGGAAGGTGAGACGAATAAGCCTGGAGAGGAAGGCGGCTCCGCATCTAGGGCTGCTTCTGGTGTTGTACTGTGGACAGGTCTCGCTAGCCTTCTTCGTGGCAGACGGCTGATGTCTTCATCATCATCCGCATCAGAATCATTGTCCTCCTGATGACTACTGTGTTCGGACGCGGTAGGTCGAGAAGTGGGCTCGCTGGCACGTTTCGACGCGTTTTGTGGTGATCTCGACGCAATATTCGTATCGTTTATGTGGTTGGCATGCATACGCGCAGCAAGACGACCTCGAGGCCGAACAATCTCTTCCTCGTCGTCGTCATCGTCTTCCTCTTCCTCTGCATCCTGTGTGGGCGGTGACTCGTCATTCGACCTCTTGAGCTTGTCAATGGATTCGAACAACTTCTTGGTGTCAATTGGTCGCGTGACGTCGTCGTCGGAGTCGGCGTCGTCTATTGCGGCCAGCATGGCCTGGATCTTGGACCGGGGAGTCAATTGGGGGGACGTGGGCGCCGACGCGTCGCCGGCGGGAGAAGAGGAACGCGTAGAAGCCATGACACCCACCAGTGTTGAGTTCGTAGTGGGAAAGGTACTAATGTTAACGTCGAGAGGGCATCATATACAAGATAACTTCTACCACGAGTCCTGAAGTATTAGATGAGGTAGCAAGTGTGGGAAATGTTGCAAGTCTCAGATCAGAAGTTCGGTGTAAGTGTAAGTGGGCAGCTTAAAGCAGCGGAGCCAGGCCCGCGACGCGCTTCTGGACGCGTGAAGTGGACGGTGGACGGTGGCCCGCGTCAAGTCCAAGCTGCACAGTGCTGCGGGCCGTTCAAAACTTGATTCCACACGGCCACGGGGCATTGGGGCCACACCACATCCCGTCAAGTCCCGTCCTGCTGCAGCCACCCGACACTCGGAAAAGCCCAGTCTGCCAAGCGGCCTGTATCTATATGTATCGAGAATTTGACCCATTTTTCTGGGTAAATGGACCAATCAGTTGCTCAGGGTAACGAAAGGCCGCCTAGCAGACTGGGTATTTAAAGTGCTGCTGGGCCTTTAATATGTTAGCCTTATAATTAAGTAAACGTTTTTTATTATTTTTAAATTAATTACGTAGCCAAAAGAAAAACAAGTAACGCTTGGCTTTTAATATAAGTTAAATCTATTTAAAATATTTATTACATCGTCGTTTAATTACGTTAATAAATATTAAGTTTATAATGACGTTAAAAGGTACTAAGGCTAACGTTAACATCGACTTTTATAAAACTAATAATTAACGATTATATATCTGATTAGTAATTAAACGGTATTTAATACTTGTTATAATTTATATTAAATAACGAAGGTAATTAAATTTTAAACTAAAAGCCTAACTATCGCTTATTACTCGTTCAACCGTACATAAGTTAATTTTTAATATATTATAAAATTAAAAATAAATCGTGTCTTAAAAATAAAATTAGCGCTTAAAATAAAAGTATATTATTATATTAATCTGTTACAATTATAACAAGATTAATAATTACGCAACGTCCGTAACTTCTATTTTATATATAAACTAATATATAGTAAAGTAATTTCGTTTATAAAGTTTATAAACTTTCTTTCCGTTAGTTATATTAAAATACTTATAGTATTATTTTTTAATAAACATTAATATTCAAAATATAACGCGTAGATAGCATGTTTAAGAGATGTTAAAACTATTAAATTTAAGTTAATCACTAAAATGAAGTGTGTATATATATATATTCTATCTTTAAAGTGTTTTTATGTCATTGTGGCAGTTTTATATCAAAGGGTGTTAAATTATAACGAAATAACTAAGTTTCATTCTCTACATATTAAAGTGCCTTTTAAGCTCACCTTTAATTTAATACACCTTTTTAACTAAGTAATCAACAACTTTAATTAAACTAGTTTATAAAGTAAATTACTTTAAGGTTTTAGCTTAAAATCTTTTCTCTCCTTTTAACGGCTTTTTTATATAACCTTAAATCAAGCTGCCTCGCTCAAAAGTTTACTAATTTTAATTAATCTAAATATTCTACTTACCGTTAAGCCAGCAAGGCCTTAGTTAACCTATCCGCTTTTATTTATACTAAAAGCGTTTATTCGATACTAACTGTTTTTGATTACACTTTTTATCGACGGTAATAGTTATATATGTTTATATGCCGCAATTTAGTTTTTTACAAGGCGATTTTGACGGTTGCTAGCTCAATTATCTATATTCTATTATATTTTACTTTAATTTTTTCGTGTTTATATTGAATACTAAGTTTTATGACCAACCAACTAATATATATAGTCTTTTTAACTACTTAAGCTACTACAAGTAATCTTGCTTTTATAAAAAATATAATAACCGTATTTTGCTTGTTAACTTTCCAGCCAATTAATTTTTTTTAAAAAGTTGTAATAAATGCTTAAAAGCTTTTTTAACCGAAAGTATTATCGGTAAAGAAAGTACTATTAGCTATTATTAAATCATTTCTTTTTTTAAATAAAAAGAGTGGTTTTTTATTTTATATAAATATGAGATAATTTAGTTAGCAACATTTTGATAAATTTAATTTGAGTTTGTAAGGTATTTTACAAAGCGCAACGTTGCAAAAGCTATGTTTAATTGTATAAAAACAAAAGCAAATAAAATGAAACTATTTTTTTATCAATACTTTAAATCTCGTGATAATCTTGCTACGATAGTAATTTTTTTATACTTATTAAAACCTTAAGTTTTTTATTAGTGAAGTTAATTAGCTCATTTACTTTTTTGATATAACAGGTTAAAAATAGCTGAATCTGTTGGATCCATGCGATTCCAGACTGCAAACCATCTATACCAGGACCCACATATATGATTAGATAAGATAAGATAGTGGATTGAGAGGGCACTTGGCCAGACCTTCGAGTCCAGCTAGATTCCTCTCAATCCAACCATCAGCAACATCATGACCTTGACCCCATACTCGAGTATTATGATTGATCGTTCAAGCCTGTTCCAACAGAATCTCTTCTTAGGGCCGGTTTGAAATGATTTTATTTTAAAAAACTATTAAACGTACTTGCTTTTAATAATCTCGTATCTTAATTAAAGCTATTGAATTATATTTTAAATATTCTTTACACGTATTTTTTATATATAACGGTTATATTGTTTATATAAAAGAATATTACAATTTCTTATTATATAACAGAGCGGCTTATATAAAACCTGGTTAAATTTTAAACTAACTGAACTCCTTGAGGACTCTTTTTACCATAGCATAAAAAGAACTTTTAACCTATAGAATACTTCTTTTAATTTAAAAATTATACCTTTTTTATAATAGCTGTAGAACATTTATAGTAAGATCTTTTTACTAATAAAAGGATGTATAAAGGCGTTAATAACGTCGTATTAAATCGGTTTTAAGTTAAATTTAATTATTAAATTATCAAGGTTTTAACCGATTTTTAATGAAAATAGCTATCTATGTTTACTGAAAATGTAGCCCTTTTTATTAATCTCTTTTAACTACAAAACGTATTTTATACTTAATAAAACATTTTATATTTATTAATACGATTAGTATGGGGGGTCATTTGTGTGTGTATCGTGGGTTCGTTTCCTAAGCTAAGCGGGAGCGAGCTGCACACACTGAAGGTGTGGCAGCCGTCCCTTATCTTATCTAGCTAGCTTATGTCATCAACCAGGGCATCCGTGTGGGGTCCCCCTCTTGCCACGCATCATTTATTCAACTTATAAATATATACTTATATATAATTCATATTTAATATTTTTTTATCAATATGTCTTTTTTCTACATCTTAATTTATAACTTTATACCGTGTTAAATTATAAGTATTTCAACTTAGTCTGCCAGTTGACCATGCAGTACCACCGCTAAAGCTGATTATCCCACTTCGGTAGCTGTATCCAGTGTATATGTTGGGGCGTTCCCTTGCTCTTTACTCTACTTCATCAAGAGTAGGTACCTAATTGATGCCACGTATCTCCAAAGATGAACGTGCTGGACTGACAGGAACACTCTAGATTCCAAGCTGATCTGCTGCAACCAACTCCCTGTTGGATAACCGTCGTACGAAGTGGAATGGAATCCGAGTCGCGGACAGGGTTATCTGCCCAGACTGATTACGTGCGACCCGAGGGGCATGATTGCTCGCCTATCTATCTCGGATGGAAGCTTTTGAAACTTGCGCTCCTTTGCCAATGGGTAATTGTCTCTTGCCTGGGGCGGCTTGGGCTCGGTGGACAGCCATGATGTGATGGTCACATGGTGTGTGAAGGAAGAGGAGGGGCCACGCAAATGATGAGCTCCTGAGTCAACGATTCGATCGAGTGCAGTCAAGTAAGTACAGCAGGAAGCTCTACAGACAGGGCTCAGGGGAAGCTTACGAGGCACAGGTTCGACAGGCATGGAGTGGCCATATATCCCCAGTCCTCAACCTCATGCATGCATCAAGAACTGCAGACCTTACTGGTCCGGATTGGCTTGTCTAGATTGGCCCGTGTGCACAGCCACATTTGCCTGAATGAAGAACCCCGTGCCGTCGACCCCCGCTTGATCAAGTTTCGACATCGCCAGCGCACTCCGACATCGACATGGAGGGGCTCAGTGCCGCCGCCAGCGTCATTGCTGTTATTCAGCTTTCAGACGCTGTCTTTACCCTATGCCGCGGTTACGTTTTGGCCGTCAAAGATGCTCGACGAGACATTGAGCTTTTGTGCAATGAGGTAGGTGATGGCACTGCATGATGTCCTCGCAGCTCACGACGACTGGCTCCAGGGTGGTGACCATGCCAGATTCCGTACCCTCCACAAGCTACCAAGATCTCCGAACGGGCCGCTGGAGAGCTGTCAGCGCGAACTACAGGCTATCAACGATATTCTGAGCCAATACCAAGCACCTCCAGGTCAGACTCAGGCTCCTCGGGCCCAGCGACTGACCCACCGGACTTTGAAATGGCCATTCAGTAGCAAAGAAGTCAATTTTCGCCACTGGAAAATCGTATCGAGAAAGATATTGAGCTCGGCCGGGACAAGGAGGACTTGATTGCGAAGCGGGACAGGATCATGGAGCTTTCCTCTGCCTATGGTGGTGGACACCTCGGGAGGGAGAACACTTCCTGACGCTGGCCCCGTTAGGCATCGCAGCATCAGAGGCGGTTCGCCATGCGAGGAAGCAGGCATCGCAAGGCTTGGAGCGGAATAGTTTGGCGGATTCATCTCTGGGATTCCTCAGCCGGACTCTCGAGGTTCGAACTACACAGGTTGTATGTTTTTGTAGGTGGCTACATCATACACTAACGACGTTAACCGCTGGCGCACCACCATAAATGCGAAAGCTATAACGCAAGCTTCCAATATTCCTGAAGTCGACGTCTCATGAATCTCGGCCAACCTCATAGTCAAGGTCAATAGAGACTGAAGACCCCTACCAAACAAGTCGACCCCAGGTCTGTGGCCTTGCTAGTAAGTGACCGAGAAAGAACACAATTTGAAATCGGATAGAGGTAATCACAACCGCCATTGCTTGCGAGCAGAGGAGCTGCTGGCTCATACGCCCACGGAATATGGGAGCCCGGCAGGCTTCAAAACGGCTCCATGCCTTGATCCCAAGCCACTCCGGCTTCCAGACTCAGGACAGCGTGCTGGCACTGCTTCAGTGCCTTAGGTACCTCAAGTGAGTTGCTCGCCGTGCCGACGCGGTCCAGGCTTAGTAGCACCTACCCAAAGCACGCTCTTATTAGCCCGCGCCATGGTCTACAGTCGAACCGGGAAACTGAATAGAGTTGCTTCCTCGGGTCAACTGTCATTCAAAGCTTCAACCATAGACCTCCTTTCTTCCATTCTGAACAACCCCAGGAGCCGCCGGGTTGCATCTGCACATACGAATTGGCGAGCCGCAAACCTGACATCCATCCAGGCCAAGATAGCAAGATAGCTCGATGGAGACTGACCCTCATAAGTACCCTACTGTCAAGGCAAGCTCTTACATCCCGGGCCGCACCAAGAGTTTCCGCCAACCCTTGGATCATAATTCGACTCGGAGGTACGGCAAAACGACGGTCTCTAAACTCCGTAGACCGCCGCCTGCCGCTGTCCGAAGGTTGGTGGGTCCCGTGCGGGCCGCGGCCACACCGATCGTCATCCCCAGCTTCTTGGCTGGGCGGCTGCAGCCAACCGAGACTCGTTCAATCCATCTTGCAGGGGAGGGTCTTGCATGCGATCCCATCTCGTTGCTTTTCCTCTCGCATTGCATCTAAAGTCTATATATAAGTACCAGCAGCTCCGATGGCTACAGTAGAAGCTGTAGAGACTTTGGATTTGGTGACGCAGATCGCAGAATAATATGACAAAAACGCTAGCTAGTCCAGTCAGCATCTACACTGCTCACTCACTCAACGTCTCAGGACCGGTGGTCGGTTGAAATAAACTTGTATTTTGGTAATAAGCAACAAAGATTGCTTCGCGTTAAAAAAGCATGGGGGGGTATCGTTGGCGTTAAAACACACATCCATGCCATGAAAGAGACATCCAGCCAACGCCAAGAATCCTGCCTCCCTATGCCCCCGTTTTGGTCATCTATAACAATGTAATGCAACCTCTTATTACGCCTTGATGCCCATGTTGGACCCAACCAGACCGGGACTGAGCCGACCCAAAACGCCAAATAACTCCTTCCAAATAACACCTAAAATCCATGAATGTTCTGCGCTTGTCGGGTTGATAACGGCGCGTGGTTCGGATAGGCCGGCCATGTCACTGCTGTTCACTGCCGTCGCCCAACATCTATGAACCATACCGTAGGCCGTTTCCGAGAGCTACCCATCAGTAGGGCGCCGAAAGAGCATAGACGGTCGCTTCATAATCAACTAACCGATTCTGCAAAATCGACAGTCTCAGTCCATCTGTAAATAATTGCAGTCCCGCGCGGCTGTCTGTAGTTTCGCTCGCTGATCGCGATGCGGGGAGCCAGAGCGCTGCCAGTAAAGAATCAAAGCCTCACGCACGCTGCCGTCCAATAAGCATGCTGTAAGCGATGCGAGCAAAGGATGCGGCGTCCAGTAGAGGAGTCATCCAATGTGTATGCCACGGTATAGAGCAACTGAACCGCTAAAAGAATTTGTCGATCACTCAACGTCCGGGTGGCAGAGACGGGTAGTGGCGCGTGAGTGAGTCGGGGTGGCTGAACGACTTCTCCTCGGTGCAGAGGTCGCAGCGCACCTTCTGCTTGCACGCGTTATGTATCGTATCCTCGTGCCGTGCGAGCTCGTGCCGCCGCGAGAAGACCGTACCGCAGGGCTTGTCCGTGCTCGGGTTGATGCGGTCGCACCGGTGCGGGCCTGCCTGGCTGTTGAGCACGCTGCCATCCGGTGTCATCTTCGTAGACATGAAAACGTTTCACGCCTTCAGGCGCACTCCTCCGGCGCATCGAGAAAATTGAGCCTCAGGCATAATCGTCGGAACCGAGTCAGGCGATTTTGAATCCTCTTCGAACTGGAGGCTGCGATGATAAGGCTGTTCATCAAAAGCTATATCCGGAAGCGATCCTGTGTCCAGTGCAGTATTGACAGGAAGATGATGAGGTGATGCCTCAGGCCAGCGGGTATGATGCACTGGTTGTGGCAGATGCACATCCGCTTCATGCGGGCACCTGGCTGGAAAGTGTCTGCAACGCAGGGTCGTGGAATCCATATCACACTCCTAGGGTATAGCCAGGCATGAGTCCAAGACGCTGTCGAGAGCCTGCAGATCCTGAGGATCTGTACCTTCCCATGGAGAAGGTTCTTCGTCAATGTCCATGGCATCCGGGTGGGCTGTACCGTTCGTCAAAGGCCCATCCAGGCCCAGAGGTTTGCGACCATGCAGCCAGGTATAGTTGTCGTAATTCTCCAGCTCACCATCCCTGTAGTTGTAAACGACGGATTTCCTGACGAGTGGAAAATTGCTGACGCCACAGTCACCGATTTCCATTGCTAGTCGCAGATCGGCCATGCCGAGTGGTGCTCGCTCGCTTGCTGCTTTTGACTCGATAGGCAAGAGACCGCTCTTGTCCCTGGTCAACTCTCCTTTGTTGAAGGCGACCTCTTCTTTCCGGAGTTGTCGGCGGTATTTGTGCGTCTGGATCCAACCAGTCCCAGAGCCAAACCCAGCGACGCCTGAGTCTCCTGGGCCATTGCTTTTCGTCCTGCTCAACACTGTCGAAAGGAATTCTTTGATGAAAGTCTCAGTCGCGACAGCCATAAACTGGGCAGCATCTGCGGAGGCTCCGTTTACGAGTCCTGCCTCATATGATATGGGCAGCATCTTTGACTCGATGCTTGCAACATCTGGAAACTCGCCCGACTCGACAGCCAGAGGTTGCGCAAAGCGCTTGCGTATCTCCAGATCCCAATCTGCTCGAGTCAGCACTTGTCATGGTCGAAGCGCAAGAGGGGCCACGACTTACTCATCTTATTCAGGCCGCTCGCACTAGGAGGTATATCCGGGACTCGCGTTGGCTTAGCTCTATGGTGTTCTGTGAACATATCTGCCATAGACTCAAATGGGTCAAACTGGACAGCCGGTGTTAGTAATCTGATCATGCATAATGCGACTCTGGCTCAACTGGAGGCGGGCGGGAGCACAGAATGACTGAACTGACATTGTTTTGCGCCAAGTCCTTGATGCGCCTCCTGTCACGGCTGTGAAGTTGCATGACCTCGCCCTTTAACTTCCTTTCGGCAGCATCACCAGTCACGGGCTTGGCGCCGACAACGGGAGGGGGTTTGTCGTTGGCAGAAACCCATGGTGCCAGCCCCTGGTCGGGCATTTCCCTTGTGAGGTTTCCATATATTGCAGCAAGAAGCTGGTTGTGCATGTGTACTTTCTCGCCATTGGGTGAGGATAGGATGCCATCGACGCGGTCCGAATACTCGACCTGATTCAACCGGCCTGGGACTTGGGTCAGCGAGGTCAACTGATCAGACGAAACAGTTGTCCTAACTCACCGCTCATAAACTCCGTCGTCGACTCTTTGTAGAAGTTCCATTGTTCGTTGCCAATGGCTGACTTCAAGCTGGCATACAGGGGTTCGAGATCGATGCGCGCGGGGATGATTTGGCTCGTTTTGGTTATTTTTTGGGAGGCGGGCGCGGAAACAGTTATAGATTTTAGAACGGGGGTCGAATGGCTGACAGACGGGCGGCTGAGAGCCGCGGGGTCTATGTCGGGCATGGTGATGCGGCGGTGTGGTGCGCGATGGGTGGAAAGTCGGAATTCGACAGTGGGTGTCCCGATTCGGCAATGGTGATATATCGTGATGCGGACACGGCGCGAGGTTGGAAGGTTTACGGCGGGCGGTGTCGCGTGCGGGCTACCGGCTTCGCGCAGGTCGATAAAAGGGATTAAAACCCCTGCATCGGGTGCCTCCAGCTGATGCGATCGTGATAGCGGATTCAAAAGGATGGAAATGGTCGATGCGGTGTTGATATTTGATGAACCATCTCTGATTCTTTGGCGGTCTTTGGCTGGCGACAAAGCGGAATGATGGGGTGTCGTCCGAGTTGGAGCTTGTGGTCAGTTGGCCGACACAGGTGACAGCGGTGACAGTGGCCTGCAGTGCCCTGGAATTTGCGAGGCAGTTGAGAACCTTGGAGGGCAGACAAAGTAGGGAGTACATCCAACAGAGGGCTTAAAAGCCCAAAGTGAAGCGGGGTAAGAAGTACACAGTACTCCACAGTACTAAGTCCATTTACAGGGACCTCGGCCGCTAATGGCTTGAATTGCAATGCTGCTTCAATACTGTACGACTTTGAACACGAGCAGAAAACACTTTTCAACAGGCCTTTAAACGAAATAAAGTCGAGGCAATACATTCTTGATAAGTTCCATTAAAAACATAATAAAATTGCAAACTACCGCAGTAGAAACACGCAGTCGCCAGTTCGTTGGTCGCAGGGGTGCCACTTGCCTGTGACGAGCTTGATGTCCAATTGTTACCAGCTGTTACCAGTCGAGCCAGCCAGCAGCTTGTGGAGGTTCAGTGCCGTGTCACAGGGTTCTGGTAACAGTAACAACATCGAAGACCCCCAAACCCCGCAGAGCATCGCGTCGCGTCCTACCTGACATACCCTGTATGCCTGTCCTGGTGTTTGTTCCCGGTGAAGGACGATTTGCGATTCTTCCAACAGCTGCACGATTTGCTTCGTATCTGTCAGTAAAGCAAGAGCCAAGCAAGATGCCACAATGTCCGGCTCGGCAGACCGGTCAAAGCGCGTCGATACCAGCATCAACCGCCTCATCCAGCAAATAACCCCCGACGAACCCCACCGCACCGAGGAGGAGAACCAGCAGAGACACGACCTCTTCTTCGAGGAGATCAAGCAGCAGCTGGAGACACCGCGCCCACCTCCTCTTGCCGACCAGAACCATGCCTCCGAGCTCATCCGACGAAGGCTGGTGCAAACCAACCCCAGCCAGGCACTGCGCTTCTCGAACCTATATTCGCGATTGCTAGCCCTGCCTGTCCTGAACCAGAAATGGGCCATGCTATATCTCCTACACCAGCTCACCGAGTCGCACGATCCAAACGAGCCCGACCCTGTAGCTTTCGCTGAGTTCAAGCGCGAACAAGACGTGCGAAAGGGCCGAGCGAGACCAGTGGAAAGCGAGGAGGTTATGCATGGGAGACGATACGCGAAGGAGGACAGAGAAGAGTTCGGATCAATGGGTCCTTCCGACAACGAAAGCGACGACGAGGACTACCCGCAGGAACCCAGGGGTGATGGCTACCACCCAACCGAGCTCCGGGATGTGCTCAAGAACCCCAAGCCGATACGCACGCTCGATGGGGAGTCAAACACCAAAAATCAGACGAACAATGTCGATTACAAGCGGAGAGCGGCAAGCAGGGATGAAGGAGTATCCGGTCCACCCAGGAGAGACGTTGCCATCAAGTCCAAACTACTGGCAGACAACTACTCTGAAATCGACCCGTCGGAACCAGTCCTTCTACGAGACCTACCTTATACCCTTCAGGGGCTCTCTTCGACCACCCTACCTTTTGGCAAAGACTACTCCCTCAAGCTACCATCGACGCTCCCATCGCCCCTCATTGGCCTCCTCCACACACTGGCGGAGCCTTCGCTTCTGTATCGGACTTTAGAAGACTTTGTCAAGACCCCTACAAAGGGGCTCTTGGACCAGAGTTTGCGGGCAGCCATTAACAGCGAGCTTCGCTCATACCTGACTCTCGTTGCGACGCTAGAAGGCCAAATTCGCCGCGCTTTAGCCACAATCGACGAGAAAGCACCTCGGAATGGTATTGGAAAGGCAGGCGTAACTCTCAAGCGTTGCGTCGTCTGGACCCGCGAAGCGACAATGGGCCTGCGGCTCATGAGTCTAATTGCCGAAGAATCGAAGACCAAGAAGGGCGGGCAACTCATCACACTGATCCATTCATTTTCATCATCTCACGGGGACCCCATTGTGGGTGCCTTTGCTGAAAGACTACTCACGCCCGTGACTCGCCCCTTTTACGACATTTTGCGCCACTGGATATACGATGGCGAGCTTTCAGATCCATACCTGGAGTTCTTTGTGCAGTTGACGCTCCCTCACGAGACGACCCAGGGAAAGTCGGGTTCCACGAACGTGTGGGAAGATAAATACAAGGAACAGCCGGATATGATACCCTCCATCATCACTGCTGAATTCTCTCAAAAGGTCTTCCTGATCGGCAAGTCTCTCAACTTCATTCGGCACAGCTGTGGGGACTCGCAATGGGTCGAGTCCTATTCAAAAGCATCATCCAAGGAGCTGCGATATGGAGATACGGCTACCCTGGAGTCATGGATTGACGATGCGTACAAAACAACAATGCGCCGACTGCTGCACCTCATGACGAACAAATTTCATCTGTTTGACCATCTACAAGCATTGAAGAGCTACATTCTACTGGGGCAGGGCGATTTCATTGCACTGTTGATGGAATCGCTAGCCGCAAATCTCGACCGTCCTGCTGGGGCCCAGTATAGGCACACGTTGACAGCACAGCTGGAGCACGCTATTCGCGGTTCTAATGCTCAATACGACTCGCCTGAAGTGCTGCGGCGCCTCGACGCGCGCATGCTCCAGCTCTCGCACGGCGACATAGGCTGGGACTGCTTCACCCTCGAATACAAGATCGACGCGCCCGTGGATGTCGTCGTATCCGACTGGGGCAACCGGCAATACCTCAAAGTATTCAACTTCCTCTGGCGCATCAAAAGAGTTGAATTTGCGCTCTCCTCGACCTGGCGTAAGGTCACCACAGGCTCCCGGGGCGTCTTACAGACCAACCATCTCACTGTTCAGGAGACCTGGAAGACGACGCGGGGGTTCCTCGCCGAGATGGTGCATTTTGTGGGCCAACTACAGTACTACATCCTCTTTGAAGTCATCGAGAGTTCCTGGACGGAGCTGCAGGCGCGTTTAAGCCGGGAAGACGCGACTCTGGACGACGTCATTGTAGCGCATACGAATTACCTCGAATCCATAACCCACAAGGGTCTCCTCGGCGCGCGCCGGCGCCGCTTCGTGGGCTCGGACGCCGCCGGCAGCGGGAGCCACGGGGGCGAGGACGACAACAGCTACATGATCCAGCTGGGCGAGCTGCTGCGCACCATGCTCGCGTACCGCGACTGCGTCGACGGGCTGTACTCGTGGTCCGTGTCGGACTTCACGCAGCGGCAGGTTGAGGCCGACCTGCGGCATACCGTACCTTCGCCGGACGAGGACGCAACCACAAACCCAGGTGGTCCGCAGAGCGAGTTCCCGGCTCTGCGCGAGCGCCTGCGCCACCTCGGCGACCGCTTCCGCACCAAGCTCCAGATCCTGCTCGGCGACCTGGCTTATCAGGCCGACGTCGACCTGAGGTTCTTGGGCGTCGCGATGAACTTTAATGATGTGTACCAGCCTGTGCGCCGCAAGGTCAAGGGCACGCCTGCGCCGCCGACGGTGGGTGGTGCGGATAAGGGGAAGGAGAAGGAGAGGGAGGGGGATAGGGACAGAGAGGAGCGCCATAAACGGTGAATGGATGTCCGAATGAGGAATGAGTGGTCACTATCCTGTGCTCGCCCGACTGAGGAGTGTCACTGAGATGAGCAGCATTAGTATGGTCAAGGTTCCTGTGCTCGCCCGACTGAGGAGTGTCACTGAGATGAGCAGCATTAGTATGGTCAAGGTGCCATTGAGTCTCGTACGACGGAGCTGCGCTGTGTCTTTATTAGGCCTCGGACATCCAAACCGTTCGTCGTTTATCTGCATGGCTATCGAGGCCTGTCTGGCTGGCTTTGCAAACAGATGAACAAGAAAAGCACCAAGGCGTCGAACAACATCCCGCCCGAGAAAAGCGACATCGTGCGTTAGGTACATAAAGAGAGATACCTAACCTTAGCTAGCTGCAACATTAGCTAGTTGTCTGTGCTAGAGCTGCTCGGAACGAGTCCCGAGTCCCGAGCCAAGAGACTGAATGAATGAATGACGATCCAAACATACCTATCCGAGTCAGCTTCACCGTAGGATGTACAGACTAGTGGTAGGTAGGCAGAGCAGTAACTCGAGGCTATCCTGAGACGACACTAATGCAGGGGATGATGATGCCATGACTTGGGCTACTGCGGCCAGCACGGTAGTCTACCGGCGGCCAAGGGGACTTCCGCGTAGTTTAGTCGGTTCTAGTTACCTCATACTCGCGATACCAGTCTTGGGTTCATAAGGACAAGAGTAGTAGCATGATGAAAATTCATATCATATCATCATTCATACGTCTGGTTCATAAAACGTAGAAACGTAGACATCCGACCAGTGCTTTTGTGCCTCTCCCACAAGATGATCCCAACCATCGATCCCGTCTGTCTCGTACAGGGAGGCGACCCCATGATACGGACCCAGTAGAACGGGGCATCGCCAGGCTTTTTTTCGCCTTCTATATCTACATGATAACCCGGGTTCCAAGAAAAGACATTAGACCCCGTGGTTCTAGTACCGACAGCTTGACTGACTCCCACGTATCAACACATGTACCGAGTTTCTTGCTTTTCCACGCCGGAAAATAAAGAAGTCAATGTCGTTGTAAATCCATTATAATGGCCGGTCGTCGATGTTCGTACAAGTCAGTTGGGTGGAAGGTGCAATCCATCCTCAATCTCTTCCGACGATAAGTTTGGAAAGATGTTCGAGTGTTCGGGTAGCAAGTGACAGATGATGGCAGCTAATAGCAATTTACAGCCACGGTTGCCGCTGTACCATTACCCGAACCAAGCCAAACACATGTAGGTAGTGTCCAGGGACAATGCCCGAGCCGAAACAAATGCGCCAAAATGCCCACATCGGCGCAACCATGCGCCGTATTGTACATCATCCACGACGTACAGAGCGTGGTCTGCCAATCGTGATGTGTTAAGATCGATATCCTTGGGTCAGAGCCGTCACTCCTTCGGATGACTGACTGACTCTGTATATCCAGCTATGCTGGCAGATAGACCAGGGAAACCAACACACAAGCTTTCCTCGGAAATGCGACTTCATATCCAGTGTTCTGCAAGATCGAGCAAAATGCATCTGACGAACTTGCGAAGATGATCTGATAGTTGCAGCGAGGAAATCATACGTCGGTCATCTCGGTGTCGAGAGATGAAGGCTCAATGACCTCGTCCCCAGGTCCCCAGTTACCTTCGAAGACCGTAGCACCAGCCCGTTGACGTGTTCCAACCCAATTGAGAGCTTCCAGCTCGAGCATCTGAGTTGCTGTAGGTCGATACGACGGCACCACGGCGAGCATCGCTTTGACAACTTTGTCCAGAGAACTTGGATGGTCAGGGTTGCTCATGAAGTCAGGAGCCTGTTGAAGCTCGGTCTTCCGACTCGAGCCGTTTCGGTTCAAGCCGAAGATGTCGCCAGACTGCCGTCTTGCCCCTCTGAAGTTGTAGCTTCGACGAAGATTTCTCGTCGTGTGGCTATCGTCTTCGGACAAGTTGACGCCGCGTTCAGTCTCATCGATTGGCATACCCTCGGTGTCTCGTGGAACTGGGGTTCCTTCTTGGGTGAGTGTGGGGACTTCGTCGAAATCTCCTTCTCTCAAAGCCGTCCATGTTGCTCCATTCTCCGGCAATTGGACGTTGGCTGCTATCTCTAGCATGATGAGTCCAAATGAGAAAATGTCTGCAGAGCACCCAATCTCGGAGCGAAGAGCTTCAGGAGCCATGTATGTACGGTCTCCCTCCATGTCGCTTCGAGGTAAACCGTGACCAGTAGCGAGGCCGAAATCGCCTATCTTAAGGGTGCCGTCGAAACCGACCAAGATGTTGGAAGGTTTCAAGTCTAGATGGATCAAGCCGGCGCTGTGAATATGCTTCAAACCCTATACAGCTGGTCAGTTTGTTATCATGTATTGACAAGTCGCTTTGGTCTCACCTGGCCGACTTCGAGCATGATTTTCCAGATGCGAAAGTCATCCAGCCTGCCCTTCATTCCAACCTTTTCAAGGAACTTGTGCAAATTGCCCTCCTCACAGTACTCGGTCTGGATATATAGGCTGTGGTTCTCTTCCCAACTGTCGATAAGCTGCAGGACATGGTCGCAGCCCCTGACCCGCTGCAAGGCGGTCACCTCATTGAGTCGCTCTGCTCGGTCCTTGTCACCTTGGATCGGAAGAACCAACTTCTTAACCGCGAATAGCTTATGAGGTGTAGGGGAGGGTGGGGTGCGATGCGATGGAGTATCGAAGAAACCTTTGCGCTCAGCATCGATGGGTTGGTTGTATTCTGCCACCTTGAAGACCTCGGAAAATTCGCCCCTGCCGATGTGTTCCACCTTTCCGAACCGTGCGACAAGGCTGGCATCGAGCTCAGCGCCAGACGATGCATGCACAGGGGTGATAACGCGCCGGTTAAGGATCTGTTGGAAACCCTCATTTCGAGTAGTCGGAGTGGCAGGCGGAAAGATCGACTTTCGCCCGCTGCTTCCGGGAAGCAGAAATCCCTCCGAGGGGTTTGAGATACTCAGGCGGCTCGCATCAGGGGGCACAACACCATCCTGTGGGGTCCGGGGAGAAGCCTTCTCGGCAAACTCAAAACGATCCAGAGGAGTTGCTGGGATCACTGAGCTGGTCTTAGCAAAACGTACTTTGGTGGTAGGCCTGACAAGTGAATTCGTCGTGGTCTCAAGCGGCGCAGGTGTAGAAAACGAGCCGCGCTTGGCTCGAGACCTACTGAACGATGACAAAGAAATGGATACGGTAGGGGTTGTTCCCGAGACAACAGACATCGGGGTGTCAGAAGCGCCACCGGATGTAACAGCCTCTTCTCCATCTTGTCTGTCGTTACACGGCCCCCGTGATGGGCTGTACTTACAAGATGCTCCCGCACCGAAGGCGGAAGTTGGAGCAGCCACGTGTCGGCTGGCAGTGGGACTGTCGTTCACTGTTTCGCTCGGGTTGCTTGTGCTTTGAGAAAGAAGCTGTTGCTTCGTGGGCGTTGGTGGAAAATCACCATCGTTGCTGGTTTGCATCTCATCATCACTCTTGCTAGGACTTCTTCCATCATCACTAAGAAGACTCATAAGGCTGCCTTTTTTCGATAATCTGTTGAAGCTCAAAGGGCCAGGGCGCGTCGGCTCGTCGAACGCAATTTGAAATCGACTTGAAGAGGTAGGGTTGAAAGAAGGAGTCGTAGGACCGGCAAGTGTGTGTCTCATGCGTCTGCTCCTCGCTCTCGCACTCCCCGGCGTTGGTTGTTGCGGATACGTAGCAAATGGGTTTAGGGGTTTCTTGCAAGGGGTATCAGGTGGAGCTGCGCCGTTGCCTGTACCCGAAAGGCCCTGCTCGGGATGGCGATTCACTTTGGAAATTAGACCGGTCGATGCGAAGGCTCCCTCAAACGGTCTCGCGTGCTTGTAGTCAGGTGTAGACACACTGGCGATGCCTTGGGTTTGTCTGTCGGGCTTCGGACGAACAGAAGCCATGGGCAGGCTCTTGGAGAAGTTGACGAATGCTCTCGGTTTCTCCACAGGAAAATGTGTTGGAGAGTCATCACCCATACTCGAGTTCGACGACGAGGTAGTCATTGTGCGAGAGAGCGGGTGAGGCTGATGGGCCGGAGGGTTCATAGCATGGGCCGAAGGGTTCGGTAGAGGGCCCTGTGTATTGAAAGGGCTATCTCGTGGTGGCGGCGGCAGGAAAGCATCCAGAGACAGTCGTGGGCGGGCCTTGGCGTTGGGGATGGTGGTTGTCGCATCAATGGTGGTTTGTGCCGACTGGAGAGCCGCCTGCAGAGCCGCCTGCTGGAGAGCTGCACGTCGTCCCCAAGACGTCTGCTTCTCACCCGTATGTCGCTGCTGGAGAGTGGACCGTCGAAGTGATCCAGCCCTTCGCGGCATGGCGGAGGGAGTGGGTGACGCTAGAGATTCAAACATGTTTGGGGCGCTGGAGCTGGTCCAATCATACTCACGCGCAGAGTCATCCTGCATGTCTGGGCTTGGTGAGCCAGGAAACTGGTCGAAGATGTTGAAGTTGTCCCCAAGACTTGAGGGGCCATAACTGCGTCGTTTAGCCTTCGGGCTGCCAGAGAAGTTTTGGTCGAGAGTCATGATAGCATCACTTCGCTTCAGAGGGCTAGCACCGGAGCTAGCATTCGAGTTGTTCGCTTCCGAAAAACGTGACATGGTAAGCTGAGACGCGCCAGACATGTCCAAATGCATGCTATGCCGATTGGAGGCTTTGTCGAAGGGCCTGCGCGGCGCAGGGTTGCGCGCAAAAACGCCAACGTTCTCCTGTTCGGGAAGGGTGGATTCAAGAATGGACGATGACGACGGCGCGGAATTGACGGAGGTAGTGGCGGCATTCAAAGCGCGTCTGGACGGGCTTCTTGGAGAGGTGCGCGACCGCGATAGTTGCTTTGTGGCTGTCGACGGTGCAGCCGGACTCTTAGAAGCGGTTTTGGCGGATCGCAGCGAAAGTTTGACACTAGGTCGGAAAGGAGTTGCAAGCGGTGATTGGGCGTGCACAGCGTTTGTAGGCGGTGTATTGAATGGCGTAGTCGATTGTCCCGGGCCAAAATACTGCGATTGAGCACGGCGGCAAGAGGGAGACGACGGCGACGAACCAGCGTCGGAGCTGCTCTGGGACGCAGTGCGCACCAGAGAAAACTTGGACGGCGAACGCGACAATGAGCGTCTCAGTGTTCGTAGACCAGCTCCCACGTCAACATGGTGGTGATGCGGGTGCGTCGGCGACGGCAAGGTTAGAGTTCCACCACCGTTAGACATGTTGGGCTGTCGAAAGATGGCATGCGACGGAAACGAGACGCGGCGAGGCGAGGCGAGGCGAGGTTCGAGGGGGGCTCCTGAGAGATCGGATCGCGGGTTCGATTTTAGATAATGCGCCCGGCTGTCAACAGTCGCATAGGAAAGACAATGGGCGATTGGATGTTGGTCCGTGAGGAATGCAGAGCAGGTAGTTTAATCAGTCGCAGACATCTGGAATGCCAGACCAAGTAAGGGCGCAGAGGTTTCTTCAGTGGCGATGACGAAGGCTGCTCATGGTCTCATGGCAGTTTCTAGTCTCCACGGTATCGGGCTGGCTGGCTGGCGGTAGGTGAGACCAGACTGCAACACCTTCCCTTGCTGCGACTCGCACTTCGTGAACACGTATATATGTGTGTGTCGTGTTGTTGCATGTACGTAGGTAGGTAGGTAGCGACGTGTGAGGACACGGGCACGATGAATTCGTACGCACCCGACGGACAGCAAGAGGCAGGAACGAGGACCGTGAGGGGAGAGCCTCGCTTCCACGTCAGCACGCTGACTGACTTGTTGACGGGTGATCGTCGTCTGTTGTTTGTGGCGACTTCAGTTGTCGGGAGGTGACTGGAAAGTTGACAGGTTCAGGCGCAGGTAGCAGGTTGCAGGCAGGCGAGGCGGTAGGGTAGGGTTGGAGAATTTCCCAGGCTGGCAGGCTGGGGAAAAGGAGCGTCCGTCGCCAAGCAATCGCTGGAAGGCGGGTGGAAGGCAGGCAGGCGGGTGGCAGGTGGCAGGGCAGAGAAGGGGAAGGGGAGACCGACGGAACAATGGGGCAATGGGGCAATGGGACGACGGTCAACGTGGATGTACAGCACATTGGGCGCACCCATGTGATGGCAGTTGCGGTGAGGTGGTGCGTGGGTGTGGAAGGTACCGGTCGATCGTGGTTTTTCAGAGTGCGCAGTAGCGTGGATGCAACATGGGTCCCGAGTGGATGTTGGAAAGCGCGTTTGTTTATTTCAGAGACGCGTGTGGGAAGTTGGGAAACAGGGGGTCTCCTGGCTGGCAGGAGCGCCACACCCGCTCTCTGTCGCAAAGAGTGGGGCTGATCAGTCCGTACCTCCAGGTACCCTTTCCCGTCGTGTTGTTTCTCCCCACCTCAACTGCAGCCAATCAGCATTGGACGGGCCACCGCCGGATCGCAACTGGCGTTCTATCGAAACTGCATTCCCATGCGCCATGCACCATCACCGATTCTGCGCCGACCTGAGTGTCACGACTCACGAATCACGACGGCGTTTGCACCTTCGTTTGCTCTGCCCAGGAAAGATGATGCGGTGCGTATGTATGAAGAGATGGCATGTAAATGCAGTTGGTGCGACTGGCTGCCCGGTGAATTCCTGGCCCGTCGCATCAAGAGCCAACGAGCATCTTCATTTCTGGTGCCCTCGATATTCTGGGTCTTTTATATTATCTCAATTCCATTGTTATGTGGCACGGTACGGCCCCTCCGCAGACGCGTCTCTGTGTGTATTGTTGTCCATCTGTGCGCCAGCGCAAGCGTCCGTGGGCCTTGCACGGGGCATGGCAGGGGCAGGGCAAGGCGAAGGCGAGCTGGCCGCCAGTGCGCCGCCGCCGCGTCGTCTGATCGTCCCCATCAACAACTCACTCCCGCCCGCCAGGCTTGTCTGCCTGTCTCATCCTGGTACCCGGGCAGGCCCTGCTTGGAAACTGGAAGCTGAGCCTCGCGAGTCTGCTGGCAGCTGGCAGCTGGCTACCTAATGGACAGGAAGGGTCATCCCGACAGCGTCCTGCAGGCCCGTTGCGGTTACAGCAGGCAGGAAGGTGGGGGCAGGGGGGGCTACAGAACACCGCCGCCCACGTAGGTGCAGGTGCAGGTGGTGGTGGCCCAATCGAAGTCGGCGCTGTCTGTTGAGTGTTGACCTGCGTCATTAGGCCCTGAGACAGGATGCAGGCGAGCCAGAGCTGCCAGAGCGTTGGCTTCTGGCGAGTCATGGTCATTGGTCCATGGGCAGGGAAGATCGGGGACCTGCCGACACCCCAGTCCGCGCGCGCCAGGCCAGCAAGCCCGGCTGCAACACAATGCACGCTTCACATCGAGACTCATATTCTCTTGAAACTGTCAACGTTGATCACAGTCCACCGCACTTCCATTCTCTCCGTCGACGCAAAACCCAACAGCAAACAAGGTGCTCGCCATGGCCGACAAAAATACTTCATCACCACAGGAACTGCATACGAAAGTGAAAGTAAACAAATTTAAAAATAGACAATCTTAACACGGTGGGTTAATTTTATGACTTCGTCGGCACATTGCGAAATCATGCGTCCGCCAAAGATCCCTCCGAGGCCATCTCGCTCGGGGGCGCTCGGGCTGTCGGGTCAGTCAAATGATAAATTCACCGGGTCTGGCAGATCTGACAATCTGGGAGGATCTAGTCAGACTGTCATCACAGACTGATGTGACTCCCGCCGGATTTGCGTTGCTGATAGTTGATGCTGCCTGACGAGTGATGAGTGATGATGACTCGGGGCGGCCGTCCAACTTCCAATGCTAGAAGGTCGGCACTCCCTGCTCGACTTGTTTCATTATTATGCAGTTCATAAACTATCCAGCCCTTCCCGCGTAGAGCCGTTTCACCACCCACGTGCCCACGTGCCAGATCGCATCCCCCAACGTCCGTGTTATCTCGCAGCCCCCGTCGCAGCCCCCGTCGCCACCTCTCCAGGGCTCTCATCGCACCACTCTCCCGTGTCTGCGTGTCCGAGTGGCCCCCCAGGCTGCCAGGATCTACCTCCCGGCTCCGTATCTAGGCAGGGATCTATCCGCCCCTAGCAACTGCGCTTCCGGGATCCGGCCGCCTCGTTTTTGCTTTTGATCTTCGCATGAGAGCCGCCACGCAGCATCGCGACGGGCAGGAATCGCATAAGTTAAGCACATATCTATATTGTCATAAGTCAAGCCTGAGCGTCATAGCAGCACATCTAGACTGTCCGCTAAAGAGGTAGTATATGGATTATGACCTGATCTGGTCGCTAGTGCACGGCACTTCAAAGGAGTATATTAACTTAGCGAGCTTGAAACAGACCCCCCTTTTCCTTTTCTTCATCGCCAGAAGACCGCAGGCCCATTGCGAATTTGGTTCCTTGAGGAATTGAACCTGAGCATGACGTAGGAGTATTTCGTTACCCATCCCACTGGATCCAAAACGCTCCCTTGGCATCCTCTGGGATTGGTGCGCCGCGCCGTGGTGAATGAAGCCTGTGTCGCAAACTAAAACTCCAAAACACGCAGGATGGTACGATGCATCGAGGTTATCCGTGGAAACCCATCTGATCCCAATGTCAAGCCCTCGACAACGTCGTCCACATTGGTGACATCACCGTAGCTTATACTACTTAGTGTTGTATGCATCGCCGATCTAGTCATTGTACTACCGCCTGCAGTATACTGGTACAATATGCATCGCCGATCTAATCATTGCACTACTACCTGCAGCTGGGTTGCGTGATCTGAGCGCAAGAGACACTCAAATGTCGATACTTATCTCCTGCCAACGGCACCGAGCGTAGGGTAGCCTATCTGAAACAAGCTCAATCTTCATCCCTTTTGCGTAGCAGACTCTTACTTCCGAGACTTCTCAAGTAGCCGGCGAGTTCAGCGTGCTCGTTCGACTAAATCAGGATTCATGTCAGGCAATGCCGGTTTTTATTGTGATCTTCTATGTGGTTAGTGTTGTGGGCGGTATTATAGTTGATGCTGTTAGAATAATGCCTGGTGGTGACGTCGATCAATCACGCTATGACTGAGAGTGTGGTAGGACCAATACAGCAACTCTTCTTTGTATAACGATTAAACCTTCGTCCCACACCTAGAAGTCGATGCCAAATCCTCAGATCAACAAAGGTTGGGTATCCTCATCCATGACCCCTTAGCGCTCGAGGACTAGGTACAGATTACCAGGCGGGTTCGTCTTCCACAATCCATAGTATCATCGCCAAAGCAAGATCTGCGTGCTTGCGCATGACAGGAATTAGGGGTTTCCGAAACCATGGCTCTTTTTCAAAGGCAGTTCCGATCCAGGGACAAAGTAGCTTTTGTATTATCACATCATAAGGAGCGGTTGTGCCGTACAGCTCGTCCACCGCAGTCGAAAACCCCGCATACATCATTCGGCTCCGATTCTCCGATAAGGAGAGGACGGCTGCAGGCGTGATGTTACTATACGATGGAACACTTAAAAGGAAAATTTTCGTGTGATAGCACAGTCGCTCGCGAGCAAGCAACCGAGCCGCGTTGACGTCGAACTTGTCGGCCATCGTGTAAAATCGGATTTTGGTGATTATACTAGTCAACATAACCTCCAGAGCAGCAAATGTCCGCTCCGCCATGCTGACGGGGGATTCGGAAGGACTATCTGGCTCTGCAGTGTCGTAATATCGAGCTGGTTAGCCAGGCTTTCATCTGTCACTCCTTAGGGCACGTTGCTCATCGGGATCTTACCGCTCTCATCTGAGTCATCTTCACCCAATACTGCTTGGCCAGACTTCAATTCCTTGTGGTTCTCTTCCATATAGCCAAGCACTGCCTGATCTACACGTGTTTCACCAGTGTTAATTGATAGCCTGCTGCAGGGTTTGACATAAACACGTGGTTCTTGTTCTCTTACCGCGAACAGTTGAATCCAGCCTGAATAGTTCCATAGTAACATCTTCATGAGATATCGTGGCAGCCCGGCTTGCACCCGACGATAGAGCCTGTGCTCCGTCATCGTAGTTGCCGGTGTACAGAAAGGCGAGAAATTTTTCGAAGATATCGGGGTAGTCTTCGGGCAGGTCGATGACTCCCGTGTAAGATTCCTGAGCTGCGTTATTCATCTGCCCATCTCACAACAAACTCCACCGGTCTAACAACCAACGCAACATCATGCAGCAAAGGTCCACTCACCTTGAAGCCAGAAGTACAGGCTTTATCGAAGAAGCTGGACTGTGAGCAGACAACGGCTCTATGAACCTTGACCTCGCGTCCTTTACAAGTGACCGTCAGATCGGCATACTTGTCATTGAGGAACAAGCTGCGCAGGTCGTGATGAAGTAACATGTTGGCGGAATGGGATTGTGAAGCTCTTGGGGACAGCTGAGTCTAAGATAGGGGCGAAGTAACTTAAATATCGTACCAATGCCAGACCTTGAGTTGAGGGTGAACCTAGGTTCTATTCTTTATCAGTGCTACATGTAGCTGGTGATTTCTTTTTTGGCTCATCTCCTGCAAATGCGAGAACTTTCTGCAGAGCAGATATCTGAATACACTATTAGGCAGCACGCACAAACAAATCTCATGGGTTAAAAGGACTTTGCAAACCCCAGGTTCCAAGATAGACCCTTTGGGAAATTGCTACAATCATCCGATGAAACTCTAGTCTATTGGCACCATGAGACAGTAGCTGCTTCCTCCAGAGTCCACTTAACTAAGCGTCTGTTGCAATAGGAAGTGGAATAAATAACACCCTCGAGGCAGCGGATGATGAACTTTAATGATTCGGAAATTCCTTTTCCTTGGTACCATGAGGCAACAGAAGGTGGCGGGTGCGGCCTTGAGTTAGAAACAATGATCTCAGTCCATGTTGTCGATGTTGTCGCTTGGCCTCCGTCGTCCGTAGGTCTCACAATGAAATACACCAACATGACGGACAGCAACGGGGTCCGTCCATCTACCCCTCATCGCCGCGAAGTCTTTTACGGTGAACTGCGGGAGCCTCATAACACGCGCAATCCGACTGGGCCACCGTGTGACATCTCGAGCAAGCTGGTGTTCACGTAATACACATCAAGCTCGAAGAACATAGGATCGATGATACACTCAGCCCTCATAATTCTCCGTACGCGCCATGTTGGAAAATTTCCGATTACACGTGGAAATTTGAAAAAACTAGAATACGCAGACAGGAATAAGTAACTCATGGCTATAAAGTTATATTCGATGCTTATTCCAGCGTGCTTATTCCATTTTTAATAAACGCATTTTCGCTTGGTAAACGAGGAGTGTACGGAGACTTATGAGGGTTCAGTGTTATAGACACATGATGTACTTGGAGAGAAATATCATTGAGATTGCAGCTGTACTGCTAGAACTTCTCGACAGCACAGAATGCCTTGAGTCTGACATGTCACTGGAGGCACAGCATACTGTCAGGCTGCTGTGCAGGCTCATGCATGCATCATGACGCCAAGCATCGGCGGCCTGCAGCATGAATATTGACCTGGCAATGCAGGTCCCCGGGCAGAGGCCAGAATGTCAGCACCCAGCGAGCATCTGAAAGAGCACGTACCACCGTGTCGTTTGCAAGGACGTCTTGAAAATTCGGCGTCCGCCCCCACTCACTGTAAACCTGCCCGTGTTCTACATCTTTCTTCCCAGGATCTGTCTCCAGGAACCTTCAGTTTCTGGTTCCTGACGCCGAGCTTGGAAACGATCTAGCTGTGATCGATCATCACATTCAGCATGCAGAGTTCGACGGAAAGTCCTCTCTATGCCTGCGTGGATGTCGAGGGGAAGGGCAAAGGCCTTGTTGCAGTCAAGGACATCCCCAAGGGCACGCGAATCCTTTCCGAGGTTCCCATTATCACCACACCCCAAGACGAACACAACAAGAACCGCCTAATGGCCATCATCTGCGAGCAAGTCAGTGCCCTCACTGAAGACCAGCGCCAAGCCTTCCTCTCCATGCACAACATCTACCCATACGAGACCCCTCCGGAGCATTATCTTGCCATCATCCGAACAAACGGACTTCCCATCGACGAGGACGGAATCGATGGGGGCATCTTCCTCGAAGCATGTCGCATGAAACATGCGTGTGACAACAACGCCCAGAAGAGCTGGAACAAGAACATCGAGCGGCACACCGTCCACGCCCTGAGAGACATTGCCAAAGGGGAGGAGATCACCGTGTTTACCTGCGCGTCCTCGGGAGCCGGGCCGCCCGCCAGGAGGCTCTCAAGGCAAAATTCGGTTTCAATTGCTCGTGCCGTCTCTGTACTTTGCCACCGGAGCAGAGCCGGGCAAGTGACAAGAGACTGAAGGAGATTCAGGTTTTGGATGGTGCGATCGGTGCAGGTAGCCTGGCAGCCATTTTGGCCTCTCCTCTTCGCGTTCTCCGTTGGGTCGACCGACAGGTCAGACTGTACAATGAGCATGGGCCGGATGACAATGGTCTGCCGAGAGCCTTCCTCGATGCCGCGCAGGTTGCCATCGCCCATGGCGATCTGGCACGAGGACGTATCTTCGCGGAGAGGGCGGTGTCTGGGTGGAAGATCCTTGGGGGCGATGACAGCACACAGGTCCGGGAGCATGGACACCTGGCCGTAAACCCCTCCAAGCTTGGCTTACATGGGCTCTCGAAGGAGTGGAAGACTGCCGTGGACGAAGTCCCTCAGGGACTTGAGGCAGGCGACTTCGAAGATTGGCTCTGGAAGAGAGAATAGCCAAGACAGTATGGACAATACGGAGACTTACGAAGGTTGACTGTACACCTAGCCATCACAAGTCTCCGTACGCAACATGTTGGGGGTAATCCAGATCACACGTTCAAAATTGGAAATAATGGAATAAGCAGACTGGAATAAGCGGCTCTAGTTGAATACATCGCTCTCACAGCTTATTCCAGTGTGCTTATGCCGATTTTTTGATGATGTGAAAGTCATTTTCGCTAGGACTGACTAGGTACAGATACTCGCTAAAGGCCAACACCCGTACGCACACGCTCCTACTCTGTACCGAGGAGAGGGAACTGGGCCGTCCCCATGAACTGTTCCCAGTGAAAGTAAAAGATGTCCCGTATATTCCGGTCTCGTAGCAGCTTGCAATCAGCCTTGTGACCATTGCTCTTCCATCCACGTCGCTGGCAATCCTGGTCATACAGTCATTAGCCTTTAGAAGAGTATAACCGCCGTCACCTGGGGGGCTGGGATTCCTACCTTGTCGCAATACCAGAAAAAGCCGCACTGAGCGCACATTTGCAAATTATCTGCCTTCCAAGCACATCCATGGCATTCTCGAACACCTTTCGATGTAAAATCGGCCAAATTCAAATCGGCGCTTGATCGAGAAGCGTTGGAGTCGATCACTCAACGAGAGTAATGCGGCGAGCGAGGCTGGCAAGATCTGTTCGAAACACGCGTCTAGTTAGCAAGAGTCAAGAAGTGTTGTCAGATCACAGGAAGGAGTGACCGTACCCTCAGCATCCTCGGGAACTCATGCTGGATGTTGTAATCGCCCGTCTCGCGGGCATGACAGAATGCGTAGATGAGCGCGATAGTGTACCCTTCCTGAACATACGCCGATGGAATCTCGCTACCTTGCCCGTCGGTACAGAACCCCAACCCCAACCGAGGGACATTGCCGTCAAAGTCTTTGAAATACATATATAGCGTACCATTATGTGTATGGTGGAACTTGATTTCGGCAAGGAAGCACCAGTGGCGTTTGACCAGTTGACCAAACCCGAACACGAAGTCCTGGAAGCCAGGATCAAAACCGTTGTCAATGGGCAGGTCATCGAATACTGGGAAGACGACTCGGTTACGCAGGTCTGCCAATGGTCCACCCTGTCTTGGCGTTTCTCTTTCGACATCCTCGCGGGCGTCCGGAGGGTTTCTCGTCGAACTCGACATGCTTAGAGCCAGGAACTGAAGAATACCGGTGATGGATGTTGGGACGAAAGATGTAGAAACCGGTGATCGATGTTGGACAGAAAGACGTAGAACACGACATGGAGCAGGTTACCAGTGAGATGGGGCCCATGGCACCAAGAAAGGTTGGTGATGGGAGAAGGTAGCCACCCTTCTGCGGAGATTGTTCGCCAGTGCCTACCTCATACCGTTCACTCGTATTCTCTTTTGGCAGGTCAGCCCAACTGCGCTCCCACCCTCAAATTCGCAACTTCCGACACGTGTCACAGCGGACGTGACCTACCTTATGTACACTGAGTCCGCAGAAGTCTCCGATGCGACCTATTCCCACTGGATGGTATTTCCCAAGACATGGTATAAGCACCATGCAATAAGCAGCGGCAGCGGTATTTCACATCGTCCTTGCTTATTCCAGGGTGCTTACTCCAGATACTTTATTCAGCTGTGAATGCCTTAAGGAACACACTCCAGTGAAAGGGGCGGCTCTGAGACTTCTAAGGGGTGATTGTACCCTCGGTCCCTTCCCCCTTTATCATCATCTCGGCCCCACCACCTACCCCGGCAGTTCGTGAATAGGAGCCATAGCCGGCTGCACGACCCTCATGCTACCACCACCCATCTGTGGAAAGCCCTCCTGCCCTCCCGTACTCTGCGGCGAGACCTGGCCCGGGTTCATGTTGCGACCACCGCTGCCATCGTGCATGCTTGATACCTCCGACATGCTCGAGTGCCGGTCGAGGTTTCCGGCGAAGCCCGCTGAAGAAATCGTGGTCGCACTCTTGGGCTCGTCGGCGGCGAGCTCGGACTTGTAGGCAGGCAAGGCCGGGGTATCGAGGTGGGAAGGACGAGCTGAAGAGTTTTGTATATGTGGTAGAGTCTCCTGCGCGTTCTCTTCCTCTTCCTTCTTTTTGCGGCGCCGGAGGAGCAGTGCGATGACGACGAGACAGATGACTATGAGGCCCCCGATGCTTGCGCCGACAGCGATGCCAGCTGTAGCACCTGTCGACAGCCCGTTGTCCGCAGAGCTTGCCGACGAGGGGCCTGGGTTAGAAGTCGCTTGAGGATCGTTGCCTGAAGCCGAGGTGGATGGTGTATCGGTTGTGCTTGTGGTGTTCGTTCGGGTGGGTTTCGGTGCTGACACAGAGCCTGTATCCGTCGGTTCATGGCCCGGAAACCATGAGATCGCCTCGCCCGATCTCTGAGGCAGCATGGCAATATCGGCGAGCTGAGGGGCATCCTGGAACAGGATGTTGTCGTCCGTGCTGCCCGTGCATGTGCAATTGGTCGGAGGTGGAATATCGCCCACAACTTCGTTCTCTTCCGGGCAGCCTGCCCACAAACTCAATTCCGGGTCGCATCGTGCGAGTCCAACCCACTGCTGATTGTAGAAGTTGCCCTTATTCTGACACTCGGAGCCATCGTAGTTCTGGTTGGTGCAGCCCGCAACGTAGGTTGTTCGGTCTTGCAAAGCAGTATCAGCATTAGCGACCGCGCAATCCGGATCTGCTTCCACGTCTTCAACTCACAGTTCGCATGGTAGCAGGCGCCGCTCGAGACGCATTTGTCCCCAACGTGGCAGCACGCGTGGCTCCTCCCGTCGGCTGCATTTCCACATGGGATGTACTGGTCAGGCAGAGCTACGTTGACGTTTGCCCAGCAGCTGCCATTCGAGATATCGAGGTCGATGTCACTCATGCTGGCCGCTACCTCTGCAACGAAGGAGGATGTTGGATTCGTGGGAGGTTGAAAGATGGAGGTGGAGAGGGAGGCCTTGATTACGCAAGGTCTGCGAGGGTAGAGGATTGAGGGAGGGGGGCAGATGTGGGTGAATGCTTCATCTGTTTGCTGAAGTGTAACCTTGGTAAATCGGGAGCTCCGCCTCAAGCCCGTGGCCCGCTTAGAAGTGCCAATCATAATTCCCAGTTGCTAGGGTTGTCTTAGTATTCGGTAATCGCTGCGACAACATGTCACCTGGCACGGCATCTAATGCCTTCTGTGCAACCTCCCGTGCTGCGTGCTGGATTGTCCTTTGTTACCTAAGCGAGGGGTGAAAGGTGATAAATGAGATATCAGTGATGATCACAACCTTGTGAATCTGATAAGCTTAGTCTATGGTTGTTGCTCCATCGACATGATGGTGGATAGGGGTAAGTAGTGGTGGTCATCATACTGGACCAATGTACCACTACTATCTATCACCACCGATCACTTGATTGACTTATGATACGATGCTGCCATAATCTAATTACCTATTATGGGTTTGCTCCCTGTATCTGTTTGTGTTTTGTCGTGCGATGGTCCTTGTAGGCGCCGAACTCAGCGCCTTTTTTATAGCGTTTTGTAAGCAGTCGGGTGGCTCACAGGTGTGCTGTAGCACGATTCTAGGGGTGACAAGGCTGACAAGGCTGACAGCAGCACTGAAAGGAAGGAACAGCCTGGAAGCGGGCTTTGAGCCTTAGTGTATCTGGGACAAGGGATCTTTACCCTCCGGATCAAAGGCTGGGCATTGCTTTGAAGTTGGTATGTGTATTTAGTACCTGAACAGGTCCCAAGACCCAAGGGTAGATCCGCACCCAGAATGTAAGCAACATGATGACCTGAACCACTGAACCGCTCTTTTCCATAGTTTGATATCTAACCTAAGGGCTGAATCGACCTGCCTAGGCATTCGCCTAGGGCAGCTTGTTTACAATACTTAGGGGAGAGGAGCACAGAATGGGCAAAATTCGTGGAGAAGAGCAAGTTCTTTTCAACAATCTGCCCCCGATAGATAGCCTTCCTTGAAGGACCAGATGGATGACCCCAAGGTCATACCGCCGCAACAACGGGGATGGGCCCGTGAGCGGGACTGACTGTACTTATTATCTTGAGACCTCCACAACCCTGCGATGCAGAGGCCCTGGGAGGCGTGGTTTGCACTACTGAGGAGCTACCCCCACGTTAAATACAAAACAAACAAAACAAACAAACAATAAGGGCTGAATCGTAGTGTTTTCTTTGATATCTAGGCTATGGCGCGCTGTATCATTCTCATCTCAGTGTTGATCGTCTCAGTGTCCCTCGCACCAAGCCTCGAACCACCCGCCAACTACTCTGCGTATAATTATTGAACCTCATATAAGCTTCCGATGTCTTGGGATTACCTGAGCACCACCCACGAGTCGTAATCCTCAAACATCTCCAACGCAAACCGAACACCGATCCTCGCAAAGTCCACCCGGAGCTGCGGCGACTTTGCAAGGACCATTTGTCCGGTAAGGGTTGTCTTTACCCCATAGAACGTGAATGATTGCAAGCGTGGCAGCTCCTGCGGGCACTGGTCACGAAAGATCTTCAGCAACCTCTCAACGTGAGGATGACACAATTCGTCCACGTCATTTAAGACCCAGGAACAGAATTCTCGTAGCCTCAAGGCCTCGAGAGACCGGGGTAATACGCGCGTTAGAGCTCCGGCTGAGAAGTTGGCGGGAAGCATGAGGCCGATCAGCGTGTCCAGGTCGATTTCCAATCACGTCAGATCCTCAAGACGCCAGAGGCGGCGGAGGGCGATACAGCTTCCCAATTCCGTACCGTAGGTCTTGTAGAAAGCTGGTTGTTCCGCCTTCAGAAACTCAGGCTCCGCAGACGCGGCATGGTCTCAAAGAGCGCATCGCTGATATCCCCATGTGGTCCTCCGACACGCCTGCCGTAATATGAAAAGTGGCGGTCACGCGCCACCACCTTCAACGTCTCCAATTTGGGGCAAAGCAGGCCGATGTTGCGTATGCCGTCGGCGCAGCAGTCCGTTCTCTGTAGCTGGATTTCTTTGACGTTGCTCGGACCGTATCTGAGAAACTTGTGCCAATAACCGTTGTCGCTTCGTACGGTCACCCTTGTGAGCAAAGGCCGGGAAAACAGCGAGCCATACATGCTGTGCCAGCGGCGCGTTTTATCCAAGTGCGTCCGAGGCACCAAGTGCCGCCGAACCATGTGTATCGTTTGGACTAAGCGCAGGATGTGTTCTCTAACCAAGCCGTTCTGAAGCAGCTGACGCAACTGGTGGCGGAACAGGTTGCTACCTTTGGATGGGTGGCTTGAGTCAGGCAGTACCAGCTCCTTCGCATGGGTCGCGAGGCCCAGAAGCAGGATAACCAGCACCCCCGGCAAGCCCATAAATTCCTCATCGTTGCTTCTTGCTTCGTGGGAGATCGTGCCCGAGGCGGGAAGTTGTACTTCCCGGATGAGTTCGTGCTCGTAAGCAGTGAGCGTCTCTGTCCGTATGCTTGTACTTCCGGCGTTCCACTCGCCGGCGAGAAAATCATCTCTATATTGTTCCAGACCTTCGACATCTATGGTGACAACGACCGACTGTATGAACTATCGGAACAGGGAGTTCTCAAGCAAGGTCCGAACGACCAGGTGCAGGTCTTTTGGGCAGTCGACAAGCAGGTGCCGATATAGGAGACGGACTGCCGAGTTGTAAAGTCGACTGGATACTAAGCAGGCGTTGTAGAGAGATGGCCGATCTGATTTGTGCTGCTCTTGGTCCTTGAAGCATGATAACCCATCGGGAAGTACGAAGTTGCCCAAGACGAGGTCGATGATTTCGTTGGGAACGATCTCCAGCCGCCAGATATAATTTGTCAGTATAATTGTCCCGGCAGCTGAGTGAGCTTCACATCGTCTATAAGCCTTTGCGCTGTCCCTTGAGAATGCGACCGTGTTCTGAGTTCTTGCTCAACCCACGTCCACGGAATTTGGTTTGCACTTACGGAAGTAAGGCTCTGTCCTGCCATGATTCTCGTCAAGTAGTGGACTCCAAAGGTGGAGAGGCAGCTCAAACGGATTGTTGGTAAGGGTGAGCTCGCCAGGTCTCAGGAACGAAGTATGCGGAGAGAATGCGATACCGTACCCAGATTCGGGAGTCTGGAAGGGCCAGGGAAGACGCTATTTATTGAAGCACGCCTGTACTATAAGTCACAAGGAAATGAGTGGATCATGGGTATTGACACAATTTATAGTGTTCAAGTGGGCGACGATTCACAGTTCCTTTCATGGTACGCAGCGGAGGACGACACATTCCGTGCTGCCCTCGTCACTGAACAGCTGCCCACTAATCACTCTGCAACCTTTGATCTCATGCAGTGGCGCCATTCGGAATTGAGGGGTGTATCTGGGCGAACGAATCGGTTACCCTTGCGTCGAGAGTGCGACCTTTGCAGCGTCTTCGCGACCGCATACGGCTGGCTGCCCAATCCCTCATGATCCTGAATTTCAACGCGATGCTCGTGATGTGGTTCTGGATAGTGGAAAGCCATGCAAGCTTCTTCCAGCCGCAGCATACACATCATCACTGGGCATGTGCAACAGTGCTACTCTAGGCACTGCAGGATCGAGACCCAGAGGCCTACCCTACGGGCAGATGGTAATCGCATACGGTACAGCTGACGTCCAAGAGATTGTGGAGCAACCCGTGACGCCAGACAGCAATAACACAATTGTCAAGCTTCACTTCGACATGTTGCGGGCTTCAGGGTACCCGGGCGACGAAGACGAGCTGTCGACACTGAGAATTGAGTTCTGGATCACATACGTCGAACACGAGTGATAATGTCCTTTCGCTGGATAACAACGAGCCACCACCGAGCTGGGTGCCTTCTGCAAAGGGGGACAACACCCAGCCAGATCGCCAAAAAGTGGCCCGAGGATGATGGCGAGGCTTTCGAAAGCATATTCCAAGAACATTCACGGCGAAGTGCGCGATATCTCTAAGCAAGTGGTAAGCTTCGTCCATCAGCTTGGACAACTGACTGACACGACTGAGTCAGAATTCCGGCATAGCGCAGGCTGCATTGACGTCTTCAGGTGGGGCTGAGATAAGACGAAAGCGATCTCGGCACTGACGGCCAACATTTATCTGCGAGGTCAACCACAACTTACCAACTGCCAATCGCCTTTGACACAGTTTTCCAGCCATTCCTCCTCTTTCACCACTTGCTAACCTCCCATCCTATGTCCTAAGTTGGACAATCGTCGAATAGACATGGCCCGTGTGTGCGTCTTCGGAGCCGGTGGCGTAGGATGTGTATACGCTTACATCCTCCATGAAGCCGGCTGCTCAGTCACAGCAGTCTGCCGGACCAACTACCAAGCCGTCAAGGACAACGGCATACTGATACGCTCCAAGATCTTTGGCAGACAACAATTCAAGCCAACAACCGTACAGAGCGTCTCAGAAGCGGTACAGCATGGACCCTTCGACTACCTACTCGTCTGCAGCAAAGCTTTCCCTGGCACGGCGGCGATGATGAAGGAAGCAGTCACGCCTGGCAAGACCGCTATCGTCCTAGCTCAGAACGGCATCGGTGGCGAGGACGAATATGCGAGACTCTATCCCGAGAACACCATCATATCAGGCGTGGTGTACCTCCCAGTGACCCAGGTCGAGCCCGGCGTCGTCGAACATGGCCCACTCGAGCGCTTCGAGATAGGCACCTATCCCCCTGACGCTCCCTCTACTGCAAAGGCCCAGGCGCAGACCCTGTCGGACCTGTTCAAAGCTGGCGGGGGCTCTACACCCGTGTTTGCCGACGTGCAGCCCCAACGCTGGATCAAAGTTTCCGTGAATGCTGCCTGGAACGCCACGACGGCTCTCACGACCTGTGATGACGCGAACTACCTCCGTTCTTCTCCCATTGCCGAGCCTGTGGTAAGAAACATCATGCAGGAAGTTGGCCTTATTGCATCTGCAGATGGCTATCCGGACGTCATCAGCGACGCTGTCATCGAACGAGATCTCGAGAGACCGAAAAGTCGACTAGCCACTGGTGGCAAGGAGCCCTCCATGTTGACGGATGTTAGACACGGACGACCGATGGATGTTGAAGCCATCCTGGGCAATACGCTGCGGATAGGGCAGAAACACGGCGTCAAGACGCCTTGTCTGGAGATGTTGTACGCCTTGGCTAAGGCGAGGAATTTCGCGATCGCGCCAGATGAGACGTGGGTGCCTATAGCTAGACATGACTGAGGCGTGGACAAGGCCGTCTGGAATGTCGCTGTTGTTCGAAGCAGAAACGCCTATATACAGAGACGCATGATCCAGAGGAGACCCGGCTAGACGTATAACACGAAGCTCACCCGTTCTGTCTTCTTTCCCCAGATCGACAAGCACGATCACGATCTCACATAGCACCCTCAAGGACCATTGGCAGCCATGAGGTGACGTTGCCACGCAAGGCACTCGTGCTACACGCAGACGACGCAGCCCAAGTGTTTCAGGCTGAGGCACAAGGCCACGCAAAGAGCAGACCACACAAGGAGTCAGCGTGGGCGCACAAAGCCATTCTCTTGCTTGGACACTATAGCGTGCTTAGCTACACTGATACTGGCTGCGGCCCTCTGACTAAGCTCTTATAGTGAAACGATCCATACTGCGGTCGGTCCGGGATGTCGACGTCCTTCTCGTCCTTAGTAAAGGCATGGCGTCGCTTGTAGTAAGGCTGCCCAACCTCACTGCCGTCAAGGTATGTGTCGAGCCCGTCCTTGTCCGCCTGATCAGTGCCCCACTTGATGAGCCTCGCGGCGATGCCGTGTTTCTGGTAGTCTTCGTGGACACCGAGCATCTCGAGGACTGTCACAGCACCGTCAGCTACGAGGTCACGCCGGCAGTGGTCAGGTCAGTAACTAAGGCTTACACCAATGTGGTCGAGTGCCCATCATCGCCTTCCGATTGGCCTCCATGCCACCAAAGAATGCGCCGGCGACCTCCATATCCCAGCTATCCGGCAAGTCTGGCCACTTCCGCTCCAGGTTGCCGTCGCTCTGTGGAAGCATCCACCGACTGAAGGCAACGATCTTGTTGCCGTTCTCGGTGTCTTCAGCGACAAAGGAGCGATCTGTCGGATTCTCAAGTCCCATAATCCACGCGTCGGTCCACCATTTCCTGTCCCCTTTGTTGTCCGGGATGAAGTACTGCCAGAAGGGAGCGTTGAAGGAACGGAAGAAGCAGTCTGTCATTGCCGGCGCATCATCTGGCGTCGCATCGCGTATGCGGAAGCGCGGTCCTGCAAGATGGAGTGGAGCGGTCGCCATCTTTCCATGTGCGCTGTTTGTTGGAAAGCAGAAACTAGGCCGTGGACGGGAGATTTTATAAGACCTCACCCCCTCCCCCCAACCTCCAGTAGGAATCGAACCTAGGTCCACTTTTATACGGCTCAACTTCTCGCTCTCGCTCTCGCTCAGCGTCACACAGCTCCCAGCCCAAGCAGACGACCTATATCACGCAATCGCTGCTGCGCAGTTGGCTTTGCCAACTATGCTATCCGAAGAAGTCATCGTGGCTGGACAGAGCCAGTGGGCAGTACAGTCGCCCTGTCGAAGGCTCCCGGCATCTAATCTTAGGCCGTTTCACCACTAACGGATGTGCTTGCTGACATCGCGGCTGATGCGTCAGCTGAGAACAATGGCCGCGTCACTAGTATCACTCAAGGATTGGATATTGTTTTACCGTCCTTCACCTGAGCACCTCAGATTGGCTGGAATTGCGCGGTGGGCTGTATACCACTCCGAGCATCATGCAGCAGCAAATCCGACCCTGATCGAACCATTTACCAAGGAATTACTTCACCGTGGGCCATAGAACCTGGGGGCCGATAGCCAGTATCGCCTGGTGGTCTACGATGAGTCCAGAGATTGACCCAACAACTCATCTCGTCACTCGTCATCTTGCCTGAGTTGTCGGACTGTGATTCCCATTCTTTAAAATTTCCAACGATCAGGCGGTTATTCGTCGAGTATTTGTGTGCCATGTATAGAAATACACATACAACGCCTCCCTATTTCGGACGACACAATCGATACCTCCTATGCTCCCACCTCAACAGTAAACGCACCACTCAGGGGCATATCCACAGACACACTGACAACATCCCTCTCCGCATCAACCTCCGCCTTAACACTCTCTCCCGCAACCTTGAAAGCAGCATTCGCACCGGCATCCATCCCCAGCCCCAAGAAGGTGACCTTCGACACCCGCACATCCGTCGCATAACCAAACGTGCCACCAACCGTCAGCACGCCATCCGCATACGCGAACGTGATCTCGCTCGTAGCCGGCTGTTCGATACTGACGCCGTCGTCCAGATAAAGCGTCCCATTCGCCGTGCCGTCCCCGCCGTTCGGCACCAAAATCTCAAACGGCTTCGTGCGCAGCTCCGTGGTCGTCATGGCAGACTCGGCGCGTATGGGCACAATAACGCCGCCACGCAGGTACAGCGGCAAGTCCGTCCACTCCTGCCCCTCAACCGTGATGCTCGCCCCGGTCCCGACGACCTTCTCGCGTGTGTACCAGTCATAGAAAACGTCGTCGGGCAGATAAACCTCCACGCTCGTGGCGTTCTCCTCCGTGACGGGGGCGACCAGCAGCGCGGGCCCGAGGAAGTACTGCAGGTCCAGCGCCCACGTATTCTTGTCTTCCGGGTAGATGTAGAAGAGCGGGTTGACGCTGGGTGTGCCGGCGACGGTCTGCGCGCGCAGCGCCGTGTACATGTAGTCGAGCAGCTGGTAGCGGATGCCGATGAACTTGCGCCCGGCTACCGTGGTCGCGTTCCAGCGGTACAGCTCCTGTGGGGTGGCGCCGAAGGTATTATGGACGCGGTAGAACGGGGCGAAAGCGCCGAGGGTCGCCCAGCGGGCGCATAGCTGCTCTGTCGTGTTGTCTCCAAAACCGCACACATCTGCGCCCACCATGGGAACCTGATACACGGCAACGAACGCCATCATGCTACGGATTGCTAGCCTGTAATGGTCCCAGTCCGACAAGTTGTCGCCGAGCCAGTGACCGACTTTCGTACCGGCACCTGCGAATGTGGATCGAGTAATGATCATGGGACGCACCGCTGGGCGCCGAACCAGCATCGCTTCGTAGGACGCCATCGACATCATCGACCCGTACATGTTGTGCGTATCATACATTGTGAGGCCGTTCGCATGTGTTATGTCAGTGTTGACAGTCTTGTTCGATATCCCGCCTTCGGCTGCATTCCAGCTGTCCTCATAGGCCGCCTTGTTGTGGATCGCGTATTGCGGGAAGAGTAGGTCCCGGCCCGGCAGTCCCAGCTGCTCGCCTTCACTTTGTCGTCCTGAGAGAATGAGATGGGGGAAATAGGCTCTGGGCAGACCGTCACGGATCTCCACGGATGTTGTGCTGGAGGCATTGCACCCCGCTGGCTGAAAGTGACAGGAGAATCCTGGCAATGGTCTTGGGGGTGATCGAACGGGAGGCGGTTCCGGTGGGTAGCCAACAGCAGATGCCTCGGGGTTATCGCAGGGGAAGTAACACGGGAAGTTACTGGGCTCGTTCATGTCGATCCAGAGAGCGTCGATGTCGACGCCGTCATCTGCCGAGAAAAACATTGCGAATTCGTTGTTCCAGTACTGGCTGATGTTCGCGGAGAACCAGTCGGGGAATACTGTGACGCCGGGCCAGACCACGCCCTTGTACAAGGAGCCGTTGGCCCGTAGCAAGAACACGTTGTCGTCGATGCCTCGCTGAAGTGAGCCTGGGAAATCTTGGTACGCCACGGCTGGGTCGACCATCACAACGTAGTGTTGGTCGCGGGCATGGAGGTAGTCCACCAGCTCCCGCATCATGTCGAGTGGGAACCTTTCCGGATCCAGCGAGAATACCTGTTAGCCGTTAGCGAGACTGTAACAGATCGGACTGGGATCACCCACTCTTCGTAGATACATGTAGTCAATGTCGGTCCACATAGTCTCCAACGGGATCTCAGCTTGACTATAGTTGTACACGGCCTCAGCTACGTCGTAAACGTCCTGATATCCGTATCGACAGTTGTGGAATCCGAATCCCCAGTACGGCATCATCGCTGGTATGCCCACAATCTCTGCGTACTGCTGCGCAACTTCAACGGGGCTAGGGCCTGAAACGAAGTAGAAGTCCAGCACACCGCCAAGCGTGTTGTATTCGAGATATTGCCCCGACTCGGCGGTGTTGTTGATCATGATGTCCATTCCGTTCGAGTTGAGGAAGAAGACACCATGGGTCCCCGACTCTCGGTGGTCGTAGTACACCGGATGGTTTCCATACAAGTTGGCACCCTCGGGCACACCATACGCGTCCTGCGACCAGAAGGTGCGGATATAGTCCGTGGTGTTGAGCATGAACGGATCCGAGTGCTCTCCTAATCCGTACAGACTTGGACTCTCGGGGAGCTTGGTCCGTAAGCGGAGGTACTGCGACTCGAAGACCAAGCTCGCGGCGGATGTGTCGAAGAGGACCTCCCCTGAGCCTGGTCGAGACACCGAGAAGCTGAAGGGGCTCTCGACGTAGTCGAACTTCAGCGCCGAAGTCTCTTCCTGGCTGCCTGCTCCCTCGGGGTGCGGGAATACAGACTCGGGGATTTGGTAGACGCTGTTACCTGCATCCTGGATCTTCACATGGAGCCTCGTGTCTGGCGGTGTGTCAGCGAAAACCTGCATTGACGTCGGTGAAGCGACGCACCGGTGTCGTAGGAGACCTCCAAGATCAAATCTTCCAGATCGGTTCCATAGACGTTGCAAGCTTCACCCGCAAGCTTCAAGTCGGCCGTGAGACCCGAGACAGTGTTCTGGATGTTGGAGGCGGTGTACCCGGGACATGCCGTGAGAGGATCATCACTAGGGTAGTCTCTTCTACTCACGACAGCGGCAGCTGATGCGGCCACGGCCATGAGTATGAGACTTGCCATTGCGAATGTGAATCTACCTACTGGCCTACGGTGTTGCGGTGACAGTCAGGCGGGTCTCCCACATAGTATACAGTCAATAGACTAGAGCCAAGGCTACCTTCAAGGTTGCTAAAGTCGCCAATGCTTGATCTTCTTATATGATGCAGCAAGTGCCCGGTAGAGCATCATCCTGTACCCCGCATGATATATCTTGACCATGTCATTCGCACCCCTCACTCCGTCATTCCCCCATCCACCCATGACTACTTATAAGGCACCTCTATCAGCAATCGATCTCTTCAGACAGACCAAGAATTGTGATAGTCACCACAGGAGACGCCGGTTTCTTCGCTGGTCTGCCAATTTGAGCTCGTGGTTGACAATGGGCCCGATTGCGATCGGATTATTCTTCTCCGCAGATGAGTTCGCCGACGCGAGGTGATGATAGTGGATGCAAAGATTAAGAAGGACGGGGAGCAGTCTCGGACTCTCGGCTCTCATCGCGCCAAGAGCGAGCGACGGCCTGATAGATGCGGGGGAGCCTTCGAAGTGCGGGGGTATAGGCCGACTGTTTCCCCATTCGCCCCTGTCCCGAACATAGGGACGACCAGATTGGACTGCCAGGCCACCGGGTTCTCCAGACGCCCCATAGGGAGGGATGGGGAAGAGCCGCAGAAGCGCCGGGGTGCAGCGCAGGGGCATTGGGAGTTGTCGGTTGTCTGCCAATGCCCGGAAACCTCGGCCCAACTCCGTCATTGCCTTGAACCAGTAGGTTAAGGTAAGAGGCGCATATGTACTCCCGCTTGAACGAAGACGTGAGTTGGAGATTGCAGGTTGCGGTCATAGAGTTGATATGCTTGGCTCCGTGGTAAAACTGACGACTAGCGAGGACTAGCACCTGATTCTCCGCAGCCTTCAATATCTTCGTCTCTTGTTCAGGGACAGCTACCATAGCTGATTGGTTTCATCTAAGATACGGCAGAATACCATTTCTATATGGATTGCTGTTACATTATGATAGCAATTTTGTGCCCCTTCAAGAGAGGGCTTCCCTCTAGGAGGAACTCTAATCAAAAGACTCAAAACTCACCTATCAGAATACACTCAAGGTATCAATAAGCCGAGCTATTGAGCGGGGAAAGTGAGGTTTGTGTGGGCATGAGAGAAGGATGAATGCCAGAGAGGGATTGGCGGCGAGGGCATATTATGCGGCGTGATTGGGAGAGTTCGAACTGTATTCTTGGACTTTGATCTCAAGTGCCTCGCCCCTATTGACCCTGATCCGCCTTCGCATTATACCCATTCACTGCATATTACCTCGAACTACTAGGGGCCTGTGGGATGACATAGGTATCGACCCAGCCTTCCCGATTATGTGTTCTCCCCTGAGCTTCTACAGGGTTTGGAGTTCGGTTGCCCTACCACGCGTCATCGAGTCATCGTCCGCCAGCTGCGCGAACGGATGCTCGTCGCTGTAGGTCTCTGTTGCGTGCTTCGACGTACTGCCGCGCATGCCCTGAGCTGTCCGCGATCGATTCTTACGCGATTCCCCGGACCCCCCGATCGTAACGAGCGTGCCTCTGGCGGCCCTATTGCTGGGCTCCGGTTTCGATTCTACGCTGCCGTAGACGAGGAGGTTCAGGATCGGTTTTAGGGATGGGAGGCAGGCTGGTGTGCGCGTTAGCTTAATCCATCCGGAGTTTACACCTTGAATAGTTCGGCAGGTTTGGGCGTAGAGGCGTGAAGATCGGGGCTCAACCTACCGCAAACTGTTGCAACGTTGCCCTCCAGGCTCGTCCACATCTGGGTATCTACGAAATTCCAGGTAATATCCGGCGAGGTGAGGTCCACTCTCAGAACGAAAGTGAAGCGCACAATGGATATTATCGTAACGCTGCGTGTTCCATTCAGTCAGTTCGGAACTTTAGCAAGCGGCTTGCCGAGGAAGGCGGGAGACTAACAATATTCCTACCACGAAGACACTCGTGATGGCTACCTTCTGTGCACGGGGCATGTATAGCTTCCACTGCAGCATCAACGGTCAGCGTCAACCGTGGAAGACCGTCTCGGAACGAGAGGAAGAAAGTCCAGTCGTTACTCACGATGTACGGGACGGGCAGGGCCATGATCATCACGTCGGTGATGATGTTCTGTTAGGAAATTGGAGTCGGCAATTACTCCTTTTAGATATCTTGACGGGAAACAAGGAGCCGAGATGCATGTCTCTGGAGCCAAGGGCTCCTGACACAGGCTAGAAGAGGAAATTCGCGCCAAGTACATGTCCATATGGGGCAATAAGAATCTCGGAAATGTACATACGGGGATCGCGTTGCCGTTAAAGAAGTCATTATCGTCAACACCGCAGTGATATGCCTCCGCGGGCAATGGCGCCACAAAATCGAATCGTTGCCAAAAGGCTTGCACGGGTAGACATTGGAAGATGGACACCAGAATCTGGGCGTAAAAGTCAGTTTGTTTCCGCAGTGACGGATGTGTATATATATGGGAAAACTTGAAAAGGCACGTACAACGGAGGCTCCCCACGCTAACACCATGCCGGCAAGAACCCAGATCGGAATCCGGATCGAGCGCTGCGCCCCGAAGACTCGCCAGTAGAAGGCCAAGATGGAGTATTTCACGAATACCAGGCTCAGCGTGTAGGTGATCTCGGCGATGAACAGTCCAATTGCCCATACCTTTGTCGCTTCAGGGGGAGCTGCCCATACGTGTCTGCCGAAGCCGTGTCTGACCACTACGAAGTTTCGTCATTAGCTAGACGGTTACGGGAGGCCACGAGTCGGGAATCATGGAGCAAAAGTAAGTATGTGTCATGGGGTATCACATACTCCAACACGTAATCATGAACATGAACGAGCCCGACCAGAGCTGTCGGGTTTGTCAGCTTCGTCTTCCTCGCGGCACGAAAACTTCTGTCCTCGACCATGAAGCACGGTCAACTACATGCAGAAAAGCACGTAGTTTTCAAGATTCCAGGTCAATATTGTCCGTACTCGATTCCTCTCGCTAGAAGAAAGAGAAACAGCAGGGAGGAAAAGCGTACGACTGAAACTAGGATCAACCAATCGTCGAGCCATAGCCGGCTGCGCATCAGACGTCTTGACCAAAGACGTAAACCGATAGCTATGATTGCCAGAGACCACGTCGTTGACAGGACTCCGATCATCTCAGGAGCCCGCGTCGCCGTCAAGTCCAGGTCAGCCGGGGGCGGTCCAAGAGAAGCCATGTGGTTGCTCCGAACCGCCACTCAGCTATCCACAAATGACGGGCTATGAACCCAGAAGGGCAGAGATGGAAGTTAAAACTCGGAATGAGCACGTGTGGATTCGTAGATCGGCGAAAATCTTTGGAGAGTAGAGTCGTCTGACGAGGCTCTAGAGAACAGAGAAGGTCAGATATACAGGGCTTGCCGGAGGGTATGGCATCCCTGGAGGCATACTTAATCCATGGTCCATCTCCTGGATCTAGAGCCTTATGCTCTATAAGCCACCGCGGCGTACAACCGCGCGGGACACCCCGCTCTCGTTCCCCAACGCCCATTGTTGCACTGTCAGAATCGTGGATCGCGTACGCTGCTTGGTTACAGTCTTTAATGTCGACTGACTGCTGCGTAGCAGCGAGTCAGTCTGCACACAGGGGCGTGTGCGCAGATTCAAATGCATCCATCTCAATTCTGCCAACGCAGCGAGATTCAAAAACGTACCCCTTGGTGCACATGGCACATGCATCCCATGCACAGGGGGTGTGTTCGATGCGAGAATGTGCAGGATTCATGTTGCATGTACTTGAACCGAACTCCAAATAAAGAATTTCCTACTAGAGACACGCCGTCCGGTCTCGAAGGGGGCACAACACTGAAACCTCTGTACTCCAGCAGAACCAAGCTTCACCGCTCAAAACCGGTGTTGGGGTGTGATCCGAAGGGCTTGACAGTCCCTTACTGTAGTATCCATGGCGCAGGTGGTAGGGGGGCGGGGAGCGTTCTATTGGTTCGCTGCTTCCCTTTATGATGCGATGATATGATCACAAGCATCAAGACCAACCACCGGAATCCTCCGACTTGAGTGAACACAGAGAACACAGACTGGGATAGCACGACAGCAGATAATAAGGTGACAAGCCCATTGTCACCGCCACGCAGTACTACCTCGGCTTCACCGAGTTTACCACTCACCACACAACTTGTTTCAATCTCAGACCTCGCCTGGCGCCGCCCCCCCCACCCCCCCCCCCACATGTCGACAATGTCTGGCCCGACCAAGCCCACCATCATCATTTTCCCCGGTGCCTTCCACCCAGTGTCTTGTCTTGGACCCTTCATCAAAGCGCTCAAGGACGTTGGTTTCCCGGCCGAGGCCCACACCCTGCCCAGCGTCGGCAACCCCGACATCGAGGCCGAGGACGATGTCGCCTTCTTCAGATCTGTCATGATGCCCCATATCGAGGACGGTAAAGACGTCCTCCTCGTCGTGCACTCGTACGCCGGGATCCCGGGCGCGGGTGCCATCGCCGGGCTCGACAAGAGCGGCCGCGAGGCGCGCGGCGCCAAGGGCGGCGTGCTCGGGATCGCATACCTTGCGGCCTTCGTCCCGCGCGAGGGCGAGTCGACGTACAGCATGCTGGGAGACACTTGGCTCTGGTGGATGAAGGAAAACGTGAATCTCCACGGCCTTGACCAAACATCGTAAAGCACAGCTGATCACCCCACCCCAGGACGCGGCTGGTCTCATTGACACGCACTCGCACCTCGAGGTCTTCTACAAGGACTGCAACCCCGTAGAGGCCGCTGCCGTCACGGCCACCCTGAAAGGCCACTCCCGCAAAGCCTTGAGCACGGGGATCGAGAACATCGGCTACCGCGAAGCCGGCTACGACGGCCGCCGGGCGTATATTCGATGTCTCCAGGACAACGCGCTGGTATTGGCCGCGCAGGACGCCTTCATAGAGAATTCTGGAGTTGCGTGGGTTGTGAAGACTCTGGATTCGTCGCACAGTCCTTTTCTGTCGATGCCCGCGGAAACGGCCAAGACGGTGGCGGAGCTGGCTACCGAGTTCGCGGCTGCTACGTAGAGGTGGTGAGCGACCCTGGGCCAACGCGCTGCCGATAGGGTGGCCTAGTAGAGAAGGATAATAGGTAAATTAGTAAAGATTCAAGGCTCATCAGGCCCAGATAAGGCAAGACAACCTCCACCAGCCACCGATGCACATCAACGTAGAGCTCATCGCAGATCTCGCGCTGCCGCCGCGCCCGCGGGCCGCTCTCCCGCATGAAGTCGTTCGTGAAGGCATGGATAAACCCCCTGACCATCACCCCCTTAGACCTCCCCTCAGCAAACCTCTTCTCCCAGCCACGCTCGGGCACTGGCTTGTCGAACAAGCCGGTAAGCCATGTCACGGGCCTCGCGGCACAGCATGTCGTGCCGCGCCGCCGTTGATGCTCAGGTAAAGCGGGACCGCTTTCCCGATCTGCAGCGTCCGGCGACTCCGCTTTCCACCGGGCCGGCCCGTCGCGACGCGTGTGTTGGAGGGCATGAAGAAGCGGACCTCCAGCGAGGCCCGGGCGGACGGCGTAGGAGCATGTGAACGTCGGTGCAGACTCCGCTGCTGGCCAAATACTATAACCGGAGGAGCACCAAGCCTCAGGACGATCGGAGTGATAAGAAATTAATGCTGCACCGTACACCCTACGCGGTCTTACATACGCGCCCAGGAGGGTGAGATTGGCGGTCCCCTGGTTGTAAGCAAGCCAGCAGTCAGCCAGCCAGCAGCCAGCCAGCCAGCCAGAAGGGAGCCAGCCAGAAGCAAATGTAGATTAGGACGAACCTCCAAAACGACAGTAGTATTCGCACCGCTCCCTCCCTACATATGTACTCAACCATATCTACCTTACGAAACAGGCACCATAATCCGATCAACATCCGGTCCGTACGCCCCACCACTCGTCGAGAAAACCACCGTATTGCTCGCCCCAGCCTTCAAATCCACATGCAACGAGCTGCTCCCAGGCGTATTCCCATCCTCCGTCGGCAGGAACGCCACCACTTTACTAACACCATTAACACTAACATTCGCAAACCTCTGCGCCGTGTTGCCGTTCTCATACTTGATACGGATTGTACTACGCGTAGCGACCCCGCTGCTCACGCCCGAGAAGGTCAACGTGCCCGGGCTTGCTTCGTCGCCGCCGATATACCCCACGGCCTCCCCGCCGCTGCACCCGGAACACGCGACTTCCACGGCCTCGCCGCCCGGTGTCGCGCTCTCGGCTTCGGGACTCGTCTCGCTGGGACCGACGGCCCAGGTGCCGGCCGCGACATCGGGTGTCCAGTTCACGTGGTTCGCCATCGAGACGCTGGTCCCATCAATCGTCAACGGCAGCCAGACGTACGTGCTGCGCATCAGGTTCGTCGAGACCCAGCGGTCGCCGAGGTAGACGGCACCATCCCCAAGCGGCAATATGTAATTAGTCTGCGAGTCGTACGTGTCGGAGCCGACGTCCGCAAACGTGGCCCACGCGGACCACGGCCCCGCCAGCGACGTCGCCGTGCTGTAGACGTTGTCGTTGGGGTCCCAGCCCGTCAGGTGCGAGCCGAACATGTAGTATGTGCCGTCGCGCTTGAAGAGGGCGGGCGCCTCGATGGAGTCGGACCAGAGGTAGACCGGCTCGGTCACGTTGAGGTAGTCGGCGCTGAGGGCGTCGATGCGGAGGCCGTTCTCGCGCTGTTTCCAAACGACACCTCTGATTAGCCTCGGGTTCTCGTTCCGTTCCTCTACTATTGAACCTTGAAAAAAGCAATACGACTGAAGAGGGGAGAGAGTGGGAGACTCACGTCCTCAGTAAGCAAATACCCGCTCCCATCCTCATCCCGAAACAGTCCCAAGTCCCTCGACTGGAACCCCAGCGGCTGGAAGCTGCCCCTATACGTATAAGTCCCGCAAACCTCGCTGCTCGTCGCGACGCCCACCTTCGCCTCGCCATAACTAATATCATCGATGTGCATGTACATGACGTAAAGCCCGGTGTCGTCGTTATAGATCAGCTTGGGCCGCTCGACGACGCGGTCCGGGCCCAGGTCGCCCACGGAGGCCGTCTGCGAGAGCAGCGCGCCAACGTATGTCCATTCCACGAGGTTGGTCGACGAGTAGCAGTTTATGTTCTGGAAGGCGCTGCCGTCGGTCTTGTCTTCGCCGATCAGGTAGTACGTCGAGCTCTCTTGTATGATGCCGGCGCCGTGGGCTTGGACGTGCGTGCCTGTGTTGGTCTGTTGGGACGAGATGAGTGATCAGTACTGAGAGGCTGGTGGGTGTAGGATAGGGGTGTGAAAAGGATGGGACTGACCGCTGTCCACGTCGCGCCGGGTATGATCTGTAGAGTAGCTTGCGCCGCTGTCGCTGCCAGCAGAAGCAGAGTTGCTCTTGGTGAGAACATCGTGCCTCTCATCATCGCAAACAGTTGTATCCAGAGCCAGATATCGTGCCAAACACAGCTCAAACAGAACCGTGAAATACCCTAAGCCTTAGGAGCGCGGCACGATCATCAAAGCAAGATCTCGGTACCTGCATGGAACAACCCTCTTATACCCAAGATCCTCTCCAGCCCACCCCCCGAACTAACCAGCCATCCAGCTGTCCAGCCATCCATCCACCCACCACGAGCATGCGCTCCCCAGCTGCACCGAGAACCGAAATACGAGAACCCAAGGTCGAACTCCAAGTCCATCTACCACCCATCTCGTATCGCGAGTATCCATGAGCCGCCCAACTCCACCCCGAATGCAGCACACCCCATTCGCGCGCAAACACGCCGTTTCACCAACCATCCGCCAAACTGGTCATATAGGCAGGCTTCCGGTTTAATAAGTGAAATCTCCAATACCCAGAACCAGGTGAAAATATCCGAGGAAGCCCGTCTGACTCGCCGCCCCCGGTGGATGATGGTAGGGTCGCACCGGTGGGGGAGAGGAGAGAGGAGAGAGGAGAGAAGCGGGGGCGGGCCGGTAGATCACGAGGACTGATGGACTGTTTGTGCACCCGTATTCAAGATCCATGCGGAGGTACCTTGTCACTGTCGAATTTCCGTGTCTCTCGGTTTGTTGGCAATGACAGTGCTATGCGTCGAAATGAGTATCTATAACAGATGGTTACCGATCTGCCAGGTCACCCGTCCAAAAGAGTGCCAATTCCCCAGTTATTCAATACTCCATTCGTGTGATATGCTTTGAATGTTATCTCTCTCATGTCTCTCTAGTACGGCCCGTAGCAGCTCGCAAGAACGTCGGTACGACGCAGTAGGAGGTAATATATATAGTAGGTGTATGGTCGTACATCGTTATACGCTCGACAAAGGGAAAATGTTAGGATCGTGCCGCGTCCATCATCTCTACGAGACTCCATGCAGTGTAAAGAGATTCGTGAGCCAGCCCTTCCCATGCCTCCAGTGGCAAAGTATATACAACCGATCCCTTTTATAAACCAGATCGCCCAGTGAGTGCTTCGCCCCAAGCAGCCTCTTGGATTTTGCTCTTTCATGCAATCCTTCATCCATCCACCTCCATTCGATCGACCATCGTACTTGCCGCAATGATAGTGCGCTCGTCGGGGTCGCGCTCTCGTTTATTCCCGTCTGAATGGTACTCTGCATTGCTATTCGCTTCCTTTTCGGGGCCACTGCCGGCTCCGCTGCACAGTCGATATTCGCCATCTTCTTTTCGCTCGATGATGGCCTCTTCCAAGGCCCATTTGGCTAGGAGACGGTCGACACCTAGTCGCGCCGCTTCACCTTTTTCCATATGTCTGCCCACGTGCTCCGTCCACTCGTCCCACGAGGTAGGCCCTTCGAAAACACTCGCGCAGTCCGGCTTAGGGCATGCTGAGCGTTGCGGGGGTTTGCGCCGGGTGACAAGACATGACTGTTGCAATTCCTTGACGTGAGATTCCCACTCCACTTGCAATTTGCTATCCCCCTTAGCAATAGCCTTCTTGATCGCAAAAGGGGCGTGCATGCGCCGTAGATGTTGTGTGAAGAGATCCTTGCGGTTGAACTCGTTTCCTTTGCCCTCGACCGTAGTCTGCGGGCATGATGAGCATCGATAGTACGTCAGACATAGGTGCTGCGAAGCAATATGCCTTTTCCACTCATTCTTGGATCCAAATGTGCTAGTGCACCCGGCGAAGGCGAAAGCACACGGAAATGGGCGTGTGTGAGCCGCAGCGATGTGTTTCCTCAGTGACGAAGAGTCCTTGAAAGGAGCGTGACTGCAATGACCACACCGAGTCTCTTGCTTGGGAGCTTGTTTCTGTAATGATCGACGCGGTTGCTTAGGTCCACCTGACGGTGTCATCGCGTCGCCATTGTAGTGTGCCTCATCCGCGCCAGATTCATTTGCTTCATGCGATGATCTCTCCTCGGGTTTAATATCCACTACACTGTCATTCCTTGCCGACGGCTGAACATGCGCAGAAGATGGAACATCATCGCTCAAATGTCGGACGTGGCTCAAAGCTTTCAGCTGTTCTGCCGCTTCCTGCATCTCAGCTGACTCTTCTACGTCCTCTTTCCTTGTAACGGCGGCGACCGGGGTAGTGATGGAGTATGTCAGGCCAGCCGCGACCGTGGATTGAGGCAAGCTCGCCGGGTCTGGTCTACCCATGCTATCCGGGCGCATCGGTGGTGTTTCGGGAGGTAATTGAGCATGGTTCGGATCCCGGTGGAGTACATCGTGCCGGTGGATAATCGGTGTGCTCGCCGCCACTTCGCGTGCCTCCAGAAGCATCCGCCCGTCTTCCATATCCTTTGCCGAGGCCTTGGCTACAGACATAGATCCTACCAGTCGCTTGTACAGGTGGGTCATGTTGTGTGAGTTGACATAGCCCAAGAAGCAGCAGACTTTGTCGTTCTGTACAACATTCCAGACAGGGACTGGCATTGATATAAGAAGCATGGTGGGTGGCCCGAGGAACATTCCCTCCACTGCAATTTTCGAAGCCGTGGCAGGGGCATTGTGAAGCCAATGATTGAAAGACGACATGTCAGGACTGGCCTCACCAACGAAAGTCGTGCAGACAAGCACTCTCGGCTCGTCAAAAGTCAAGTCGGCGACTGCGCTGGGATGGATAGAATGGTCTTCTCCCGATGTCCTTGGATCCCCATTGCCTACTGGATGGGGAGGCAGCAATTGAGGGGCTGTATTCGGAGACATGGGCGAAAGACCAAGGCCTTGACTTTTACCACCAGAGCTCATCGTATAGAGTACCGGCAGCTTGTCAGTAATCGATATTCCCTTGCTCGCCCCATTGGTGAGCCCGGAGTTCTGCAGAAGCTCATATTGGCGTAGCAGCGCAGCTTCTTGGTACAGATGTTCGGCTGAGAAGGGTCTCCCAGTGCTTAGTTTTACAAACGCCTCTGTTATGTTGGCGGTGAAAGATCGCGCCCCCGGGTCTCGAGAGTATTGTTCGGGGGTGCTCGTCGCAATGACTTGCTTGACGCTGCTGCCACCAAGTCCCGGCTGTTCCCTAGCAGCACAGGTGTCGAGGAGCAAGAGCATGTCGGACGGTGACTCTTCGAACAAGCAGCGGAAGCCGCTCCATTTCAGCCTCGGGGCATCTTCCCTTGCATTGCTGAAGAACAGTCAGAATAGCCCCCACGCAATGGCTAGACGCAACCTACCATGCCCAGAAGAGCTGATTATCCACACCGACATAGCCGTATCCCGCATAGTATACAATCAGCAAGTGGTCGGGGCCTGCCGGCTCGAGGAAGGTCGCCAGTCGGACGCCGAGCTTGATGCTGGGATTGGCCACCGGCGGTATATTCCAGCGATCGGTGCGGTAATTATATCGTTCGCGGAGGACCAGCTCGAGGGCGGCGAGGTCTGGCTCTACGGCATTGTCTTCCTCCCACCGCAGGAGTAGCACCGAGACATTGTTATAGGGGGATCTCTGGGACTGTCGGTAGATGAGCATGGCGGCATCTTGCAGGTGTCTCGCAAAGGACTCGAATTCGTGTCTCTCTGGAGGCGGTGGGGCCTCCTGGGCTTGATAATGCTGGACGGGTTGCAGCTTGAGGCCATCAGTCTACAATGAACCATGGCAAGTGGGCGTGCACATCACAGTGAAAACAGTGACAACATACGGGTTCATGGGCAATTGGCGGCGGGAGATGCGTCGGACTGGCCTGCGGCTCGACCTTGGGCGCCAGCCTTCTCTTCTTCGCGGCGGGCTGGTCCATCGGGTTGGGACACGGGGGGACAGAAAGGGACAGGAATTGAGCCGACAGGCAGATTGCAGAGACTCAGAGAGCGGCGGGAGGCATCTATGACGGATGCATCCGCAGACACTATTGACAATGGCCGAGGGCGAGGGCGAGGGCGAGGTTGTCGATGCGGGCAGCGGGATCAGGCTGGAAAGAAAGGCTACCGGCGAGGCTGGATTCGGGGTGTTTTGGTGGTTTGTGCTGGCGAGCGGGCGAGCGGGCGGGCAGGGCGGCAGGCGGGCGGGCGGACACTTACAGTCAGCCTGTTTCCTCACCTGGGCTGGGCTTGGACAGGCTGGAGTCACTGGTCTGGACTGGCTGGGCCTCGATGGGCGGGCGATGTAGGGTGGACGATGGGCACCACCTGCACACACCAGAAACACCAGACACACCTCCAATGGTCCAATGGTCCACTGGTCCACTTTTCCATATTCCCACTTCTGGAACCAATTGGAGTAAGGTAGACTCTCTGCTTCAATGCTGCCCCGAGGTACCTTATTACCATTCACCTTCCAGTTTCTTCAGCAACCCTGCCCAACAGAATGCAGCCCGTCTGTGATGCCAGCTGTCCATTGTCCATTGTCCATATCAACCGAGTTGTGCTGCAGCCGTCGGATGGTCGAACGGGCCAATGGGGGATGCAGGCGAATGGGGCGCAGCAAGCTTCTGGGCGAGGCTGTAGCCCTGTCATTGGTCAGCGCCGTGAAGCGGGGTGCCTGTGCCGCGGCTGCGTGTCAGCGATTGGCATCTCCCACTGCCACGCCCACCACGACGCTTGGACTTGGAACTTCTTGCTTCACCCCGCTCGACTCCTCGAGTGTATCGTGCTCGCATGACTGGCCATGCAAGTGCTCGGCTTTTTCCTATTTTGAACCATGGTTCTATCTGCCCAGTTTGTAGCTTGTCTTCCGGGTTACATATTCTTCAGCGGCAGACTCCAGAGCCCAGCGATGCATCCAGCCAGCAGGGTGCGGGCCAGCTTTTCCGCCGTACCAGTTCTGGCGATTCCAGTCAACGCATGCTCAAGACGGGAGTTCGTACTTCTAGCATTGACGAATTCTCTAGTCAAGCAATAACGATCATTTATCGGTTGATAAACTGCTGATAAACGGTTGGAACAGCATTCAAATGTTCAAATCTATTTCCATTCACTGATTACAACTCCCGGTTCATTGACGGTATTCATATCGTGGGAAACCCTCGAGCGTTCTTTGGCTGGTACCGGTACTGTAGATCCTGGTACGGCGCCCATTGGCTCTGAGCAGCTCTAAGTAGAAATTCACCCGGACGAATCAGATCGGCGCATAAGTAAAGAGTCAAAATTGGTAATATTCGATAATATTCAACTTGGGTATAACTACATCCAACCTAAGCAGCTACTGTTCAACTTGATGCTGTACCACTACTCCTATGTGCATATATTCCAGACTCCAGCAGTGTCTCAGCCAGGCTCATCGCCCCATTTCGGATCCGCCATTTGCCAAATCGCTTCAAGCAGCCACAATTTTCCGTTCTTCTTGCACTGCACCCTAAGGAAGGCACACCCAACACCTACTTGATGAGATGTTCAAGTGGCATACTTGCAACTTACGGAGAGGCTCGCGACTCCTCGTGGCTAAGTTGCTTTTCATGGCTAATGTTCTTTTCGGGATCGACCATGCCGCGCTCGAGCTTGACGATGGAGCGGTCGTTGTGCGTCTTCCACGCCGGAACACCAATATAGCGGATGGTGCCCGGGCCCGTGGCCTCGAACATGTCCGCCACCTCCTCTGCGTCTATGTTAGCATCTCGTCCTGGAAACGAGGTAGTGTCCATACGTACCCAGGGGTTTGTTGGCAGTCTCCGGGAACATGAACAGCACGTGCAGAAACATGGCAAAGCAGAAGACGGCGAATATGACGTAAACCTTCCAGCTAATGTTGGCAAAAGCAGGAGGCACGAAATAGGCCAGCGCGAAATTGAAAGCCCAGTTGCCCGAGGTGGCCAGAGCTACAGCCTTGCCGCGTACGCGGAGGGGGTATAGCTCGGCCGGGTAGGTCCAGGAAGCCGGGCCCCATGTTGGCGCGTAAGAAGCGACAAAGAGGTAAGTCGAGGCGATGACCGCCGTTGCGGCGGGTCCAGATATAACCATCGAAATGGCAGCGGTGTCGAATCCATCCGCCGGCGTCGCAGGTCGCGAGTATGTCGCAAATAGGCCAGCGTTGACGGCCATCCACAGGCACATGAAGAATGCGCCCACAAGCATCGTCGGCCGACGACCCCACCTATCCTGCCAGATCAACGCAGGTACCGTCATGACCACGTTGATGATGAACTGGATACCGCTGGGCAAAAGGTCACCGCCATCTCCAGCCATGGCGAAGACGTACGATATGTAGTACATCATCACATCTACGAGGTATAAGTCAGCGATGAGTCTTCTTGGATGCTATCGAAGAGTTCGGGGCCCATAAGCAGCCGGAGGCAGAACTCGTGAAACAGGCCGGGTTGGGGAGATTCGACATACTCATGCCCGTAAGTTGTGACCAGATCTGGGTGAAGAGGCCGATATGGGTGCGGTTGATCATGTTTGGCTTGACCAGCTCAAACCAAGAAACGTCGGCGTTCTGGCGCTCAAAGTCGACAACCTCCCTGATCTCGGCCATTTCCTTGGCGACGATAGGGGCGTTCGGGTTCCCCTTGCCATGCACCAGAACCAGCACCTCCTTGCACTCCTCCCAGCGATCCTTCTTGGCAAGCCATCTCGGCGACTCGGGCAGTACCATGAGACCAAGAAAGAGTAGGGCAGCCGGGATCATCTGCAGTCCCCACGGCAGCCGGAAAGCCGCCTCGCCCGCGATGAAGCTGGATCCGTAGCACACGAAAAACATTATAGCGATGCCCCAGGTGATGGCCCATTGCTGCATTCCTATCAAACGGCCTCGCTTCGACGGGGGGGAGAGCTCGGAGATGTAGACGGGGACCTGGGCGGAGCAGATGCCAACGGAGAGACCGTTGATGACACGGCCGACGATCAGCATTGGGATGTCCTGGGAGGCGCAGACAAGGATGGAGCCAATAACCCTGGATTTTTCCCAGCGTTAGCACGTGCCGAGATTTACATGTATGTCGTGTCTGTAAGGGGCTGCTCACCAGATGACTGCGCCGATTTGGATGGTCGTTTTTCGTCCAAAGTGATCAGACAAGAACCCCGAAACAAGCGCACCAAGCCATGAACCGCCTGGCATGGCGGCGACGATTCCTCCTTGTAGCACATCATCTGGACCTTGGCACTGGCCGGTCACTGGGTTGTTTCCCTGCCGAGATTCGTCAGTCACTAATTTCTTCGAACCAACCTTCGTAGATGGTAGAGGCAAGCTGACTTGAGCGTTGAATTGGCACTTGTAGGGTTGAGTAGCGATGATGGCGCTCATAGAGGATATATCAAAGCCGAAGAGCGCACCGCCTGACACACGTGTTAGACTTCAACGAATGAACTCGCATTAGGGTTGCAGGAGCAATGTGCGTACCGATGACGGACGTGGCCGCGATAACATAAATGTTGCCAAACTTCTTCATTGTGTCTGAGACCCCTCGTGGTCAACGACCATATAGGTAGGTAGGTATACTGTAGGTTCTAGGTACGGGATTCAGAGGACAGTAGGGTAAGAGAAATGGAGAGGCGAGGTGTCCCGACTGTCGGGTGCCGGTGGTGTCGTACACTCTTCTATTAAAGAAATAAAGGAGCTTGTCAGCCAAGACGGTCAAACCTTCCCTCTTCCCTTCGAACCCATGGCGCAAACCCTGATCCCAACCTTCCCCTCCGGAGCACTTGACCAACTTGACCAACTTGACCGCGTCCTGCAGCGTGGTTGGCCAGTCACTGTGCACGAGTGGTAAGAAGGAATCATAATCGGCGCGATCCCCTCACGCTGGTCAGAGCAGAGCGAGCAGGGGCTCTGCTAATCTGCGAAGCTCGTTGGCTCTCTCAACACAACGCTCCACGATCACTCGGGCCACCGACAAGGTGAGAACCTGGTGAAGCTTCCCACTGGCTGGCTGGGCACTGGGCAGTGGACCGCCTCCACATCTCCAACATGGAGTCGCGCGGAGAAGCATGGGGTTATGGGAATAGTGGCACCACAGCCGTGGAGACTCCACGCGGGCACAGATGGATCCCAAGTTCCAGACACGAGCACTATTCGCGGACAAATGAGGTTCATGAATGACTATGGGTCAGTGGGACTGTCATCTGACGAGTGGAATACTTCCGTATTGGTTCGGCGGAATGTTGTTCGAGTGTTTGATACGGGAATTCCGAGTCGTGCGTTATTACCAGGCAGTTGCAGCCTGCCAGGCCCGACTGGCTGCAGCGTGCGGCAGTGGCACAAGGCTGGTGAGATGAACGGGCCGACTGGAAGCAGCTACCTATATTCAGTCAGGATCATCGGCCAACGGTTCAAACCTTTTCTGAATCCATCACATCGGAATCTTCGTGCCCACGGCACGGCTACTGATCCGACGGTGGTTCAGTCGACAAGTTATGGATGGATCGTCGACAGTCCTCAGAGGCTCAGACTGCACGGGGGCAAGGTTGAGTTTTGACGTACCTACTCGAGTCGATGGCTCTGTCAGCTTCGACAGCCGAAGGCTCGCTGGTGCTTGAAGAGCTGAACATACATGTATGCAGAGCACCGGCACTTGTGCCTGCCGCGAAATGACCAAGATGATGTTGGTGGCGTCCGGGGAAGTTGGAACTCTTGGCAGCGACGATTGTCTTGAATGCGACGACCCCGCCCCCCATCGTCGACCCCAATTCTAGCTCACCTGCACTCGACGGACCATTGAGGAGTTAACGTTACCTTGACCAAATAAAACTACCAGAACTACACGCAGACTTATATTGCGGAATACAACGTGACTATACCTGATATAGTAGAAAAGCCCGACCTGTTTATGTCATGATCCGCCTAATTCTGCTCAATCAACTTTAGGTAATCACCTTGCATACGTCGTTGTCCCAGGGGCAGTTGACTAAAAGGGCCAACAACCACCTACTCGACGCTTGTCATTCCACTACACAATACTCTGTCAACTGTCTAATCAACTGGTAGACTCCTGAGACCATGATATTGTAGGGTACAAAGTCCTCAATTCCCTTCTGTAGGCTATGAGGAATAAGAGGACGAGCTGCAGAACTTATAAGTCACTTGTCCCTGTTGCATCCTCCCGCACTTGCACCTGCACGACATCACTCAGCACACCTACGAGCTTGCAGATATTTGCACGTGCAGAGTAAGTACATGTCGATGGGCATCATATTCGGCGCGTCTCAGACTCGAACCGTTCCCTTTCTCCTTGTTTCCCCCTTAGCCACGTGATCGTCATGTTTGTACAGTATAAGTGATGGATGATTGATTAATAGGCTTCAACGTCTCAGCAGCAGTACAGTCCCCCAGCTACCATCTGGCTCCCATCTATTGCCCTGGACTCTCCCTGGAGTACACTGGGACATAAACTAGGTAGCTAGGTAGGAACGAAAAGTACTTCTAGTGGTACTAGAAGACCATACATTTCGAAGTCAATTCATACCTCAAGGGCTCGCAATCTCATCACTCCGTGTCCAGTCCTTCTAAGACTAACGGGCATTGTGCGGTCGTGGCGTCCGGTGTGCTGATGTTGCCTCGTCGCATTCGCGATATCGATTCGGGACGACGCATCGCTGACGACCCGCCGCCGTGGAGGCTGAAGCGGCCTGACTAACTCCCCAAAGGTCCAGAGTGACGGCCACGATCGCTAAGCTGTTGTCGACTGTCCCTAATCCGGATCTCCAGGTTCTCCTCCAGGTTACCGTACAGTATAAGTGAAGCTCAGCCGCGATTCGCGAACCTTCATGTTCCCAGAGGTCACTGCTTACTCAGTGACCTTAGATGGATTTTACCATTGTTCGCGCCTTGTCAAACGACCAAGCCCTGCGGCGACACTGACCAATGTTATTGCATCAATCAGATAGTAAATCGTTGACCATGTCAGTTGAGGAGTTCCCACTCATCAGACCAACGCAATTGTGTGTCGGTAGAGTACACCGCTTCGTCCGGGAATTGGTAGGTTGGCGCCCTTGTCCACGGCTGGAACGACCGAGAGTTCGCGTCCCTCTCGGCCCTTTGAAAACAGGCGATCCATTACTCGGTGGTTCTTTGGAACATGTGTAGTCGATATCGCTGGCGGATTGATCCTGATAACAGTCCCACAGTGGACACCCAGGAGAGATGAAGGGGGGCAAATGTCAACGGGCCGATGGCTCAACGACTCGGAATGTGATGCTTGAGCTGTGTGCGGTTGGTAAGCTACTCTGTGCTCCAACATAACCACTCCTTATGTCATGGTCCAAAGAGGTTGAAGAGTTGCCTTGCCTTCTTGGTGTGCCTGCTTTAACAACATGATTAAAGACACTACCGCCGCACGGGGCCACCGAAACAAAAACCAAAGGCTTCCTTCTGTAGAGGTTTGGCTAGGAGTGGCTAAGTCCTTACTCAATGGTCATTTCAAGCCCCTCGCAGGATGTTGGTACGGCGACTTGAATGTAGAAGTGGACGCTGATAGGCAAATGCTTTTACTGCCGTGGGTTTTCGAGAGACCCTAAAGTGGTCTATACTACAAGTGTCCAGGATAGTAATGCTTAGCGGGTCCACGTATGTCGGGGGCAATGGTAATAGGTAGAACTTTATACGATAAGAACTTTCTCATAGAACTTTTTCATCATAACGTTTCTATTAGGCATGTCTTTAGCATAGGAGTTACAGGCATTATATTGGATTCAGACCCATAACCTGGAACCGTTAAACATTACCATCCTTGCTAGCTGTAAAACAGGAAGAGGAAACCCACAAGGGATTGATTCCTTCATCTATATATTGGTAAGTTTTGAAAACAACTAGCTATATGGATATGCCATATAATACTGGATCAGTACGTCCCACGCAGCTGGCTATGGGGTACGCCAAAAATATTTAGTATCTAGCAATATCCTTATTTACTGTGGGCAGCCATCTCGGCAACCCCTTCGTTGCACGTCACAAGTCTCTGCCCCACGGCACTCGCCTGACGTGACATCATGCGTAGCGGACAACCCGTAGTTATGTGGCCGTCGGGGGTGTGGAGGTTTGGCGAAGCCCTTCCTATAAGTCAGTGAGTATTTCCAGTCGCATATGTTGCTCCCATTCAATCCCACTTCCCTCACACAACTTCGCACCGGAAAACCGTACACAGATCCCGCATAACAACGTTCCACGATCCTCTGCTGAAATGAAGGTCTCACTCACTTCCGTCCTTCTCGTGGCTTCTTTCGCCACACTGGGCTTCGCTGCCGGCCTTCCCGACGTCAACGAACAAGGCGTGGGCAAGGTGAGACTCGCCAAATCATATGTATCTGTCGGAAAAGAGACTGACAGCGTGCCAGCGTTCCGTCGGTCTTAAAGAATTCTTCGCGGAGAATCAGGACTTGATGGAAAACCCTGACGGCCATCTAGTGTGGGACTCAGATAAGGAGAAGATGAGTGTCGTCACACCCAAGAATCAAGTTGTCTCGGACAAGATCGACGGCAGCGACGAAGAATACCTCAACAACTTCTTTAAAACAGCGGACGAAGCGAGAGGAAAGGGTGACACGCGCGCGCGGAGGGATGTTCCGCGCGTTGGGACAAGCAAGATCAGACGGGGCCAGCCGAACCCCGTTTGGCCAGACAAGAGGGATCCGTGGGAAAAACGCTGCACAGTATTTTCTTACTTGAATCGTTGTACGTCCCATGATTATTGTCAAGACCAGACTGGAGGCAAATGCCCCTTTTGCATTTGGAAGACATCCGCCTGGAGGGTGGGGGTGAAGGATACCTACTGCTGGATCAGTGAGACGCGTTGACGTTAAGTTGAGCCTCTGGATTTGAAAGCTTCTTCTTTGAAGACGTCGTCTCTCTAGCACTCAAGAAGTCTACTGCACGTAAAACAATAACATCCCAACGACCACATAATTCATATGCGCTTTTCCCAGGAAAACCATCGAAAATCGACAACTTGTCATCTTAGGTCATGAGGTAGGCAGCCTTAGCCTGAGCTGGGAAACCCTGGACCCGTGCTATAATCCCGGCGCGGAGGCGCTTGTGGTAAACCCAGGTTGTCGAATGGCCGCCTCGATCCATTATCCGGAGCCGACGAGGTCATCCCGATGTCTCGGGCATGACACTCTGCTTGGGATTGCCTATCCTGCCGTATTGAAGCGCGCCAACGCACAGTCAGCGATGTCCACCCGAAATGCGATTCATATCTTCCTTCACACGATCTGCGGGCCTCTCCGTGGACTTCCACTGACAATCTGTCAGTGGCAGGCACGAGACGTTATTTAATATCAGTATATGCTACTCTCTCATTTGATGCGCCCGATTAATTGACATCACCGGCTTCTTCAATCATAAACCGTGCTTAACAAGAATTCGAAATTCATTGGTCGACGACTGTCAGGACGGGAATCCGGCCGTTAGGTGGCGATGCCGGATTCCGTGTTTGTGTGCCAATGAGAGTTTTGGGAGGTGAATTGCACAGCCACAGCCCCCAGGTGGTCAGGGATTCTCGATCTGATGATCCCAGAGGATTGTCGGATTGGTGCCCAATGAACACACCGAATTCGATACGAACTGATGTGGGCTATCAAGATCTGTAATGGAGCAGAAGAGGCGACGCCAACAGAATAACTGGAGAAATGTGGTACGCGCCACAGAAGACCGAGATGGGATGAAAATAGAAACGCCCAACTTTGAACTTTCATGTTCCGAGGGAGGAGCGCCCCTGACAGAGACCACTTAAGCTTGGCGGTTGGGCAGACATTGGACGGATCTGGTTCGCCATGCGACCATGACATCTTAATGTTGACAGCTCAGCCACATCATCTTGATAATCAACCTTGGAAGCCAGTCAAGCTCAATGCTGCCTGCCCGGGCGCATCCCTTTGCGACTCAACAATGCGATGCCATCAAGACGGTATACGGAGTCCTTCAAACACCTGTGCAAAGTAAATACATAAAGAGCTACCTAACAATTACGCCAAATACGATATCGACCCGACCATCTGTCACCTACAGGTTCTTACCCACAGGGCAGTGGCGCATCGGTCCCCACTCCCCAGTCCGTCCAGCCTGAGCCTAGCCTAGGGGGCCTGACAGGAACTGCGTCACCGGACGACAGGGCTAACCAACGCGGGTAGCGGGGCCTGCTTCTGTTGATGAAAGCACTTTTCCCTCCTGCTTCCAGTCGCGCTGTCCCTAAACCTCCCTACCACACCTGAACACATCTCTTTGACATAGGAACACGCGCGAAATGGATTTCGAGGGACATCTGAAGAGGAAGGACACCACCAAGGGTCCTCCACTGAGGATTTTGAGTTTGGGTGAGTTGAAACACCCCCACCATCCGACACATGCACGCCCTGGCCCGTGTCTCTCGTCAATCTTGTCGCGCGAGCACAGATCGCAGCCTCCACAGGGAACCTCACTGACGTGGGCGCTTTGCGCGGGGCAGATGGCGGAGGAGTACGAGGCTATTCCATGCTTATCATCATCCAAGAGTTGATGCACCGAACCTACGTCGAGATAGAAGGACGAGCACCGCGACGCGACCAGATCCCGAAGCCATGCGACCACTTCGACTTGATCGTCGGAACCGGAACCGGCGGGTTGATTGCCATCATGTTGGGTCGCCTGCGCCTGAACCTGGAACAGTGCAAGGAGCTGTATGTGGAGATGACCCGAATGGTTTTCGAGACGGACAAGACGATTGCCGGCATTCCCTACCGCTCGACCCTGTTCAAGGCCTCGATGCTTGAACACGCTATTAAGGAAGCCGTCAGAGTACACACCTACTCTGACGATGAAGGAAATGATGCTGTCACTGGGGACCTGGTCAGTCCATTATCTACAACCTCTAGAACCAGTGCTGTTCCTGGTCCGAGGCGACACCAGAGCAATGCCAGTACCGTCAGCTTCAGTGCACGAAGCCCAAACCAGGGCCGATCACCATTCAGGGGTGGGTCGGGCGACCCCAACGCAAAGTTGTATGATTCTAGAGAGGACAGGACAAAAACGTGAGTGCACGCGCTCTCGTTCATTGCAGACATCAAAAAGGTGTTGGCTGACACTGCTGCTAGTGCCGTTACCGCCATGTATAAAGGTACTGGCAGGGGTGGAGAACCAGCAGTTTTACGGTCATACGACTCAAGGAAAGAACCGGCCCCTGAGTACGATTGCAAGATCTGGGAGGCAGGCCGAGCGACTTGTGCCGTGGGACTGGCCTTCAAGCCGGTCAAAATTGGACAGTCAGTGTTCCACGACGACGGCGCCGGAACTTTCAATCCGTCTCCCTTTGCACTCGACGAAGCCACCGTCAATGAGTGGCCAGGCCGAGATGTCGGCGTGTTTATCAGCGTAGGGACCGGCAGACGCCCGAAGAGCACCGACCAGAACCAACATGTGTGGTACGAAGGCTTCATGGGTGACTACGTGGAGGCGAGGAAGAAGTTGATTGCCAAAATCGAGGGCTGCGAAGTTATCCACGAGCGCATGAAAAAGGATCTCTTAATCAAGCGAGGTGTTAACATCGAGAATTATTACCGATACAATGTCGAAATAGGGGTTGGCGAGTTCGCCATGAATGAATGGCATCGGTTGGGCGAAATCAGCACCGGCACGAGGAGATATCTCTCCAGGGAGGTCGAGCAGAGGATGGTACAGGAATCCTCGACAAAACTCGCCAAGATACATAAAGCAAAGGAACGGTACAACCGATTCAGCAATGGTTCTGAAACTGTTGCACCGCCGCCATCCATGGGCTCAATCAATGCGCCGTTGGCAGTTGAGCTCCCGGGCGACATGCCGTCATTTTCCCCGAGTCACAACCGTCCTCCAAGCCGGTCGTCATACGATTCTGGAGTGGACCGTCTCTCCATCCCTGGATCAATACCTCCCAACACCCCGTCGCCCCGTAGCTCTAATGAGCGCTTCCAATCCCCGAATAGTCACAAGGCGTCTTCTCCACCTCAGCTGGCTACAATTCCACAATACAAGCCTCCGTCCCCCACTCGCCTGTCAGAAGTGACCAAGCCGCCCCCAGACGACGATCCTGATCGTTTGATGGGCCACGCGCCCACGCCATCGCAGTATCGTTATGCTTCGGGCTCAGACAAGGTCGCAATCACCGGTGCCGACGAATACTCACGCAAACAGCAAAGTGACCCATTCACGGCACAGCAACACTTACCACACCGTATCGAGCCACCGCCCCTTCCCCCAAAAACTCCACTACCCGAGACTCAGTCAGCTGGCGGCCGGCGGCCAGGCCCGCCTGGTCAAGCGCCTCTACCGTATCCTATGGATGATGACAGGCCGCCTCCAGCTGTTAATATGGCGATGAAACCGGGGTTCAGGGGAAGGTAATGCGTTCTTGCAAATACGTTTTGGGGCGATCACCTTGAGGTCGTGTGAGGTCAGGGGATGTTGTAGTTGCTGTGCGCTCAATTCGGCGCTTACGACAGTTTGTGTACGGGGTGGTGACGTATGTTTATCGTTGAGAATACCATTTGCATGGGAGCTGTCCATTTCTGGGCATAGTTGTAATGATATTTTTACGCTCAGGTCCCGCCTATCGGGACTATGGATACCCCTTTTCCTTTCGAATGAATACATGACGCTTTCTCTTTTATATTATAGAAATTCGAAGCAGCAGTGTCACCACATGATCTCATCTTACGTATTCATCAACATGTGATCTGCCTACCCCCTAGGTGTGCTGCAAACCGACCTGGTTTCTTGGAGCGAGAGAAAGGGCGTATGGCGGCTGCTCCAGCCCCTGGTTCCCAGCACAGCGGCTCACTGGGGGTTTAGACATCATTGCGCATCAGCAGCCCCATTATCCTCCAGGATAGGTAGAGTTTGCGGTCTTCGCGTGATAGGAGGGTGGCATAGCAGGACCTGCCACCGCCTACACCAAATGCTCGCCCTACCACTCGGCCAACTTGTAAACCCAACCCCTCTCAGACCATAAATACCTACCTAACCATACTCTTCCTTTCTTCACAATCTTCCAGCAACCACTTTCCGCCAACCACTTTTCCTCTTCCCACAACATCACGAGACCAGCTTGTGCCTAATACCAAGCCTCACCTCCATTCGCTAGCTCTGCCAGCATCGCCTCTCATATCACGCCGTCGATATGGAGTCCAGCGCCATTTCAACCAGCTTCTACGCTGGTAGAGGTCAGTAGAAGGCTCCTCTGGACACCCAAGCTGGTCACTAACCTTCAAGCCAGAGAGACCGACTCACCTCCTTTACAGGGACCCCTTCGGACTACCGGACAGTATTATCCCACCACCCGAATACTTCCAGCTCTCAGCTGGCTTCCCCGGACGTTTCGGGCCGATCCCTCTATGGGGCTTTGACCAACTTGACATGGACACTGCCGTCGCGGTAGGACCTCCCGACAACGACGACGAAGGCGACGACGACGACGATGAAGACGATGATGACGATGACGATGCAACCATTGTCCCTGATTCCCCTGGTAGCCGCAACTCTGTGGGAGAACATACACGTGTGAAGGATAACAGCGCTACGAAGCCCTCGGGCGCGTCCTTGAACCCAGCCGCGCCTGTTTTCAAATCTATGTCGGCAGTAAACCGAACTCCCTCGAGCGAGACCATGGAAAAGCCCCCGCTGGAACTCACCTACTCAGCCAAAGTAGACACCGCAAGCACATCAAAAATTCAGATCACCAACATCCCACCGCGATGTGACGTTCACGCCTTGATGGCCAAGATCCCTAACAGAGATGAGGTCGTGTCTTGCACACTTACCCCGCGTAAATATATCACGCAAGGTTGCGACGCAGAAGTAATTCTCACCCACCAAGCCGCAGCCGCACTATACAGGCTGGCAGCCGAGGGCAAGTTCAACATCGGCAGCTACATCCCGGATGTTCGCTACGCCGGTGGAAAGTACAAGGCCAGAGGCATACATAAAGACAGGAGCAAGGGAAGAGGCAAAGGGAAGGGCAAGGGAAAAGGCAAGGACAACAGCGAGAAGCAAGCGTAAGGGACGAGCGTGGCCCCTTCGCCTGTAGAGCTTCAATTGGGAGCCCGAAAGGGCGTTCCATGCGGTTTCTGCCGGCTAGGGGCCAGCTTGGACCTCACGTGAGCACCCCGTTCTTGTTCCCGGCTTTTGAGCGTCTACCACTTAATCGGGCAGAGGGTGAATGAGGTATGCAGCTCCGGTGCACCGCATATCTTCTCATTGGCACAATGCTAACTAATCATGTAGGGCTTATTCGCATCGAATCATTGGTCTCATCGTCGACATTGCGAGGTCTTATTCACACACTGACGACGTCGTGTGCCACGCATGCGCATATCAGGCGGTGAAGACGAATAGTTCTCTGTCGATACCTCTCCCTCGAAACCTCTCTCGACACCTCTCTCGACACCTCTCTCAACACCTCTCTCAACACCTCTCTCAATACCTCTCTCTTGGTACTTTCCCGCTTTTCACGAGAATCCTTTTTTCGTGAGTGAAAGCTAAGCCTGGAATTGTGCTTCAGCATTTGATTTTTCGGCACCACTGACCGCGCTTCTAGCTATTACTCTTCTTCCTCCAGTTTGGTTGTTAGGGAAAGAGAACCGCGAGGCTGCACCACCAATAGGGCTCAGATAATCGCTTGGGAGAAAAGCAAGACGTAGCAAGCACGCTGCCGTACGTAACTCGTGGACAATATTCTGGGAGGCAATCTGGGTCAAGTCTTGCCGCTCCGCTGCTCACGATATAAGGCGGCGTTTGGGGGCGGATGATCTCTGGCTCGCTGCCATACTTTCAACGAGCTACGCCTCCGTTCCTTCCGTGGTCGACACCCTACGCTTTCGCCATCTGGCTTCCTTTTCTGTCGTATCGTTCTGCGACTGGATCCTCTTTCTTCACCAATTTGGGTTTCACGCATTTCCCAAACGACACCGGAGGAAAACTTCGCATCGACGCGGCGATTATACTTCGATAAGTAACTACTTGCTGGACTGCTACTGGCGTTAGGGATATTTGATATTGATCAGAATGCGACTGAATAAATGCTCAAGTATAAAGTCTTAAAAATCGTCTCTTCGTTTTTATACTCTGTTGTCTAGTCACTTCGATGTTCTCTTGCCCACAGAAACATATAACTGCGTGCAAGTCACGGATGCCACGAGAAGATGTACGCGGAATAGACCATCGAGTTTTCTGCGAGCTCGACAAAGTCCCACATGGCCCTTCGCTACTCCGAGCAATTAGAAAGCACCAACGCGACGCCAAAGCCCTTGCAGAAACTCTAGCCGAGCACGATCCAATGATGCTCGCAGAACATCGAGGCATCTCTCTCGCGCAAGACACCGAAGTATCCTACGAAGATGGAGCCCAGACACCTCCTCTGGTTGGTGAAGGCCAGGCTTCCAGCGGCGCGAAACAAATCAAGCAGTCTTCACTTGATTGTTCACAGCGACACGGGATCAGAGACGACCGTGAAGGACAGCGGCGCTACGATGACCACTAGCGCATTGAACCCGTCCGCTGCCGTGTTCAACTACCTTACTAGCAAGCCGTGGCCGAAAAAGCTTCGGCTAAGGACATCAACGACGATGCGAATGATGCGCTTTGGATCACTGAGCTTTCCTTCCTAATGACTACTACGGTCTTGCTCGGTTCCATCCGACGAAAGAGACCGGCTAAGTCTCCACATCAACCCGCCAAATGCTACGCACCCATATACTTCGGCCGCGAAGCTGGTATTCCTCGCGAGTGCGTCACACAGGGCTCAGACGCCAAAATCATCTTGACAAAGCGAGCCGCGAAAGTTTTCCACAAGCTGGCCAAGGAGGTTGGACTCAGCATTGGCAGCTACATGCCCGTGGTCAGCTATGTTGTCCGTAAAGGGGAATCAAGAGCAGAGGCAGGCGGCGAGCGCGAGGAGCGAGCGTGAGGAATCAGCGGGGCCCTTTCGTCCGTAGGGCTTCAATTGGGAGTCCGAAAGGACGTTCCATGCGGGCCTTGCAGGTAAGGGGCCGCTGCTGGGGCCTGACGTGAGCATCCACTTGCATCCACGACTTCAGACAACCTGGACCACTTGGCTAAGCAGATGGCGCAGAAGGTACGGGGCTCCGATGCACCGTCTGTTTTTCTTCTGTCACGATGCTAATCAATTCGATAATAGCTTTCCCCTCGTCGCAATGCCGTTTTCTCCATCGACATCGATCATCATCAAGCGGTTACAGCAACGAAAGAACGGGTCTCACCAGCACATATCTATGCAAGTAAGAACGACTCTGCTTCGGCGTCCACCAGAATTTCTTTTTGTCGTAAGTAAGAACGAATTATAAACTATCAAGCTCTGCGTTTATTTATGTCAAGATCGACCTCGACTTTTGCGCCAACGCCTTCAATACCTTCTGAGTTGGCTTCCGCTGGTGTGCATCTCCGCTGTGTAGAAGTTGAGGAAGCGGTGATCCAGATCATTCGAGCCGCCAGAGACTTCCGTACGTCGTCTTTAACACCATATTGTCAAAACATTGGTTAGTAACTCATAACTCGATTAGCCATCGTCGAGCAACCATCATAGTTGATCGCCTCGATCGTTGACCTAGCATACTACAAATACTTACAAGTTTCTGTCCCAGCTAGAAGAATCACTACCGGATACTGCACATTGAAAGATACACACTTAAAGCCTTCGGAGGGATATGAAGTAACAGTTGAAGGCATGCCTTACTGAGGGATTGCAACTCACCATCCAACCCAAAACGTAAAATTCAATCCGTCACGTTGTCTTGAATGCCAAACACAGGTGCTGAGTCTACATTAGGATCACTTGAAATCAAAAACTCTCTCCCAAGATCACCCACAAGTAGCAGAAGCACGCTGAACCTTTGGCTCATTGTACATTGGCAATCGTCGGATATCAATGGGAGCTCTGTTTCTGGCACATACACATACCTCCAGGGAAGGATGGGCAAAGGAACCGTACATGGGTTCTATAGGCCACTAGACATCGGCTCATCGGATTGGATGCCTTATCCTTGAGAAGCACGTCCTCCTACAACTCTGACCGACTCTTCTCCAACATTTTAATATTCTCTTCTTTTCCTTCCCGACTTTTCCCTTTCCGACTACTTACAACAACGCATCTTCTTGCTGCTCGGATCGACCGGAGATTTCTACCCGTTCTGGAAAAAGGAGTGACGCGAGCTCACGCGTTCAGCTTTTCGTTTCCTGACGACGTGATATTGACGACGTGCTGCCCGTCCTGTTGCGACGACGAGGACGTCGTCATTTTCCCCCGCCGGGGGTGGGGAAGGGACTTGTTAACAAGCACGGTAGCAGGCACGGTAGCATCAGATAGACGTCCACATCTGGAAGACCTTACGTCTTCCAAAAGACCAACAATAAACAATCATCTAAACAACGAACAAGGTCAGCAGTGCCTTGACGGCGAGGGTGTAATGAGAGAGTCCGTCGACAAAGTCCAGCTGGTAATGCCGATGCTTCATAACCTAAAGCCTTACGTAAAGCCTGAGGAAGGTGTCGAGGATGAGGGACATCCGGTAGAAGAAGTATCCCGGCGGGTAAGTTAAGGAGTAAGTTTCACTTATGCAGATAGACTTATAGTGAATTCTGGCCAACACTATTACTTGCGAAGCCTTTGGCGGCACGAACACAGTTCTCACCCAGGCTGGCTTTTGTCAAGAGATGTGTTCGTGATCGGCTTGTTTTTCAGTATCGCCATGGTAGCTCCGTTGCATTCTCCTCACTGGGTGATCTGCCGCTTAGAACTTCAACTGAAGGTGAAGATGCGCCTTCAAGCGGCCTGTGCCCTTGGATAGAGACTTATCGTGCCACAGAAGACCTCTGCTTCTCTGCCAGGATACCAGCGTTGTCAACCCTGACCTGCTCCGTCCAAAATTTGACCTCGACTCCGAACTCCGTAACCCCCTGCGGTATGATCGCGCTCGTGCTATTGGTCCAGTCCTCAAGGACTACGTTCTCATCGGTGCAGTACCACAAGATTGTATACGCTTCCTCGTGTGGGGTTGGGACCTGCCTGGACTGCGCGAGTGAGATCAGGTGGACGGTGGCGTTTATGGAGCCGTCTGGCAGAGCCACTTGGGTGATGTTGTCGATGAAGGAAAGTGGACCGAGCAGGGATAGCCACAGGCCTTCCATACAGGCGTTGCAGAAGTTTGCGGTGTAGATATCCCGCATAAGACACATGTTGTTGGTCGGGCGGTAGGTGGTTTCGTTGATGTCTGAGAATCTGTTCCAGGGCGTGGGCTGTCAGTAAAGTGGGGAAAGGGGTTATTGAAGGGTGAGTCCAGGTGCCACTTACGTAGGATACAATCCATGATATCCCAATTCAAGATCGAATCTGATCGCAAGCAAGTGTGAGCCAGTGACCAGGTTCCCGAAAGTTCATAAATCACTCACTCTTCTCCGTATTCCATAACCTCAAGGTTGCAAAGCTGCGCGCTGCCTTCAATGGCCTCGTTCAGTAGGCTGAACTTCACCTCGTGCTCTCCTGGCGCCAGCCCCTTGTCCATCTTCATGTTATAGATGTACCTATCCACTCCGACTTCTGGTTTTATCGCCCAGCCAACGTCCTTTCCATCGATCTCGGCCCGCAAGTCGGTGCTGGCAGTCATGCCACTCACGCTGAACTGGAGCAAGTAAGAGGCATATGTGCCCGTCGAGACGAAGGTCTGGCTCCAGCTTTGGGTCGCGTTAAGCAACGTCCAGGGGTATGCCTGGATAGGCATATTGGACCGCTGAATCTTGGGCTCGGTGGCTGGCTCGGTGTACCATAGCTCCCAAGGAACGGAGTCGGTGGACTGCGCCGAGTTGACACCGCGATACACCTGCCCCCCGTCGTATTCCTCGCCGACTCCGATGATTGAATGACCTAGCTCGTGCCGAAGAACTGCGGGCCCATTAATGGGAGAGACAGTTACGGTGCTACGGGTTTTAGTGAAGGTACGAATTTGAAAAGGATGAAGTCTCTTACGTGAATGTACCGCCGAGCCCTCCATATAAAGGGTCGTTCCCTAGAAGAATAGGAAAGTCACAAGCATCTGTTGACTGACATGCAGCGCGAGCCACCTCGGGCTTATCGTAATACACACCACGCAGCTCGGTGCCATCGCGGTAAAGCCCGTAAACGGTGCTGCAGCAGCATCAGTATCATGAAAGGAGTATATACATCAAACGCAATAGGTGGACTTACTCCAGTGGCTGCCCGCCGACGCCTATGCCGCTCTTTCGAGATGTTAGACTGAGTAATATCAGGTCCCATGTATCGCAAAGCGCGACGTACCTCGGCACTCGATGAGAAGCCAGCCCAGAAGTTCATCAGAGGAAGAACACTGGCATAGGTCTGTCCGTCCGTAAGGTTTGCGGCGAGGAAGAGGGCATCGGCGAAGAACTTGTCCTTTTCATCCTCGGTATCTGTGTGCGTATAGCTTTTGGTCAACCGAGAGGCATTCGAGCTGAAGCAAAGTGACGTATACTTACATCCATCGCCAAAGAAGATGAGATCGATGCGATTGCTCGACGGTCCATTTACAATCAGGGGCTGGATCTCCAGAGGGGGCGCCGGAACGTCCTGTCTTGCCTGCAGATACGGAACACCGTTGACCTTGTGGTCTGCGAAGCTCCCCTCCCACTGGTGCTCACAGAACTGTCCCAGAGCAACACCAGTACTCGCAGCCAAGATGAAGAAGCTTTTGGATGTCTTCATGATGGAGGTGCTGACAGGTCAAGATCCAGAATACAAGTGAAAATGGTCGGGCTACCGTTATCTACCCTTATCACCGGTGAAGACTTACTCGCAGATCTCACTATTTTGTACAGCATCAGTCCGGCTACCCCAATGTCATGTGACTGGAGTTGTGTATCACCTTCCGTAACAGTCCCGAGTAACGTCATGCCAAGAGAGAAGGTACCACCTACCTATATTGGTGTGTATGCATGCATGTGGTATCAACAGCTGGCGTAGCACACGCAACCAGTATTCCTATTCGCTTGCTTTAGCATTTACTATGCGAAATGGACGCTGGACCGACGGTCTCGTTGACTAGACTTGTGACTAGAAACTCAATACCATATCTCCTGGTTACAAATACTATTAAACCACCAATAAAACGTTACAGTTGCCTTGCGAGGTTACGTAGGTCGATTTCCAAGCATTTGTATGCCGAATCTCAGTGAAGCTGTTGCAATTACGGGTTGTTCCATACCCAGGTTGCCGTCAACTAAAACGAGAAACACCATAGATGTATTCAGAGATTGGATGAACCATAAGGTGAAGCCACATTAGCGCTATTAGGATTCAAACCTAACACATTTAATATGTACATCTTCAACTGGGTCTTTGCACTCTTCAACACTACGTTGAGAACATCAGCCTGAGACTGGCTTCTGCGGTAGGTCGTATTATATGTGACTTCTGGGCAGCCTATGAGATTGTCAATTCTCCCAAGTCAATATGGGGTACATCTCATTCCACATGTTGAAGGCAGAGAGTAGGCCAGCCTTACGTTTGGTATTCTAACATTAGCAATGCTCTACTAGTAAGTTCCGGGTGGGTCTCGAGAGTTGACGGTACCGTCGATGGCAAGTGGAACGTGACAGCGGTGCCGGGACTGTGGTGGCAGACCACGACGTGCTTTAACGTGAACTAGACATTCTACCATCGCCGCTGTATTGGTCTTGACGTTGGCACGCCACGCGTGTGGCTAGAGACGCGGTGGAATAGTCTGGAAGAGCTCCATTTTGCAGTTTTTGTATCACATAGAGCAACTTACCGTACTGGACGGCGATAGAGCGGGATTAATCGATAGAGAAATGACGCAAAGGCCGAAATTGGATTGTGAGGTATAAGAAGATATACTAAGGATATTAATTTTGTCTTTTCGCGATGTGAATTTCCCATCGTTTGATGCAATAAGGAAGTAGGCGGAATTTAAGGCAATCATAAGATAACCGAGTCATTAAACACAGTATAAAGCATTTAAAATTTGGAAAAAAAATCCAAAACATATATATAATATTAGTACGATATATAACCAGTCTGAGTCTGGCCCTTATGGATGTTGATCCTGCAAAAAACCAGACTTTCAGTTAGCAAGTTGAACGACCTGTACATGTGCAATTTAGAGACTCGACCGAAATCAGTGAACTGAGACTGAATATAGAGTAAATCAGCCCAGACACAGTTCGAATTTGGCAACATTCTGTCTGCCAGAAACGCCTACTTGGCGACACCAATGCAAGCGAAGTATTCTTTGAAAGCCGTGACCTCAAGCGCATACAAGCCATCGCGATCGACGCAGGCCGCCGGTCGCCAGTACTCCGGCTCAACACGATCAAGCAGACCGGGGTAGCTCGTTACGCCATGGGGCTCGGTGACGCCCCAGGGGTTGCGGATGATGATGTATTGCTTCTCGCCCTGGCCGGTGCTGGACCAGCCCAACACCGAGTAGGCGTGGTTCGCGACCATATTGGCGCCGCGGTACGTGAAGTCGCGCCCCGTGGCGTGCGTCCAGGCCACCATGGGCGTGATGGTGCGGTGGTTGACGCTGTTGGCGCGCACGAGGCCGACGAGCTCCGGGCCGGAGTGCTTGTGCGTGAAGTAGTAGTGCGGCGAGCGGCCGTTGAGCTGCGCCATGGCTTTCACGGGGTCTCCGTGGTGCGTCTGCGTGATGTCGATGTGCTCGCTGTGGTGCTCTGAGTCGGAGTTGTTGGAGTTGTTGGTGATCCACTGCGTACATCATTGCAATTAGCAAATATCTGATGGAGAGCCTGGGCGAGGCACGATTCTGGGAATTGTAAGTTACATACCTTTGCGAACGCCTTCTCATACAACGATGGCCAGACGGCGAACCCGTCGCTGGATCGACAGTACACAGGGTCCGAGCTGGAGTTGTTGACAGGAACCTCATAATCGACCCTGACGACGCTGGTCTTGGCGTTGTTGCGCCCGCCCTTGTCGTGGAACTTGATATGGAGCTGCTGTTGCTCATCGTTGCCCCGTCTCATCTGCTCGTGCAAGCCAGCCGCTGAACGATTAATGACAGTCGGGTCGGCCCAGAAGACCGAAAACAGGGCTGCGATGAACCAGCTGTTGGCCGCGGCACCCTGGACCGGGTCGTCGAACATTCGCATGTGATGATGGCGTCCCTGGGCTTCCCAGCCGAAGTCGTGAAATGAGTTCATGGCATTGATGGGGTGGCGAGACATGCTGTTGTGTCGGTTCTGGAGGAGCGCCTCGCGCACGTCACGCCAGGAGCTGTTGGGCGGTCTGAAGTTGTCCTTCTTGTTGTCGTCTCGCCTGAATGGCAAACACAGTTCATTCATCGTCATGGTCACCTCGCGGTTGCAAACCGTCTTGCCGAGGGTGTGTGCATTGAGCACGAGATGGAGCTTGCCGTTCTCTAGACAGGCCCTCTTGATGCGCGTGTTGCCGAGGTCCTTCAATCCGATTTTCTCGAGGTCGCCCACCTTCAGGACGCGGGAGAGATCAGGCGTCACGAGGTCTCTCTCGTCAAGGATACGCATCTCCTTCTCGGACAGCTCTTCGGCCTCCCGGTCCTTCTCGTTGAGCTTGAGGCCTGCGTGGAGGACTGAGTTGTGCTTCATGTCGAAGAGCTCCTCGTAGTCGGTCTGTAGGGTGTCCGAGAGGATACGAATAGCGGCACGGGAATTGCGGTCGATCTTGTGGCCAATCATGTTCTCGACCAGGGCATAGGGGTTGATGACTCCGACCTGAACATGGTTGGGTCTATCGTCAGGGGACGGCTCGTCCCCAAGCATTTGATGGCCATGGTCAATATCGCTGAGGTCATCGTAGTCTTCTGGTGCGGCCGGTCTCACTGGAAAAGAAGTCCTGTCAAGCTTTCGCCCAGTGAGAGCCTCAAAGAGGACATATGCGTCAATTGGGCCAGTTGGCACCCCGTTGAAGGGTTCAGAAGTGGAAGCGGAAGACACCATTTTGAGCTGGAGTTGGGCGGTTCTAGAGTTGATGAGTAGGTAGTTTGTGAAATTGAATCCTGAAGAGAGACGATGGTGTGCAAGTGAGGAGTAGAGCTGAAAAAATCGAACCGATGTGGGAGTCCTGACAAGAGTTTTTATACATTCTTCACCGTGTCTCTGGCCCCTTTCCCCTCTGATGAAGAGAAGCACGATCTCGATGTAAGCATCATCGATCCTCTTTCCCCGCTCGCTCAGTTCACGATAGTTTCGCAGTAGCTGCCCGAAGTGGAAGCTTGACTACAAGATCTACATTCATACCTGATCCCTGACCACATCTCCAGATCCGGCCCAGCTCGCTATATCACACTGTCACATGCTTCGCACGGCCCATCTTGCTAGGGAGTGATGAGGTCGTCTCGGTAGGTTGCGGCCTGCTTGTGCACTGGAAGTTACCGCGTGCATAGCCTAGACTTCCGTCGAAATTCAGTATATCCATAAAGCGGGACTTGACGCCGTAGATCATCTCAAGAACTCCTATGGCCCGTCCGAGATGAGCCACAAGCGATAACGCTAGTTCGCGCTGATGAGAATGGAACCTCACCCCAATTATGGCTTGGCTCGCTGCCCGTCCATGGAGGAGGAAAGAGCGTGCTCCAAGGACGTGTGGTCGCATATATACGTTTACCGGTGGCGACCGCTCCATCCCCGTTAGTCCTCGGCAAGCCTCGTCAAGCCCTTGGAAGCAGGGAAACATGAACGGTCCGTGCTAGCCTCGAAGTTAATACAGCTTCACCGGACTTCAAGATCAAGGTGCACTGACGGCCAGCGGCCAGAGCCATTTGCCCCTGATTAGTGCTTCGATTGGCCTAGAATCGCTTGATACCCCTGGCTCTAGCGCTTGCTAAGTAGGTCGGTTCAACCTAATTCACTCGATTAGGGTTTTGCTGTCTTGCATACGCGTCTTGGAGGGGCCTCGAAAGACCTTGTCCAAGATAAACTTCGTTCCGGCTTGGGGTAACGGCACATTCGTTGGAGTACCCTTCCTACGGCTTACGAGTTCCCTAGAACCTTCATGGCCTTGAAGGCTCCTGTTGATGTCGATCTTGCCTGACCATGCCGGGGTAGTGACTTGTGAAGCCTCAGGAGTAAGAGCAACCAAGATTAATGTTTTTTTTGATAGGACCGTGGCCTGAAATGTGGGTTCAGAAGGTCGATGGGTTCGCTTACTTCTCTTGATGTTTGTAGAGGGCTATTGCTCCAAAATGCATCGCTTGGGCTGTGTTCCAGACACCACCCACGGTTGACAAGAGTGCTCCGTCCATGAGTTCTATCATGCATGACGAGATATGGAAACGGTATCAAGGCGTGTGGAAAGAGGGGTTTCTCACAGGTGGTAAGGAAGAGGTCAAATTTCCCAGAGCACGTTCAGCTAAGATCTGATTCCATGATGTATGACAGACTAATCCAATGACCTCGCCCACTAAAGCATACATGAAGTCGTCTTGTGGCCATTGAGGCTAAAGCGCGTAGACGATTGATCCTCATCGGCATTACGAATCCACTCCCGATTCATAGCTTCCGTAAGACCGGCCTCTAGCTTATCGAGTTCATCTGAAGCATGACCCTTGCATAGCTTGCACATCAAATTGTCGGTAGCAGCTGTGTCGTTTGCAATGACCAGGATGGACTCATCGCGGCTGCACCCGAACAGTCGGCTTTCAAGCATAGGATCACTTCGCCCTTTCAGCTGGTACGTTGATGCTATGAACTTGACCGACTCTAGGTTTGGGAAGATCCGCGGGCTGAATAGTTTCTCCCGCCAATAGTTCGGTTCGAGGTTTGGACCATTGAAAATCCTGAGTACAACATGCTGGGTGGCGCCGTATAGTTTGGACAGAGCTTTGACGAAGAGTCCGCCGCTCGACCCCATAAACTTCCAGTATATGGGCAGACGGAGGTTGTCTCTGTCGGGGTCGAACCAACCCCACTGGGTCTCAAACCGTGGAGGCAAGCTTTCGTAAACCGAATTGAACTTGCGCTTTTCAACGTTTCGAATGGGGAAAAGCTTGCCGGTGCGACATGCGGCATCTCCCGATTCTCGGTTGATACGCGCGGTGATGGGAGGTGCAGATGCCGGCTCAAACTCATAGGCATGGCCGTGGTCAGGTGCCAGTAATTTCCTGTGGATATTGACAATTCTGCCAGGGGTCGCGAGGTTCCATACCACGCAGCGAATCTCGGATGGGAGTCTGGCAAATTGAGGCCATATGGCTGGGGTATCGATGTAACGACACACAGCGTCGATGTAGGGACGAAGCCTCTTGGTCTCAGATTTCATTTCGCCAAGTCCATCTGCAAAGTTTCCCCGAAAATCATCTCTCAGTGAACCAACCAGACCATCCAATCTGGCTTGCATGTTGAATCTATCACGGTCCAGTCTTTGACAGTGTTACGGTATAACATAATGCCTCCACATATTTATGTACATATAAACCCCTAGCTTCCCCGTTCTCTTTCGACCTTGCCTCTTCTTCCTTAGATATCGTTGAATCGAGATATTTCATCCCATCAGCACTGACCAGCGCAGCTGCAGGCCTGATTGTCACAGACAGATTGTGTTCTCAAATGATCCAACTGTGGTCTTGATCATCGCCTCCTGAGCTCTCTTCATGTCAAAGATGATGTCACGGATGATACTTCGTCTTTCGAGACTATCCAATTTGATAATCTGCAGACCTTGGTGGACTCATCGTCCCTGGCATGTAAGAGTTGATTGATCTTGTTCAGCTGCTGCAAGATGCTGTCGTCTGGCGCCATGGCTCAGTACCCGAGGACTCCCTGATGATGAGACGGCCTTGCTGACATTTTCTTGGAGAGGCTGCAAGTGGTGGTAATCTAGGTGTGTTCGCCGTTGTTGGAGATCCCAGATCATCCCGTCGGTTGCGTCCATTTATCCACTTGAGAAGAAAGAAAGCCGATCGTAGTAAACGTTGAGAGAGCAATAGAAGCAGAAAGCACAAGGTTCAATTCCTTTAGACCCAAGCGTGGACTGAGTTTGGAACAAAAGGTTTAAATTGTGATACAACAGTAGACACACACATTGGCGTTAGTTACTCTCTCCCTCCTTCCACATTACACACAGGTTACAATAAAGAGCACTTCTTCCACCTGCATAAGTTTCTCTGGTGCGGATCAAACTAGTGGTCATTGACACCAAGCATCTAGGCTAAACGTGCCGTATGGCGCAATGGTCAAATGTGCCTGGTTGTGTTCTCGTTTGTGCGGTGGGCGACGAGAACAAGTGGGTTCGAATCCTGTTATGGCCCCCTTGTGACCCGGCTTGTGCGAATCGACAACCAGCACACGACAGTGGAGAGGCCCCATTATCGCAGAACCCGATAGCCAAGCAGCTTGTCTCCATAATACCCACTCCTGCGAGGTTTTTTCCCTTGTGGTTTCCCTTGTTAGCAGATAACAAATACCTACTTCACCCACCAATATGACATATATCGAACGGCTACTGGAACGATGTGTACACCAGAGGACTGAGGTTCACTGGGTCGCTTTGTCACTGGACAGGAGGGTTTTTCTGACGGGATCGTGCTTGGTATTGACTAAAACCATCTGGACACTCCAAATTGGTATCGCTACAGCGAGGATAGGCTCGTGCGCGGATCTGAATGTATCTAGACTGACACCTCTATAACCTTGCGATGCAATGGCTCTGGGAGGCGTGGTTTGCCCTGTGGAGGGACTGCACCCACGATAAATACAATCAATCAATCAATCATCTAGGCTAAACGCTCAATTCAGGTGGTTACATTATGCAACAAATGGGTTGGCCTTTCAGATGTTTCAGATTGTGTAGGAGCAAACAGTGTGCATGTGTTGCCTTGCATAATTGCTTCTTGGCCTCTAGTACCACCGTTCATTGAGTAGCGATATTAGGCGCCTAATGAGGAAGGCCCTGAGCTCGCCCTGGAATTCCTCTCTGTCATCAAGATTAATGCTCGCCGTGCGTACCGAGTTGCACACAAGGGAATGCCTCAAGGTTTTCAGGTCGCTCTTTTGAAGGTGATGCCACGGATCTGTGGAAGTTGGACCTGCTGTTGGGAAATTTCGGGTGCCTAACCCGGCTACTGGTATACCCACCACCAGCATCTTCAAGCAGAAGTATGGAATTGCGGAATCCACCATATTTACGAGCCGTGGGGAGCAGTGCCTAGGTTGATGTTGGCTCAACCGCATTATTTGGAGTCTTCCTGATTCCTACCTCGGAGACTAGGGATTCGTCTGAAGGCTCCCAGCCAATGAAGTGGGACCACCAACCGTGAACCACCAACCGGTGATGACCGCTCTCGAAAAGGTGGAGGTGTTCGAGATATGGGTGATCTATTCAATTCTCGTTCTGCGGATGGGCCGAGTACGTCGCCTCTTCGGTCGCAATCACCCAAGTTCTCTGGGGCCGTAGCGCTCACCGGCAGCTCGCTGCAGCACATATGCAAGCAATTACAAGGTTCTACATACCTGATTGACTCGTATTGGCACAGAAATCCACCTTGACCGCATCCTCTACGATTCTGCGGAATACGGAGAATGAGTATTTATTAGGGGTTCGAGCCCTGAGACGCGGACCTGCGGACCAATTGCCAAACACCGAGACTTGACCCAATAAAACTGTCCGCCTTGGTGCTACCAACTCTAATTCCTCAACCCTCACAAACCGCGCCGCTGCTGCACTCGAAAGTTACGGTACATAAAGCAAGGCTACCTCCTCCGAAATGGCGGCACTTTCCAGCATCCTACGCCTCGTGTGGGCTTCTATGCCATACTATGCTGCGATTGCCCTCGTAACTTATGTGAGCGGCCATCGGCCTTGGTCAGCGCTGATAGGTGGCTAATACTCCCAGCTTCTATTGTTCACGACCTATCAGATATTCCTCCACCCGCTGAGCCGCTACCCGGGCCCCTTGCTCGCCAAACTCTCCAATGCGTACAATGGCTTCTATGCGCACCAGAAGTGCCTCCATCTGGTCACGAGACAGAACCAGCTCAAATACGGTAGGAACTCGGATATCCCAAGCCTGCCAAACCCGAGTCGCTGAGATTGAATCAGGTCCCGTGGTCAGACAAGGGCCGAACAAGCTGGTGTTCAATTCCATATCGGCTTTGCAAGGTATGAATCCCTCAAAACATCCCCTTTTACTGTGACGACACTAAGAGGGACCCAGACATCTACAAGAATGATCGTATCACGAAGCCCAGATCGTACCAGGCTGTGGGACCAGGCAGGCGGGTGCCCAACATGTTCGCGACACGTGACAAGAAATTACACCGAGCCAGACGCCAAGTGGTCGGACAGATCCTCACAGACCGATCTCTACAGGCGTTCGAGCCCACAATGATCGAGCAGGTCGACATATTCATCTCACAGCTGCTCGCATCCGCCCAATCAACCGAGCCAGTCAATATGTCCATCCGAACGAGACAACTAGGTATGGACATCGCCGGCCTTCTCAGCTTCGGTTACGAGTTCAATCTCCAGACCACCGACGAACATCGGTTCATGTTTACTACCTTGGACGGCCAGGTTCCAAGTAGCAATGTCTACTTCAACTTCTACTCGCTGAGACCCTGGGTCCGATGGATCACCATGCTGCTGGTCGGCAAGACACGCGAGAGAACCACACGTCTGATGGAGAAGATCGTCACCACGCGCATGGCACTGGAGAAGGACGCGAGACACGACCTCTACTCCTTTGTGGCGCATGCCTTGGATGCGAAGTCAGGCGGTCTGCGACAGAGCGAGCTCTGGGCTGAGGCACAGTTCTTCCTCACGGCGGGTAAGCAAGTCCACAGAGAGTGCTTATCTCTGTTTATCGATACTAAATCACTGCATACAGCCGGTGAGACAACGAAAACGACTATCAGTGCCGCGGTCTTCTACCTATCTCGGAACCCCGAAGTCTACGAAAAGCTAGCTCATGAGATCCGTTCCGCTTTCACCAACGGTGGTGAGATCAATGGTGCAGCGCTAACGAGCTGTCGATACCTTCGGGCTTGTATCGATGAAAGTCTACGCATGTCTCCACCTGTGTCCGGTATCCTCTGGAGAGAAAGAGCTCCGGACGAGAATGACAGCCAGCCTCTTGTGGTCGATGGTCACGTTATCCCTCCGGGAACGGTGGTCGGTGTGAATACGTACTCCCTCCACCACAATGAAGAGTACTTCCCTGACCCTTTCGCCTTCAACCCGGAGCGGTGGCTCGACTCGTCTACGCCCGAGGCCGCAAAGTTAGTGCGCAATGCTTTCATCCCCTTCTCCGTTGGCTCTCGAGCATGCGCCGGCAAGTCCATGGCGTACAAGGAAATCAGTCTAGTGCTTGCAAAGACACTGTTGTACTTCGACTTCAACGCGGCTCCCGGCAAGCTGGGCGATGTCGGCGCAGGAAACCCAGATCTGGGACCAGGCAGAGAACGGCCCGGCGAATTCCAGCTGTATGACAATTTCAGCTCTAGTCATGATGGACCATATCTTACATTCCGGTCTCGTGGGGATTTCGGGAAAGACCTGAGTCGGTGAGCTTGAGTTAGGGCCACGATGAGATGAAGGGCGTCAGGCACTCATAGTTGTTTATAGTCGTTTCACAGTAACAATACTTCATGAGCACCGCTGACCAGCACTTCATACACAATGGCAGTGTACAGGGCATCACTCTTCTACAATCTCAAACTGAACCCGGGAGGCGGCCGTACCACCTTGCAATCTCTTCTTAAATGCTTCCACGTAGAGAGTACACTCGCAATATGCAATTGATTCAATCTACGTCGGGCGGATCCAGCTGCTCCTCCTGCTCTGTCCCTTCTTTCCCAGACCCTTGATCAGGGTTCTGCATCTGCTGCCTTCCTGCTCCTCCATTCGCAGCCTCCGTACATTCCGAACCTCCTTCGTCTGCAGGCTCTTGTTTGGGTGGCCCAGTGCGCATCTCTATGCGCAGCAAAACTACTTCCAGCACCGGCGTTCCCTCTTCCACTTTGGACTGGAGGTTATCATGATCGATGTCAAAGTACAGCGCCCAGAAGTCGCCCTCCTTGACAGCGAGGAAGCCTTCCCAGCTCCCAAACGTCAACCTTCGGTCCTGACGGGAGCAATCAAACGGGCCCGGCCAATTGGGCTCCGCCCACGCACGATTGCCGAACTTGAGTTCGTACGTCTCTCGGTCAACGTAGATCCAGTTCATGACGGGCGGCTCGTCACAGATGGTGGAGACAAGCCCCGAGTATGGAGTATCGGGGAAAGGCAGGTAGTACCCAGCGAAGGGGTGACCGAAGGGCTGCCGGTAGTCTGTACCGGTATCGACGTAGAGCTGCGTCATGTTGGCTGACCAATAGTACGCAACGGAGAATGGTCCGGTGATGACGCACCTTTTCACCCGAGAGGACAACCTGTCTCCCCTCGAGGGTGGGACTGTACTGCGAAGACTTGAGGCATCGTACGATCAGGTTGTTCTTGCGGCTGCGGTGCTCCTTCTTCCTCGCGTCGGACTGGATCTGTCGGATGGCCTCTGAAGCCCCGAAGATAGTGGCGAAAGCCACGAGGAATGTGAGCTGGTCGCCCATTGTTCGGTTCGCATAAGGGTGTGGCACTGGATTAAACGACAGGAGTTCGGTCCGGAGCTCTTATGCTCACAAGGGTTCGTACTTGTCCGAGGCAAGATGATGCCACCCCGAAGTAACTTCCCGTCGGGGCGGTGGTACAGGACACGGCTCGATCGAATCCTTTCCGAACCCAGTGGTACGGTACTCAACCAGAGTGGCCGTCGGCGAAAGGAATGGGCCGGATGGGTATCATTGACGGGAAAGAATGGGTGTATCACCCGGACTGAGGCGGCGGGAACAGAATCCCCGGGCCAGTCATTCATACTGAAATCCATTATTCAAGCCATCCTCTGGTGAGTTGAAGTCTCACGGCCGTGACGATAATCGATAGCATTGCGGGACGCCAATGTGTAACTTGGGCGGACCCTTCCGGTCGATTCCAGGCTAGATACCCGTCTCATCATACGATTGCCGGCCTCTGCCGTTCCTTTGGGCAGGAAAGTGGCCCTCTTCTCAACTGATCGCAAGCCACGATGCGGTTCTAGACACGGACACTGGCAGACGCCTTACCAGTGACCTTCAGAGACAGGATAACACAGCGTACGTGGAATGGCATGATGGGAGTTCAATGCAAAGAGTGCCACATCTCTATGACTTCATCTTGACATACGCATTGATTCGTCAAAGAATCTGTGAGTATCCCAATTGATGGACTGAGTATAAAAAGCGCCTTCTAGTCCGCTCACGATGATGGCCCACTCCCCTATGTCGACAGACAACCGTGTTTCACACCAAGGTCTCTCAGCATCTTCGCAAGCATCCCAAGCAACCATTAGCTTCTTCCTTCACAGAGAGAAGGCTCATTTGAGATAGTTTCGCCCTCCCACTCCTCCACCTCGAAAGTCTTCTTGGGCTTTCTTCAAACGATCTTCTCGTCAACATCGTCAGGGCCCCGCCAGCCCAGACCCCTACAAGACATCATCTCGACACGCAGATTTCTGGTAACGGAGCCAGAAAAAAACAAAAGCTGTCGTCAACGCACCCACTGCGCCGGAAACCCAAGTGGCCTTCCCTCAGAATCCCACCTGATTCCCCTACCTCCATAGCACAGAGCTCCCCAGTACCCACAACCCGAGGTCCCCGACGAAGCACCATGTCTTCTCCGTGAGTATCCACCATGCTCAGATTCTCTCACACCACTAACACTAGCCAAGAACCAAGACCTCGCCACCCACCGCCCTCGACAGGAACCGCGACGGCATCTTCGGCCCGGACCACGGCGGGCCTCTCGCCCCCACCGGACCGACCCTGCCCATGCCCGGGCTCTCCGGCCGCGCCAACTCACCCACTGGTAAGCACCCCAACCCCACCCCCACCCCAACTGCAGCCTCCAATTCCCAGCCCCACTCCCAGTCCATCGCCATCACCAATAATCGCTGTATGCTCACCCAAACGGACCAGGCAACCTGCTCAAAGGCCCCGTCGACGACGCCGGCAAGCTCAAGGACGCCGCCCTCATGGTCGGCATCAAGCTCGATCTGGAGGCTGAGATACACCTCACGGCGCGGGTGCGCGGCGACGTTCTGGTTGGTCTGTACTAGCCGCGAGGCCGAGGACGAGGTCTGCATTGGCGGGGACGTGACGCTCGGGTTTCGGATTGTCTGCCAGGTGGGCGTGGTTGTGCACTCGTTTTCGGGTCCGTCGGTCGCTTTGGTTGTGGTTGTGGTACTTGTGCGTTTTTGGGTTGTTGGGATGGAGGGATCGCTGGGCTCGAGTGTGAAGTCTGTTGTGTATTCGCTCGTTTAAACTCTCGGCCCGGGGTTGGGTTGGGTTGCTGAGGGCTATGGTAGGAACTGCTCGATACGTTCGTTAAGTTGTAAACAGTGACAGTCTCACCTCTCTACTCCGTTGGAGCCTAGCTCTCAGCAACTGTTTGTATGTGCTAAGAATGTAAAGACTTAGTTAGTTGTGTATAATATACCGATTCGTTATAAGGCTGCCGGAAGAATACCTTTATTAGCCACCGGTTTTATTGGTAAAAAGCTTTAATAATATAACGTTATCATTATTATCATCATTATTATATATTTATTTATAATATGCAGTTTTGAACTATTTAAATTGATATAGTCTTTGTTTGAAAAACTACGCTTAATAGATATTGAACGTAAAAATTTATTTATTATATTTTATTAATAAGATATTAATCTTAAAGTCACGGAACTTCGTTTCTTAATTTAATAAATTAATTATAAGACTTAATAGTATTATTCATCTTATTAATAAAAATATTAATTATGTTGGATCTATGTGATTCCACAGTCAAACCATCCATACAGAACCCACATGTATAATTAGATAAGAGATTAGATACCGGATTGTGAGGTCACTTAGCCAGACCTGCAGGTCCAGCTAGACTTCACAATCCAACCATCAGCAACATCATTGTGACGGCCTGTACAGACCTTCCCACATGACAAGTGGATATTTCCCAATAGGGGAAGGATCTGACCAGAGGATCCCCTTAAAGGGGCAACCTCCCACTGTACCTATCTCTCTCTCTCTCTTCCTTTCCTCTCTAGTCTTGATATTCTCGTCAATAAAGTAATAGCTGCTTGCTGCCGGCCATGTCCTAGCTCCTCGGTACGCTCGCCGTGACAATCATGACCTTGACCCCATACTCGAGTATTATGGTTGATCGTTCAAGCCTGTTCCCACACTTATATTATTTATAAGTTACAGCCGTTTGATATAATAATCTTTCAAATATATAAAAATTATGATTAAGAACGTTTTTAAAAACGGGTGATTTATCAAGCATTTTATAACACGTTTAAATTCTAAAATAAATTATATAGAACTTAGAATAAACGATAAAACATTTTAAAGGCATTTAAAAACTTAAAGCTATATTTATATAAATTTAATAAAGTTATTAACGGGATAAAGGATTTATCCTCGTTAATTTCAAACTTGAATATTTTAACAGATCGACTTAGTTATATCGGAAATCGAAATAAACAGTTAATAGATTTATCACTAAGGTAATAAAAGGTTTTTAATTAAAAAAGCAATGAATATAGTTTCGTTAAAATAACCGCAAAGAAAACGACGATAATTTATCGAAAGTTATGAATAATAAAACCATATATAAACCTTCTTAAAATGAAAAGCACTTTTAATAATAATAAAAGCGTTCATTTTTAATGTAAAACCCGATTTATCATTACGAAAACTTCGATAATAATTATTACAGAAAGTCGATAAAAATTAAAAGACTTATTAAGTTAAGTATTAAATAGATTAAAAACAATAAAAAAGGCTTTCTATATTTTACCATTACTAGTTACTTGAGTAATATAAGCCGAAAAATGGAATAAGAAATAAAGAAAATTGAACGTCATAAATAAGTTTACAAAAATAAATCGTAATATCATAAAGTTTAAACTTATGAAAGTCGATTATAAGCGCTTTTATAAAACTATTACTCGAGTTAATCGGATAACGATTAAGCTTATAAAACGCGGTACTATATAAAGATTTTCAATATAAAAACAAATACTTTTAATTAATGATTAAGAAGAGTTCAATGAAAACAAGAAAAATAATCAAATAATTAAAAGCTTAGATTACGTGCTTTCAACGTGGAAAGACATACTATTTGAAACGAAATAATGAAGTTCATTTTAAATTAAATTAACGGCTTAGCGTAAATATTGAATTATTATTACTTCAACGTTAAAAGCGCTATAATTTCTATTTCAACAAGTATCGATTGACTATTAAAGAAATTATTCAATTAAAATAACGACTTTTAAAAAACATTCGACTTAATATATATTAGTTTTTTGAAAAAGACTTCCTAAAACCTTTAGCGGAATAAAACTTTAAGCTTAGTTTAATTAGAAATATTATTACTGCCTTTACGACTAACAAAATAAATTTTAATTCCATTAAAATTTTAAAAAGGTCGCTTCTTATTTTCAATACTTTTTTGAACGACCTTAATAAATAATAACATACCGCTAATAAATTGTAAAAAGAAAATACATATAGAAGAGGTAAGAAAGGGCGATAATAATAGTTGAATTTAACTTTTTTTAATACGTACTAAGATTTTAACGATAACTACGAAAACGATTTGAACGTTATAAAAATCAGCAAGATTAAAAAAATAACCTTATTAATATTAATGTATAAACTAAATAAATAGCAATTAAACACAATATAATAATAATAATAATAATAATAATAATAATAATAATAATAATAATAATAATAATAATAATAATAATAATAATAATAATAATAATAATAATAATAATAATAATAATGTTGTATTATTGAAATTTTTTATAAATAAAACCGGTGATTAATGAAAGTATTTTTAATAGCCGTATAACCGTTTTTTCTTATTAAATAAGCAATTCAAAAACGAATACGTTGTTTTATTATTATAAATAATTAAACTATTATAATAAGAATACAAGCTATAATTCTAATAACCGCTTGTTTAAATAAAAACTAGAAAATATACGGCGTTTATTAACTTTATAATTCTTATTTATAAGATTTCGAAGATGCTTATTTTGAATAAAAGCGTATTTAAGATATAAAACTTTTAATTCATTAAATAAATATTATTAAAATAAAAATACTAAGAAATAAAAGCTTATTATTACAAGCAATAAAGATTTTTATACTGTCACTTTAAGGTGATTTCATAATATATTATAAAGACTCTTTAAAAAGTCATAGTGTATATTAATCCTTTTTGAGTTTTTATAAAAAAGAACTAAAAAGGTTTATCTAAATATTTTGTGAAGTTTATGGGTTCAGATGGGGTCAGGATGGGATGCATCCGGTTCGGTGTCTTGACTATGGATCCGTGGGGGATATTCCCACCTAAATACAGCTGTGTGAGCCGTTTGATATCCGGCTGCCTGACACCAGACAACAGACCTGCCAGACAACGCCCGGATGCTCCCCCTTTCACCCCTTTGGGGTCCCTATCAACCCCTTTCACCCCCCATATAGCCTGCTGCTATCTGCAGCACACCTGATAGGCACCAATATTCTCATATATTTAAATAAACGATAAACTTATTAACTCTATATATTATAAAAATATTTTGGTCAACATTTTATTTAATATATTTTAAACTGTAGGAACAGGCTTGAACGATCAATCATAATACTCGAGTATGGGATCAAGGTCATGATGTTGCTGATGGTTGGATTGTAAAGTCTAGCTGGACCTGCAGGTCTGGCTAAGTGACCTCACAATCCGGTATCTAATCTCTTATCTAATTATACATGTGGGTTCTGTATGGATGGTTTAACTGTGGAATCACATAGATCCAACAATAAGCTTGTAATAAAAACAACCTTTTACTTGCCTTTTTACAACATTAATATGACTAAAAAATATAATAATGATAATGATGATTTAATATTGATATTCGTTTTCCTATAAGATTTTTAGCCGTAAAGTTTTTTAAAAATAATTAAAATAATTAAAAGCTAATTATTTGTCGATATAATTAAAGAAACTTATTAATAAATACGTCGTATTTTTAAGCGATTATTTAAATCATTTCTAAAATAGTTTATTTAGTACAATAATAAAAAGAGGAATAGTTGTTTGCTTATTAAAATATGTTCTATAATAATAATAAAGGTAAGAAACTTATGGTTTTTACCGTGAGCGAAGTATTTTAATGTAAAATTAAAATAATATTCTCGTAGTGAATATATTATAACGAGATTTTAACTTGTTATCGTTTTTAATACTTTTAACTTTAATATTATATTTATATATAATATCGAAATACGATATAAAATACCTTTAAAGGGTATTTTTATTATACGTGATACTAAGAACGAAAGTAAATAATTTCGTTTTAAATAAATAAAATATAACATCGTGACGTTATAAATACTGCTACGCGTATCGTATATATCTTATCATCTCACGTTTTTCTTTTCTTTTATTGACTGATTAGCTACTTTAAAGAGATTTTTACTAGTAAATTTAAGGCTAATAAATACATAAAGGTTAATTTAAGTACAAAGAGAAAAGAAAGAATTCAATAATACGTTATAATACTTATTTTTAAAAATAAGCTTGACATTTTAAAGTCGGAAAAAAAGCGATGCTTTAAGTTGTAAAATAAGGCGTAGCGCTTTTTCGTAGTAAAATTATTAGTTTTTTTAACTATAATAAACTTTAACCGCTACGGCTTTAGATGGCTTAAAATATCGAGGTTTATAATAAGGTAATTAAGGGCCATAATAAGAAGATTTATGGTAAATTAAGTAATTTTAAAATTACGATATAAATATAAAGTCAATTAAGCGTAAAATCGAAAAAAATAATTCGTTAAGTTTAATACTTTTAATAATAATTTACTGTTTAAACCGATTTAAATACGGCTATATAGAAATTTAATATCGTGAGCTTTTAGACTCAGTATGAAAAGGTTAAAATGCGTTTTTAACACGTTTTTTTTTTTTTTCCAAAGTAAGCTTTAAAAGATATTTTTTTAACTATTAAAGCTATTTATGTAGATATCAATACATTTATTATATTAATAATTTAGTATTAATATCAGTTTTCAAATTTTAAACTAAGTTAAAGTATAAAATTAAGTTACTATTTTTTACTTATAAAGAGCTTATAATTAAAAAGTAGGTTAAATTGCTTAAAGATTTAACGAGTAAGTAATATTCAACCGTGCGTTTTATTAAGGTTAACGGTTAAAGCATTATTTTAAAGTCGCGTTTCGATAAAAGCACTTTAAATATATTATTAAAACAGTAATAACTTAATTATACTTTTAATTATAAAAAAACCTATGCTTACTCAACTATATAATGTCTTAACGTAATATAAGTTAATATAAGCCGTTGACTAGATATACTTTAAGTCTTTTTAATACGCTTTACTTTTTACGTTTTAAGCTTTACTTAAATAGGCTTAACAATTGCTATATTTAGTAGAGGTGATCCCGACGAAAACTCTCCAGGCGAAAACTCGAGCCCTACTAGCCACACGTTAGCCCACACTAGCCACACGTGCAGCGGATCCTAGCCACGGCAGACCCCACACACACCTCGTCAGCCGTACATGCAGTACATCCCCCTACCCCCCTGGTCCACGCTACACCCAATTCACCATAGTGAGTAGAACACAGATGTAGCTTTTGTATTCTGAACCGACCAGGCCCTAAGCCGTGACGTCTTCTTCGTCTGCAACGTTATTGGACAAGTCAGAGGTTGTCTTTATATCCAAGGGGAAGCATGGCCGACGATCGTCTACCCAGATTGATGAAACCATCAGTGCGACGGACTGTGCCTGACTTGACGTCGAAGTCTTTCAAAAAGCTGTTGCCTAAAAGTATGGAGATCTATAAACGCCAATTATAGCACGATAATAGTTAATCCGGCGAAACCAGCGGCATCAGCTGAGATACCTTACGGCCCACACCGCACGGCACAGCTAGTTGCTGACATGTTTCCAATGGCGAAATTCTCTCTTCAACTTTTCTTTTCGCAAAGAGAGCAACACGCTCTTTGCAGAATCGTGTGCTCCTGTCTCCCTGGCTCAGCGCAATGCGTTACGTACTGTTCAAGCTGACATACCAGAGCGGCGACATCATCTTCGCGGACTGGATCACGCTCTTCACGCTATGTCTCGCGCCGCTCATCGTCCACGTGCTCTCCGGCGCGCCGCGGCCGTCGTACCTGACGCGCGGCCGGCCGCCGTGGCATGAGCGCTTCTGCCACTACAACCCGACGTCCATCCTGTGGCGCTACGCCGCCATCGCGGACCGGCGCATTCGCGCCCGCTCGGTTAGCAATCCCGTGCACTACTTATCCGATGCTGAAGGTTCCGAACGCTGACTCTCCATTGTGGTCTAGTGGGATGCGTTGACGATGGCAGCCAGCAACGCCCTGTTCTGGACTCCTCGCGGCTGGGACGGATCGGAGGAAATGGTCGCGGTGGCACGACCCCTCACGACGCGGCTCCCGGAGCACACGAGAGTAGAGATTTTTTCCAAGGAATCGCTGCTGACCGTCATCATCACGCTGCAAGGGACGTCAGCCGTGTACTCGATCGCCGGCGGGCTGAGCGGAGCCACGTACTTCAACTCGTCGTTCGGCCTCGACGCCGTCTTCTTCCCGGTGGCTGTCTTCGGGCTCTTGCGGCTCTGTGCTGCCTTCTGGCTAACCGAGGACTACCATTTCGGGTACACCGCCGTCAAGGACAGCTTCAGGCTCAACTCGTTCCCGAGCGTGCGCGAGGAGCCGGTGCGCGAGGATCTGGACAAGGGGCCGTTCGCCGGTGTCGTGCGCATGGACAGCCTTCTCCAATCCGACGAACCGTACGACGTGGTGAACAGAACCCGGTTCCGCCCGACGTCCTACTGGCCGAGCATATTGTTCCGCGCTCTCTGGATGGTGCCCGTGTGCGGGCTATGGGTGCTCTCGTCCTTCTACGTGGTCCCATTCGGCGGGAAGTACGACGCGCCCGTGACGTCGTGGCTCGTGGGCCTCATGTTCCTGATCCTGTTCACGGCGTCCGGCGCCATCTATGCGTACTACTTCGTCCGCGGCCGCACGACGACGACGCTCATTCCCTGCATCTCGGCGTTCTGGTACAAGATATACACGGTGCTTATCTTCGGCCTGATGGTAACGACGATCGCCATCGCCTGCGTCGAGACCAAGAAGACGCCGTGCGGGCGATATACGAGCCTCGGCGGTGTGCTGGGCGACATCACCGCGTGTCGAGGGCAGGGGACGGTCCTGTTCCCCGTCGGCGAAGGGTCGAAGGGCCCGTTCGCGCTGGCTTCGAGCAACCCCAACAGCGCCGGCGACGCTCCTGTCTTGGATAGGAATACTTGGATGTATAACTTTACTGGGACATGCATCGGGCGCCCCTCTGACGATTTGTGGGTCTTCTCGGACTATTACTCGCTTTATAACGGCAGTGGGTGGGTAGTGACGGCCGAAGAGGGTACTTCGTACGCCCATTATACTCACGATACTCGCGATAAGGTAGAGTAGGTATACATCTTCCGTAGTTGGTCGTTATTTGTCTACTAATATTGCAACTGGACAAATTCAAGAATAAATAAAAATAAAAACAAATAAAATATTTCCGTCTTTCGAAATCGAGTCCCTCAGTCCCTCAGATCTCCAGGTCTTAGTTCGCGCGGGGGGTACGGGCTACGTATAGACACCATGGCATCATTAAAGAACATGGGATCAACAGCCTTGATAAATCAAGGTAGCGCAAGTGGGATTCGAACCCACGGTTTGAGGTCACAAGTATGTGGCATCTTAAGTCTTGAATGCTCAAACCACTCGACCATTTGGGATAGAAAATTTGGGCCATATTTCGCTACAATACAGCCGCTGCGGATCCTGCTGCACAGCACAGCAACCAAGGGTTGCCTCAGACAACGGTTCTGCCCCAAACAGCTATCCTCCCTTAGGCAACCACTCTGCACAGGCAAGAATTTCCTGTGCAGACGAACGTCCTGCCCTACAACCTACCTCACGAAAGTCTTGTCTTTCGGACTGCAACCTCTGCCGGCACGCTCAAGGTACTCGCGCCAACACGCCCCAAGATCCTCGCGACGAATACAACTGCAGCAACGCCACCATGGCTGACTCCACCACCCCTCCCTCCTCCTCCAGCACCGCCTCCTCCTCTTTGTGGTCATTAATGCCGCGTCGTGGTATGGTGTATTATGGCGTCGGGGCAGTCAAGCGCCAGCAGACTGAAGCTGCCATCCGCAAGCAATTGGTTGCCGGTGGCGTGCGTCTCCTCCGTGCAGACGTCGAGAAAGCGATGATCCAGGTTATCTAAACCGCTCTGGAGCTTCGTACGTCGTTTTTACATTCTACCATCAGGGCATTAGCTAATAACTTATACTTTGATCAGCCCTTAAGAAGCCGATTCAAGCAACGGAACGACCCGGAGAGTTCCACAGTCCTACAATGGCCCCCTTGCTCGAGAAGGTCCAGGAGAAGGTCCTGTGGTGCCATGGTCTGGACACGTTCGTCTTCCAGGAGCTCGTTTGCCGGATGATCGAGGCGTCTGTTCGCTACAACGCGCGCCCACAGCCGCCCTTCGATCGGGACCAGCATTCAGCCCTGGCGAAGGAGATCCAGGCCCTTCGACACATGCATGATGATTACCCGGACGACGACACCATTCTCCGCAACCGAGACATTGGCGACGACAAGTCCTGGATGCTGGGCGATTGGAAGATCTTGGAACTGACTGAACCACTGCACCACGATGACGCCAATGACAAGGGTGATGACAAGGCCAAGGGCGTGTTCAATCTTAACGACGAATACGAATACGATCACGAGGAAATGATGATGGACATTCGCGACGCACAGATAGAGTCGGAGGCGGAGGCGGAGGCGGAGACGCGTGGCGCCGACAACGCGGATGTGGAGATGGAAGCTGCGGGCGCCGAGCCCACTCCGGCTCCGGTCGCCACTTTCTTCGACAATTTGCCGTTCCGAAACCGTTAGAGAGTAACGCACAGACACCGTCCGAAGTATGAATGGTATAAGCATGAGAGAATAAGCGCCAGGAGTGGCTCAATAAGGAGAGACTGCTTATTTGAGAGTGCTTATCCCGTTTTCTATGATTTAAGTGATATGCCGGGTGGTCTGTTAATGAAGCAGGAATGGCATAAGCATGGTGAAATTAGCACTAGGAATGACTTAATAGGAAAAAACTGCTTATTCGAAGGTGCTTATCCTACTTTTGATAATTTAAATAACAACCAACTATAATATTAGCAGACTTCTTAGCCTATGCACCATGCCAAGTCATTTTATAATAACGTGAATTTGTTTATCTTTTTATATAGAGTTTTAACGATGGCCTTGACTTATAAGGGACTTTGGGTCCTTATTCCAGTGCCATCTTTATTGCTTCAACCCACTGACCGATATTCTCACAGTGCTCTAGCCTGGCGGCCCACTGCTCCAGCGGTGTGGGCGCAGCCATACCCATCGCCTGGGCTTTCGACCGAGCACTGTCCGTCTCGAAGATGTTATTTGAGACAATGTGAACCCTGCCGCCCAGCTGGATCTCCAGCCAGATGTTGGCTGTGCTAGGTCCGAATGGGAATACGAGTTGGAGACGTGGGACGGGGTGTACCATGAGGACGACATCTATTCTAAATAGATTCCGGTTTGGGGCGTAGCGGCTCGAACTGCTGCTGCCGTCTGCCTTGGACATGAATCTGCTAAATTTGTTGTCCGTGGTGCTGGTAGACTGTAACCGCTCATTCTCGGCGTCTGCCTCCGGGGCGGTGAGCAGGCCCTTGCGGGGCTTGAAGCTGTTGGCCAGCAGTAGGGAAACGAAAGCATACTGCCGCAGAATAGGGAGAATTGCGACGAGGTCCTTGGGGTGTGAGAAGGGAATCTGACTCAAAGTTTGGCCGTAGACGGGCTTATCGACTATGAGCGTGTTTATGTGCGCTTTGAGCAGAGGTTCTTTGCGATGTCCTGGCAGGAAAAGGGGCACAGATTGTGTGTAGGGCATCACCCTCGGTTCGGTTGCATCGTAGGAGCAGCCTTGTGGGATTGGGAACAGCAGGGCATCGAAAGTGACGCTTTGAAATGGCGGGTTGGTGGCAGAGATCTTGTAGATCTCCTGTGCTACGCCGTGTGGAACAATGACTGGAGGGTCGAAAGTCGCCATGAAGATGATGTCGGGAGGCTTGGGAGCTGATAGCCCCGCGTTGGGCTCGAGACCCCCTTCAGCTTTGACCACTGGGGAAGGTGGCAGCAGAGTGTTAGACGGCTCCAGCCAGTCCAGAACGGGGCCAGTGGTTGAGATCATCTCCTCATCCGTGAGTTTCGATTTCTCGATCTTGTGTCCGATCCACTCCTCCGAGACCCTGGCGGAGTTGTACACCAAGTTGTTGATAGGAGCGCACTCAATGAGGATTCCCCATGTTTGAGGAGCGTCGGCAGCTTCTGTCTCGATAGCCGCAGAGTTGTTCATTCGTCTCGCCTTCCAGTAATCCAGACTCAGACCAATGCGATCTCGAGTATGCATCAGTGGACAACCATGACGGTTGCAAAGGGCGAGAACTCGGAGCTTTTCCTCGAACATGTTACTCGTCGCCGGGTCCTCCCGAAGCTTCTCGACATCCCATCTGTGCAATTTCTCCAAGCTCTCCCACATGCCCGCAATAGCTTCGTGACAATTGAATGTAGGGGGGACACTGAGCTTGTCGAGCTTATTTAAGCGTTCCAGATTGATTCGAAAGTGTGATAGCTTCTTCGTGAGGGGCCTTTCACCAGGGGCGAGGGCGAGGTCTTTCAGCAGGATTGCAGAGGCCTTGGAGACATGTTTCTCTATGATCGGGACCGGCTCTGTGAAGGTCAAGGAGGCCTCATGAACGATGTAATCTTTAATGCCAACTTCCACACCCATCGTTCGCCCCGCTATTATCAATACCCTGTCATTCTCTGCGCCACTGGGACCGGGTTCCCAGAGGCACTCGAGCTCAAGGTAATTAGCCAGTCTTTCAAGACCGTCGTTACTGACCCTGGCAGAGTCTTTTGCAATTGACTGTATACGTTAGTTTCGAGTGTCAGAAAGCAGCTCGAGGCTGAACATACTTGTATCATGTCAATGACGAGATCCAATCTCTTCTTTCGATCCTCCTCGTCATTCCGTCCTGCGCCGGCGACTAGTCCTCCCACACTGATGCCGTCTAGGTTGAGGTCGCCAATGCCCATGGCTCCGAGAGCGGCGGCAGCAGAAGGGCTGTCGAAGTTGACGGGCTGGTTGACCGACGCCGCCATGGTAGCCGATGTTGCCGTCACCGAAGAGTTCTTAAACTGCTGCGGCGAGGAGCGTGGCCCATGGGGGGAGAAAGCAGCAGCGGTCTGCGAGTTCGAGAAGGGTGTCGAGGCTTGGGGAGTGGGGGCCGCCTGGGGATGCTGAGAAGGCGTCCGGCCCTGCTGCGAGGGTCCGTGCCGCATTGGAGTCGACATGGTGAGCTACCTACTGTAAGGTGGCCCTGAAGGTTGATGTGTTATCGAGTGCCCCAAGTCTAGGTACCTGTGGCGCAGGATAGATACAGCTGTCCTGGGGGATCCCTAGGTAGAATCACGTGACAGCCACGGTTTGGAGTTTCGATCGCGCAGTCGAAGATAGGGATGGTGGGGCCGGTAGATAATGTCGATAATGTAGGCAATGATTGGGTTGGGACAGAGTCGTCTCGAGTATTGACTACAGACGTCTGGATGATTGATTCAAGTATGGGTAAACGTGTGAATCAGTTCGGAGGAAGAAGCAAGTGGTGCATTGTCTGGTCGGACGAGACTAGACGCCGCCCTCGCAAACTGCACGTGCTCTTGCCCCCTCGAGTCCCATAGCCTTGGTATCAGCAATTGCTACTTCAGTTGGGCCGAACAGGCTTGCGAGGAAAAGGTCAAGGGCTTCTGAACAGAGTTTCGCCCGCCCCTGACGTGTAGTTGCTGCGCACGTGTGCAGAACAGGAGGCGGAAGGAAATGCCCAAGGTTGAGGTGAGGTCAAGAGCTCGGGATTGAGATGAAGCTAGGACGGTGCTATCTCAGATCAACCGATAATCTTTTGAAAGCCACACAAGCCACACCGACCACATTAGCCACCTATCAAGCCACACACCAGAGAGATTCAATGGAACAAGAGGTTGTCGTCAACGTCTTACTCAACGCAAAGGAATGGCATACAGTGCCTACCCCTGATAGGAGATGAGATCTGTGAGCAGGAAAATATGCGCCATCTCTGATGTATGCGGTATCTGGGTAGGTGGGTGGTCCGTGCCAGGCCCTGACAGGGCCTGTCATAAGTAGTGTCGAGGCCTACCAGGGCCAACCAGGTGTTGAATACACGGATGTTGATTGATGCTATTGATTGTTCTGCTCTGCGTGCAGAGATTGATCATCTGTCTTCTTGGTGGGTTAGATGCCCTGTGCGTCTCTGCCTCACTGGAGATCTTCCGGTGTCTATCTTCGGCTCCCATTCAACACACCCCCCCAGGAACAACTCCTTCTATTGGGGTTGTTCTTGAGCATTCAGTCTGTTGCTCTTCCTGTTCAAGGTCATCTTTAAGTTTTTGTAACTTGTGGGCTATAAGTCTCTCATGGATATCTGTCAGCCTCACTTGCTCCCTGAATGTCTTGAACTTTGGTGCTGGCAGTGTCTTGGTCAGGTCGTCTGCAAGTATTATTTCGTTCTGGACGTACTCGACGTCTATCTTCCCATTGTATTGAGCTTCCCTTAGCCAGTGGGTTGTGGATATCGACGTGCTTGAGCTTTGTTTAAAGTGTTAGGAGGGCCTTCCGCACCAACTTGATGGTCTGTTGGTTGTCACACCAGATCTGAAGAGTTGGACAATCCAAGGATACGCCAATTTCTCTAAGGAGGCGCAAAACAAACATCACTTCCTTGGCTGCTTGAGCAAGAAATAACAGTTCTGCCTCTGTTGTTAAGGTTGTCATTATGTCCTGTTTGTTCGCTTTCCAGCCAATAATGCCTCCAAATAACTTTATTATATATTTTTGTGAGCTGTTTTGGTCGAGGCAGTTGTCGGCAAACGACGCATTACTCCATGTTTCAAGCAGATCTTCACCCTCCAGTTAAAGAGCAAAAGACCTGGTATCCTTTAGGTACTCTAATAGCATGTAAGTCGTTTGGGTTGGTATTAAAGCGTGAAAGCTGAGAGGCAGCGAAGGAGATATCAAGTCATGTGATGACCGCTGCGTACAGGATTGATCTGATCTTCTTTTGGTATCTGTTGATTGAGGCTAGTGAGGCGAGCTCGTCGTGTGGGAGAAGTTTTTGAGGCTTGATAGGGATCTCTGGGCACTTCTTGTTGCGGTTAATATGGCTTGTAATCTTATTGATATATAAGGCTTAAAACAGCCAGATAAGCCGCTATTTTCGGTTTCTAATGATCTTTATCCCTAAGAATCACTGTAGTGGCTCTCCTCTTGTCAGATTATAAGTAGCTTTAGGCTTCTTTGTGACCGCCTTTATAGCATTCTGATGGTATTTTTTGAAGGCTATTATAATATTATTCATATAAAAGAAGATAATTATACCATTCTTTGTGAAGTAACAGGGTTCGTGAGTGACTGATTTGAAGATAAGGTCTGTGAGAGTTTTGGTGGAATGCTTTTCTTATAATAAAGGAGATTGCCATAGTCCGTATAGAGCCTTCTTTAACAAGAGAACCTTTCCTTGTTCATGATACCCTTGTGGTATTTTTATGAACACTTCCTTTTCTAGGTCCGCATTGATAAAGGCATTGATAGCATTGTATTCAATAAGCTCAAGATTGAAGCGGGCTGCGATTGTTATAAAGACTCTGAAAGAGCTGTCTGCAAGAGTAGATGCGTAGGTATCTTTATAGATGTTCTTATTTTGCTGGTCATTGCAAACCACAAGGCGTGCTTTGCACTTCCTTAGAAAGCCGTGCTTATCGAACTTGTACTTATATACCCATATATAGTCCAGGATTTAGTATCCATTTGTTGCTAACTTGTCAGTGATTATTCATGATCTTATCTCATTGTGGCTGCTGATGTGGTCAACCTCGGCTTGACGCCATTTAGCCTTGTAGAGATGGTTCTTGACACCTTGTCAGTTCTTTGGCTCTAGTGGTAATGATTATTGATGTATCTTCCTTACTTTTGCAGGTATTGAGGCTGGGCCGTGATGATTTTCTTGGTGTGATGGTCTCCCATCAGGGCGAGAGCCATAGGTTCTGTACTTGTTGTACTTGGCTTTGCTCACTAGCCTGCCATCTATCAAACCAACAGGATTGGCAACATGTCCAGCATTGAACGCTGCTTCCTAATTCCTGTGGCGATTTTGTATGGCCTGGGGGCATCCCAAGTTGAAGGTAATGAGCGGGCATCTAACCCTTCTTCTGCTCGCCGGGAGCACGATGCTCTTGCCTGGCCCTCCACAGGCTCTCTGATAGTAATAGCCAGCAGTGCTGCCACAGGCGGATGAGTGGGTTCTTAGGTCAGGTATGGCTCAAATACGGCAGATGTATAGGGGTGATTAGTCCCTTTGCTAATATTTGTGTTGGCTTTGTCCTGGATATTTTCTGTACCATTAACATCTCCCACCCCCCTGCGGACCACCCCCCCCGCGGACCAGCGCGTTCTGACCCACAAACGCGTAATTCACCAACCACCAGGATTATGGTGATCCACCATCTACACCATCACTTTTGCATCTTTTTTTTCACAAAGCACACTATTTGAATCCTTATCCACTGCTGAATCTCATGATGTCATTTTACGACTGTCAAATAAAAGCTAAAGCCGCCATTTTGGCTATCCAACGCGGAGCTCCAGTCCGCTCGTCAGCCCTCGAATGGCAAATCAGTCGCTCGTACGTCAACCGACGAATCTCTGGCATCCCAACGCGGAATGAGACCAGCGCTCTCCAACAGGCTCTCTCACCATATCTCGAATATAAGCTGGCAAGCTGGGCCCTGGGGCAAGCACGGCTAGGGTATTATCCGGCGGTCTCTAAGTTCCGTCTCATGGCCTAGTGGATGCTCCATGCCACCGGGGATGCTCGAGAATTAGGGGAAAATTGGGCATCCAAGTTCCTGTCTCGAAACCCGGAAGTCAAGATAATGAAGTCTCATGTTATCGACTACAACCGAGTGAATGGTGCTACAGCGGCAAATATCAACATTTTTTTCGATCGGTGTGACGCCTGACGTGGTTAACCTCATGCCAGCACGCTGGTACAACGTCGACGAAATGGGAATCGCCCAGGGGGTTGGGGACTCTCATTGGGTGGTCTCCGAGGCCTCTGGCAACGTGGCTATGAAGAAAGGGGTCGAGAAGGGTGAATGGATAACTGCCCTAGAGTGTGTGAACGGATCTGGTGAGACCTTGCCGCCGCTGGTGATTCTCAAGGGGGTTAACGTACAAGCCCAGTGGTTTAGCAACCAAAACGAGGGCAAATTCACCGACTGGAGGTTTATTACGTCGCCCAATGGATGGACCTTGAATCCCATTGCATTAGAATGGCTTCAACGTATCTTTATTCCTCACATTCGGGAGGTCCACGGCAACACATGGGTGGTTTTGGTGTGTGATGGCCACGACTCCCACACGAATGACGAGTTCCTAGCCACCTGCTTGAGAAACAAAGTATGGTTGATCTTTTATGAACTCACTGCTCCCATATAGTCCAGGTGTTAGATGTGGGAGTCTTTAATTTGGTAAAGAAGAGGTTGAAGACCTTACTCCAGGAGACGCCCAGCGGCCGTCTGGGACTCAGGCCATCTAAGGAGGAGGTTTTGGAGTGCTACGAACAGGCCCAGAAGGACACAATGACGCTCCTCAACATCAGAATTGCCTGGAAAAAGACTGGGATTGTTCCTCGCAACAGAGCGGAGGCGTTGAAGTCGAAATATGTGATTCTGGAGGACAAGGGGGTGGCCAGGGTACGCCAGAGGGACCCTAAGACTTCTGAGCAAGCCACAACACCAGATTTTCTCGAGATGGTAGCTAAAACCATTGTCACAACACCCTCTGGAAGCCGGGCTTTGCGGGAGAGTGCTCGAAAGCTCGAAAGAAAGGACCCTTCCTTTGGGGGGCCCTCTGAGCGCTTGTTAGTGCGGAAGGCTGGCAAGGCCATAGATATTCAGGCTGCTACCATTACAAATCTACGGGCCAAATGTGAGCTGCTTGAGGCTCAAGTGGCTAAAAAGGCTAATACCACTCGAAAAGCAATCAAACCAACACCAGGGGAACGATTCGTCACAATGGCTAACATAAGGGAGGCCAAAATGGAGCTGAGGAACAGGAGGGTCTATAGGGACTCCGCTGCAGGCGAAGAGGTCCCACAAGAGGTCCCTGGTAAAGATCTAGGGTCGGAATCGGATTCTGGGAGCTGTATTATGGTTAGAACACCACGACCTTAGTGTATTTAGCAACTGTGGTGGTTGTAGATGGCTTCATCTGAATGAGAGTG